CTTGTTTTTGCCTCCGTTGGCGAATCTAGTCCTTCTTCCTTCGCTTGTTTTTCTGGACCGTCCTCCATCCCTTCCCGTCCCGCCGCCGTTGTCCTCGCTCCTCGCAGCAGAGTAGAGCAGACTCGGCCTTGCTTGTACTCGCGCCTACTGGACCGAAACTCACCACACACACGCACCACACCCCTTCCCCTGCGAAACACGGCCAGGACCGTCCACTCGTTCTTCCGCATCAGTTACAGCATTTCTTGGGGCTACGAACCGATCACCACCGCCCACGACTTGACCATGTATTCTCCGCTGGACCTGGCCACCGCGATCTCACTCTCATAGAATGCTTGCTTGTAGGGTTTCTGCCGACCCGTAGAAGCCCTCAGCAACCATGCAGACGGTTCCAAGTGTAAGTTTCAATCTCCCCGATGGAACCTCACTAGTCTCAGTGACAACTTCGTTCAATTTTAAACTTGACCCTCCCCGCCGGCTCCTCCTCCTCCCTTCATGATTGATTTTCACACGCTCCTCTTCGTGTATCCCTTCCCCGGTCTTTCGCTCGCTTGCCCGCCCGCCTCCCGGCGAAATCTGGAGCTAATCATCTGAACCTGTGTAGCTGGTGGGAGCCGGTACTGCGATTGCTGCTGCGGCCAGTGGCCTGGTCTTTGGCGAAGTTGTAGACGCTCCCCCCTCCACCGGACGGCCAGCGTCGCACTCTACGACAAGACTACATAATCAACAGTCGTTTTCAATAGCACCAACTCGCCGTGCATCCTTTTTCCGGCCTGGGACCAGTTCTGCCACCTCTACCACTGGAGCACAACCGCAGCAACACTCCGTACCACCGTCCCCCGTTGTTTCAAGACCTCCCCTATCTAGATACCAGAGACCTCGCTCTTCTCAGGTAACTTCCCCAGGCAATCCACGGTCTAGAGCACCCTCCATCCAACAGGGGGAGTCCTCGTTTAACACGATACCCGAGACACCAAGAGCGTCCTTCTCCTCTTCAAAGTCAAATGCCTCTTGGATTAGGCGACTCTCCCTTCGTCCACTGTCGCGACAAGGGAGCCAAAGGTCAAGCATTGGCCCCGATTCGACACCGACTACTTTCCCCCATGCGCCCAGTTCGCCGGTGCTCCCACAACCATCCGCATTTGTTACGCCGCACCAATCACGCAGGTCTGTAAAACGAACACAGTCTAGCACAAACGACGAGCGTTCCGTGGACACACGTTTGCGATCCAAATTCAACCTCGCTGGATTGAGGCGCCCCGCCACGAGCGACCAGAGGTCTGAGACGCCGCAATCATTTCGATCCTACCTGGATCCTACCTCTTCGCCTTACTCGAGGGATACGCCGAGCCCGGCGCAGGACGCTCGCGGTAGCCACCACCTCCTCCCCTCACCACTCGAGAGAGGCCTGGAGGCGTATCGCAAGACTGGTTGGAGGTCCTTTTTCCATTCGCGAACGAAGCGTGACTTTGCATTGAGCCCCGGCCGACCATTGGAAAAGAGCCCGCAGTCCTGGAGCACTAGTACCAAGCGAATTCTGATTGGGGAGAATAGGCGTAGAGGCGCTTATCTGGTCAAGCCGACAATGGTGTCGGGTGCTCCTGGCACTTCTCCACAGCCCGAGAAACACCGTCCCGTAACAATAGACGAGCGACCCGACCCATTCTCAGAATCGCACCAATCTGAAGTTTCGTCTGTCGATGACACGCCTTCGAAGCGAGCTAGGCGCTCGATTTCAATGACCTTTGTTTCAGCAGGCAGCTGGGTGTCCCGAACGTCAGGTAGCCTTCGTCGACCCAAACGTGATCTCACACCAAGGAGAGAAGCACACCGTCATGTTTCTGAGCCTTTGACGAGCTCACGACCAACATCAGCTGCAACCCGGCGTATTGCGAGTGCGAACCAGGAGCCACCAATCAAACCAAATCTTCTTACCAAGGAGACACTGGGGCGTCTCCCAACTCCGAACTCTCAGCTTTCAGTAAGAAAAAGAAATTCTTCGTCTCCAGCAACCCCACCTTCCAGAGTACCGAGTTTTCAGGTTGAGCTGGCAAGACTAGGGTCTGCCGGTGGCCCTTATTTCCAACAGGCTGTGAGGCCCAATCAGCCTTCTGGAAGCTCCGTCAGCTCCACAGCCATGTCGCAACTGAGATCACAGCCCAATGGGAGAATTTCCATCGTCGACAGCTCAGACTACGAGCCGAGGGACTTCATGTCGGGAGATGAGGAAGATACGGATTTCAAGAGTGATACCATGTTTGACTCAATTCGCAGCACTGTTGCGTCTGGTCGCGCAAGGAATGTCGAAACCCCTCTAGATTCGATGTATGATGAGTCCCCTCCCAGTACTGCTGGCAATGGCAGAGCAAAGCGCCTGTCGATTCAAGAAATCCTGGGCCAGGATTGGGACACGAGCAATAAAATTATGGAAGAGGACGAGGCGTTCTCCACACCTGTGCGTACTGCAGCTCCCCGAGACCAGCCAGCCGAACCTCGATTTAGCACCGACTCATCTGGGCATGACTACTCTCTTGCCGCCAAAGGACTTGGCCGTATGTCAATTGATGATGACTTTGACGAAGACTGGACGAAAGATGTGGATGGTCCATTCAATGCCCTGTCTCCACCCTCCAAAGGCAGCTCGGCCAACTCTAGAAAAATCAATCCAAATGTCCGTCTTGCTCTGGCTAACATAAGTGGGAATGGTATGATCGAACATGGGGTTATCGATATTCGTAATGAACGCCCACTGAGCAATCTCTTTGACTGGAGCGAGCCGTCTGTTTATGCAAAACAGGACCTCAACAAACCCTCTGCGCGTCCGAGAACGGCATACACGAACCAGGAAACAGATGCTAGAGGCGGCCGTCCTGTTGTCCGTAAGGTACCAGCCCCAACTCACGTCCGAAGCCAGAGTGTGCCCGTTGTTCATGAGCCTCCTGAGGAGTCAAAATCTACAGGGAGCAAATACGGAACCTGGGGAATGGGTACCAAACCCATTAGCGAGGATTGGGACGACGACTTCGAATTCAGTGGGAGCCTTGGAAATGGCAAGCATGCTGATGGCCACTTTGCCGTACCCGAGTCAATCCAAGCTACCCAACCCAGCGTCAAGGCACACTCTGGGCAAATTCGCGAGTTATCACTATTAGTCAACGATCTGCAGCGTCTCTGCCGACACGGCCGAGACATGGATATTCTTAGTGGCCCATACCATACCTTGTGGAAGGAAGCAGAGGGTATCATCGCTCTGGCATCTCCCGATGATGATGATGCCATGGAAGGAGACAAGGACGCATCCTCCGTTGATGGTTCTGAGACAAATGAACGCTTTTTCGACGATGGTTTCGATGTCGCATCCCTGGACCGGTTAGATGCTGCTCTGGATGGCCGTGAGCCCGCCATGTCCAAGACGACAGTTGTTCGAGACCGACCCTCTCCTAGGAGACGTTCTGTCTTTTCTCCCGACGATGATATATTTGGCGGAGGTGTACCACTTTATGATGAGCCGCGCACTCGGACCAGCCGCCCTATAACACCGGAGGCCAAACTGAGCATGGCGCACGACGTGAATGGCGTTGTACGAACCGTCGTGGAGGCCATGCAACAATCAGCTCATTATGAGCCAGTATTGGAGACACCCCCTTCCAACAAGCGGATGCATTTTGACACGAACAGCCTCAAGGTCCTCGTCAAACGAGCGAGCGATCTGCGAGATATTCTATCAGAGTTCATCCGCAAGACCGACCAAATCACACAGAGCCCTATCCGAACCCCAAGACACGAACGATACCTTGAATCGAGTCCCGCCTTCACACGGATGTTTGAAGATCCCGCTTCAAGCCCACCCCGTCGCATGAGTAACGTATCTGATGATAAATCACCGCAGCATTCGCCTTCTTCTGGCCTCGGCCGGCGGATGCAAATGATGAAAGTTAAATAATGGCGCCACACTGGCATGGAATAATTCCGATTCCATTTTCAAAAATTTCTCCGAAACTCTCTTCGGTGTTGAGAGGAGCACTGTACAACAACTTTATGTTTTATATTTCATTTGTTTGCATAGCGACGGTCTCTCACGATCACAAACTTATGATTTCCCATTTTGTCATCGGTTCGGCCCAATAGACGAAGGTGTGGGAAGGGAGACGGGCAGCGGGCGGCTGGCAGCTGTCTCGCAACGCCACCTCCTCACTGTCTTTGCGGCGCTGGGGTCTCTCCTGTGCGTGTAGGAATAGAGGTCCGGCTTGGCATCTGGGGAATTCTTTCGAGTCTCATATTATGTGAACCACAGCATGGTCCACCATCACCATTACATTATGTCTTTAAAAGGAATTCGGTAAAAGAGGGGCTGGGAGAGAGGAGGTAATGCTTCGGATGTGCTGAGCGGCACGGTCCACACGAGAGAAATGGGAAACAGGGAAAAAAGAGTCACAGTGATGGAACCAAAATTGGTTTTAGTACTGTGGTCTCAACGTCGTTGACGAGGATGGGCATCGTCTTTATCGATGCCAACTGGACTGACCTGGACAACTTTTTTTTCTTTTTTCTTTTTACGAATATTCATCGGCGCTCCAGAGGCGCTTGAAATTATGAGTTTTTTTCTTTACAGGTACACGAAAAAAAAAGAAGAGAAGACAGAGAGGCACGGCCGGAATGGCAAAAGCCTTAGTTTTAGGGATTGGATCATGGTTTTCACGGTACTGGGGAAGGGGGCCATTTGGGAGCTCACGTAACATTGGCGCATAGTTGCTGCTTTTTCCTTTTAACGAATGCATGGATAGAGTTTATGACAACCAACCAAAACGAACGGTTTCTGGAAGATGCATGATCGTGATTTTATTACTGTCTTTTTTTCTGTAATGGAGTATAATTTCCCAAAAAACTGCTGGCATTATTCATATTCGATCTGATATAGTGAAACGTCTCACGGCAACAACTTGGATTTTTTCATACTTTGAATTTTAATTTTTTTTGTTGCTAGTTTTTCTATTTTCTAGTTACAAAGCCAAGTGATCTCCTGGTATATAAGATGTAGAGATACGTTCCAGATGTGTCAGGTTTACCCTTCCATTACTTGGTGCGCCCATACTTTTCCTCATGGGAATTTGGTACATTTTCTCTTTTCCCCGGCTGGCTGGGAGGCCCGGCACTAGCTGATTCTCGCCCTTGTTTGGCGGCGCGGCTGAGATGGTCCATCTGCTTGGCTGGCGCTTCTCGAGATCCTCATCGCTATCAGCATAGACGAGGGGGACTTCGATGACGCTATGGTCGGAATCGTCTGAGTCAGGTGGCGTGGGTGAAGAAAACTGATCCGGTCTGACAGGATACACGGTGAGGCTAGTTGTCTTGGTGACCCTTGGAGAGTGAGAAGGAAGTAGGTTGGCTGGTACAACAGTCAAGCGCGATGATCTCGGGTTATCTCCCAGATCCAGCTTCTCGGAACGAGCGCTTGGGATGCATAGAGGTTCAGGGGTTTCGTCGAAATCGCTGCCGGCAATTGAGTATGAGGGCGAGTCAACGTCGACTACATTCCACATGGTCTGCCAGTCACACCTGGAGGCACTGACATCGATTTCATCATCGGTGTTTGACTGATTGGTATATGAGACACTGTTGATATCTTCCTCCAATTTGTTCAGTTGTTCTTGAAGCATTTCAAGCGCGTGCCCCGGAGATTCTAGGGGCGACGGTTCAGCTGCAAATATCCACGAAGGCTTTGGTGGTTTGGTAAGGTCCAACGCTGAAGGGGGAGGTGCCCTGCGAGTTTCTGGCATCTGTCGTCGAAGAGTAAACGTTGAGCAGCGGTCTCCAACTCTGTAATGCCACAACGGGAAGGTAACTCTGGGTACGTGTCTTTCGGAGATCGAGTCTTCTAACTCATGCTGAAGCTCATAGGAGTGATCTTCAATGTAAAACTCCTCTGATGAGGTCGACTCATCCTCAGCTACGGCCTCGCCGTAGATATCTTCCTCATCCCCAATCCTAGGTGTGGCGCTTGGCCTTGCGGAATGCATGACCTCAACTGCTCTGACTGGCTCCAGGCTAATTCCATTCACTGCTGAGTGGATTGAACCCCAATTTGTGGTGATGTCGTCTTCTTTCCATGCCCCTCGGATTGTTGATGGCACTTCAGAGGTTCGTTGCGGGGAAGGAGAAGGTTGAGGGAAAGCGGCCGTCGCCTCGACTTTCGGTGACAGGTAGGATGAATATCTGGATACAAGTTTGTTTCTCGAGGCGTAGGAGTTTCTGTCCTGCTGGTGATTGCCGATGTCGCTCGTGTCTCTTCGCGCTTGGGAAATCCTCCGCCGCTGTGTCGCAGCTTGGTTGATGGTTTCTTCAGATTCCATGCGAGCCTCAGGCACTTCGGGCAAGGACCTCGACTTCCGTTTTTCTGTTACAGAGAGGCCCTGGCTACCTGATGGGACTTGGAAAAACTTGCCCATCTTTTCCTCAACCGTCATTGAACCTGTCCGATGTAGGTGTGCTCGAAGAGATTCCCTACTTGGTTTTGGAAGCAGTGCAGGTGTCGTTTCCTGGGCCTCGTTATTATGGGAAGAAGTTGACCTCTGAGATCGAGCCGAACCACAGGAGTGAGATCTCCTCAGTGCATGAACTGATGGTTTTGATCTCTGCAAATCCAGCGCTTGTACGTGTGTCATGTCTCTTTGAACAGGTCGGGGTCTATCAACTACTGATTCGGATTGCTGGATGAATGGGTATTCATGCAAGTTGGGATCTTTGATCTCATTCGTTGTTTCTGAAACGCGAAGAGAGGGATTGCTTTCATCTAATGGTGACACAGGAGGGTGAACTTCGCGGCCATTTGCAGGTGACAGAATTTGGGCCACGTCGCCAGGGGAAAAGAAAGTGAGCTTGTCAGACTCTCCGGCAGGTGCTAGATTGAGTTGTAATTGAAAGTTGTCAGATGCGGTTGAAGATGATTCCTGATCGGGGTACGGAGGCAAAGGCTTCGAATTGCCATCATTGTGGAGTTGATCGATCTTTTGAAGCCTCTGGGCCTCAGGAGAGCCTTGAACTCCTTTCGTGAAGTACTGGCAGGATATTGATGGTGGAGATACAGAGCCAGCTGGTACGTTTCCAGGCCATGCTGTGAATGTGGAGCTGGCGCAGGTATGGCGGTTGATGTTGTTTTCAGGAGGTTGTAGTGAAGAAGGGAATGTTTCGATGTTCTTGGCCGCAGGGCTTGTCGATCGTCGGGTGTCTTCTGATGGTTTGTTGGTGTTGGTTTCCGCTAATCGCTTTCTCTTGCCACGAGAAAATTCCAAGAGATCCCAGGTATCCGGTCGCACTGGGATGTTCCTTTGCATGACACGGCCCCTTTCATTCATAGTTTTGGATCTTGAAATATTCAGAGGTGTTGGGAACATGTTCCCTTTCAACGATGGTGGATACAAGGGCTGAGAGGAGGACCTTTGGCGCAAATCGTCCTGGACTGCAAACTCTAGAGCAGTCCATGAGGCTCTGGCATCTTTACTTTCGGTTGAGGTCGGCTCAGAGACAATGCTTGACATGAAGGCTACATCGTCGTCGATTTGCGGCGAGGTTGTGATAACAACAGGGATGTTGTGCTTGATGTTGGGTGTGCTGGAGGGCGAGACTTGTGAAATCGAGAGATCGTGGGCAGGACGAGACTGAAAATTTCGCGGATGTGTATCGTGTGACCCGGCAGGCCCCTTTTCGATATCCCATGGACCTGCTGCCAGCTCCGCAGCCCCGGCTACATTGAAGCTAGAGCTTGAAGAGTCTACCGCAACATGACGAGTAGCGACGACTGTTTTCTCTTTCGTTTCGTCATTGTTGTTTGAAGGAGACATCGACTTATCCCAACGCGCGATAGGAAGCAAGCCTGGGTTTGGCATACTGTGTATTTGGGCAGACACTCGGAGCACCCTTGCTGATGCGCCGTCAAGAATCTCTGGAGTCATATCGCCTGGTGCAATAAGGAGAGGGTCACGGAAGAACGAGACAATGCCTGCGTTACTGTTAGCCCGAGGGATTGCATATTGCAGTGATATGAGCATACTGATGAGAATGAACAGGCCCAGTGAAGGCAGTCCGGTGCGTAGAAGCAGAGATAGCGAGGCAATTCCTAATTCCAAAGGAATGCTGAACTGTGAGATTCCATCAGCGATCGATGTTCTTATGCATCAAGATAGTACTCCACCTACCACCGTCCATAGACCAAAGCCAGCGATGCTCACAGCTATTGATCGACTCCTGTAGATTTCCCAGTCTCCGCTGAGCTCCTTCCGAGCCTTGCCAGTCCAATCAAGCTTCGCGAAGAACAGAACGATTAAGAGCACATCGACACAAATGACAGTAATGCCGAGAGGCAAGATAAGGGTCTGAGCGATGCAGACACCCACAAACTGTGGACGTTGAAATCCGACAAAGATTGCAGCAAGGATGAGCCTTACGAAGAGAACGATCTGCGGTAACAAAGATTTGAAAGAAAGGGTGGAGGAGGGAATGATTTTCCAGAGAAGGAACTGTTCGAAAGAAATGCGAGCGACCTGATCAAAGGCGACGGCAAAAGCAAGGGAGGCCTGGCAGCCAGATGAAGATGCGACATTCATGGAAACGAATCCAAAGAGCCCCCACAGACCAGATGCGACAGCGAAAGCAAAGAGGGCCAGCCTCACACCGTCGCGGAACAGCAACGCCCCATGTCTCGTAATGAGACCTAAGCTCAAAACCAACGCCGCATTGACGACGATGCCACTAAGGATCACAGGATTAGCTCAGTGTCATGCGAGCGGACCATGAAGCCACTGCATCAGCCAGGCGGATTCTCGGGACATACAAGGCGAAAGCGGCGATCAAAGGCTGAGCATCGATTATTGTATCAGGCATGGCAGCCGTAACAACGCTAGCCAGCTAGCTAGACGGCGACCAGAACCGAAGGTGATGTTAATGAAAGACAAAGCCGAAGGCAGAAGGGAAATGCCCAATCAATGGGTTTCAGTGCTAACTGTGTAACGACTGTGGTTGCGAAAGAAGAGTTTCAGAACGAAGGACTCATGACGGCCTCAAGCACGCTGCGCCTTTGGGAGTCGTAGGCAGGCGTATCTACCGAACCAGCGCCTTACTCGGCATCAAGCCAGTAGTTTGAAAGAAATGAAAGGAAAGAAGGAATCCAAGCAAAGCAAAGCAGCAAAGGAAAGGGAAGGCGTTTGCGCGCATGTGCCGCGATGCGCGCGGCCATGAGTATGTATACAAGGCTTTCCACCTAGCCATGGGTGTCCGAGCAGGTACTAGGCGGGCGGATGGGCCCTCGAGGGCATCTGGTGAACTGTCTACCGACTTCATCTTGGAACAGACAGCCAACCTCAAACAAGACTGCTACCCATACAGCAGAACGGGGCTGCTCGTCTGCGTCGTCGTCCCATGTTGGGCTTGGCGGGTAGCATGATTGGGTGGTACAGGGATTTCGGGAGAGCCGCCGCGATCTGGGGGCTCAGGCGGCCGTACATGAAACCCAGCGCGTAGCAGGTCGCACCCACCACACCCTGGCCTGGTGCCAGAGCGTGGATCTGCATCGGGAGCATCGCGGACGAGCAAAACCGTTGCTGGTGGCAGGCTAGGCTGGGCCCTGGAGTCTGGAGAGAATCGAATGGAGCAGCAGCGTCGCCGTTGAGGGCTGCGCTCTTGGCATCGTGCCTTCGCTGGACGCCAGCTGCATGGAGATTGGGCCACATCGAACACTGCGCTCGCTGCCAGCAGTTTGAAACCCCAAGCGAACCCGTGGCCAGCTGCTCCATTGGGCAATGTGATGATGCGAAGTGACGCGACGAGACGGGTGAGCGTGCAAGTCTAATCTGCCGCCACGCTTAATTTCCACGATCTGTCGTCAGCCCTGGTCCCAGCAGTCAGATACGATACCGACACATTTGCTTCCGCCCACCTGATGGGAGTCCGACCGGAAGCACCTGATGGCGGCAGCAAATTAGGCGGTGGTTGAGCGGGAGGGTGGAGACTGAATAGGCGATTTCGCTTTATCCAAGATTGCAGGTGCCAAGACAGCAATTGTCCCCCATGAGGCAAGAACAGCGATTCCATGCTTGTTGGTTCTGCCTGGTCGCTGCTGCCATCAAGGACGGCGCCATTGGGTGGAGGGAAGGTGCTAAGCTGGCGCCTGCTGGTGTTACAAGTCTGTTTCGATCAATGCCCCCTTCAAGCAAGTGCTATGCTATTACTTCCTGCACTTGCACTAGCCTGGACACAGACCGTGAGAAAAGCTGAATGGCAGGCTACTGGGGCCTGCATGAATGCTGCAGATCGTCCTGAAGCGAGAGCAGGCATTTGATTGGGACGGAGCTCTCCCTTAACCGCGTGCGTTTCACTTAGCTGCCATCGCGAGCTCTTGCCGCCCGCTGGTTTAATAATACTTGCTAAGGAGTCATTGAGCGCCAAAGTGATAATTTTAGTAGTACTACCGACCAACATACATAATAAGGCAACACATTGGATATTCTTGTATTACGCTGGTTGAGGTCTGCCTCAGTTGGTTCCTGGTCCGGTCCGGTATAGTGGGGTTCTCCAGCGAAGGTCAGATCCAGGTCACCGCCAACATACAACAACTGTTCTCTGAAAGAGAAACTTACGATGGACTATTTTTTCCCCTTTGGAATTAATGTGCTTCTAGGTATCTCACATCATCGCACTCATAAGTCCAATTATCGGACTCAGCTGTCCGGACCGGCAACCTTTGCTAACCCCGCCTTCCAACCCCACACATCTATCGACGGCCCGGTGAAGGGCGTCCAATAACCAGCCTCGAGTTGCTAATGACGCCAACGGGTTCTTATCTCCAAGTGGTGTCGTGACTCGCTGTAGCTATCCATATTCTGCATTTATACGCGGAGAGCTGTAGGTTGTACATATGCTCGTATCCAAGCGTGCATATAAAATGTTTTGCTTCCTTGGACCCTTTAGACAGTAAACAGCCTTGTTTGATATCTAGACTACAATCTATTCCCATCTGAAAGAACAGCCAATTCCTCCTATCGTAGTTAATAACATCTCATCTTCCATCAAATATCGCGAAAATGGGCCGCTATGAGCTGGAGTATCCCAAGGACAAGGACAATTCCGTGAAACGATACAACCAACTAGGTCTGTACGACGACGAATTGTCTAATTTGTTTATCATCCCATGAATTCACTTTAACAAACTCCCAGCGAGCTACTCCCTAAGAACCATCCATGGCATCGTCAACTCCGCCCAGTTCGTCAACCTCTCCTTCAACCCGCCCAACTCCCCATTCCCCGTCATCCTCCCCATGATCGGCCAGATGGGCTCCTTCGACCGCCCCAGCGCCGACGACGGCGACCCCCTGGACCTCTACGTCCACGGCTACGTCTCCTCCCGCCTCATGAACCTCAGCCGCGACGGGAACGGCGACGGCGACGGCGAACACCCCGCCGGCATGCCCGTCTGCGCCTCCGCCACCCACGTCGACGGCCTCGTCCTCGCCCTCTCCTCCTTCAGCCACAACTACAACTACCGCTCCGCCATCCTCTTCGGCCACGCCACCCTCGTCCAGGATCCGGACGAGAAACTCTGGGCCATGGAGCTCATCACCAACAGCGTCGTCCCGGACCGCTGGCGCCACAGCCGCCTGCCCGTCACCTCCGCCGAGCTGCAGAGCACCGCCCTGCTCAAAGTCAGGATAGCCTCTGCCAGCTCCAAGATCCGCGACGGCCAGGCCGAGGACCCTAGGGCCGACTTGGAGAACGAGGCTGCCGTCGGTAGCATCTGGACGGGGGTTCTGCCCGTCCACCAGACCATCGGCGAGCCGCTCCCGGGACCGAACAACAGGGTCGACCTGCCGGGGTACATCGCGGAGTATAGGAGCAGCTTTAATGAGGACGGGAGAGAGCACAGTATTAACGCGGCGAATAACAAATGATGCTCTTTTATTTTATGCGGATGAGGTTTTGGTGAACCTCATGTTCCTGGTGTGTAAATGCTTCTAGCGCGCTTTTGGCGAGATATAATATACATATATAATTATCCTTATCTTGCAACTTTTGAATAGAGGATTGGAAACGACGGGGCAGAATTATCTCAACGGCATGGACCTCATCCTTTACCAAAGTTCCCAAATCTTGGCTGGAATGACCTGCCTCATAATAGTCCAATGGCCAAGAGCGCTGGTGTGATGCCACTCGGTCATCATGCCAGTGTTGTTCTTCCTCAGGAGCTGGGCATCGTCATTGTCCCCGAACAGATCAGCCTGCTGAACCTCGTTCTTGGGCTCGAGGAATACCTCGCGAGCGCGGCTCCGGAGGAAGTCCTGCGCGACAGGTTTGCGGAATGTCAGCTTCTCCTCCGTCTTCTTGCAGAAGATGACCATGTTGGTGAAGTCGGTGCCGTCCTGCTCCTTGGACGTCTCCTGGACGGCGCTCTCACGGAAGAACCGACAGGTTGGGAAGACGGTTGTGATTGTGTTGACGATGACCTTGGGAGCCGGAAGCTTGAAGTCTCCAGCGTAGTTCTGAAGAGTAAAGGTTAGTCAAAGGACGATGCTGGCGCGGTATCGGGCTAGAATTCGACTCACAATCGCAATTACGCCATCAGGTTTCAGAAGGGCACTCAAGCCTTCAAGGAACTCCAGCGTGAAAAGATCCACCGGCTCGGCACCACCGGTGAAGACGTCGTGAATGACGTAGTCAAAGGTCTGATTGCCTTGCTCAACAAGGCCAGCCGTGTATTTGACGGCATTCTTCAAGACCGGCTCGCGGTTCTGCTTGAGGTCAAAGTGCTTCACAGCAAGATCGTACACAGCAGGGTCAATTTCAACCACGGTGGTGTCAATGCCGTGAGACACCAGCGCCGAGGGAGTTGTTCCAATTCCAAGGCCGCTGCACCGATTGCATGGTTAGCCAATCTCGAATACTTCAAACAAGTTCGGACAAAGAGGTTCTTACATGACAAGCGCACTTGCATCCGTGTCAGCAACCTTGGGCTGCGACTCGGCAAGGCGGACGGCTTCCAGCATGACGAAAACGCCATAAATGGGCTCCGGCACCTTGAGGCCGTTGGCGACATTCCACTGCCCACCCAGCAGGCTGTGGTCACACCTCATAACCCGGAAATGCCTGTCGACGCTCTCGAGGACCGACAGGTAGCCAGTCACGGACTCCCTCCGATCCAAAAGCACCCAGTTGTCCGCCAGGAGAGTGTTGTTCAGCCTCTGCGTCGCCGCCGGGATCATCGCATTGGTGTTCCACAGGGCCGTGTGCAGCAGCGCCGGCACGGCCAGCACGATGTACTTTGACGGGGAGAAGAGCGTGTACAGCGCCCCAATCACCAGGCTCAGCCCCACGCGAGTGTAGAGGAAGCCCTTGGAGGCGATGAGGGGCAGATGGGCGTGGAACAGAGTCTCCACGAACTTGAACACTGCCCAGGAGCCCATCCCCGGGATCGCATCGCCAAAGGCCTTGGGGAGCATGGGGATTTTCACCCCCTCCAGATAGTCTGCAACCGAGGCCGCAGAGAAGAGTGCAAGAGGGAAGAGAGTCAAGCTCTCAATCACAACCGGACCCCAGGGGTTGCCCAGGGTATCACTGTACCTGGACAGGAAGAACTGCACTGTCGGGAGATAAAGTGCGATGATGGGCAGGGCATCAGCTGTTTTGAAAGGGAGGTGTCTCAAAGCCACATTCCCAGCCCAGCCCAGGAAGCATCCCGCCATGACGGGGTAGGAGTGATATATCGACGTTGGAATGCCGCCGAATACTGGGGAGAGACCTGCCTGGGAGACGCATGATGCCACGCCCAGCACACTGAGAATGAAGAAGGACTTCGTGATTTGAGCGAGATCAGTATCAGGCTCCTCTGCCGCAGCATCTGGTTTCTTGTGGCTGCTGGGTGGTACTGGCCACTTCTCGCCAGCCGGCGACTCTCCCTTCTCCTTCTCCTTGGGGGCCTGGGCCTTCTTCTTGTTGGCCATAATGTGCTATTCCACGTTACCTCTTTTAGTGCACCTTAGACGCAGAGGCGAGAAGGCAAGGAGATAAGACACAGTTGCAGTTGCATCCTCTGAGAACCAAAGTTTACTCTTCTGAGCGAACGTCTTGGATTTGGCAATCGGGGTTGCCAAGCAAGGAAATTCGGAGGGATGGTGCCCGACAAGGACAGGTGTTTCAGCCGCGTCTTCTCCCTCCTGAAACAGCCCAATATTCCCAGGCGAGGATATAAACTCACCCAGTCCCGCGCAGTGGCTCCCGAACGGGTAGTGCAGGGTACGTGCCTCGCGTGTGCAGAGTGGGTCTCTTCTGGAAAGCGACTGCCAATCAAATCCCCGAGAATTTCCACCCACACGACCGGACGGTTTCCGCCTCTCATTGGCCCACGCCTAGTCCCAGCTCCACTCACAAAACCTCTAATTCTTCGCACGAAAGCAAAATTCATGGAAGGATTCTTATATTACGCTTCGGCGATTACCTCTCAACAAACAAGCACCGGAAAGGTGCCCGGTTAGCTCAATCGGTAGAGCGTGAGACTCTTACGAGTTCACATCTCAAGGTTGCGGGTTCGACCCCCGCATCGGGCTGTTCCTATATAAAGCGATTGAATTTTTTTGCCCTTTTGCCTGCCACTTCTCCACGACCTTGAGAAATCTACGTTTGACAATTATACTGGTTTTTTTTTTAAGCCGACGAACAAGGAGTGCTCACTCCTAGGCAATTAAACTTGCGGATGTTATCAGAAAATAGTCACTCGATCATTGGTGGCCAACTTAAGGCTGTAGGATACCGATGTAAAAAGAATAAATAAATAATTGCTCTCATACTACCATAATATCTTTCCAAAGAATCTTTTCGAAGTCATGAATCAATGCCTTTAACCCACCTTTTGGTTTCCTTGTCTCTATACTCCGACCCGTCATCATAGAAACCCATCATTGTCATAAAATAGAAGAGAAGTTAGAAAGAACCCCCCCCAATGCTGTTGATGCATCATCCTGAACCACAAATGAGAAAGCCCAATAATGAAAACAAGTAACCAAAAACCCCGAATCATAAAAAATGATCATCAGAACTCCAACGTGTCGGACGCTATGCGATCACACACCCCACCAATGATATGTATTAAAATTACATTCTCGTTGGATAATCGTCCATATCATCATCACTGCTATACCTCGTACTTTCGGGGCTCTGAACCCCGCTAACATCAGCACTTGCGATGTTGCTGAAGTTGTCCATGGTGCTTCCCGGCCCAGAGAAGGAACCAGGAGCAGACATGGCAGAGAAGTCGACTGCACTGCCGCTCCTGCTCATCGAAGGCTTCTCGGGGAGCTGCTTGAGAAGCCCAGTTGAGATATCCAGCATAGTCATGGCAAAGTCAGTCAGGCCTTTGCTTTCACCTGGCTTGGAGCTGACCGAAAGTGTCCAGCGGTATTCTGCCAACCGACGTCTATACCACTCGGCTTCTTCACGTCCTGGCGAGGTGGCCCATAGCAAAGAGCCAAAGGTGCCGATGAGGGCAAAGTTGGTTTTGGAAGCAAAGTACCAGAAGGAGCGGAGGTGGCTTGGGCCCATGCGATTTACAAAGTCCATGGCCGAGATCAATCGGGCCTTGGCGGCGCTTCGGCAGATGTGCTGGACGTAAGGGTCCACAGCTGCCCCAGATGCTGCTAGAGATCGGATAATCCGTCGATGAAGAGTGATTTCAGCGGCAAAGTATGCCAAATGAAGATACCCAATGCTGGAAAACCGGTTCGAGTTTATCTGGCTCGAGGTGCTGTATGTTGAAGAAGAAGACTCCAGTCGAATGCTATTTGGAAGGTTCCCGTACCAATCTTTCAATTTCAACTGGATTGGCTTGGCCAGGGAGAGAACCAGCTGCGTTCCCTGTGCACCAGCCTCCGTCACATTTTGCTCGGCATTTAGTGTGTAGAACGTTTCGAGGATCTCGGAAAGGATCTCGGACAGTTGAACCACGCGCGTGAACACAAGCCTGCCTCGTTCGATGTCCTGCTTCTCCTCCATATCGTCCTCATCCCACTCGACATCGGGAAAGTCGTTGGCTCGTAGACTTTGGACCCCCCAATTCGCCGAAAATATGTGCGACGGCCTGCCATGGACCAGTGCGCCCCATTTGTCTTGCATATACAAAGCCCATGCGAGTCGTTTCCTCAAACCCTTTTCCCAGGGAGGTATTTTCCAACCCGAACAGTCCAGATGGAGCCCGAGCTCCTGCGCAGTGGCGACGAGCTGCGCAGTAGGTGCCCATTGGTCGCCCTCGGGCCGTTGAGAGAGCAAAAGCCCCGCCTGAACAGTTGAAAGTTTCGGTCTGTAGATGGCATCCGCTAACGAAGTTCGAATGAGTCTCTCGAGTTCCCTTATATTGGGTCTAGGTAAGTGGGCGAGTTCCTCGTCGTGCTCCCACCAGTTAATGGCAAGTAGGTACACGGCAGCCAGGATTTCGGGTGAAAATTCGCGATAAGACCGTTCGTACTTCTCCAAGAAGACATGCTTTTGGATAATGGGGAATCCAGGGTGCACAACACGGAAGTATATGTCGATCAGCTTTCGTCCGTGGGGCGCCACGATACCTTCGATGTCGTCCAAGTCTTGAATCACGTGCTCGTGACCCGGGGTATTGTGATCTGGGAGCATCAAGAAGGTATCGTTATCGCTCACCTTTCGTAGAGTGCCCCTGGCTAGCAAGCTCTCGTCCTGCGGATCAAAAGAAGATAGGTTGATGAGAGACGGTTCGAAGTCAGTTGTGGGGCCGATGTATTGGCAGAAGCGATCGGTCTGTAGACCAAGAGTTCTGCTCAGCATGGTGGGACCACCAACGTTGGCCATGTCCTCAAGGAACGTGCTGCTAGCGGCCGTGCTGGAGAGACTGAGACTTGAGTTTTGGTTCCGTCTCCTGGATATGCTATTACCGGGAGAGCTGCAGAGCCAATCATGTGTAAGCCATTGGGTTTCAGAGTAGGTACAATATCTGCCGACTGGGATTGGCGAAAGACGTAGGGGGGTGTAGATAGAACAAACGGACGTGATTACGTAGTGGTGGGAATGGAACAGCGGCAGAAGAGATCAACAACAGGGCCGGGCAGGACGGAACACACAGAGCAAAGCAGAACAGAGCAGGACAGGAAAGGACAGGATGAATGCAAGCCAATGCGAGTGGGAAGGGGGGACTCGGCTCGCTTTTCACGAGAGCAAACACTAACCTTCGTTTTCCAATCATTTCCAATGGTGTGTCGGTCCCGTTGATCCTCCTCTTGCGGGACTGGGGGCTCGAAGTTGAAGAGGATAGCGAGCACTCTGTGGCATTGACTTGGCACGGCATACAAGTCTCATCATCCTCACTCAGAATACACCGGGTGCCTGAGTATTGACAAGCCTGGCAGGGCGGCACCGATTGACCGTTGATGGGAGCTGAGGAGGCCGGGGCTGAAGCGGAGTCGGTTGGTGCCCTGGCATGCAAGCTCCCCGATCCAATCTCAAAACGACGCAGACTATCCTGGCGTTGGGTGGCGGTTTCTATTCGAGGAGGCTTGGGGGCAATGGGGATAGGGGCCGTCCTCTGGACGGAGTTGATATGGTTCATTATGGGAGGATGCTAGGTTGGCTGCCCTAAGATTGTAATGTATCTTACGCTCAGCTGCAGCCCGTCTCCAATTTTTTTTTTCACTCTCCCCTCTGCCCTGATAGATACGTACGGGGGGTGGGAGTGCTGCCCTCGTGCCCTCGTAGACGCCCCCAGAGAGAGCAGTTCTGCTGTACGATTGGTCTTGGAATCCCGGTTGGATAGCAGCTGTGGTGCTGGAAGAGCTTCCAGGGAAGTGCTTATCGGGCAGGCCCCACAACCAACCGGGGGTTATTTGGAGGTGGGCTTGTAAGACGTGCACAAGCAGACGCAGCAACAAGACGACGCGTGAGGGCCTCTGGCCGGGATGATGATGAGAGAGTGGGTTGAAGGGGGAGGGATGATACCGGAGATAGGAAATGCACGAAGCAGGTAGTGCAATCTAGTGGCTGCGTTTGGATGGCTTGGATGGGGACCTGCGGGCGCAGATCCGAGAGAGTGTGGGAGGGAGATAAGGCTTGCTCGGGCAACAGGCTGTAGGATGGACAGATAAAAAGCAATGCTGCCAGTGGTTCCCGGGGTTGGGGTTGGGGTTGGGAGCAAGCGAGACCAGTCGAGTGGCTTGAGTAATGGGATGCGATGCGATGATACACGCCTTTCAGGTAATGACAGCGGCCAGGATCAGATAAGAGCGTGTAACTGGCGTCATTGGCGAATGAGCTAGCAGTCAGCTGGGTCCGTGCTGTCTGATCTTGTCCTAAAAATCCGCTGGCCTTATCTCTCTGCGTTGGAACTTGGGGGCAAGACGAATCGGATTGGACCAGGAGATAGAAAAGTTGCAACTGCCCACGCGCCCGATTGCCCTTGGTGGTGTTTCCTGCAGATTCTGGGTTTTGATTTCCTTAAAGCGTCTTCAACCCCCGGCGATCGAGAATGCGCCGCCTGTTCACCCCAAATGCGTGGATGGGCGGACGGGACGACTGACCCTAGTCCAGAACAGATGGCGACGACAACGAGCCACGACAGGTGTCAACGACTAGTAGACGGATGGCAGACGGGGGCGGGGAGAAAGAGAAGAGGGAAAGGAGGGAAAGGGGGAGGGAAAGGGGAGAAAGAAGAGGGAAGGAAGGAGATCAGAGGCAAACGGACGGCAACAGGTAAGGTATGGCAAGGCCAGGTGCTTGGGAGGCTCGTTCAACATCGGCCTGGGGTGGGCAGGGAGAATATCACGCTGAGACTAGGCCCATCGGCACGAAGGTAAGGAAGGTAGGGGACGGGGCCTAGGAGGAGCAAAGGCAAGGTAAGCAAGCATGTGCTTCCATTCTGGCGCTGGTTGGGAGTGAATATCTTGTACGTATTGGCAATGGCCAAGCTCTGAATGGGTATCCGTAGTGGGCAGGCAGGTGAACCTTGGACAGATACATAATAGTAAGTTTGGCTGGGCTAATCCAATGGGCTTTCCAGGCAAGCAATTCACAGCAGATGGGCCATGGGTCATGGAGGGGACACAGGCCTCCGGCACAACCCCACCCTCTTGGAGTAGCCTTGGCCCTTGCCCCATTCCGGAGCGCCAGGCCATCCATCGCACTGGAAATGCTGCACTGCGCCTGGAACTGGCCGTGCCCCGCGCTAACCTTGTTCCCTCACTCACTGTGGTAATCGCACACGCGCGCTGGTCCCCTGCGACAGGCTTGGCTTCGCTTGTTCCGAGCACGCCTCTAGCCGATTCATCTTCAGCCCGGCCCGAGCTGATAGAAAAAAAAAAATGTTGCCCTGGCTGCTGTCAACGGTGCTGTGCTGTCTTTTTTTTTCTGCCTTTGTTTACTTGATTTCTTTTTTTTCCCGATGCAACGGACGGTGCTCCGCCCGCCGGCCTTGTGCGACCCTGAAAATTATATTCCAAATTTCGTCACCGCCTGGCCGGGGGTAAAACAATAATAGCAATAATAAATCGAAACGGGACTGGGGCTTCAGTTCCCCATACTCGTCACCGTGGTCGGAGCATCGTCATCGCCTGCCTGGCTGGTCACCGATGAGGCCCAATATGGGGACGACTCGGCCGTCTGGAGACGTCCCCTGCTCGACTCGCCCGAGAAACAAAATTGCGGTGTCGTCTCGAGCGCACTTTGTCCCTGGATCAGGGGACTTGGGCTGGCCTTTCTCCGCCAGGGTCCGATGTCTGCGAGGAATGCGCGGGGAGAACCGGGAGTGGCAGCAGGGGAAAGCGTGCGATGGCCGTCTTATCTTTCGAGGTGAAGAGATAGAAATACATAATGCAAACGGCGAGTGCAGTAGATATAGATATCACAATGGTCTGACACTGGCTGGCGCTGAGCTGCGGCCCAGTAACAATGCCAGCAGCCACTTCCCATTACCAAATCGAAAAGCATGTTGTGCATGGGCTGGCGGTACTTGTAACGTAATGGCGCGCAATGGAGCACAACGAGTCATTTTAGAGGTCTCAACCCTTCTGCCTGCTTTCATCCGAGATGCGGCTAAGCAGACGCACCGGCCAGCTGGCGACCCTTGATCCTCCATTGATTTTAGATCCATGGCGCCTTTCGCGCGTGCCTAGCCCCAAGGCCCTTTGACATGCCGTGGAACTAGGCCTAGAACTGCTGCCTCTAGCCGTTACGTACCTGATCGAGTATCAGCTACGTCACGGAAACTGGAGATGCTGTTCGCAATGGGTGCTTTGGCTCAACTCCAGCTGCCTCTCGTCTCTGCAGTGGCTTCATCCATGCATCCGGTCGTCGCCTTTGCCTCTCTTGGCTTTGACCTTATATTGCTACCTACCTACCCAAGCAAGCAAGCAAGCCAAAAGCAAGGTGGTTGGGCTTCTGCTTCGGCCCGATTTGCGTCCCGAAGCCTCTTTCCTTTCTGGCTGTTCATTCATCCTCAATGACAGAAGCTCCCGTTCTCAGTCGCCCTCTTCTTATACGTAATAATGCAGCACCCGCCTTTGCCTCGCCATTGCTTGGCTTGGCGGCTTGCTTGGGTGGGTGACACAGCCTTAATCTGGTGCTTGTGCATACGACCTTAGCTGACCCCGGCATTCCTCCTGCCCATCGAGTCAGCCATCGTGTCATGATTTCCACCCCTCCATAACATCATGAAAACGGTCGATTTGCGCCGACATCAGCCCAATCTCCACCTCTCACGAGTCTGGCTTGACTCATCCCAGACATCAATTAAGTAATGGCCCGGCAGTCTTGCTTATCGCCCTCACATGCAAGGTACTGCTGGTTGGCGCGGCTCCACCACATCGTCCCCGCCTCGCCCACACAGATGAAATGGGATGTCATCCAATCCAGGGCTCTATCTCACTCCACAATCTTCCCACCCCAAAGACACATGGATTTGGGAGGCGGAGAGGCCCTGCCCCCACGGACCATCTATCCAGCCAATCAGAGAGCACCTAAATGGTTCCTGGATCCGGTAATTCCTGAGCCTCGTCTGCAGCACGAGTCTCACGTTCGTATGTATGTGTCAAGCGTTGTCTAGAATTTCCAATTCTAAATGCACCTCTTGCTTGGCTTTAGATCCTTGCCCGCGCGATCAGCAGGTTAAACTACGAGACAGGCAACTCAAGAGAGCCCGTGCTTCAGCCCTTACACGGCAGCTGCGCCGCTAAAGCTTGTCAGCATATAGGCTTTTTTTTAAGTTATGTTTAACCCGTGTCCGGATAGGAAATCTAGGTGTCTTTACAGCTCTCGCATGAATCGGGCCCCAACCAAACTAAAGAATCATCAGCCCCCAACAAATATCCTCATAGCTTATCAGGCCTCCACACCATACACCTCTCCTCGTACAGTTCCGTGGGATCACTCGAGCCTATGGCGGGCAGCATCATATCCAGCCCCTGCATGATCTCGAAACCGAGCTTCTGGTAAAATGCCACAGCGTCCATGGTGCTCTCCAGCACCACCGCAGTCCCCTCCGCCTCGGCGAGCGACATCACACTACGCAACAGTCGCGAACCGACCCCCCGGGCCGCATATGCCGGACTCGTGCACAGATAGGTAACGTCTATGTGAGTGTCAGATATAGCAAGTATACACATCACCTTTCCACACCTCCTCGATGGCCACCAAGAGTCAATTGTCTTCCGGGGCCCATCTCTTCTGTAAAACTTACGATAGTATGGTTCCGTCCCCATAACCTCCTTCCTCACCCTCGCCGTCAACTCGACGTACGAGTACACATATATCGCCCGGCACGAGTCCGGCAACTCCTCATGCTCCTCCTCACCCTCCGGCTCGCGATGCACCGTCCACTTCACGAACCCCAGCGTCTCGCCCGTCCCCTCCTTGTTAGCAACCAGAACCCCCTGGGACGGGTTCTCAAGGTGGTCAACCGAGTCCTTCGTAAGCCATGCTCGTAGAAAGCCCAAGGCCTCGTCGCTCGGGAACTGCGCGTGCAGCAGGAGATTGCTGCTCATCGCTTGCAGGTGAATCTCGGCAATCTCCCCCGCGCCAGAGGGCGTTGGTGGCGCGATGCTGAATTCCATCTCTTCAAGGCAGCCCAAAGGCAGTTGAGTAAGCGTGTTGCCCAAGCTCAGATGCAAGGGTCCCACTCATTTTACAAAGAGATTTTCTGTCAAGGAACCCGCACCGGGTGTCATGTGACGACGTGCTTAGTTACAGCTTATGAGGGATTCGCTCGCCCATAAATTGCAGTGTTGAAAGAGAACCAAGGGGAACGTGCGGGAGTTTGTCAAATTTTCATAAAGAGTCTTGGTCTTCGATTATTTCATTGTCTGTGGCTATTCAGCGACGCCTTGTAACTCTCCTCTCTCTCTCAGAAATCCCAGCATTTCTATCCACATGCCTGGCTCTATTTCAACTCAGTCCCCTGTCATAAATTATACGGCTAGTTTATCTCAACTTATAGCCAACTCTACCTAAAAGGTCTATCATTCTCCTCTGGGAGCCACTTCAATCCTCTCCCTCACCCTGACCGGCCACCGTGTCGACTGATTGTGAACGGGTAATTCGCCCTCCCCCGTAGGTCGAAGGAAACTAGTACCTTCAACCTCAACTTCGAGGCCAGAAATAGAACCAAGGGAAATTTGTTCGCCGCCTCTCTAGTCGGCCAGCTCAGTTAGCATGTACCACATTCACCTCTCCAGGTTCTGGGTGTTAATCAGAATAGAATCTTACCTTGAGTACAGAAATCTCGAGCGAGGATTGAATCCATTGGACAATACTCGTCGCGGCCATCCAACCCATCCCAGACTCCCCAATCGCTTTACCGAGGGGAATCCCACCATACACCATCCCCTTTTCTGGCTGCGCCATGACGACAAAACTCCCCGCGTGTCTTGGCCCAAGATAAACTTCCAGAGTACATGGCCGATCGATGCCTGCAACATCGAGCTGTACGTGCGCCATAAACCTCGTTGTTGTACTCTTGTTGATCTGGATGAGTGGCTCTGGGTCTGTGGCGTTGGGGCCATAGAGCCGATTGATTATGCCCTGTGCGGCATGCTTCATCTGGGCATCGGACTTTTCCCAGTGCTCCAATCCAAAGTAACAGTAGCCCAAATCTCGTATCCTTGAAACAGAACGGGTTGAGTGGTAATCGTTGTCGGATTTGTAGAACGGCTCTAATGGGGAATCCGGGGTGATTGTCGTCCCGTTGGGCGTCGAGAACCGTGAGCTCCCCGAGTATGGTTCATGGAAAATGCCATGATCGGGGGATATGGCTTGCCAATAAGCCCACAACCGATCGACATTGGCATGATGCAGCATGCTAGACAAGAACACTGGTTAGGAACTTCAGGGCCCAACGTTTGATTGACTGGAAGTATACGTACAACAATGGATCGAAAGCAGAGTAGTCAGTCGCCAAGAATTGGCCTCCACATGCTCCATCCCAGTGTATTCCATTGTGGATTTGCTCTAGACTTATTCCCCGGTCACTTGTCGAGGCGAAATCGGAATAGTTTGCCGCACGCATAAAGCATTCATACTACTATAGTTAGCATATACCAACAGAAATAGATCAAGAACCTAGGCCTAGAGTTATCTATCATACAATCCAACTTCTATAAGGTCGCTTTGAAAGGCCATTGTTTGCGGAGTCTGGATATTTCTCAGGCGATGGGCATCGATAGATCTGGGTACGATTAGAAGGATCAAAATCACTATATTGGCCATCCACCACTTCCGGTGGAAACCGAAACGTAACAAGGGGATTGGGAACTTCGGTCTCTTCGAGAATATCCCCTTTGGGAATGCGAATTCGGATTGTCTCGGGGACCGTTGCCTGTGGAACGCCCAGCCCCAATCCCCAATCCCAATACGGCGATCGGAGATTCTCCGCTGCTTGCATGTATTGGTAACGATATCTATGAGGGTAGTCGCTGGCCAGTCGTTTGGCATGCCCAACTAAAACTTGCTTCTCGGTGTTAGCTTGTCATGTATTGGGATATGCCACAAGAAAAAGATGGTGTAAGCAAAATGGAAGTACCTCGTAGAGTAGCACGAAAGTTCGATGCCAAGGTAAGAATATCTTTTCCTGCTCATGTCAGTGAATTGAAAACAATAAATCAGAAAGACTTGATTCGTAACCTACATTATGGGGACAGTATCCCTGCCATCCATCAGCCTTCTTCTTCCCGCCACTATTCCATTCGATAAATGGCTTGCCATGAATTCCTAAGATCTGTTGTCAGTTAATCTAGCATGATTATTAGTTGCGAATGGAATGATTCTAACCGGATATTTGAAAGTACGAGAACGGGTCAGAGGCAGGTGCGTCATGCATAGCAAGGAGAGAACGAATGAATAAGTCCCTGGAAAGCCGGTCAGCAAAAACTGCATCTACTAAACAAACAAGACACACAGTTGATGATTCCATACCACTGTTCTCCGCCCATTGCTTCCAACTCGTCGATATTCCGCCTCAAAGGCACACCCCCAGCTCGGGGGTCAACCGGTACGCCTGTGATCGGATAGTGGCCATCCGCACCTGCTGCTACAGCGGCCAGAGGCGCGAAGCAGAAAAGGGCGGCCACACGTTGGAGTCTCATGTTGTCTATCTTCTAGGCTGATGCAATTTGACTTCGGCAGGGCTCTTCTCGATATCTGTCTTGGCTGGAGTTCTTGATTTTCCAAAGGTCCTTCTGTGGTAATGCGAGCTCTATGCTGTCCTCGGGCCTTATGTGCCACGCTGTTGAACGAGCAAGCAAGCAGATTTGACTCGAAAAGTTAAGGCTGGGACCGGCGGGAAATATCCAAAGTTATACCGTTGGCACATCCTATAAATCACTGCAGACTTCCCGTGAGATGCGTTGGTGGCGGAGCCCGAGACGGAGGTACTCTTCCCATATCAACTGAGTTATGTCGAGGACGAATGGCTCGCCCTTCTCTCCTTCCTGCATTATCTATGGCGTATGGTGAGATGTTACTAGTGGCAGCAGCAACCTCAGCCATACCATGGCCTATCCCACCACTGCCCCCTCACTCACTCGACCTTGACAAGATGCCAAGTAGCACATGGCGGTCTGAGGAGGACCTAGTCGTGCTGTAACTCCGGAGGTTCCTTCTGCATTATAAATCCATGTGCTATTGTTCCGCGAGCAAGCCTATCCGTTATGCCCGTGGCATGCGGTGGCTCGAAGCCCCCAATGAATACGAGATGATCAACAAATAAGTGTTGGATGGATGGCGTTGTATTGCTTCGTCCCATCGCGGCTGAAATGAGGCTCACCAGACTTGCGAAATATGGCTCTTGAGGCGGTTATCTCGCTAATGATGACAGATGACATCGTCACCTGATAGCAAACAATGCCCTCGATGAAGCTCCGATAGATCTCAAACGCACTGGCGAGGCTGCCGCGTGGGCATTTGTAATTGTGTACAATGTTTGCTCTTCGGTCGGCTCTAATTTTAAAACGCTCCGAGTCCAGGATAATTCAGCGCGGAATAGTTACAGTTGTTCCACATGGCACAACCGTGATGCATATTGCCGCGCGGACGAGAGAGGCCACTGATGACGTGCACTTCTCACACACTTCACCTCCCTACCTTGCATCACTTTGTGACCAAGCCTGATTTCATGCTAATTCATCCATATTAGCGGTGAAAGAGCGCCATGGGATCCATGATCGTTCCAGAGCGATGAGTTGCCAGCTGTGGTAGGGGAAAGCGTGCCATGACCAGTTGTATCACGTCCCACCACCACGCAAAGATGAATCAGAGTGCGTCTATCCAGATTCCGGCATGGCCAAGCCGCTTTAGTTGCCATGTGTCAAAAAACAACCCATTTTAGTATTTATAAGCCATTTCTGGCGGGCACACCAACCCAGATTCGTGGGTGCCGGCATGAAGCCCATCCAGAACTGACCAGACACGAAGACCGGTCATCTCCGACGCAACCTCATGCTGCTCAACCCTGTGCCCTGGCTTTCCAACAGTTGGTCACATACATTCTCGATCTTGACCCCCACTAGGTGGCACAGGCCTTCGTATGGGGACGACTTCCGTTTATGAACAAGCCATGTACGGTCCAGAAAGATTGATGTACCCAGCCAACTGCATGAGTCAAAATATTCAGATTATTGATGTTTTCTATCGCGTCTTGGAAAATGAATTTCTGATCGGATATTTAACAGATTTTTACTCTGGATGAGAAATGCCGCCTTGTATTTTTACAGAAAGTGCTCTGCTTGCTTTCTTCTCCTAGGCTTTCATCACATTCGGGGGGAAAATCTCTCTACAGCAAGTCGCCATACACTTCAGAACTTACTTAGGTAGTTATAGATCAGTAATATCTCGCGGCCTAAAGGCTTGGTTGTCGCCTCTCTTGGTGCCACAACGTTTTCATCATCATAATATGAAATGGACTACTCATTGATACTCAAGTATATATGCACCCTAAAAAACGCAATGACTAGCCAAGGTCTATGCGGATAATTAACTCTACCCTCATTTTCTTTCCACTCTCCTGATATAGTATATATCTCGCCATTTTGTCTACAAAAATCCCTTCGAATAGCGGCCAGCGTTGACCTGCCACACCACTTCGTGGGTTAGACGTGTGCCACAAAGCCCTGCGCTTCTATCAATGAGCTTGGGTGGTTCGCGTCTCCTCACCTCCCAAAGCATAATAGTGCTGTTGGCAGAGACGTCCGGAAATAGGCCTCCAGCGCCACCAGTGTAACCTAACATCAGCCTACAGCGACTTTTCCAATGACATCAAGCCACGGAACCCGTCCTTCCATTTCTGCGCCTGATCTGCAGTCGGTTTTGGAAGGGGGCTCCGTGCGTAACCACCGTACCCCATCCAGCCTTGCAGGCCGGCCTTGACTCCTAGAACACCGCCTTGAATTGCTGTCCAATCCCCATCGGACAGAACTTCTTGCATATTCTGTGCTTCGCTGAGGTTTTTGCTCTGGTAGCATTCAAAAGCCCTTACGCATGCTTTGGGAGCGATGTTGGCGAGCCCGGCGAGAATGCCGTGCCCACCACCAGACATGGACTGCACTAAGAAGTCTGCCGATCCAGCAAGAACAAGGAAATCGGGGTGTGAGGGGTCATAGGTCTTAGAAAGACGCCGAGTGGCAGCTGCCACTCGGTTCAGCTTCCCAGTATTGCCACACGTCAGCTTCACACCAGCAATATTAGGGTGCTTAGCCAACTCGACGATCACGTCAGAAGTCAGATCCAAACCACCCGCAGCCCCGGGAAAGTTATAGATGATAATAGGAATCGGGGAGATATCGGCCACCTTTTCGAAAAAATCCACAATGGTCCGTAACCCAGGGGAGAAAAGGGTAGCATAGTACGAGGGAGGGAGGACCAGGGCATAGTCACCTCCAGACTCATATGCTTCTCTGCAGAACTCAATTGTCTCACGGGTACTCTGGCTTCCACAGCCCACGATGAGAGGCATATGGGCGAAGCCATTTCCATCCAGTGCCCGCCTGGTAGTGGCGGTGACCAACTGTCTTTCTGCGTGTGTCAAGTGCACAGCCTCTCCATTTGAGCCTTGAGTGGCTAATCCAGTAACACCAGCTCGAGCTAGTCGTACTGCATGTTGTGTAATAGTATCGGTATCAATCTCCTCCGACTCTGGCTTGAAAAAGCACATCGTAGGGACATATACCCCTGGGATAAGAAGGCGGGCAGATGATGGCCTGGACTCCAGTGACAAACTTTCACAGTCACTGCTCAGTGGGGTATCAGAGCCGCTCTCAGCCTCATGTGCAATCCTTAAGTTTGATGGCCTATCAAAGCCCCGAAAGGGTGTGGTGGTGGCATAGCCGCCGGAGAAGGGGGAGGCAGAGTCGCAGTGTGGAGACATGGGAACAAGTAGAGTTGTAAGTTCGCTCAAATCTCTTGAGATAGAATGATAGAGCCCTTGCAAATAGATATCTAGGCCGAGGGGAAGGTGAGAAATGAAGCCAGGAAGTGGATGAGCTGTGATCTTTGCTTGGGATGAGGCAATGACCAAGAATCGAGGGCATTTTCCAGGGACATACGGGGTTTATATAGAAGTTGATGATAGTCGAAGACGAGAGCTTGAGCTGAAATCGTTATACGCCAGCTGGGGGCCCATTGAGTTCAAGGGCATACGCCTGATGACCCTCTATCCCAACTCCCCTCCTTTTCTTCCGCTGGATATGAATTATCCTGTCCATGCCTAGGGGTGGCGTTGAAACTAGCAGGCCTTCTGACCATGTCTGTCCAGGTAGTCCCTCGGTACCGACCACTGGAGTGGATATGGTTGGTATTGGAGGACGATGGGCCAGTCAACCAGCCGAGAGGCTGAGCATCATGGGCTCTGTGCCTCCAGGGGCCCACAAAGCAAGATGCCAAAGGCATTCTCAACACAGTGCGCGAGGTCCGGGCCATGTATTGTCTCCCAACTATGGAGGACGATCGTAGTCCCTCTTGGAGCTGATGTGCCGGGGTAGGGAGCTGCCATGGAAATGGGTCTATCAACTGGGCACACACCACACCACACCACACATCATCACCCCTCCCTTGCACCCCGCCATTTCTGGGTTTGACAGCGAGGGGCATCAGAGTTGAGGCAGGGAACTTGTAATGCGACCCCCACGGATGCTAAGTCGGCCCAATTTGGATACAGGTACTTGAGCTGACCCAACACTGGGGTTTTCGGATTTTTGCTACCCGAACCAAGACGCGCGCGCTAACAACGCATGGAATTTCTTCATTGCTCTAGGAAAACGAGATCTACAGTGTCTCTTGTAACAGGACCGCTGTGAGTTTGGTTGCTTCGAAGAGCACCAACCCGGATGGAAACCTTGAGAATTAAACCCAATGGCATGCGATAGTGCTCCTTGGCAGCCGATCTATCTATATAGAACTGTAAGATGCGATATCATGACATCCAAGGTCAGAGAATGAAAACATTTGACCTTTCGACAGGCTTATGGTCGATAGTCGACGGTCATTGTGCTCTAGACTGCAACTCACGGCGGGGCCCGCGCGATAGGGAGCTCGGGGAACAGAGTCGGTAACGTCCAATGCAGGCAGCAAATCCGATGTCGGATTGTTTTCAACCTAGTACGGGCGTCATGCGAGATGGCAGGTGATCGCGTAGAGCAAGGGAGTAAACGGTAAGCCCTAGAAACTGGTGCCAATGATAGGATTTCGGCCGCTCCTAGTGATGTGTAATTGACAGGAACGTGACGATTGTCCCATAACTGTGTCTTGAATGCATTGGGAATCAGGCATTCATGGTTGGTGGATCCATGCTTGATGCAGGGTGACAAGTTTGCTCATGAAGGCAGTGCCGGGATACGCCTCCTCCTAGTCCTTTTGTTCGGCACACATTGAATTGCAATAGAAAAGGTGTGGTGGTGTCAATCGGCAAATACCAGACCCAACATGCAGGTCGCGCTCCCAGGGGTAGGACACTCGCCACGACTTTGGCGAGGCGACCCCAGTCCAATTCGTCATATGTCTACCTTGTGATTTCCAGCTCGGCTAATAAATTCCTCTTGGGATATTTATGAGCACACCGGTTGGCCTACGAAGTGTCATCGCCAGACGGTGGAATTTCAATGGTTTCCTATATGTCCTCGTTCCTTTATACGCAAGGTATCGCGTGATGTTGTCTATTACGCCCGCCAACTGTCAGCTGGGTCCAACAACGGATCGATTGTCTTCGTGGCATGTCGAGATCCCCCGCAATCTGGGGAAACCTCCACGATATCAAGTCCGCTTCGTAAAAGGAGCCTAGTAAGGTGGGTTTTGGAGGTGATCAATACTGTAGGTGTGCCCAGAACTCCACATGAAAGCGAAGACTAATTTTGTGTTGAAGAAATCAAAACTAATATGGAAACAGGTTTGGCCCCGCTAGTTGAGAATTATGGAGGAGAGTGGAGTGTGTGTTTTTCCTAGCCTCAGCCAGTCGGGCAGGCACACATCACGGGCAGGCCGCACCATGCTTTCTACAGCCACAACACCGGCGTCGTGACAGTTTTCAAACTGCAGCTCTCAATCGATTATTCCTCTTCGTCCCTTAGGCGTGGCGCCGGCTTGCGACCAGCTTCAATGAGCTGAGGATTCCTGAAATGAGACGTATGCTCTCTCTGTATCCTGGCGGAACATTAGAGGCATGATCGTCAGATCGCCACTGGGATTTGTTGTCACAAAATGACGGATGAGCTGACAACACATGCAAATGCCTCGACAAATTGGCTCTCAGGCCTCCCACAGCTTTAGGTGCCAACATGCCATCCCATCCCAAGAAGTGATCAAGTGACGCACCTTCAAGGTACGAGGTAAGGGAGGTGCCTGCTATACGTACTAGGTAGTACTTGCCTCGGAAGACCTGGAGACATGCGGGTGGACCTTACCTTCCATTTATTCAAGAGTGGCAGCTGGGCACCTGCCCTGAACCATCCAGGAAAGAGCCTTCCGGATGCTTTTATGCCGGCACCTTAGCGTTGGGAGCACAAGCCACCACACTGATAGGCGCACAAGTCGGCAGGTCCGTTCCAATGGATGCCTGTCCCCATGCTGCATCGAACAATTCCAGTTGCTCGCTTCTTGCAGATCACCTTCCAAGCCAATTCTCAACCGGCTATGCAGACGCAAAGCAAGCGAATGATTCAGCGGCCATTGCTACAATTCGCTCATGATGAAATCACCCACAGGTCAGGTAACCCCGTGGGACCGGCTCGATGATTAAACAGCAGATTCTGGTAGCCATACCCGTACCCGGTGAACCCGGCCGAAATCCGACGACGTGAGACTCGGGCGTGGGGATAGTCTCCAACATTTGCCGTCAGACCAGAGCTCGCCCATGACCTCCTCGCCAGCTTCACAGACGCTTCGCTTGCGAACAGAAGCCAACCCCACCAAGCAGTTTACAGCAGGGGTGCACTTCACCGGTTTCCCACTTTTATTCTACCCTCAACCTATGGAGAAGCATCTGAAGAAGTATCCCCTCATGGGACCTTAGCGTCCTCAACTCGAACGATGGCTGCTGACTTTGGAGTACCGCTTGGCTTTCATCACAATTAGGTCCTGCCGTATGATTCCACTACCCGTCGAAGTGAGGCCACCAGTCTCAAGGCAGTTCCAACAATCTGCATGTCCTTGACATGACAATGTTTTCTCTCAGCCTCTTTAGTTGGTATCAAACACACTGAGATCTCGTAAGGTGTTACCAAGAGTCCAGTCTCCACAAAACCTGTAGAGCTGGAACCGTGAATCTATCCAGGTTCCAAAATTCGACTGAGAAGAGGGGCGTCGTTCTGACTCCAGTCTTACATCTCGATATGATGTAGCATACATCCGGTCTCCAGACGAGGCTTGTGTTAAAGACTCGGTTCTTGCCACCCTTTTCGGACTATCTTACAGCTCAATTCGATGGAGAAAGTCTCTGATAGTTGGGACAAAAAATATCTCGTATCTGCACTTTCAAGGGTTTGATATCCTAGATGCTTCCATATCCATATTGAGTCAAAACGGGTTTGGCTGAAGTTGCCCGCAAGGTGTTGTTCTATGGCCCGTACCCTTGCATGACTACCCACAACAGCTACAACTTCTCTCGATTCTGTAAGCTGACGACTTCTTCAGCTTCATCGGCATACCGACGAGCAAACGTTCTCTCATGGGGCAGCACAGTGATCCAACACGGTGAAAGAAAATTGCCCCAACGTTGCATTTCAGGATTCCCCTCACGCAGAATGACTCCACGCGAGCGAATGTATGTTAGTCTCCTACACCCCAAAAGCCCATCGAGCTCTTCGACTTCAGCCAACACGCACTTACACCACCTTGGTCTGCCCGACGCCCTTTTCGGTTATGATGGCGCATGTATAGTCTTAATAGAGGCTGGGCTATTCTTGGCAACTGAAAGTGTCAGCTGGCCCTCATCAAGCTTGATGTCCGGCAAGCTGCTCCACTTTGGGCTTAACGATCAGTATTTTTACCCAGAATATTACTTCTTGGGGGCCTTCGTTCCTCTGTTTAGGTCCAGTATCTGGTTTGCGTTAGTCACGTATTTGGAGCTAAAAGCCGCGATGTTACCTCGGCCAGACACTCAGCTGTTCTCGTGGATCCATACCGTTGAAGAATGCTGTGCATTGTACGATCTACAGAAGTGCCCGTTGTACTCTTCAGTTTTATGGCCAGCCTCGTCGCCTATGGTACGTCGATCTGGGCGGCTCTGGTCCAGGAGGGGGGTCTATAAGCGCTGCTGCCGGACCAGACAAGGACCAGGTCTGTCTTTGTTTCTGCCCTGCGCGAGATGGCCGTAGCCAAGCTCGAGTAAAATGCAATGAATTTCAGGACCCTTGCGTCTACAAGGCCCTTGCCCTATCATAGTGGCTGCAGTCCTGTAATGCAACCATGACGCACTTTAGTTTGGCGCAATATTGTAGCGGGCTACCACCATTACTTATGCAGGGTTTGCTATTCGCAGGCTTGGTGGTGTACTATTAGCCGCGGATATACATTCGGAGTTGTGGAGGGGGGGCGTGGGCTGGAAGGCTGGCTAAAATCAAAGGAGCCATATCGAACTGGGGCTGGAGTGCTGAGAAGGATGATACTATTGTCTGATCGAGGCAGTACGACTTCAAACCCTTAGCCGGATGATTGAGAAGACATCATATGAAACCTTACCTAGTAGAAGAGTAGTGTAATACTCTCATCATCAGCTTGATATACGAACAGTGTCATCATAGATAGAACGATCAAATAGTCAAAAAGGAGAGAAAAACGTAGGGCTCTAAAGCTAGAGAACTGATATGCTAAAACTCCGGCTGACAACATTAAATCCGTGTCCTGATGCTCCCATGCTAATTTTATTTCGTCATTTTATAATGATCAATTCATCATCGTCGTCGTCATCGAGTGTGATTTGTCTCTCTGACAAATTCCCTATACTTTCCCGCCCAGCTAGGCGAATTCCCTTCTCGGTCACAAATCGAGTCTGCTTCTCAACCAAGTTTTGCCCCTCGGCCTGGTTCCGAAGTTTCTCACCATCCTTCATCCTTGCCAGCTTCTCTTTCAGACCGGCACCCCAACCAAATGAGGCAGACGAGCTGCCCACGGATCCTGCCTGGGAGCTGGCCGGCCGCTTTCTCTTGATGGAGCTGAGGTGAATCTCGCGGTCCCTATTGTGCAGACCGAGAGACTCAAGAGCTGTCTGGGTCTGTTCGCTGGCACTGGGGGCCGTTCTCGCGTGGGCTGACGACGATGCTGGAGAGACTCTCGCTCCTGGTGTTCTTTTCGCAGAGAGCTGCATGTACTCCTTGCCAGCACCGCCTCCGATGCGGCCCAATTTCTTCATCATGTCACGCTCCCTTTCCTTGGCTGCCAGGCTTCGCTGTAGCTGTGCCTCCTTTTCTTTCCGATCTATCGCTTGATCTTTCCCGTCAATGAGATCGGCGGAGCTCATTGACCGACTGATAAACCACCGTGTCTTGGTCTCCCAATCGTAGTTGCCGGGAACCTGCTTCGTCTGACTCGCGTTTGGAGGATATCTAGGGAGTTTCTTCTTCTCGCCAGAGCCGAACCCACTCCCAGTGCTCATTTCTATCCTCGATGTTTTGGATTTCTGCACCGCTTCATTAGTGTGAAACTCGCAGAAGTGTGTTCGCTTCTTGTTGACCCATGCTCCGCAAGGCTTTCCATCCTTTTTCACTGTCTGGCAGTAGCCCAAATCTCTGGATATTCCAATTTCGAGGATGGTGTCCTGGTCAGAATTGATCACCAGGCTAAACCGTCCGGTATCTTGTCTTCCGGGGGGCGGGGGCATAATGTTAGGGTTGAGGATGCTAACCACAGTACCCTCAGTTATCTTCCAGAACCTAGCAAAGCCGGAGTTGAAAAGGAACAAATCAACTTCGTAATCAAGGTCGACAATGTTGATAACCATGTAGCTCCCCCGGTCCTCAGGTTTCAAGCCGTTTTTCGCGGGAGCTGCTTTGTGTGCTCTCGGTTCCGACTTCTTAGCCACTATGCCAAAAACGACTATGTCCTGCTCAACATCAGGGAGAGAAAAGTCCGGTGCCTTAACATTTCTCAGTAAGTCCTTTACGCTCATGACCTTTTTCCCAGATATGTGCCGCGCAAGTACAGTGTGTGGGAGGATTCGTCGTGAGAGGTGATATCCAGAGAAAGCTTCGAATGATGCCGGTTCACTTTCTGAATTGTTCGATGACATGTCCTTTGAGTGTGAAAGTCTTCTATCCTTTCTCGTTTCCGAAATGACCCCCGTCGTTGTATTGCTTCGTTTGAGACCGCCCGAGGCACTCCATTTATTCGACAACACCTCATCTCTACTAAAAGAAGGAGCTTTCATAGGTTCATCAGGAATATCAATAGCAGAGCTCTTGAACTTCTCCATCTCTTCCCTTCCGATGCCAAAAGACTCGCTGCGAGATGTTTGAACTTGTTGTCTCCGTTCGGCATTTTGGACTTCCTGTGACCTCGCCCCGGCCATTCTTTCGCTGAAGCTCAATGGCCGTGCGGGCATTGAGAATGATCCGCCAGAGACACTTGATGATCTCGAGGTGCGTAGATAGCCATCTGACTGACCCATCTCATTACCGATTTTCTGCCTCTTGAAGACTGGAGCCCTTTTGAGTGACACATCACGAGCTTTCAGCCCTTTATCGATGCCCAGCTGAACCCGTCTCGGTGATGTTTGGACTGGAGGTTCTTGACGCCTCCTTATTGGTGATACCGGCACTAAAACCTCATTCTGGGGCGTTGGGTGAATGGACCCTCCGAATACCATGGGTCCAGCTGGGCTCTGTCGATGCTCCCCTAGGAAACCTGAACGTAGGTCTTGGGTCATTTGTTGTGTAGCAGCTACGCCAGATGCTCTTGCCCTGGCATTCTGCAGTTTCTTCAGCTTCAGCTTGGCTTGCAGTTCCTGAAGTTTCAGCTGCAGCGTCTCCTCATCGTCGTCGTCGTCGATATCCATGGCATCTCCTCCAGGAGAGGGCGATACGGCTCTTTGGGGATTTCTTGACGGAGAGGATGGAGATGTTTCGCTAATCATTTTCTGGTACCGGCTTCGGCCGCCGGGTGTGCTCAGCAAGGCATCGCGCGGGGATCGAGGAGGCCACTGCACTTCCGGTGCTCGTCCTAGAAGTTTGGTGGCTCAAATCAGCTTCCATCATCTCCATCTGCTTGGCCTTGAATTTCTACCTACCAGGTGGCATTTTAGCTGACGTTCATGCGAAATGAGGATATTGTTCGAAAATTTATTCAGGTTTGCCAGTGGCCAGAGCCCACCTTAGACCTGATGATCAGGAATAGCCAAGGCGTCCCAGGCGAGCCAGCTCGCCTCGTTTGAATAATAAAGCTGAGTATCGGAGTCGGATATATTCTGTCGCAAAAGATACAGCACTAGTACGTATCGATTTTCAGAAATACCTAAAATGATGATGCCTTGCTTGAATTGCTACCCAGCTGCAATAGTAATTGTGGGCTTCTTCTGCACGAAGCCTATTGGACAGGATAAAGTGATAGTGCTATTGACCGCTCAACGCGTCAACCTTAGCGCGTCTTGCCTCTAACGCGCTACCAGTAATTATTAAAGTTACCGCAACGACTTGGCGCAACTACGCATCTCGCTCTGGCATGAGAAAGAGAAATTCATTCGTTTGATCTGATTTGTACTTTTTGGTCTTCATTTCTAATTTTGGTCTTTTTGATAACCGTTGGAGTATTTTCTTGCTCACCTATTCAGGCCTCATCAGCTCAATTGGTTAAAGAAGCTCATAGTATTTAATTATCTTCAACTACGCCCAGACAGCATGGCTCGAACAAGATCAACAAAGAACGATTCGGCGGAAACGAAAGGGGAAGCAAGTTCGAAATCGTCTGCTCCGAAGTATACTCTCGGGGCTAAAAGGGAGAAGCCTCCCACAGTATTCATTCTGCCCAAGAAGGCAACACAGGATGCTCGGATCGTAAACCTCCCCAACCCTCGAAATGCGAAACCCTCTCGATATCTAGTATGCCCTACGACTGGTATATACGAATTTACGAAGATTTCGGCACCCAAATCCATGCCACGAAGCTGGCTCATCGAGAGCAATGATGTCGCGGACGCCTCAGATACGAGCAAGACCAACAACTCACATGGACAGGTTGCCTCCAGTGCCGACCTCTATGTTGCTACAACTATCGACCCTCTCTTCTTCGTGCTGCCTGCGTTGGTTCACGCCGATTCTTCTCGAAAGGCTGAGGAGAGACGGCGATTGTTTATGACCATCTACGATCATTTAGACAAACTCGAAACTGAAGAATCTCACATGTCTGAGATTCTCCGATGGGAGGGGACGCGATCTCTCCTGGAATCCCGAATGGCGGCAGTCTGCGATACCACTGACGGGGGTAGCGACACAATGTTTCGGCTCAATGAAACGAAGCTCTTTGCTGTGATACTGAGCAAAGCCCGAAACATGTGTCAAGGTGGCCTTGCGCCAAGCATGGAGGAGAAGTTTGTCACCAAAGCATTGGAGGCACCAGTGCAGGTGTCAAGTCAGAGATCGTCCGACTCAAATCAGGCAAAATCCAGTACAGAGAAAGGACTCGGATCTGGAGAATCAACCCCCCAGACCGAGTCGGCAGACTCGCAGTCTACCACGGCCACTTCTCAGTCTGACCTATCGGCAGATTCGCAAGCCTCAACAGCAGCAACGTCTGTAGAAGACGACGGCGATGGCGTAAGCGCAGTCAAGGTTTCTGATGACATTGTTGATTTACAGAGACTCCGGACCGCCTTTAGTTTCATCTCCTCGCGTTACCTCACAACCAGCCTAGCGACCCAACTTTCGAGTTCCTTGGCAGATCAGACTACTAGCGGAATCGATTTCGCACCATTAGACGCATACTATACAGAACTCGCCAAATTGCGCGCAGAAGCTGCTGCATCCAGAGCTATAGGTGATTACACCAAGAAGCGCGGATTTGATGCGGAGGAGGAGGAAGCCAGAGCCGAAAAGAAGCGTAAGCTTGAGGAGGAAAAGAAGAAGAAGGCAAGTGAAAGCCGCGCTACGAAAGAGCTCAAGAAGGTCAACACGGCCGGGATGATGAAACTCAGCGCATTCTTCAAGAAGAAATAGGTCAGGGGTTTGGAATGATGAATGCGAGGAATTGGGTATCGAAAAAGGAAGAAAATCTACATGTCGCAGACGTGGCCCAAGTTATTAACCTATCTCACGCCTCTTGAGCGACCTCTATTCGTGCCGAACCCCCTGCCTATATTTGAGGTACCACGGCTGCTGGAGCTTGCTCCCGCAGCCGTCGAAGAGCTTGAGGCTCCTCTCCCGATAGAACTAGCCCTCGTCCTACCTCGAACGGACCCACGACTACCAGCAATACCTCGCGATCCTCGGGTCGAGGTTGCTGTACCTAATCTCCTTTTCTCCTCTTCTTCTTCGCGGCGACGGCGCAGCTCTTGCTTTCGTTCCTCTTCTTCAGCAGCCTTTCTTATCTCGGCTTGCTGCTTGCGGAGCGCCTCTGCCTCCTGTTCCGCCAGATCTTCGGTAGCGCCCTTCCAACTTGGATGCAGGATTAATCGTTGATTGTGCTCTGTCTGTGACAGCATTCTGGTCCATGTGTTGAGCAGGGTAGATGCATTCGCCACGGTCTGGGATACGGTCTGCGGTAGGGCAAGTTAGCATCGGGAATGCACGAGGACGGCAAATGCAGCGTACATTCATGTTCCCTCCTGCGCGTTCCAAAGTCGCAATGACACCCTCCAGCGATTCATTTATACTGCGGACTCCTTCGAGTTCCTTGCGGAGAGCAGCATCGCGGTCAACTGGTTCTGCCCGTCGTTCGGAATGGACCGTCGGGGTTTTGGGCGTCTTGGGCGTTTTGGGTGTCTTGGGACGTTCGGCTAGCGGTGCATTATGGTTTGGAGAGGTCCAGATGTCCGATTCTGTATACTGGGATTCGTCCGCCATTGGATATAACTTTTGACCGAGGAACAGTTCCCTCAATACTGCCAGTGTATTATTATTATTCGTATCCGGGGCAATTAGACGCTGTGCATAGTGGATAGGCAGCGATGCAAGCAGGGTGTCGTCGGATAGGCTTGGAAATGGTGGGGTGACGTCGCTTTGTTTGATGTTTTCCGCCGCATAAAGAATGTATTGCAAAACAACAAAGCCACTCTAACGGTGAACTGAGGGGCATTGTACCCTGTAGCTCTAGCGTCGGCACTTTAGAGACGCGTGGTACCTTTGGACGCGAAACTCACGCGCGCATGTGGGGCGCGTAAAGCAGGTCGTGTGGAGGAGGCTGGATTCTGGCCAGCACACGCGAGTGGGCCGACTCCCCGACACCTGTTACCAGCCCCCTCCCTTCAGTTCGTTCCCTTGGATTCAAACGACAATGTCCAGCCCGGCCAACTCCCTACCCTTTACCTCCCATTTCCAAACAACTCAACATTGCATGCTCAGCAACCAAACCATCTATTGACTTGCAATTATACACTATTCAATCGTTATCAGATTGCTGAATTCTTTTTATTTTCTACCCTGCACTCAAAAAATTTAGCGGACGCACTAATATTGATTGATTTTGGTTGTTTCTACACATCTGTTGGTCTGGCTTAAGCGGTGCACAGAGTTCTTCCGCAACGACACGGCACCTAGCAACACCAGGACACACAAGGACTCGCTTGCTCTTCGGGACCTCCTCACCTTTCTCTCAGATTCACCATTCTGCCGGTGCAAATCTCACCATGGCGACCACACCGTCACCTGCGGCTGATCTCCCGCAAACACCTCCTGCTCCTCGTCACGGCGCTTATTATGACAGCTGGGAACCCTACTCACCTCGCAAATCTGCCAGAATCTCAGAGCGCAACACCAACAGGACCCCTTCTCCCCGAGCTTCACGTCACCCATCGTCGCCGCGCAAGAACAGTGCCGACCAAGAGTCCCCTGAAATGTCACCCAGGAAGAAGCGCCAACCTGCCGCTGATTCTGTGCGCCGAGCATCTGGTCCTTTGACTGCAGAGGGAACTGCCAAAGCAGCTGCCGCCTTGGGTCTAAAGGCCAAGTCAGAGCCTTCAACATCAAAGGCAACTGCCTCATCTTCCGCAAGCATGCTTCTCACTCCAACCAAGACACCTCGGAAGCCCGTTGCCACTAGCCAAGCAGATATCGACACCTTCAAGCGCAACCTCTTTGGCTCCGAAGACGACTCGGCGCTCAGCAGCCGCACGAGGCGACCCAAGAAGTACTCGGGTTTGACCATGGAAAGCTTTACGGCTGAGACGATTGAGGAACCCATTGCCATCTTCACCGACTCACAAGATCGAGTGCCTGTGAAGGATGACAGCCTCTCGAACCCCTTCTACGGTGATTCCGCACCCACAACGGAGCCAGCTAGGCGTCGCAACAAACAAAAGATGGTCAGAGTTCCAGGCGTTGGGATGCAAACTCTCGAGGAAGCAGCTCGCCGTGACGACGGAATGCTTTGTTCATTGTAAGTGATCTGCACCTATACTCAATCCGCATTCACGGGCCAAAGCTAACATATTCTCAGCCGTGGAAAAACTTTCTTCAGACCCTACTCTCAAGTCAATGATGACGACGAAGAGGAAGCTGACTCCACTACATCCGCCCATCTTACTCGCCCACTAAGCCGATCTGCTATCAAGCCTCGCCGGTTGTTCCAGTCAGAGAAGCCGGCACCATCTATAGAGGACGAAGAGGCCGCAACAGACGTAGAGGACTTGCACGAAGGGGAATTAGTTGCCCCAGCAACACCCTCCAGGGTCGAGACCGGGCGCGAGAAGACTCCAGAAGCACCAAAATTCGGACCCGTATCGCCTCCGGCTACCAAACGGACAACTCGCTCGATGAATAAGCTTGCCGATGACACTCCAATCAAGGCCAGCAGGCAAAGTCCATTTGAATCATGGCGGATTGCTAAGAAGAATGTCAAAGCACCACGTACAGTGAAACGCCAGGGAGATGACCTTTCCCAAGAGCAGCAGACGAAGCGAGCCCGCGCTTGAGGCATCGGTGTACTACGGATAATGACGAATGGGAAATTGGATGTGTGGTTCTTTTAGGATTCCCTCTGGAATACATGGGTCCTTGTTTATTTGCCTTTTTGGCTTATCTTCTTCTGCGTCACTCTTGAAAGTTGACAGTTATTACTTTTTTGAGTCCAGGCTTTTCACCCCTTCGTTGTATTTACAGGATGTTGCAGGATTTTGTGCTTGGCGTTGGGACGGGAAGGAACAGGTTGCTTTGTTTGCGCCCAGATGAGCGCTTCCATAGGGTAAATAGATAGTGTCAAAGTCATATCACGACTTACTTTTTCAGGCAATAATAAAGTTTTCGCATTGTTTTGAATTGTGCTGCCCCCTTCGCTCCTTCGCTTCCGCTGCGCAGATGATTGATATTGCTTTCAAAGAGAGCGGCACATATCGGGTTCCAACTTTTTGGTGCCCCACGTTGCCCCTCCTTGGCTCAACATCTTTCTTGATCACGTCAACCACACATTGCCCATCCTCCAGGCCTACATGCTGCTTGGCGTTCGAAAATACCAGCTCGGGAGGAATTCGCTCAGAAGGATCTCGGAGTTCGGTTCTGGGTCTTTTAGCTGCTCTGGCTTATGACATCTACCTCTAAACGCCATCCACAACTCTGTTTACCATGCATATTCTTGTCACCAACGACGATGGTCCTCCATCGCCAGATTCCTCGCCATATGTTCGCTGTCTTATAAAGCAACTCCAGGATGCAGGCCACACTGTCTCGGTTTGCCTACCACACACCCAGCGATCTTGGATTGGAAAAGCCCACATGATTGGCCAGACTCTCAAGCCAACCTACTACCGTCCTTCAAAAGAGCTGCACGGCGAGGAAGCTCTGGGAAGCACTCATCCTCGCCCATCCGCCTCTGGGGATGTTGAAGAGTGGGTTCTGATTGACGGCACGCCTGCATCGTGTGTTCAGATTGGGCTTCACCACTTCTTCCAAGACCGGGGGCCAATCGATCTGGTCGTGAGCGGTCCCAACTATGGCAGGAACACAACTGCTGTATTTGCGCTGAGCTCGGGAACTATGGGCGCTGCCCTCGAGGCTGCTGTTTGCCGACACAAGGCCATTGCTCTCAGTTTTGCCTTCTTCAGCCGAAACCATGATCCCGTCATCATCGAAGCGGCGTGCCGCCGGAGTGTAAAGGTCGTCGAGGCTCTATACAAGCAGTGGCCCGCCGACAACAGCGCGGATCTTTACAGCGTAAATGTGCCTCTGATTGAGGGTGTTGAGAGCAACAAGGTGTTATTTACCGATATTCTGCAGAATTACTGGCAAGGCGGGGGGTGCTTCCAGGAAATTGAAGCCGACGCTTGTGATGAAAATGAGGAGGAGAAGCAGATCCGAGAGGGATCGTTAGGAGAGGTTACCGGCGAAGAACTTCCCTCTTCCGCGAAGAAAGGTCATAGCCATAAACATTTCAAGTGGGCACCCAAATTTGCCGGTGTCTACAAGAGCGTTGAGGAGGCTCCCCCTGGAAATGATGGCTGGGCTGTCAAAGAAGGGTATACAAGGTAAGTCTCCTACTCCGTTACGGGTGTAAAGCACACGGTTTCTAACTTTGTCAAAGTGTTACTCCAATGAAAGCCAACTTTGCCTTCACCCAGGCCGCTTCAGGGCAGAAGGAACTTCAGTTGTAAGTATTCTTAGCATGTTTTGTTTGGTGGCATATGCTTTTCGGGCGGATTTTCCTGCGAGCGGTTTGCCATTAGGTTATTGAGCCATCCATAGACCAAATTCTCACTCTATAAACATAGGCAACAAACAATGGCAGTGCAAACTTTGCCAATCAGAGTGAAAGAACCTCGGCACAGCGAGCAGGGCCAGACTTTCCAGGCCATCGTGTCATATGAAGATCCCTATGTACAGCCTTTGATTCTTGCTGCTCTGGCTTCAGTGTTTCCCAAAGGTCTAGTTGATGTGATTGTAAACGTGCCCAACTCGCAAGATGCAAGCTGGCTCGACCAACTACTTGCGAGACCCGACGCAAGGGCCCTATCCATCACCTCCTACGAGCAGATCGACTTCGAGTTTGCAGCGTCGCATCCCCGGTCATGTCTAATCAACAGTTACATGATTCGGAAGGCCTTGATACGGAAGCATTACCTTTCTACGACAGTAGACCACTGGATTGCGAAGCGCCCTGAATCGGTTCTAAAGAAGCACGTCAAACGAAGCGAGGCCTTCGAGGTGGATTTCGCCGAGTTCTTGGACGATGCTCTAATAGAGGCCTTTGATCTTCGGGAAAGCCTCGATCAAAACGAGTCACTCGAAGAGGCCAGTCAGAGACAATGGTGGATCCTCAAACCTGGCATGAGTGACCGGGGGCAGGGCATACGCCTCTTCAGCACTATGGAGGAACTTCAGGCCATCTTTGACGAGTGGGAAGAGGGGGAGCCGGACAGCGATGATGAGGGCGGTGGGGGAGAGGAGGGCACCGGCGACGGTATCACGACATCCCATCTTCGTCACTTCGTGGCGCAGCCATACATCCACCCACCACTTCTGGTGGACGGGGACGACCGGAAATTCCACATCCGAACGTACGTTGCCTGCAGCGGTAGCCTCAACGTATTCGTCTACAGGCACATGCTGGCCCTCTTCGCGGCGAAGCCCTACAGCAGCCCGTGGGACAGCCCGGGTGACATCGAGTCGTTCCTGACCAACACCTGCATACAGTCGTCGCCCAACGAGAACACTGTGCGGCGCTTCTGGGACTTGCCACTGCCCCCCGCGAAGCTGGACTCCATCTTCTCCGACATTTGCGCGGTGACGGGTGAGATCTTCGAGGGCGCAGCACGCGCTATGCCGATTCATTTTCAGACCCTGCCCAACGCATTTGAGGTATACGGGTTGGACTTCTTGGTGGATGCAGAGGGCACTCCGTGGTTGCTCGAGGTCAACGCGTTCCCCGACTTTAAGCAGACGGGGGCAGATTTACAGGAGATTGTCCGGGGATTCTGGGAGGGGGTGTTGAGGTCTGCTGTTGCCCCCTTTTTCAACGTTGAGTCCGAGGTGTTGGGGGGCAATACAGTTGATAGTGAGATGGTCATGGTGAGGAAGGTTGAACTTGGGAGGGGTTGATTCAGCTACAGTCGTTTATCTTGGCATATGTCTTGGTTGGATCAAAATGCGTAGTAAACAGCCATATGGAGCCTGTTCACTTTTAGAGATACCAGCTGATAGTTGAAGACATTCACATTAACCTAGCGACAAGAGAATGAACCCGAACGAGAAGACGGTTAGATTTCGGGCACGCATGAATCTATCGAGATAATACCAGAAGCAATATTCAGCACATACGAAGCAACGCATATACACAGTGCTCCAATACGCGGTGAGTGTAGGTATAGGGTAGGACACGATGATAGGCCTCCAATGACGCTGCGTAGCAACACTGACGGAAGGTGGCAATAGAACATTTACGAGGCTGGGGAACACCGTACACACACACCACGAGTTCTTACGTGAGTCCCCCTCCTGGTTGTGAAAGCTGAATGACGATTCCAACGCTATACGGGTTGGTTGCCAGGGTTTGAGGTGCTTTTACGTCTTTCCAGATCTGGCGCAACACCAGGTTCCACCCAACAGACAAGATATGTTCACAAACGAGTATGCAATCGCCACTGAGCTCTCGGGAAGAAACAATCTACTGGTTGAGCATGTGATTTTGTGGCGTAACAGCGGTTGGAGGCTAAGGCATAATGCTCTGCAGGTACGGTCATGATAATAAGCTGTATCACATTCAGATACGCCCCGTCGTTTAGCACGGACAAGCCACAATACGCGTGGTGGATAGTACGAATAGCAGTCTTATGTCATGCTGTGTGTTCGTAGCGGTCCGTTCATGATGTCTGCGGCTGGATCTTGAATTTCTGTTATTGGAAATTAACCTTTAGCTACGGGGAGGACGGACAGGGTTTAGTTTGTCCGAGAAGGTGGGGACAATGGAAATGTCTACTTGATCCCGGAGCCCTGAGTCTGGCTGCTATGAGACCTGGAGTGCACGCAATGTCACTTTAATTAACCGCGATTCACAGCGCTCGGGTTAGCCAATGCACCAAAGCTCCCTGTATCTGAATCCCGCCCTTGCACAAGGAAGAACAAAACATTCTAGACGCTGCATGCCAATCTTGTACGTCATGATTCACGCGCTTGGCGGCCGTGATGGTGGGCAGAGCTCGCGATGTGGGAGCCGGAGTGACGACTTGGCATTGCGAGCCTAAGTTGAAGGCGACCCTGGCAGGCAGCCCGTGTCTTGGAAACAAGCACAACGGCATGCTTGACTTTGTGCCAATTGGGCCGGTCGCATTGTCACCGCCGCATTGCTACCGCGTCATTTCCCGGGGATGATGACCGCCACATCGGAAGGGCAGGTAACGCCATGCCTGTTTTGACGCAACTGCACCCATCTGCTGGTCGCTACGTGAAATTTCCCACCGTTTTAAGGGGTAAATCCAACCCAATGATGCCAGGCCATCTCGATTGCGACCTCTCGTCGTCAATATCTGGAGGCCCGATATTCTTAATTCTACCAAGTGACATCATGGAACTGGAAGACGGAGGCACCTATTGCTATCTAATCACCAAAGTTCAGCCCGCCAACCGTTGATATGCGACATGCGATGTGTCACCCATGCACGTAGATTCATGGGATGGGAGCGCACGTTATTATTGCCTGAAGAGTGAGGCAGCCGGCGGTACAAGCTTTTGTGAGCTCCAGGAGAACCTTGTCCGCATGCCTGATTATCGCGATCCATCTCCCTTAATGCGCAAGTCTGATTACCAGGTTGCTGGGGGACTTTGGTTGTCAGTTAAAGAACGATAGAGTTAATACTCGTCCCATCTAGGATTGGTGGCTGGCTGCATAAGATTGTCGACGTGGTGAATTTGCCATGCCGGTGGCGTGCCCCATGACGGCTGCATACGCCGGGTGCGTGTGGTCGTACGTTAACAGAAAATATCAACCTTCTTTGGTCCCAATAGTTCCGGTCCTAGTCCGCACAGATTGCCTAATAGGTAGGCCGGCAGGCAAGTGAATTGACAGTTATCCGGAGTGTGCACACCGAGAGTCAACAACCTTCAGCTGGAGTCTTAAAGTCTGTCTTACTGACCAGCAAGGGAAATGAGCTCCCTGACTGACACACCTGCCCTGCCAAGGCTCTGATTAGCATTGATCTCCAAGGGCAGGCAGTTGGCATCTCCTCTTCAGAGCTAATGGCCGCGATGAATAACTTGACTCGCGTGGCCACCGCGCATGGGCCAGGTTAGTACCACGCCTAATTTCTACTAAGCTTGTACCTAGCCGCAGCCAGTACCTAATACGCTGTACGGAGCAGGAGAGACGGCGCGGTACCTTGAGGAGCCACTTTGGCCACACCCGCTGAGCTCAGGCTTAGTTAGTTTCAGGGATTAACTTGACGAGCTGCTGCATCATCAGCCAATAAGCAGAGGGCCCCGCTTTGCACTGCCCCAAACCCCACATATCCCGAACTCGTCCCCACTTATGCAGCAGCTTCCTCCTGGGAGGCAGGAGCACCAGAATGCCTGCTTGCTATGGCACTTCTTGCCCTGTTACCAACCTTTTCGGTTGTCTTTGCAAAAGCTTGGTGTGAGCAACTTTCTTTCACGCTGACCTCCTTCGGCCCAAGCGAACGGCGAAAAAATCCGGCTTCTTTCCAATCACCTTGTCATCTGGGTCGATGGGGGCTCTCTTCATCCAGGCTTAATATCTTTCCCTCCTTGATTTGCGTACACTTCACTATGTTGTTGGGATACAACTAGCTCAACTTCAGAGCCGTCTCCTGGCTTTTTTAACTCCTCTTCTCCGTATATCTTTCCTTCTTTTTTCTCGGTTTACGAGTGCCCATATTGATCAAACCCCATTCGATATCCTGCAAGACCTCACGCCACATCCCGAGGGGTGCTAGTGTTGCCTTCGAATTGTTTATTATCATTAATGTTTTCAAGTCACTCCTTAGACAACTCTTCCAACAGAACTCCCTTCCCGACCCATAGAGGTCCCTGATACCCTTTTCTTTTTTATTGCTGGCCTGCGCTGCAGCTCAAGCAGTCATGGCTGAAGACAAAGATCAAGATGGAGCGCAGAGCCGCTCTGGGCAGCCCGACACCGCGTAAGTGTACTTTCCTTTCTTTGGCCATTTGGCTTACCGAACCGCTGGAACACCTGTTCCTCGTGATGTCTCACCTTTCTCCTCGGTATATGTAGCTTCTGGGCAAGCTAACTCACGACCAAAGGCCGGCTATCATGATCAACACACCTGCTGCCAGTACTGGTGACCTTCCTAGTGGGATTCACCTGGACTCAATGCCCCAATCAAAGTCGGATTCCTCCGCTCAAAGCCAAGGCCATACTCCCACCTCCCCAAGCGCTGAACAACACCCCAAGCTTCAACTCCAGACATCCTTCGACAGCAAAGAGAGCCGACCAGCGAGCTCTCACAATGTTTCGAGTCCCGTAAGGGGAAAAGGGCTGGAACGCGGGTCATCCTTTTTGGAAGTTCCTGGAAGCGGGCGCGACAGACAGGGTTCGATTGATTCTCAAGATAGCTCGCGATCTCTCTCCTCTCAAGGCGGCCACACCGTTGTCGGAACAACTTCTGACAAGAACAAGTCCTCCCGAACCCAGAACGACAAGATCATGAATGATGACACGGCCTTAAAACCCGATGCTGGCACTGAAGACCATTTCCAGGTCGAAAACAACCCGTTTGCATTTTCCCCTGGCGAGCTAAGCAAAATGTTCAACCCGAAGAGTCTGGCGGCCTTTTACAAGCTGGGTGGTCTGGCAGGGTTGGAGAAGGGTCTTCGTTCTGACCGAAGGGCCGGCCTCAGCATCGAGGAGAAGGGACTTTCAGGGCAGGTTACTTTCGAGGAGGCGACTGGCAAACCCAACGGGAGTGACCCGGATCAAGCTTCGGCCCCGGCAGCCCACCATGTATCAAGTGATGGAGAAGGCGATTCGTTCCACGACCGACGTCGCGTATACAAGGACAATCGGCTTCCCGAGCGCAAGGGCAAGACTTTGCTGGAGCTGATGTGGATCACGTTCAATGACAAGGTCTTGATTCTGTTGTCCGTTGCTGCTGTGGTCAGTCTTGCTGTTGGGCTCTATCAAACATTTGGAAAGAAGCACGAAAAGGACGAGCCGAAAGTCGAATGGGTAGAGGGAGTGGCCATCATCGTCGCCATTGCAATTGTGGTGATTGTTGGTTCATTGAACGACTTCCAAAAGGAAAGGCAGTTTGCCAAATTGAACAGGAAAAAGCAGGACCGAGTTGTAAAGGCTGTACGATCGGGGAAGATTGTGGAAGTATCCGTCTACGACGTGTTGACCGGTGATGTCATCCACCTCGAGCCTGGAGATCTGGTGCCTGTTGACGGTGTCCTCATCGAAGGCTTTGATGTCAAATGTGACGAATCGCAGGCCACCGGTGAGTCAGATATCATTCGCAAGCGAGCAGCCGACGAAGTTTTCGATGCCATCCAGAACCACGAGAGTCTAAAGAAGATGGACCCATTTATCCAGTCTGGTGCCCGAGTGATGGAGGGAGTTGGTACATTCATGGTCACTTCCACCGGTGTTTATTCGTCGTACGGCAAGACTTTGATGGCCCTCAATGACGACCCTGAAATGACACCACTCCAAGGAAAACTGAACGTCATCGCCACCTGGATTGCAAAGTTGGGTAGTGCCGCTGGTCTTCTTCTTTTCATTGTTCTCTTCATCAAATTTCTGGTCGCTCTACCACATATGCCAAGCACGGTTACCCCTGAAGATAAAGGACAACAATTCCTTAACATCTTTATTGTTGTGGTCACAATTATCGTGGTCGCTGTTCCCGAAGGTTTGCCACTTGCTGTCACGCTCGCCCTGGCATTTGCGACAACACGAATGCTCAAGGATGCCAATCTCGTCCGACACCTCAAGGCATGCGAGGTTATGGGTAATGCTACAAGTATCTGCTCTGATAAGACGGGTACCCTCACCCAGAATAAGATGCAGGTTGTTTCGGGAACCATTGCTACAAGCCATAGGTTTGGCGGAAGCCCAGCTTCGAACGATGATAGTGACGACGAAGACGAGGCCATCGACACAAGCCACGATGGAACAGCCCAGGAGCTCGTAGCGATGCTGAGTCCATCTGTGAAGGACCTTTTGCTTAAGTCTACCGCCCTGAACTCGACTGCCTTCGAGGGCGAGGTGGATGGCGAGAAGACCTTTATCGGCTCGAAGACGGAGACTGCACTACTTCTCTTTGCCCAGGCTCATCTTGGATTGGGACCAGTTGCTGAGGAGCGTGAGCGCGCCACGACACTGCAGTTGATCCCTTTCGATTCTGGCCGCAAGTGCATGGGTATCGTTGTCAAGTTGCCAAATGGGGGTGCGAGGCTGTACATCAAAGGTGCCTCTGAAATCATTCTCGCGAAATGTTCGGAAATGCTTCACGACCCCACAGCGGATGATCTCTCGACCAGCCATATGACTGCTCAGGACACCACTGTCATCTCCAAGCTTATCGACAGCTACGCATCACGGTCGCTGCGAACTATTGGTATTGCTTACAAGGACTTCGGTTCTTGGCCACCCTCGGATTTGCGGCGAGCTGAAGGATCCCAGACTGAAATTGCCTTTGAGGAGCTCTTTGACAGCTTGACGTTCATTAGTGTGGTCGGCATTCAGGATCCTTTACGTGAGGGAGTCCTTGAAGCTGTGAGGCAATGCCAAAAAGCTGGTGTTACTGTCCGTATGGTCACTGGAGATAACAAGCTCACGGCCCAAGCTATTGCCAAGGAGTGCGGTATTCTTCAGCCTGGTGGTCTTGTTATGGAGGGACCTGAATTTCGCAACCTCAGCCGTCTTCAGCAGGAGGAGATTATCCCCAGGCTACAGGTCTTGGCACGGTCGAGCCCAGAGGACAAGCGTGTGTTAGTCAAGAGACTCAAAGAGAAGGATGAGATTGTTGCAGTCACTGGTGACGGAACAAACGATGCTCCTGCTCTGAAAACTGCCGACGTCGGTTTTTCGATGGGTATTGCTGGGACTGAGGTTGCGAAGGAGGCTTCATCCATCATTCTCATGGATGACAATTTTACCAGTATTGTCAAGGCGCTTAAATGGGGCCGAGCCGTGAACGATGCAGTGAAGCGCTTCTTGCAGTTCCAGCTTACCGTGAACGTCACTGCGGTCGCTCTCACCTTCATCACTGCCGTGTCAAGTGACGAAGAGAAATCGGTTCTTACTGCTGTGCAACTTCTCTGGGTCAACCTCATCATGGATACTCTTGCAGCCCTCGCTCTCGCTACTGATCCACCCATGGACAGCATTCTAGACCGAAAACCAGAGCCCAAGCACAATTTCATCATCACCCCGACGATGTGGAAGATGATTCTTGGCCAGGCCGTGTATCAGCTTACCATTACACTTCTACTCTACTACGGAAGCCCCAAGGGCGTCCTGCCCCTGGTCCGCATCCCTTCAGATGGGGAGATTGCTACTCTTGTTTTCAATACCTTTGTGTGGATGCAGATCTTCAACCAATGGAAGTAAGTGCAACCAATGAATCATTGCCTCTCATATATTCATGTTGGGAAGAGGAAACTAACCATGGACACTAGCAACCGACGCTTGGATAACAAGTTCAACATCTTTGAAGGGCTGACGAAAAACTGGTTCTTTATCTGTATCAGTGCTCTGATGATGGGTGGTCAAGTTTTGATCATTTTCGTTGGAGGCGCGGCCTTTTCTATCAATTCAGAGGGGCAGTCGGCCAAACTCTGGGGTATTGCACTTGTTCTCGGTGTCTTCTCTATTCCTTTCGGCTGCATCATCCGGCTGATTCCCGATTCAATTATCATTGCTCTTATCCCAGAATTCCTTAAGCGAAGGGCCAAAAAGACTCCAGGAGTCAGGATCTCAGACGAGGAGATGAGCATGTACCCTGAGCCACTGGCAGATGTGCGAGATGAGCTCAAGTTCCTCCGACGCATGAAGGGAGGGCGTCTCAACAACTTGAAGTTTGCCATCCAGCACCCCAAGGAAACCCTGCTCCAAGTACGCAGCCCGTCTCACTCTCGTTCAAATTCGTTGTTGCCCCCTCCACAGACGCCGACCACGGACGATAAGCTGGGATCAGGGGCAGCCACCCCCGAATCTCGTAGACGGTCCAGGTCAATGCGATCGCGCTCGAACTCGGCGCTCGGTGCGCCTACAGTCATGGCTGGTCTTGTCGCAGCTGGCGTAGCAGCGGCATGGTCACCGGTTGGACGGGCACCAAACGAGGATGCAGATGAGGCGAGCGAGCAAAGACATGGATCCAAGGCCGACGATACCAAGTAGGTAATCATAGAGCCAATTTTTTGCAAGGCGGCTTTTTAGTAATCATGGCGTCTGCCCGTCTTTTTGTTTTGTTTTTTTCCCTTGAGTTGATTTCCACCGGTTCGGGCAAGTAAAAAGTCTGGCATCATAGAATGGGGATACAAGGCGTTTTTGCATACTGTACAATACCACTTTCTGCTGGCTCTACCGCTAGAACACGAAACTGCAAAGACATGGCTTTCTCTATTTTCCCTTTATTAGGTAGTTGGCAAGAGTTGATAATTACACGTCTAAGCCTATTTGAAAAACTTGAAGCCAGTGATTATCCATGATGCCTATGAAACGAATTAAGCAGATGACCTATTTTCCAGTACGACAGGTTGGTGAGCTTCTTAGGAGCCTAGCCCCCATCTCGGGCTTATTCGCGGCCATGACTCGGGCTCTGCGGACGATTGTGAGGTGGCGTGTTTGAAAGAATTTCACCAGTTCCGGGCGAGGGACTTATTAGTAATAACCAAACGCAGTACTATCACTGGGGGCTTTGGCACTCGTACAGGGTTTTCGGTAGTAAGAACTAGAAGATTGCCTGTTTGAGGAACAAGAAATGAGCGTGTCCAGGGCTGAGTCTGACTGAGATATACGCATGAATGAAAGAGTACATCACTCGCCACTCCGTTACCGAGCCGTTTGCCCATAGATAAGTACATTGGCTGTCTGATGCCTGATGCCACCCAACAGACAGCAGCTTATCAATTAACTTCCTCGGCATTCCTCGCAACTGGACACATTTCTCACACCAATCAACCGTCATTGGCCCGCCGCCCCCGTTCCCGTTATAGGTGGTCCAGCCGGTCTGAATATCGATTTATGAGAAAAAAAAACTGCCTAGTCGGAGTTCAGCAGCGGCCCATGCCTACTGCCTATTAGCCAACCTTTCCTGCCTGCATATCTAGTAGAAAGACAAAACCTCCCTTCCCTTCCAAGGTACGCCGGCCTATCCATTGTTAATTCTCATTTAGGCCCCCTTGGTTTGATTTTCTGCCCTTGACCTTATCTGCTTCGCTCGCGTTCATTTTCTCTTGCCGCCCTCTCATCTCTCATCTCTGTCTCCTCGGCGCTCTCGCATAGTCTGGCCCCTTTCCAGGCCATCTCGTCCGTCCGTTAGTCTGCGACAGCGTTCAAACACAACACCTGTCTCACTGATACCATCCACCAGCACACCTGTCGGCCTGCACTGTGACCAACACGTGGTTCATATCTTTTTGTTCTATAGGTCCCCAACACGTACGTATTCTGATTTTTTCCCGCTCGCTCCCCAATCTTACAGCACCCATTCGCACCTGCAACCCATCAAGCATTGCCACGGCCCCTTCAACCGTAGTGCATATAAGTCTCAAGTGCATGACACCTTACTTTTTCCTTTTTTCCTCTTTCCCTGTCGCGCTTTTGTATCCGCTCGCGCCCACCCAGAGAGGGCAGAACAACAACCACACCGGCCCAGTCCAGTCTAGCTAACCTCTCTCGAGTCTTGTGTGTGAATTTGGGTTTGCAACACACATCTGCAACCCGGCCGTCAGTCCAGTAAACTGCCCAAGCACAGACACTAGGAGAAGACAGCAGCAGAATGAAGACCAAGACTGGAGCTGCCAAGGGCGTGCGGCTGCCTGCCCACCCCAAGGTTGATCTCATGGCCCATGAGAAATTGCCCGATAACCCGTCGGTCGAGGAGCTGAAGACGGCGGCCGTCACCATCTCGCTCGCCGACTTAGAGGAGCGGGTTGCCGACGTGCGCGACTCGTGGGAGGAGGATTCGCTGTTTGAGGAGGTTATCGAGGAGCTGACGGACGACGGCGTTACTGCCACCGGAGGTGAGTCCAAAACAGTCTTCATTCATTGCGACGGCTTGTTATTTTATTTTCGCCCTTCTACCTGGGCTGGGATTTTCGCTGCTCCGAAATCTCTCAAGTGGGCGGTTTTGGTGGGTGGCTGTTGCGCAACAAACGGAAGGGTTGCCTCGCGATCGCGTGTTACGATCGCGTGTTTGCGTGCGCTTGGCAAGCCCAAGCACGCTGCGTCCTGCATCGCTCTACTTCTCATCACTATTCGTTTGCATTTACAGAGACTCAATCCTTCATCACGCACATCTCTCAAGCAGACACGCTTTCTGTTACAAAGCCTGCCTTGATTGAGTGAGGACCCATCAGTTGCTGAGACACAAATGGCACGCGTTATCACCCAGGGATCAAGTCAATCACGATGCATCGGGAAAAAACATTGAGCTAACTTGGACCTCATCACAGATGCTGGAACGTGCACGCCAGAAGAGGCCAGCAGGCTCCGGAGGGAGTTGCGTGAATATGGCCCGGCCGTGTTTTGCCAGCGCACAGTCGATGCTGGGCGCTACACAGCCAAGAAATTGCTCACAGCCTTCAGCATCAAGCCCCCCGCCTTTCTCGAGGGCCAGCCGGATGAGGCGTACTACAGCCTGCTGTCGCTCGCCATTACGAGAGAGCTGTCCAAGCGGGCCAAGCTGAACCGCTTCAACACCGTTAACGACGCTGTCGACCTCATCGAGAAGAGCAACAACATCATCCTGCTCACGGGCGCAGGCATCTCGACCTCGCTTGGTATCCCCGATTTCCGTTCCAAGGGCGGATTGTATTCCAAGCTCGAGCATCTGGGTCTGAACGACCCCCAGGAAGTCTTTGACATTGATGTCTTCAAGAGCGATCCTACGATTTTCTACCAGGTGGCCAAGGACATCATCCCGTCCACGGAGCGCTACACGCCCACCCACAAATTCATCGCCATGCTCCACGAGCGTGGCAAACTCCTCACCAATTACTCGCAGAATATTGACAACCTGGAGATCAAGGCCGGTGTGCCCAAGGACAAGCTGATCCAATGCCACGGCTCATTCGGCACTGCCACCTGCATAAAGTGTGGGTACAAGGTCAATGGCGAGAGCATTTTTCCGGATATCAAGGCAGGCGTCATCCCCCGCTGCACCCGGTGCGTCCAGTCGCTCAGGGCCCCCGGCAAGTCTGTTAAGCGCAAGCGCTCAGCCGGCCCGGAGAAGAAGAAGAACCGCTGGAGCGACCGCGAGGACAGCTCCGACGAGTCCGAGTACGACATCCCGGATGCGGGCGTCATGAAGCCTGACATCACCTTCTTTGGTGAGAGTCTCCCTGACGAGTTCTCCAGGCGGCTTACGGAGCATGACCGCGAAAAGGTCGACCTGGTGATTGTCATTGGAACCTCCCTCAAGGTGACCCCCGTCTCGGAGATCGTGTCCTGGCTCCCATCGCACATCCCGCAGATCTACATCTCCCGCCAGGCCGTCAATCACATCAACTTTGACATTGACCTCCTGGGCGACTGCGATATTGTCGTCACGGAGCTGTGCAAGCAGCTTCACTGGCCCTTTAAGCACGAGATGGTGCCTGCCGACCAGAATATCTACGTGTCCGACGTGGAGGGCTACCCGAGCCGCCACGTCTTCTCCCTTACGCCCGTACAAGAAGAAGAAGAGGAGGAAGAGGAAGAAGATGCTACCACCCCTTGAAGTTGGTCATGGCCATCGTGTTGCACGCACATTTTGAATATTGTGGCCTTATCCTTAATACTTGCTTTTTTTTGTTTGTTTACGAGCTCTCTTTCCCGAGTTGGGGAACGTGGTTGTTCCACGCTGCTGAAGTTCAGCTGGCCGACTCTTCTGTCTTTCGCGCCCCCTCTGGCTCGTCCCCCCCCTGCTTTCTCACTGTTCTTGGCAAGGCGTCCTGGTTTCCTGAAAAAAGCAATAAAGGGTGTTTCTGGAGTCTCAAACCTGTATTTTATTTTCCTGAATTGAGGAGAAACCCCATCTTCTTACCTGTTGGTTTTTGCGGAAAGACTACAGATAGTACTTAGATTGCTACGTTTCTTTTTTTCCCATTATTATAAATCATCGTCTCTCTGCAGGAGGCGGCTTCGATTGCCTCGAAACCTAGATTTATAGTTTCTGTAACATGGGGGTATTATTGTTAGGAGAATAAACTTATTTCTCGGGAAACATGGTTTTGCGTTTCGTGTTACTGTCTCATCACGTAGCGAGGTAAGTTAGGCAAGGCTGATTTTGGGATCGAACCCAGTTTTGAGATTATTATGAATTTTTTGAAGTGTTCCCTGCGTTTCAAAACCACCGTTTCTCATGTCCATCTATGCCCTGATCGAGTTATTCACATAACAGAGGTAATAAGAGAAAATATCATGTAAAGGAAAAAAAAAAATAGGCCAGAAATAAAGAAGAAACAGGAGAAGAGAAGGATGGCGGGGAGACTGCCCAACCCCCGAAAAAATACCACAAACTTTCGCCCTATGCTGAGGATATAGAGATCAAAGAATAGTAAGTTAGATAATGTCCCGGAAGGCCCCTTCATCTCAAATTAGACTTTCGTATTTATCTAACCCGGATGCTTGCTTTTGCTGCTGGGGCTGTGCTGGGGGTGGCTGTATGCTGCCGGTGGAACCCATCATGCTGTTCATGCTCATCGTCGATGACCCCTGCCAGGCCATTGGTTGTTGCTGCTTGGGCTGGGAGTGTGATGGCGGCGGGGCGATGCTGAAGCCGGAGGATGGTGGCGGAGGGAGGGAGAAGCCGGACGAGGGGGTTCGGGAATTGTTGAGGGACATGCCGGATCCGAAGGAGGAGGATACGGATTGCTGAGGCTGCATGGATTGCATAGGCTGCATGGTTGATGTGGTGGAAGTGGATGCCCAGGGGTTTGCCGTTGCGGAGGATGACGTGGTCGACCAGTTGATGGCGTTGCTTTTGGTGGTGTTGGTGGAGGTGACGGAGGATGAGGATGGTTGCCGTACGGGTTGTCTTTGTTGATTCAGGGGGGAAGGCTGCAAGGGCTGGCTGAACTGCGTAGACGAGGGTTTCATGGCTTCGAAGCGTCCCAGATCAGGGGTCACTGTACGGTAACTGGATGCTTGCTGGGGCTTAACGACATTGCTTGGAGGAGCAGAGCCAGCCCCGGGAGGAGGGGTGGACCATGAAAAAGCTGGTGGTGTGTTGGTGGATGACCGCGATATGGACGGCGGGGCAGACGTTGCGGGAGCGGGCGAGTCGTCCCAGTTTGCGAAACCGCTGTTGCCAGCACTTGCGCTCGAGGGAGAGGCCTGTGGTTTCGAGCGACCTTTGACTAGTGACTCGAAGTCGTCCTCGGTGGTGCCATTGGACTGGTCGAAGCCAGTTCCTGTTACCCCACCAAATGCGAGGAAATCATCGTTATTAGGGTTGGGTGTTTTGACGAGACCGCTGAGCTCTTGGAGCTTCTTGGTCTGCTCATCTTCAACCCTCCTTGATAGGGACTTGATGAGCTCCATGAAAGTTTGGAACTGCTTTAGCTCGAGGAGGGGGCCAAGACTCATGCTCCAAAGAATAGGGAGGATTTCCATGGCCACGAACTCAGCGTCGGCGACTCCACCGACGATGCGGAGAACGTTTAATGCAGCGATCATCACGGCTGGCTCCTTCGTCTTGATTCCTTTCACGAGCGGTATAATTTTCTCCTGCATCGTGTACTTGTCAAGGGCAGAGGAGGACGATGTCTTCTTGCTTTGTGTTGAGAGCCCGTTCAGCCCATCATCCGCAGCTTGGTCCGCTGTTCCTCCACAAAGAATGACAAATGCCCGCAGACCTCGGACCTTGATTGCAAGACTGTTGGTCCGAGTAAACACGGCAGCAATGACGGGGAACAGCTCATTCTTAATTGTGGTGAAGTCGAGGACGGGTAATACAACGGGCAAGCTCTTCAAAGACGCATCAATGATGCTGTGCGTAGGACACTCAATAGCAGCCAACATGACGGGAAATATATCTATAGCAGGGGTATTAGCGCCATGTGTAAGGTTCAAGGGTCCAGCATCAGGGGAAATCGAACTTACCATCTTTGAACTCTTTGCCATTGCAGTTGTCAGCACATACGGCAAGGTTGTCTAGGAAGACCATCAGGCCGGCGTCTCGAGCAGCATCCTTCTCTTGACCTTGTTTTGGGGCATTGGTGACAAAGATTTCTTTCAAGGCTGGTCTGACCTTCTCGCCAAATACACGCCGCGATGAAGGAAGCAGATCAATAATCTTGAAGACGTTTTGGAGAATCAGAGACAAAAGCTCCCTATCCTTGAGCTCCTCCAATAGTGCGGGAAGGATCTTTTTCTCTGTCACAGACTTGGGGAATGATGGCAAGACCTTGACAAGCCCCCGCATGAACTGACCCTTCTCACTGGGAGTTTTGGCCGGGAAGGCATCTAAGAAGCGGATGGTTGAAATGAGAACGTTGTCGAAATATTCGCTTTCCTGGAACTCCTTGGCGGTTAGACGCTGAGCCGGCCGTCGGGTAATGAGCCGAGGCAGAACGTGGAGCGTGAGGTCTTTGGGTATAGGGCGAGAAGAGAGAAATTTGTTCGAGGTGGAGGGGATGGTCGACGAGGATGTGAACATTCTCTTGTAGGATGATACGCTGCCGTGAGACTCCAGTGGTGACTTGTGGGGAGAATTGTATAAGGTGACGCATAGAATTCCCAACGAGAACATGTCGGCCGCCGCTGTCATATTGTTGTCCATGACAAAATCGGGCGATGTGTAGTCCAGGTTCAGTTGGATGTATCTTGGTAGTCGGGGATCCATGTTCAAAACCTCGTATAAGTTAATCCCATGGATCGAAGTCGGCTTCGACGAACCTTCGATAGGGCTGCAGAAGGCGAGACCGCTGAGTTTCCAGTCGGACTATTGAGCTACCGTTAGAACATGGACCCTGGGACAGGCTGCGTTGTGAAGACATACCTTGGCATTGATCAGAACCGCATCGGGGGTCAGGTTTCCGTGGACAAGCCCCGCATGATCGTGCAAGAACTCAAGAGCTTTGCTTAGCTGTAGCAGTCCCTTTTGAATCTCCAATTCATCAATCTCCAATTCTCTTCGACGGCGCACGCCGTCTGCGTCCTCGGTGACGTATCGACTCCCTCGCCCACCTGGACCTCCTGACCTCTCCTGATCGTCCTTTTCTTGCAGCGCGCTCGCTAGAGAAGCAGTCACAGGCTCGGTAACAAACTGTAGCCCTCCACCTCTTGTCTCTTCCACTGGCTCCACCAATTCGAGGATGCTGGGGTGCCGTAACTTGGCTAGACTCGATGCCTCCTTTTTCAACCGCTCCACCACCTCCTCCATGGTCTTCTTGAAGGAGGAACCGCCGCCGGAGCGCCCCAATGAGCTGCCATGAGAATCCACTGATTTTTTGTCAAAGACGAACACGCTATAGACCTTGCCGGTCGACTTCTTCTTCGCATCGTAGATGTTCCATGGCCCAGCTCGGGAGGTGGGCGCTGATGAGACGGAATAGTTGCTGGAGATGTTGGTGGGAGCAATAGATCGGAGCGCCGAGGAGAACATTGTGCGATTACGGTGGGCTTCGGCCGAGGGCCTCGAGGATCATGATCGAATGGACAAGTTGCTGCGGATTTTAAGGATTGAATGGGCGCGGCCCTGGAGTGGTGTATAGCAACGTAACGCTACGCGATTGCGCAGTTGCTCTGAAACCGTCAGGACTTCGTTATTTCGACGACAAAAGAAACGACAACAAGGTAGCAAAAGGCCCGGGAAAGACTGCGTCGAATGCGACAAGAAATAAAATGACAGCGTTCGCCTATTGGGATACGCGCTTGCACATTGCCATATGGCTGATTAGTCGATGCTGTCCTATCTTCAGGGTCCTGGACGCGTGTGGCTGAAGATGTCTGGATTTGGAGTACGTTGCTCGATATCTGTGGCTGAAACGGTTCTCAGTCGAGGTATTAGCGCTGACAACTGTGGCGCATGCCAGGACCCTAAATCGCGGTTCGCAACGGCCGAATGGCGGATACCTTCGGTGCTTGATTGCGACAACGCCCTTGCGCTTGACATAAGCATTCTCCGATATCGCCTGGTGTAACTAGATAGTTGGCTTTCGCGGGTCATCTCTGTGTCAACTGTCCGGCATAAAAGCAGTCTGTCTGCCGTCTCGGGTGGTGCCGTATTCCAGTTGGTGTATCGTCCTTTGCTTCTCGTGCCTGCATCTTGGTTCCTCCTCTCAATTGAGGGCCCTCTTTTTTTTCTCATAGTAGCGTGGTTTATCAGAGTCGGCCAACCCAACTTTGGCACCGCCAAAACACATTGTCAAAATGAGACCCTTTCTCCGTACACAGACAGCTCTGAAGTGCTCAGCCCGGGCCGCCAGAGCTCTGCCAACATGCTGGGCAGCCCGCCCCTTCAGTTACTCGGCCCGCGCTGCCTCAGCGCTGCGACCGCTTGATGCCAGCAAGCTCGAGGTCACCAAGAATACCACCCCCAAGCCCTTGAGCAAACCCGAAGACCTCGTCTTTGGCAAGGAGTTTACTGGTAAGTCCAATTACGACCGAGATCAAGGGCGCATATGCGCAGCTTGCGAACATTGGCTAACTTAGTCGTCCTTGCCCGCAACAGATCACATGCTCACCATCGAATGGAATAAGGAGGAAGGATGGTCGAACCCCAAGATCACCCCTTACCAGAACCTGTCTCTTGACCCTGCTACATGCGTGTTTCACTATGCATTCGAGTGCTTTGAGGGTATGAAGGCCTACAAGGACAAGTCCGGCCAGGTTCGCCTGTTCCGCCCTGATAAGAACATGGCCCGCCTGAACAAGTCGTCCGCCCGCATCGCCCTGCCTACCTTTGACTCCGAGGCCCTCATTGACTTGATCTCCAAGTTCGTCCAGCTAGAGGCCGCCAAGATCCCAGACCAGCGCGGATACTCCCTCTACCTGCGCCCAACCATGATCGGCACTCAGAAGACTCTCGGAGTTGGTCCTCCAGGCTCAGCCCTCCTCTATGTCATTGCCTCGCCCGTGGGCCCCTACTACCCCACCGGCTTCAAGGCCGTCTCTCTTGAGGCCACCGACTACGCCGTGCGCGCGTGGCCCGGCGGTGTCGGCGACAAGAAGCTCGGCGCCAACTACGCCCCCTGCATCGTGCCCCAGCTCGAGGCCAGCTCGAGGGGCCACCAACAGAACCTGTGGCTCTTCGGCGAGGAGCAATTCGTTACTGAGGTCGGCACGATGAACATGTTCGCCGCCATCAAGGACAAGAAGACTGGCCAGAAGGAGCTCGTCACCGCCCCTCTTGATGGCACCATTCTCGAGGGTGTCACCCGCGACTCCGTCCTCGCCCTCGCCCGCGAGCGCCTCGTCCCCGAGGGCTGGAAGATCAGCGAGCGCAAGTACACCATTAGTGAGCTTGCCGAGGCGTCCAAGGAGGGCCGCCTCCTCGAGGCTTTCGGAGCCGGTACCGCTGCCATTGTCAGCCCCATCAGGAAGATTGCATGGAAGGACGAGACCATTGACTGCGGTCTGAAGGCGACTGAGGAGTCTGGCGAGATTGCGTTGAAGATGAAGAACTGGATTGAGGCCATCCAGTACGGTGATGAAGAGCACGAGTGGAGCTATGTGTCTTCCAAATAAGAAGTAAAATCGTTGTAGACGTGGGGCTTGGGACGTAATTGTAAGCATGCAGAATTAAAAGAAGAGACCAAAATTTCGTATGCCATCTTTATTTTCCCACGTTCGTACTCATCTCGGTCTGTGTTGGCACAATTTATAATTGAGGTTTTTTGCATTGGACGAACCAAAATGAACCGCAATCCGATCTGCTGTTTGTTGATAAAAAAAGACAAAATGAACAAAAAAAAGTTATTTCTAATCATGGCGTGAACCACCGAGCTTCTTCTCTCAGATGAAAAGATGAGAGTAACTATACACGTGTGGGGTTGGGCCAATCCATAGCCCTGAGCGGCTCAATCATGCCATATATTCTTTCTGGTTGTAGTCTATCCCCCCCGCCGCCTGGTCCCCGTTTTACTCCTTCTTCTCGCCGTTTGGGTAAGGGTCGGGTAGGATACCCTCGGCCTCTAACCTCCGTCGTGCTTCCTCCAGAGCCCAGGTAGAGACGCTATGAGGCACAAATAAGTCAGCAAATCCAGCTCAGAAATCAAAATGACGCAGATCCGGGCAACATCGCAGCGCTGTAGCCTCCTCGGCAGCGTCCCTCTACATCGCGGGGTTCCACCGAGAAACTACAGCGGGCGTCCTGTGTGCTGGATCGGCTTCGATATAAGACTCACGTCGTATCAGGCTTGAATGCAAGGGCGACTGTGGCGGCAGCGAGAGCACCGCAGAAGATGTACATAGGCCACTCCCATCCCTCAGGCTCGGCCTTCTCGCCGGGCTTGATTCCCCAGAGCCAGCCGGTAGGGGGATCCCACTGCTGGCCGCCGCCACCTTGTCGTCGGGTGGTCAATGAAAAGCTTCGCGCGGTGGTGATGGTGGTCGTGGGGGCAGTGTGGCGGACGCAGCGCGCTGAACGCGCGACCTGGCGGAGGAAAACCATGATCGTCGTCGAATACTCGTAATTTGCAGTCGGTTTTTCGTGGAGGATGCCCTCAATGGCTTGGTTCGGGGGGCTTGATGCGGATTGACGGGTGTGAGTCGGGGGATGTCGTCGTTGTTCGATATGCGTGAGTTGCTCCAGCCGGCGAACCGGAACGGTCACGTGATGAGAACGGGAAAACTCTCCCCCACTGCCATTAGTCTGAACTCGTCTCTGGGCTGGAGCATCGCGGAGCAAGCTGATTCGCATAATCCAACCACAGGCTCCATATTATTCATAACGGATGGTGGGCGGCCTGGGCTTGTCCGTCCAACCTGGGGATGATCCAGCCTGGTTTGATGTCATGAAATTGCCCGGAATCAAGGTTCGTTGGACGCAGACCAGGCCCTGTTTGGACATCGCTCGATGCCACCCACACAGGGATTCCAGGATCATACGCGAGCGATAGACAATTCCAATCGGTTTCCTCAGCAGAGGCCAGGAGAGCTGCTAACGTAGATGAGAATGACACTGTGACCCACTACTCGCGCTCCTCATATAGTTCAAACTGGACACAGGGTCGACGAACCAGATGGCCTACCATCCATCTCTCTTCTGCATGAGGTCGTGTGAACGGCGCAGATCCTCGCACGATCATACCTTTCTTTGACCATGAAATTGCGCGTAATCGACCAAGACCTTCATCACGTTATGTCAACCTTAGTTGCTCTCTAACAGGCAGCACACGCGACCACACTAATAGCCTCAGCGTTCCAGTTCGAGCTGATATTATCGCTCATTGTAAGACAGCGCCATTGAGAACAGGAAGGCCCTTAAGAAACCGGTGGTTTTGTCTGCTCTTGTCTTTGTGCCCTGTAGTATTTACCGTCGCGCTTCTAAGTACTATTATGGTTGCTCGAAATGCCAATGAGTCCTTCGCTCAGAATTCGCCATGAACCCTGAACTTGCCCTTCCCTCTTTATGCAAGGCTTCTTCAGTCCCCGTACGCTCACACAAGGACGACAATGCTGCGACCTCCGCTTCGGGGGGTCAGCCAGCTTTGGCTCCGGATTTCGGTTCTTCACTCCGCCGCCGGCCAACCCTCGACACGCGGCGTAGCTCCACGATCAGCACGGTTCAAATAGAACGGATAGTGTCAGAGGAGAGAGCTGATACCAACACCTATGGCGTGTCCGAATTGCGTGAGGGTTTCTTTGACGCCCTGTTTCTGAAGCCTCCCAAAGCCCCCCAAGATGACCTAAAGGTCAGGTTCGAGGCAACCCTCCCAGAGGGCTGGAAGGACAAGTCACCACTGAGGCCAAGGATCTTGACTAAGAAGCAGTGGGATAGGCTTCGGGGCATAGTTGTCGAGTTGATGACGACGAGGGAGGGTGTCCGCCTATTGAAAACCTTCACGGCCTTCTTCACGGCTTATGCGCTGTGCCTAGTTCCGTCTGTACACAACTGGCTAGGAAATTACAGCTACATTATGGCGGTTTCTACCATATTGAACCATCCAGCTCGCAGCTTTGGGTCTCAGATTGACGGTGCCGTTCTCACCATCGTCGGGACTGGTGCAGGTCTGGGCTGGGGGATTGTCGGTCTTCTACTGTCCACCTCAACCATAGCTGCTCGAGCCGGGTTTGGCGGTATCCTGGCTCTCTTCTTGGCGCTTTTCATGACCACAATGGGTTGGATGCGATCATTCTTCCTCAGGTTCTATCAATGTGTCTTGTGTGCGGGAATTGCCATCATGTGCATGACCTTGGCTGAAACCAACGATCACAGTGTCGGATGGTCCAAGGCCAGGAGCTATGGGGTATCCTGGGTTCTGGGGCAAGCCATTGCTTTGGCCGTCAACTGTCTGATCTGGCCGGATGCAGGGGCCCGTCCTCTGGCTACAACCTTTCACGATTTCTTTGGAATAACAAAAGTAAGCAAACTTCCTTACCTGGATGATGGATTGATTGTTAGACCCCTAACCGAAGGAAGAATGCCCTCGAAATACCCAGTCCACGGGATAACGGGCGGCAACGGCGCCTAGCACAATCCTATGTTGACTTGTCCCAAGCTCATCGCGACCTGCGGCTGGACTTGACAATTACGAGATTCCGCCCTGATGATGTAGAAGACTTGCGGAACCTAATGCAGGGAGTTATAAGAGCACTCCTGTCTATGGATACGGAGACCTATTTAATAGATGACGCATCTCAGACCAAAAGCGCCAGTGTTATAATCAACATGCCCGAAGCACCAGGGGTGAATACAGCAGACTTTGGACTCGGTAACGAGGAGTCAGTGGCTGATCTCGAAGACGTCAGCACAATGGTGCTACACGCGCTATCAAAGCCGCTTCGAGAGGTCCTGGATAGCATTCTGGAAGGCTTGGATCGTAGTGATGCCGCTCTGATGGATCTTTCTGGTTATCGCAAATACATCGGACCTCCGATGGATGCATCAGCCGACGTGGGAGCTGTTCAGGTTCGCCTCAACAGTGCTCTCTCAGCATTGAATAATGCTGAGGTTACAGTCTTCCAATCTAACAAGCTCACCTCTCGAACAATGCAAGCCGCCGATATCGTCCAGCTATTTCTCTTTGTGCGGCACACCAGGGAAGCCGCAGACGCCGTCCAAAGTCTGCTTGACAAGGTTGAAGATATGCAGCAGATGTCGGACTGGCCGCGGCTGAACTTTCCCTCTTACTCCTTCCGGAAAGCCATCCACCGAGCGAACCGCCAGACACGACACGATCGTGGAGGAATCACCGCGGGCTCTTACCATTCCACCTTTGTGCAGATAGCCGATCTGCTGGAGAGCATCAAGTCAAAGGAACACAAGCCAACGCGCACGAGAGCAAACACGCCAGAGCCCGAGGACGGCGAGGGCGAGAGCATGCCATACCCAATAGACTCGCACCCACAGACTGAAGACCCGGACAAGGCTGACGAAGATGACGTTGGCCATAAGATCTGGCGAATCCTCCGTCATCTACAAGGCTTCGAAGGCCGATATGCTCTGAAAGTCTGCATTGTCACCTCGCTCCTCTCAGTCCCCTCTTACCTCGACGGGCACGAGTGGTGGGACCGCTACCACGTCTGGTGGGCTGTAGCCGCGAGCTGGATCATGATCCATCCTCGTGTGGGTGGTAACGTACAGGATCTCTTTACCAGATCATTCTGCGCCATCTTGGGAGCCATATGGGCTGGTGCAGCACAGGCTGCTGGGAAGGGGAGCCCATACGTCACAGGTGTATTCTCAGCCATATTCATGATACCAATGCTCTACAGATTCGTGCAAAGCTCACATCCAGTGAGTCTCCCCCTATTTCAACCCCCAGTGACACGAACACTTAGACGGCAGCTAATGAAACTTGAATATAGCGATCTGGGCTAATCGGCTGCCTGTCTTTCACCGTCGTATCACTGAGCCTACACAACCGGCCCAAAGACGATGCCGGCGTCATATTCACCATTGCCATGGGTCTATGCTTCTTCGTCGGAACTGCTGTCCCCATTTTGGTAAACTGGGTTCTCTGGCCCTTCGTAGCGAGACATGAGCTTCGTTCCGCAATGTCTTCCATGATTTTCTTCATGAGCATCATATACCGCAGTATGTCCCCTCTCCTCACTCAAGAACCCTACGATACAGAAAACTAACGCACACAGACGTCGTCGCCAAATACGTCTACTTCGAAGAGGGCAAGGAGCCCACAGCGCTAGACATCCAAAAGTCTGAACAACTCGAGGGCCACATCCGCGAAGGCTTCCTCCGAATCAGACAACTCCTCGTAAGACCACACACCACAGAAGAGTCACAATCTCTTCAAAATTGCACACACCCAACTTAACAAAACTTCACACCACAGGAACTCACCCGTCACGAGATCCGGCTCCGCGCCCCCTTCGACCCCCTGCCGTACAGCGCTCTCGCAGACGCCTGCGAGCGCTTCTTCGACTACCTCATCGCCGTTCGCCAGGCCGCCCTGTTCTACAACCCCGGGTACATCCGCGACAACCCCGTCGCTTCTGAGAAGCTTCTGGGGTATCGGCGAGACGCCGTGGCCGCGATTCTAGGCAATTTGTATATTCTCGCAGGCGCACTACGATCGCAGAGGAAAGTCCCTGTATGTGAACGCGCAATCAAACTGCATGACCCTGCTGCGCTGGGTTCCCCCTATTCGGAAAATAAAGCTAACCGTGTCAAAGCGATATCTCCCCAATGCCGGTGCCGCGCGAAGAAAACTTCTATTGCGAACCATCGAGATAGAGGATGAGATTGCTGCACAAGCCGAGAGAATCGGCTCCTTCAACACGCGGTGGTCCGACATTCACAGCTTCTCATTCAACGAGAGCCTCACAGGGTGTATAGCCCAGCTAGAGGAGCTGGAGGAGTTGACAAAACTCATTGTTGGGGAGCAAGGGTAAGTTTATAATGCTAACTGCTGAAGCGATGTGCTGCTAACTGGAAGGCATGAATAGCTTCGATGATGACTTGAAAGAAGACCCCGTAGACCAACTGCGTAACAATCCCCCTTGAATACAACCAACGCCTCAGTCAAATATATCCTAATGCCATTTTACCAATCCCAAAACTCATTTCCTGCCCTACGCCAAGTGTATATGCCCAAAACATATTATAATGGTTGTTAATATGCGCCGTTCGTCATCTCGTTTAATATGTCCCGAATAATGGGTTTCGTTTTCATCAGCCGTTCACCAATCTTCGCCTTCTTTGGCGAGGGTCGCATATTCTCCTTTCCCTTTGGACCTCCTAAAATTTTCTTTGGTGACTTTTTAGGTTTCATGGGCGATGGGCCATTTCGTTGTGTCAGCCCGCTTGCTGTAATCTGCGTCCCAAACTCTTCAAAGTGATGGTTCACAAGGGCTTCGGCAGGGAGGTGGTAAATCCAGTCATGGTCCTCCATGAGCGAGATGAACCTGCTGAGCATATTTTCCTGGCCACTTCCTTTCAAGGTGCTCATGCTACCCACCACCAGAAGCTTCGTCTTCGCACGTGTAAATGCGACATTGATACGCCGCCAATCTTTGAGAAGGTCGCCAATATTGCAAGCATCGTTGCTTCGTACAAGACTCAGAACAATGACTTCTTTGTCACGACCTTGGAACCGGTCCGTAGTGTGCATTTCGACACCATGAAATCCTCGAAGCTGATCCTTGAGCATGAACAATTGAGCACGATAATGTGTCATTACTCCAATCTCGTTACTGGGAATACCAATGGAGAGGAGGCTATCGACGAGTTGAGATACGACGCGGCATTCGGCCGAGTTGACAATACGTTTGCCTTGGGCCTCCTCTCGAACCAGCGGCTGGATTGTATCAGTATCAAGAAATCGTACACGAGCCTCGCTATCCAGAACATCGGAAAGCCAGCAACGCCCAGGAACAGGTCCCGTACAGATAGATCGTGGCGTCCCAGCAAGACGTAGAGATGTCGAGTCAAAATGCTTCAACTTCAGCGCTTCCATTTTCGGTATGTCTAGTTTGCGCTTGCGGAGAGATTCTGTGCCGCAGCGCAGCCGCCCGTCATAGATCAATGTATTGCTCAGAGTCATAATGTCCTCGCACATGCGATACTGATGCTCGAGATTGACCACGGATTCAGGGTGCGCGTCGGATAGAAGTTTGAATAGGCTCACGTCCAAGCCGCCTTCTCGTGCTTCTTCATTTTTCACCACTGGCGGTAATTGGTTGTGGTCACCAACAAGAACAAAAGTACGAGCCATTCTGATAGGTCCCGCACAGATAGGCAATGTAATTTGGGATGCTTCATCCACAATACAGTAATCAAATGAGCGCTCGTGGAAAACGGGGTGGTTGATCCCCAGACAGGTCGTAGCGACGATTGGAGACTCGTGCCATGCTTCCTTAATCTGCTCATACGATTTCATTGGCAGGCCGGCCAAAGTGGCAAACTCCTTTACTTCGGGGTGCACCTTACTAGGAACACCCAGCCTCAGAATAGGGGTATTGTCCGACTTGAGCTTGAGAAGAATATTGTCAACCGCGGTGTGTGTGTGGGATGTGAGAAGCACGCTTTTCCCTTGAGATGTCAGTGCTCGGATGATGTGGGCGATAGTTGTCGTCTTGCCCGTACCAGGCATGCCCAATACCAGGGCGTAATCTTGCGCACTCATGACTTTCTCGATGGCGTGTTTCTGGTCCACATTCAAGCTGTCTCCATCGGTGACGGTGTATTGAGTTGCGACAGGCTTGAATCGGGGTGGTTCCATGTCAACAATAACCTGGCGCATTCTTCGTGCGTGAGGGATGTCATCGGCCATCATCTGTACAAGATTGTTCCTGACAGTTGCCATGCCATTGCTGAATTCATCTTGATCCAATCGATACCGAATTGATGGAACTTCATCCTTCCCACGGGCCTCTCCTTGAGAACTAGCTCCTAGTTGTGCCTCCATAATCCCGGCAAAGACTTGATTGTCGACCTCATCAAAACCAGGTTGTCGGATCCGAGCGTTGTGCAAACGTCTATCAACGGCGACACTGACTTTGTCTTTTCGAACAGCCGTGATGTAACCAATCGCCAGGGCAAAGTGACCCTCTTCATCAGACACGACCACTGGCTCTCCAGTACTGAGCTCTGATTCAAGGAAGGAGAAGCCTGGCACATGCTCCCTTTTGATAAAGGTGTAGTGAAACCTATTGATGCGCGGGATATCAGCATCGATGGATGCAGACCCTGGCTCGATGATAACATCCGAGAAGCAACGCGACTTCTTTTCCCGTTCTGCGCTCGTCATCGTCCAGAGCTCTCGTTTCATTTTCTGGCTCTCTTTCTCCTCTTTGGTGATGAGATTGTCCCATTTGATAAAGAATTCCTGGTGCCGTGTCGAGAGATGTTTCACCACTTCATCAAATTTTTGATCCATACCGCTGGTCTTGCCGTCTCCATCGTCTGCTAATCGATGGTAAATAAAGCAAGACGTTTTAGCATAGCAGTTACCACACATTCGCTTGTTCTTCAACATTGTTGGTAGCTGGATGCTTCGCTCTCGAATATGACACGCAAGTTCGTTGCGTTGCATCACCATATGGCGTAGCTCGTGCGCAATCGCAGGAATCCGGAGTGTTTTTGACGTTTCCATATAATAAAGAATACCGCAAGCGATGTCGATATCGTAACGATCCGAGAGCAACATTGTATAGAGTGACGTTTGAATCATGTGGTTTGAGTTCGAGTTCCTTCCTGTCTTGAGCTCAAAGGGAACTGTCAGGGTTCGCTGTTTCGGTCCGTCCTGGATTTTCACTTCCACGGTAGCATCGATGTTGCCTTTAAGCCCATACATTGGAGACCAAACATGCTCTTCAACATCGAGGAGCTTGGTTAGCGCCATTTGCGCCTTGTTTCCTCGACGATCCTCGACAAGAGCATCAACCTAAACTCTATTAGTATGTGAGATCGTTGTCATTATAATTCTAGATGAACCTACATTAGGTTGGGACGACACAAAACTCGATGCCCAAGATGCGAGCCCAGCCATCTTGGACTCCAGATGTTCTCGTGCCACTGCCATGCTAACTTTGATCGTATACAAGTCTTCCACATGCTTCTCCATGACAGTTTCAATGGTTTTCGACAGAAAGCCTCGGCTCCACTGGTTTGCCAACAGAGCTGCCTGGAAGATTTCGTGAAGCAGTGTGCCATAAACCAAGGGCGGAGATGGTTCGCTAGTTGCTTTGACTCTGTCCTGAAGAACAGCACGTCTCATGCATCCATACGAGTCCGCAACAACCGTGGAAGAAATAAGCTGGTCAGGGTGCAAAATGAGAAGGTTCTGGAGGTCGTCGATAATGCATTGACCCTTTTCTGAGAACTGTCCAATTATGTGGACGTAGGCTTCAGCATGAACCGGCGTATCATACCAGCTACCTCGCAATAACACGGTTCGATATATCTTCGAATTCTCCGCCTTGATTAGCAGAACCTAATGGATGTTAGCATGTCATATATCAAATAAAAAGAAAGCACTGCAAACCTTTTCGATCTGGGTGGTTCCACTGTCATCGACGAACTCCCCATCTAAAACTTTCGTCACTAAATATCGCTGTATAGTCTTGGATTTTCCACCGGTCTACCTTCACTTAGCGCTGGCTACTTGTTAGATCCTTTCCGACGTACTGGTGTTATGAGTCCACGAGATGGGTTCTTTGGCTGTGTGCTTTGGTTGACAGACTGGGTAGCTGCCAGTTCGATCGCATCGAAATCAAGGTCGTCGTCCAGATCTCCGAACTCTTCGTCGTCGAATTCTTCAATATTTGCGTTTGCTCCTGGCGCAGCGCTCCCGGGCTGTTGTGGTACAATTGTCTTATGATCGTTTTGCGGATTTTTTTGTGACAAGGCCGGAACAAGATTTGCGGCCTCTTCGAATACATCGTCATCTAAATCGCCAAATTCGTCGGTTGCATCGGTTCCACTGATGGGGATTTCTGGAGCCTTATCTGCCTTCAAAGCTTGGGTGGCAGTTATTGTGGCTTCCAGCTCCAAAAACGTGTCTTCGTCAAAGTCGTCGTCGCCATAGTCCGAGGCATCTTCCGTCTCAAAGTTACTCTGTTTCGATCGGGAGGGTGACTTGTCTTGCCTAGCAGATGCTGGCCTTTTCGATGGAGATGGCGAGTCCGGTACCTGGCGCTCGTTATCCGGTGAGCTGCGTTCCTGCATACTCCCAGAGACCGTGTCCAACAAGGCTGACACCATGGAATATTTCGAGGCTGCTTCCATTTCTCGTTGTTCGTCGCCAGCGACGTTGAATGACCTTGAATTCTCAATTTTCCTCCTCTTCGGGCACTGCAGGCCGTGGCTCATGGACCGTCGCAAGCTGCCTTCACCTCGCCGGGGTCCATTAGATGGTCGTGGAGAGGATGATATCATCAGCTGCGCCAGCGTAGGGTTCATAGCCCCAATCGCAGAGGTGCTTGGGCTCTCGCTTTTGTTCAGCGAATACCTATCCCAGAGTTCCAGTGTCGGGTCCGCGTGGGGAGACTTCAGGGCTTCCTTGAGCTTCTTGACGTTCACAGCCGGTGTCTTATCGAAAGATGGTGACGAAACCGGCGATGAGCTTCTAGCACGTTTTTTCCGCCGTGACATTGGCGATGGCTTCTTGGCGCTCTCCAGTCGGTTATCCCACATCAATCGATCATTCGGGGACGTCTCTGCTTCTTCTTCTGGCGAACCGGTGGGATTCACGAAATCTTTCCAGCTGAGCCGAGGTTTGGGCGTAACGTAGCTCCCATTTCCAGCCTCTTCGGAAGGCAATTGCCTATCAACTGGAGAGTCCGTCCTGCCAGCGCTGCTCGCATCTTCCTTCTCCGACTGGTAGATGAATTTATTTAGCTTTTTCTTGGTTGTGTCCGATATGGGTTGAAGAGGCCTAGAGCTGGGCGTTTGGGGATTAGACGGGTTGCTTCGAGATCGTTGCCATGTCGAGCGCTGCTGTGAACAATGTCAGTCGAATACACAAAGTCAACAAATGGCACCGATCAAGAGACTTACTCTGGAGTATCCAAGATGCTCAGAATAAGACTTCTGAAGAGGCATTATAAGCACCAAAAAGCCCAAAAATTCCAAGTGCCTCTCAACATCTGGAGAAACACAGGACGATGTTCAATGGCAAGTTTGAAAGCGCTGCTACTACCAGGTGGGCATTAACAGTGAAGACTGGCAACCGCGCCGGCGCGTAAAGAGAGACCCTTGACGCGACCTCGGCCCCACTAATAACGCGCCATCCCAGCAGCCATTTAAACAAAAGGTACGTACCGGATGTGACGTCTCGGACCGCTCGGACACGTGATGCTTGCATTTATCGATAAAGCTGTCGATGATGGCATCAGTGTGAACCAGATACACCTCAGGTGCTTATAAGCTGGGAACTTGTTAACAAGTCTCTCTACCTATCGATGTCAAATTGAGTGTCAGAGAACTTCTGAAACTACGTCTCCCAATGGACGACCCAAACAATGACAGCCGCAGCAGCAGCAGCGGCCATCAGGGCGGCGATGGCTCCCGCCGCAACCTGGTCTACGCAGAGAGGTTCAAAGAACGGCTAGAGTCGATCTCCCAAGAGGCGCAGATTCTCTCCGAAATAACCAAGCCATACCGCGAAGAAGCCCGCCAGCAGATCAACCGCGCAATCCCCGAAGGCAATTGGCCTGCCTACATGGCGATCAGCGGCGTCACGCGGGACAAGATCATTACCCATGGTGAGGGGCTCATCTCGGCCCTCGCGGCCACCAACAACACCAGCCTCGAGGATTCGCAGGTGCAGGCTGTGGCGGACAGCCTGATGGCCAATGCTCGCACGACATCCATGAGCCAGTGGGGCATGTTCTCCGGGACGCTTTATATGGCCTACCGGAACCGCCACTCAATGCCCCTCCGTCTTGCAGCTTCCAAGGGTCGCCTGTTCAAGTATGTCTGGCCCGGTGTGCTGTTCCTCGTCTATTCCATCCCTGTCTCGCTATTCCTCTCTCCCATTGTGACGGCTGCAGGTGCCAGATACCACGCGGGGAATTTTAGAAATGACCCTAGGCTGAGCAGCCTTTCGCTTGACTTGAGCGAAAACCTTCACCGGCGCTTGCAGAGCGCACAAGGGCAAGTGCCCAACCAAAGATACGGCGAGAGAAGCCAGGATAATTCGGACACGCCGTCGCAGAGATATGAAGGAATCCAGCAACCAGCAAGCCCTGGTTGGATGCTAGCTAAGAATATTCAATCACCACCACCCAGCTCTCCAACCAGTGGTTGGGGAGTATCAGACGATGAGGATGACGACGCTTCACCTATTGCTTCATCGGCTCGACGATCACCGCCTGACTCCGGTCTTTCAAAATGGGAACAATTGCGAATTCAATCAGGGTCTCAACAACGCCCAACTCGTTCGCGACCACCCCAAGAGAGCAATAGCAATGGCTTGGGCTCCACTCAATCATCAGACTCGGGGGATGACGATAGGGCAAGGTCACAAGCACAACAAGAGTTCGATGCGCTCTTAGAGAAAGAGAGACAAGGCACTGGAGAAGGGCAAGCATGGGGCAGGAAATAAGATACAAGTAAAAAGAAAAGAAAAAAAGGAAGACAATTCCATTGTAGTTATTCATTGGCGCAACCGCGCGGCATTGTATCATCATATTTTATATCCTACTCTTCACACAGAAGCTCAATGTCGAAGTTTATTAATTAAACACAACAAACTTCGGTAGATTACATAACTAAACTCAACAACAGACTACCAAAGCCATCGCTTATCCATTCCTGTATTTTTTTTACGGCTTGACTTCATCCTTGACGGTTAATGGCTCAACCTCGCTTCCCTCGGCTGTCTTCTCTACGGTTGCCTCCAAAATACTCTCGCCGGCTGTGTTTGCGGCGAGACTCTTGGTCTCGACCTCCGTGGTATCAACCTCCGTAGCGTCGACCTCCGTGGTATCGGCCTTCTTGATTTCAGTTTCCTCGTCAAGTTTTTCCTTGCTCTCATCCTTGACCGGTTCAGGTTCGGGGGCGGCCAAGGTATCTGATTGGGTTTCTGATTTGACCGGTACTTCTGTAGTGGTGTCGTCACTTGCAGGTATGCTCTGAGGCTTATCCACTTCTTCACCTTTGACGTGAACGTCTCCCACGTCAGGGCTGATGGACCATACACTTATCGATGAAGATAAACTCAGTGTGAGTTGTGGTGCAGTCTTAATCTCAGTAGCAATGCTTGTTGCTGGAGCAGGGCTCTTAGCGGGAGCGCGACGCTGTGGACCACGTGCCCGACCCTTTCGAGCATCAGACAACGGCACCTTCTCCTTCTCCTCAGCTGCCTCCGGGGCATCTGAGGCAGGTGCTTCTTCCTTCTTTGGTGCCTGTGGACCAAGCTGGAGACGCTTATTCAGGTCGCTCATGAATCCGGCCTGTAGTGCAGCAATCTTTCCACCCACGGGTCTACTTGGTACAGGAGGCTTGGCTTTCGGGGCGTCACCATCCTTCGAGTCACCAGAAAGACCCTTTGAAGGCCGGGTAGGAATCTGAGGCTTCGGCTTATCCGATACGGCGGGCCGCTGCTTTTCATCACTGGGGGTTTGCTTTGGCTTGGGTCTGCTCGGAATAGCTGGGCGTTCGGAAGAATCCGGGGATTTTCTGGCAGGGCGAGCTGGTACTGAAGGGGTAGCTTCTTCAGTTTTCGAATCCTCGTCTGGTTTCGATTCCTCTGGCTTTGGCTCATCCTCGGGTGACTCGATGGTAGCCTCATATACATGACTCTCTGGAACATCCTCCCAAACATCTCGACTTGGGAATCGATGACCAGAACTTGGCCTCTCTGGTTTCGCCTCTGATCTAAGGTGGGCCAAATGAGGGTTCCAAGGGGACTGCTTCTGTTCGGGCGAGGGTAAGAATGCAGGCGAGAGGCCTTTTGCTCGACCGCCCTCGGCCTCTTGCTCTGCCAATTGTTCTTGCTTCAGGGCAAAAGCATGTGCGGGGGTCAAAGGTCGGTCCTGGCGAGATCCTGAAGACCTTGAACGATCATGCTTGGGCTCGGGTACGTCTGGAGTTGATACAGCCGCCGTGTAATGGACACTATCGGGTGCGTCTTCCCAAACATCCTTGCTGGGAAATGGACGATGGGTCTTGGAATCATCTGCCCGCTCCTTCTTCTTGCGCTCATCGTCTTTGCCTTCAGGGAAAAGTGGCTCGTACTCCTCGACGTCATCAAGAGGCGTGGTTCGAATCTCTGGCTGGGTTTCTTGATGCATGCTTGCAGGCCGACTTGTGGGACGGCTGGGTGCATCATCCATCTCAAATGCGCTTCCCACGCGCGCTGGTGGGGGGTGCACAGCAGGCTTTTGATAATACGCTCTCGAATCCGAAGCTACTTCATCAGCAGCCAAAATGGGAGCTGGATACTCCTCCGTGTCGACAATTGCTTTCTCATCGGCGCTAGGATGGCGGTATTCGGGGTGTGAGGGATCGTCCACGTGGATCGCCCCGTCGTCTGTGTCGTTCCCTCCCTCGGGGAGAACAATCTCAGGGCGAGATGAGGTAGATGAGCCAGTCTTTCCATTTGCTGCGCTGGAGGTAGGACGTGGTGTGGCAATGCGATTGGCATATTCCTCGCTTGCCTGGAAACCAACTTCGTCAGTGGGAGTGCTGCGATATTCTGAAGAAGTTCCTACAGCCTGTTAGCCTACAACGCCACACTTCTTGACCAAGACATTGCTCGCATACCAACTCCAGCTCCACGGCTGGCTGTGTCCCTGACCAACTTGTTCAGTTCAGCGCTAGTCATTGCGTAGTTATTTTGCGAATCATGAATTGGTGTATATTCGTCCCTCTTGAGTGCGTCTGGGTTCTTCTCATAGTACGCCTTTTGGAGCTTGTCCTGAGGGCCCACGCCATGGCCGTGAAGGCCGTAGCTACCAGGAGGCAGGCCACGAGAGCTATGCTTACGCTGATGTCCCTTACTAGGGGTATCATTATCAGGGAACGAAGGTGCCTGGACATCACCAAGATGCGGATTCATGGGCACACGCTTGCCAATCTCGGGAATGCCATGCTCTTCCTCAAGTGGGGTTTCATTGTCGCTGCCGGTCGACAAGCTAGTGCTAGGCTTCTTCTTGATCCCATCGCGGGATGCAGCGCGGCCAATTCCAAAAGAGGCCGCCCTGTCAGAGTCGGTGCGTGTGACAACCTGGACTCGCTGCTTGGCGCTATCAGCAGGTAGAGAAGGCCTGGGAGCATGTAGGTGCAAGTCTTCGGCGACCGTGCTGGTGTGTTCAGGGGGAGCTGTTCCCTGATTCAACTGCTCCTCGGCCTTGTGCTGGATTTCCTCTTGCACAGCACTATATTCAACACCCTCTTCGCCAACAGAGGGCATTGGGACGCTCCCAGCTCGCTCGATGGGATCTTCGACCGGCTCATGTATGCTATATGACGGGGACAGAAGAGCGGGCTCATTCTTGGAAAAGTTGCCCTCGTGGAACGGTGAGGGAGCGAACCGCTCGGGGTTAGGTGAGACGGCTCGATCGAGTTGCTTCCTTGCCGGTCGAGGAGGAACCTTGGGCATTGAGGCGCTAGAGCTGTCCTTATCCGGGGATTTCCTCGAGGGGCGAGGGGGCACTGCAGGCGCGGGTTGTACTGTGGCGGTCATGATTAAAAGCTAGTTGCTGTCGAAGTAAAGGAAATATAATTCTATTGTAGAAGAGAAGATGTTAGAACTGCGGGGTTTCGAGATTGAGATTAACGGTATAAGACAGTAGGCAAGCGAGATGAAGCGAAAGTGTTGCGCGCGTTACGTCAGACCAGGAAGGAAGCACGGGGCAACGGAGTGTAGTGGCAGTCAAGGGGGGGGTCACAGGAAGCCAATTCAGCCACGCGCGATGGTTATCAGTGAGCCAATTCGGCTTCTCTGACTGGCAGCCGCTAGATAACTTGCCCCTTGCCTCCGGGAACCTGATTTGCAAATCAGAAACACCAAAAGGTGTGCCGGAAGATCGGTGAAGCTTCCTAGCTCAATTCCAATTCATCCGCCGATAGGCGTTATCTGCCGTTGGGCGATAAGCACTACCAGCTGCATCTTGCAGAGAGAGTGCTTCCCTGGATTCCAAGCCCCTGGGCGTGCCGATGATAAGGAGACCGCACGGAAGGTGTGTGGTCATGGCATTGGTCATAGTCACTTACAGGAATAATAACGTAGTAGAGGCAGGCGCGATTGCAAGCCAGATAACACTTCACCCGAGCAGCAGAGGGGGACTGGGCATTGAATTGGAGTAACACGAAACCAAAAAGGGGGGAGGTTACGGTGTGAGCTTCCAACAGCTGGACAAGGGCTCTATTAATACTTTCATGCCAGCGGCAGGAGCACACAAGGTGCAATTGCGCCAGTTTGGGCAGCTTCTGGTTCCTAGAATTCTGCCTCTCAGGTGACGCTTGGAACCACCGTCACCAGCTAAGAAAACCAAGGACAATTGATAAGGTACGTACAGTGTCCGACCCCGGTCCAGTCTGGTACCTTTCCAGGCCCAGTCCAACAGGGGTCGGTCAGCATCGAACTCCCACAGTGCAGATCGAGGTCCCTTACTTCACTGTGCATGGCTGCTCTATCACTTTTTCCAACTGCAAACGTTTCTCCTATTCGTGCTCTCGGGGGTCGAAAGCATGTCATATCTCCTCGTTCTTTCTTGTGTTATCTTCTGGGGCTCACTCAGTTGCCCCACGAGCAATTTTCCCCGGCTCCAGAGCGTGAAATACAGCATTCCCAAGGTAGAGTTCTCATCGGCCCAACGCAGGCCCTTAGCTTGGGTCTAGATACGCTGACCATCAGGGGCGCAAGCATTGGCTTAGCCGAGCTCAGTCCCCAAAGCGCCCGTGACCATACAGTGTGGGAAGATTTTGTCCCCCGCATACGGTAGGTCACGACCCACCGACCGGTCCTGATTCTGGCCCGCCGGTGTGTCGACCAGAACCATGAATCGCCAGCTCTTCTGTCACAATCCTGCGTGCTCAGACATGGTTTGTATCAGATGCGAGCTGCAGTGCCAACACGCTGGGCACACGTTGTTGGTCATGGCCAGTAGTAATTGGCCAGCTCGCAAGATGACAGTCTGTTGGCAGTTGAAGATGCTGGTCTCGCAACGCCGCCGAGGTAATAACGAGCATGCACCTCGTCAGAGCTTGGCCCGTATGTACAACCTAACGGCATCGGTGCCCACTCAGCCGTCATCGATCTTGAGGCCGCCGTAACGCCTCTGCGCATTTGCTTCCGTGGCGTCTGCTTGACCAGGCGGTCGTGGCAAAGAAATCGCTCCACCACTAGAGAAAACACTGTAAATGCGCAACAATCGAGATCAGGAAGCCTGGAGTGAGAGAATAATGCTCCAAAGCGGGTGACCGGGCCCAACTTGTGATAGAGCCCTTTTGCCCATGGTAGCTTCAACATGCCCGTAGAACCAAAACCACAGTAGCTTCCCTTTCGACGTCCCATTTGGAATGGAAAGCTGCAGACAGATGACGTGACACATTGTGGGTTTTCCCCAGTTCTTCAGCTGATCGACTAGGCCGCTGAATCGATCCGCCTTGTAAGAGCACCTACATACATACGCACAAGGGGCATGCATTGCAGGAACGAGTGAGACGCGAGCCTTTGAACCGATGCTATTATTATCATGTCAATGCCTGTCTACATAATAGCCTATTACTGCGTCACTTGGGGAAGGCAGCTCATTGGCATCATATCACATGCCCAATGCTTCCCAAGACGTTTTGCCTGCTTGCCAAACTAACTTTGTCGGATGTTTGGTCTTCATGCATGTTGTATCGATTTGGGATATGTGCGGGGACCTCTCTATAGCTGGTGGGGTTGCGGAAGTCTGAGGCCATCACGAGACCGACTATTCTTTTTATAAAGAAATAGCCTGAACAGGCACACTGTTCTGGATGCTGCCAGTTTAGCCAATGAAGGTAAGCTCAAATAGAATGCTGCTATTCATACCACATCTATATACGTGCCAATCACACCTTAAGAGGAAGAAGAGTGCTAGCGCCAGTTCGAAGCAATCCGTCCACTTGTCAACGGTCCACCAAGCCAATACATATATTGGATTTGCGTATGTACTACAACGAGGCTTCAGTCGCACTGCACCCACGAATCAGTTCACAAGCTTCGGATATCGCTAAGCTGAAAATAAAATGCCAGTAAATTCCAGTTACAAGAGCCTCCCTAAGAGTCATCCCAGACGCCATTCCCAGCCTTACAAAAGGCCGATTCTCTAATCGAAGGATTGTGAGACATCATACTACGTGATAAGGTAAAAGTGAAGTAAGAAGAAAGGGGGAAAGAAATAAAACCAAGAAGAAAAAGAAGTAGAAAAAGAAAAGAAAGGGCCTGCAACCAGGTCCACCATACTGTCCAACTCTCGTCTCATTTTGTCACGGACGAATCACGCTCTCCAGTCATCAATTCGTCTCGTTCTTTCAAGCGCCATAACGGTCATGTTTTGATCCTCCTCCACATGCGCCCGTGCTGCCGGCTAGTGAGGACCGTAGCATTACACAATCATCTCAGCAACTCCCTGGCCACCCAGGGTCTTGCTGCCAACGAAGGCCTGGCCCTTGATTGCTGCCAGGAGATAGCAGAAGGCGGTAATCGCGAGGAAAACGGCGGGAGCAATGAGAGCGTCGGCTCCGTCAATGAGGGTCAACCACTGAATAACAGACATGACAGCGTATACGGAGGCGCGCATATAGTTGGTCGAGACCTTGCGGATCATAGCATCGAACTTTGCGGAAGTTGGGCAAATTCGGAGCAAAAGGGGCACTTCGACGAATAAAATGATTAATGATGACGCGCTGCACCAGTGAGTCAGTGGAAATGGTCGGCAAGGGGTGCAATCCCAGGAGTGAAGTCGTCTCTTACATCGCGAAAGCAGCAAGAATCAGAGACAAAGGCTTAATGATACTGGTGATAATAGTTGTAATACCAGTTGCCATGCAAAGAATCATGGACAGAATACCGAACCTAGGAATTAAAGTTAGCCAAAGCTCCCTCAAATGTTCTCAACCACTGTTCCCCCAATAGCCGATAAGCAAGCCACCAGATCCTGGGCGAGTTCATGCTCGCTATGCGGCCAGGAGCGCCAGGAGAGCGATGGGGTACAGTTCGCGTCGAGTGCATCTTACCATTGTCCATAAATGCCTACAGCCAATGTCAGTCAGATGTTCGTCAAGGGATAGCGAGGCTCGAATGGAAGCTTCTTACTGAAGTTTCTCGTTTGGAATTCCTCCTTGAGCGTCATGTTGGGCTACCGTCTAAAAGCTTTGAAGCTAAGTATTGAGTATGTAGTGGGCGGAGGAGCGCAGGAACAGATCCCGGATGAGAAGGACGGCGCAATCGAAGACGGGTCGGTGCAGCAAAAGACGTATGTTGCAAGTTTGTTTGGAGCAGTGTGTCGTGAGTGGAGTGTTTTTCTAAGTGTGTCCGTGGAACGATGTTTGTAGATGTCGAACGTCGCGGAAGGACAGGTTTCCGTGGTCGTTGGGGAATGATGTATGTACGTAGCCTTCTCCCTCTTAGTGGTGAGACGTCTCCGTTTTTCAGAGGCTGGTTGCTTGGCTCTGGTTCTGGTACGCGGTCGTTGATTGGCTCTTACACTAGCAGCCCCGCCAAATACCCCCAAGATTGACACTGAAAGCAAAGGAATCCCGACACCCGTCGCTAACAGCTCTGACAAGGGGTCTTTTTTCTCGCTAGTCAGCGGTTCAGGTTGGCTAGCGACTGTTATTAATACTGCTGGGACGGGGGATCCAATTCAACTCTAGTCAGACAAGGACTCCGATCCGTGTGCGTTCGAGCAGATTATCGGCCATATTACAGCGCACAGATATGCTGCTACAAATAGTAGAAGGGCATGGATGATACGAGCCTCCATCCAGAGGCACCTGGGTGGATAAGGTAGCTCATTCTTGCACTGGTGCCTGCCCCCGCTTGTACGTAGTCCGGTAGCTCGCAGCTACCGAGAACGAGGTAGCCGCTGGGCGCATCTGGGGCGCAGCTACCAGTTACGTCTCAAGCTGCGGTCCGGTGGCAGGGCCGCGTAACTGGTTCCACGTCAGGAGGCACCCAGGCAGAGGTAGGTAATACTACTTGCAAGTTGAAGGTAGATGGTTATATCGTTAGGCATTTCCGAGTATTGTCTACCTATTCTTCTTGTTAGCTCCACAGGCAGCATAGCAGATGCCTTGATAGCCATGAGCCGACTGCATTGCATTGCCTTGAGGCTATTGCTGTACTAGTGGAAGTATAGATGCCACGCAAGAGCTAGCGGTCGATGACTGCCAGATTAGACCTCAAGGGTATGCACAGGTAGTAGACAACAACGACAAGCATGGGACTGCAATGACGATCGACTTTTTTAAACAATTGGCCACGCGCATTGAGGCAGATGGATATCTACCGACGAGATGGTACATCCACGATGTATGAGGGCTGTGTTTCATATGCATTGACCAAAAACTCACCGCAGCCGACGGCTAAGTCTGCAGCGATCGGCATCTAGCTAAGGTTTTGAGGTATTCATTGATCTCGATAGGAAAGTTACAGCTCCAAGACGAATGCATCATGCTCACGTGATCCACCAATCAAGTATGATCCAGAACCAAGCGAATGCAAGCACAAATCCCTCTTACAACATTTACAGTCTACCTTGAAATAAAAATCGTAATGATTGATGATAATTCTACGGCTAGTTTGAAGACTACGTATACAGCTACTTGTTTAAGCTGCGGCTGCACAAAAGGCCAGTACACACACGAGACTCTCCAACAGAAGATTTCAAGCTCCAAATGCGGGTCTATTATCGCCTTGTAACCTCATATTTAATAACCGATTACGATTACGCGACGCTTTTGGCGGGGCCTTGAGAGCAGCCCGTGAGGATTTCTCCACGGCCAATCGAAGCCAGGAGTTGCCAAGGTGTGATATATTTCTATTTTGGACACTGCACCTCAATTTCTCGGCATTGTGATAGTTTGCTGCTGCGAAGAACAAATGCTCTCTCTCATTCGGCCACATACTATATATAGTGCTTGCCCTCCCGTGTGGTAGGACTCAAGATATTAATTAGCTTGCCATGAAGTGGTGCTCAATGTCCTTCTTCCAGTGAATGAATCCTTGCTATTCTGAGGTTCAATACAATTGTGAAGTTCTTGGATTGTAACTAGGCCGTCGCTTGTTGGCGTGCCTGGGAAGTGGGTGACATTGAAATTGAGACGCTCAAACATTAAGCTGCCTATTGACGAGTCTGCAACCGGTATTATCAAACTATTGAGTAACAAATATATGCTTAAGAGATAATACATAAAACCTATCCTTTTCTTTCATTTTATACTACTGAATTTCTTAATTTATCTTCGAAAGTAGAACCATTGTTCCATTGGGTATCTCATTTCTCCTGTCACCCACTTGCCTGGGTATGCAGATATAAGCATATTGTACCCAGATTCCGTCGCACTGCAGTTAAGCGACATCATGATTAATGATATAATCAGACCGATCAACTTGCCTAATTTGGACCTGCAGATTTGTTCGGCAACACAATGCCGTAAATCACCTCCCAATGGCACCCTAGAACTGGCGGCTATCTGATGACATATTCCTCCTCAGAATGGTACCTCTCTTAGCCTTGAGGTCTAGTAGGACCCAGCCAGCCCTATTTAGCTTATTTCTTTTCGCGAATTTAAGCAGACATTGCATCATTGTCATTGCCCCATTGGACTGGTACCTATCACTTCTCAGATGCCAGGTAGGCTCGGAGCATTTTAAGCTCAGAAACAACATGTCGTTCACAGTGCTTTCGGATGAACAGGTGAGGTCAGTGCTCGAAGATCTCACACTCGACGAATTGGACGAGTTCCGCCAGGTGCTTTCATCAGCGCTTCACCAATTCTCCAAAAACCCAAGAGCCGTACCTGTAGAACCCTACCAGCAACCCCAATATGCGACGACCATTCATCCAGATTCCAAGGCGACGACCTTGTACATACCATGCGCTGGTCCGGAGGGGATAGCTTGCAAAGGTGAGGGATAAGCTGGCGGCAAATTCACTCATTACCGTAGCCAACCCTCATGTAACTAACAAACTATCACATCAGTTATATCTCGCACAACCCCAGATATCATCAAGGATGAATCAGTAAAGCGCATCGCTCCTACAGGAGTAGTCAACCTCTTCTCTCCCGATGGCCAACCTGTAGGGCTGGTCCAGGCCAGCACTCTCACGGCCTTCCGCACGGCGCTCGGCTCCGCATGTCTTCTGTCTCGCCGCAACCACGTCAAGACGCTCACCGTCTTCGGGAGTGGCTCGCAGGCGTATTGGCACATCCGTCTTGCGCTCAAGATGCGCGGGTCCTCGATCAAGCATGTCAACATCATCAATCATCGTTTCTCCGACAGTGCTGCCAGCATTCTAAGGCATCTTATGGGAGTACCCAGCAACGTTCGTAGCAGGGAGGGATGGGCAAACACCCAATTTGCCATGCTGACGCCCTCTTTCCACGATTTCGAGAGGCTGCAGGCAGAAAACATCCTTAATGCGGATGTGATCTACTGCTGCACACCATCCACCGTTGAATTGTTTGACGGAGAGATACTAACCACCCATGAGGGGCGGAAGAAGGGCAGGTTGATTGTTGCGGTGGGGAGTGTCAAGCCAAATATGAGAGAACTTCCCGAGACTATTCTTCGGCAAGCTACCAAGAACCACGACAAACCCCATCGGCACTTCCACAAGCACGCCGATGAAGGGGGGGTTATTGTCGTAGACACCATTGACGGTGTCCTAAAAGAAGCCGGTGAGATTATCAGCGCCAGCATCGGGCCTACTCAACTCGTGGAGTACGTATATGCATAACCCTCTCTACTTATCATTTTCAGTTATTTTAACACCATGTAGACTTGGCGAACTTGTCATGCTGCACCACTTGGCAAATGAAGACTCTGAAAGCAGTACAATTTCCAGCGGCGCATCAACAACCGCGTCTGAGCGGACATCGCTAAGCATCGATGGGCGGGCAATGTCCACAGTGTACGGTGATGAGCCGCGGCCCAAGAGTCCGGCAACATCCGTCTCATCTGACGGCCAGAAGAAGAAATTCAATATCCCCTTTCGCAAGAACTCGAACAACTCGTCGGACCAAGGTGAAAAGAAGAAAGAGGATGCTCTCGTCAGGTGGCTGCGAGACGGAACGGTGATCTACAAATCCGTCGGTATTGGTCTGATGGACTTGTCCGTGGGTTTTCACCTACTCAAGGTTGCGAGTGACAAGAACCTGGGCACGCAAATCCCCAAGTTCACATAGAACATCTTGACAAGGATATATAAGAAAGGTTATGTCAATGAAAGTGATATGTGCATTGTACAACTATGTATGTAAAACATCGTGAAATCAAGGATAACCGTAGCCCTAGCCTGGGCAACATAAAATACAAATCTATTCAGCGACCCAAACGGCGCTCATACCCATACCCGTTCCAATGCACATCGATGTGTTGCCGACTTTCTTACCCGTTCTCTTGAGCTCGTATAGAAGAGTCGACACCTGTCTCGCACCAGTGCAGCCCAGAGGGTGGCCAAAGGCGATAGCTCCACCCTTGGGGTTGATCTTCTCCTGGGGAATGCCCAGCTCGTTGGCGCACCAGAGGCACTGGCTTGCGAAAGCCTCGTTGATCTCATAGATATCCACATCGTCCTTGGAAATGCCAGCCAGATCCAGGGCCTTGGGGATGGCCTTCCATGGACCCTGGCCCATCAACAGAGGCTTGACACCAACAATGGAGGCGCAGACGTATTTGCCAATGATGGTCTGTCCGAGCTTCTCGGCAGTGGAGCGCTTCATGAGCAGCACGGCAGCAGCGCCGTCGGAGATTTGACTGGCGTTGCCGGCGTGGATGCTACCATCCTTTGCGAAAGCTGGGCGAATCTTTCCGAGCGACTCGGCGGTGATACCATCACGCACACCGTCATCCCGGGCGACGGTAATCTCCTTGGTCTCTCCGGTCTTGGGGTCTTCCCACTTGGCCTTGAGGGGGACGATCTCCTCGTTGAAGAGACCTTCCTTTTGAGCCTTGACAGCCTTCTGGTAGGAGGCGGCGGCGAAAGCATCCTGGGATGCTCGGCTAACACCAAGATCCTTGGCCATGTCCTCGGACAACACACCCATAGGGACCTTGCAGTTGGCAGACTCCTTGTGGCCCTCGAGAAGTTCGGAAAACTCCGAGACAGCGTTGGGACTGTGTGACAATGTAAGTAGGGCGAACACATGACAGGGACACCGCTCCAGAAGTAGAAGACTTACCCATACTGAGTGCTCATGCTCTCAACACCAGCACCGATACCAATCTCGATCATGCCAGCGCGGATTTGGTTGGCGACGTCGACGCAGGCCTGGAGACCAGAGGAGCACTGGCGGTTGAGTGTGCGAACGGCAGTGGCCTCGGTGAAGCCAGCGACCAGACTGGCAGCGCGCATCTCTGTGGCACCACCACCAGGGGCCAGCACGGTTCCCACGGCAATATCCTCGACGAGTTCGGGGTTGATTTTAGATCGGTCGATGATGGCCTTCAGGACACCAACCACGAGGTCAGCGGCCTGTGTGTCCTTGAATCCACCCTTGCCTCCCTTGGTGAAGGCAGTTCGGCAGCATGCGGTGACAACGATCTGGACAGTGGAATGTTAGCGACAGTTCGGCCTCAGTGGGCAATGGCTTCAGGGTGCTGCTCACGTCATCTGGTCGCTTCTGGAGAATCTTTTCGACACCGCCGGCGGTGGGGTTGCCAGAGATCTGGCCGCCGATCTGAGATATTCTGTCAAGAGCTTGGGGATCGTTAGCGACATGTTCCCGTTTGATGCGCAAGGGCGGTCTACGTACCTCCCATTGCGACTGTGTTCTTCTTGCTAAGCTTCGCTGAAGGGGTTTGATGGGATATTGGAAAAGAGAGTGTAATAGAGCAAAGTTTGGAAAGTATGGGGTTCAGCAACAATTGAGTGGCGGGCTATATTAATATATGCCGGGAGCAGAGTTGCAGCTCGGCCCGTGTTCACTCAAGATCGCTGATGTCAGCTGTTCGCCTACTGACCTGGAGAACGGCCGAGGCACGTCTCAGTGGCCGGACTTGGCGCCGGTCATGCCGCCAAAAACGCTTGGCGTATTTTCACATGCTTGAACCTTCCCCAGATTTCTCCGCGCACGTGCCGTCGGCTTCTCCATCTAGCCTACCCTAAACAGATGTGCATCAAGATCTACGCCGCTCGGAGGCGCTGCCACATGATGTACAACATTGATCGGGGTTCTTATAAATCGCTAGCCTGGTATGCAGCCTTGGCTCCGTATTACATGTGAGATGCCTTGGGTGGAACTTTTTGGTCATGCAATCTCTGTAATTCTCGCCGTCTTATACAATTTACTAACCCCTAAACTTATACCAAAAACCCTCATACTGACATTGACACAATCAACCAGATATGAACGCCCCCCAAGTCCTGTAGTCTACTGCTTCTTCTCCTCAGGACTAAATGTTAAACTGATGCTGTTGACGCAGTGGCGCTCGTCAGTTGGCGTAGGGAACCCCTCGCCCTTGAAAACATGGCCAAGGTGACCACCGCAATTGGAGCACACAATCTCAGTCCTCGTCATGCCCAGGGTGCTGTCTTCATGGCGAGTGACGGCTCCGGGGATGCTATCAAAATAGGCTGGCCAGCCGCAGTTGGAGTTGAACTTCTGCTTGGCCTTGTACAGGGGTGCGGCACATCCCGCACAGGCATAAACGCCCTCCTCCGGGTAGTGCTTGTTGAACTCTCCGGAGCCCGGAGCCTCGGTACCTTTCTGTCTCAGGATACGGAACTGCTCTGGATTGCGAAAGCTCTTAGTCTGCATGCCACCTCTTCGAATGGGGTTCAGTATTGCCTACCTTTGTTGAGGATGGCCTGCCACTCATCATCGGTGCGTTTGTCAGGATAACTCATGTTTGATGAAGTGGAGGAAGGGGAGCCGAAGAAAGATTTAAGAAACGACATGGGCTGGAGTGAAACAGGTCGGATGAGTCCTAGGCGGGCCTGATGTAATGGTCGAGCGCCTCTGGTAAGTGTGGATAGTGAGAAGAGCGATGATGCCAGGACAGGAGACAACCTCATCGAGTGTGAGACGAAGTGATATGTTTGTTTTATATAGAATTATCCAAGTCGCTGATGAGCGTGACAAATAATTTATGAGGCTGTGTTGGAGAAGTTGATGGAATTTGAGTCTGTAGCATCATCGCAAGAGGCAGTGGCGAATCAGAGACGCCCCCTCACCTAAGCTATTTACTCGTCCCGCAGGGCTTAGTGATCCCCAGATACGCCATACGCCTGCAGTTGCGTGCTCGAGTCTGTGCGGAGACATCGACAGTGTCTTATGTCACACTTGCTGCGTACTGCCACAGCTGGGCAACATTAAACATGACAGATGCGCGAGAGGCATCGATACACTATGTACGACATAAATTCAAAGTAATCGCCAGCAGCAACAGAGATAAGACAATATGTGGTTTTCAAACCATCTCTCAATTCCTCTTCCATTTATTCCTCATGTTGTCAACCTCAGGTTATCAAATCAACGACTCAAATATCGGAGAATTGGATATGCCACTCTGTATCTTACATTCACAATACCCTGCCCTGTGCTTATCCAGAGTAGTACTAATGTGACGGTTTGGGGAGAATCTTAATTGCAAGGCGCGGTTGTCATCAGAAATACTGCATTGGGACGGAAGCCCAACTACATGGGGTTTTAGGCATAAAGGCTACAACTTTTCGTAACACTAGGCAGCTCATTTAAAACTTGCCAGTTAGGCAGCTACTGAAGAGCAGGAGAGCACTTTGATTAATATGAAGGGCCAAGCAAATCGCAGAATGTGGCCACCTAATCCCCATAATATTAGGTCCGCCTACAGAAAGTTACAATAGGGGCTTCATAGGCGGCTGAATTTCCATCCATGCGCACCTTGCACTGAAAAATAGTGGAGACTCGATTATGCTGAGGCAAGTTCCAGGATCTCCAAGAAATCAATCCCTTTGCCCAACACTGGCGTAAACGACTTCTTGATAGCCTTTTGGCATCTCGCTTGCCATCACCTCCTCCTCTCCAACTTACCGCAGCCAAGCCACCGAAGCCGATTCCCATCTCCTTAGTATCATTAGGCCATACCACAGAGTTCCAAAGCAAGCATGTCAAGGCGAGCACCAAACCCCGCGGCAGAGCGGGCGGCGAAGAACCAAGCGACGATCAAGAGCCTCTTGAAGCTTGAGCCGAACAAGATATGCGCTGACTGCAAAAGAAACAAGCGTATGCGACGACACTATATCCCATTGAACCTTTTGTTGCACCTTTGGCTGACCGCTGTTTTGATCCCTTAGACCCAAGATGGGCGAGTTGGAATTTAGGAGTCTTTATTTGCATTCGATGCTCGGGCATTCACCGTGGCATGGGCACACACATCAGCAGAGTCAAGTCAGTCGACCTCGATTCCTGGACGGATGAGCAGATGCAGAGCATCCTGAGCTGGGGCAATGCGCGCGCGAACAAGTACTTCGAGGCCAAGCTTGCTCCTGGACATGTCCCTTCCGAAGCCAAGATCGAGAACTTTATCCGAACAAAATACGAACTCAAGAGATGGGCAATGGAAGGTCCCAGACCAGACCCCGCTACCCTGGGGGCGGACGCCGATGACGATGTGCCCCTGAGCGTGGTAAAGGAGAAGCAGGCGATCGACCGGAAGGCATCTGTCTTAGGCGGCGCACCTCCCCGGGCAGCCCCAGCGCCGCCACCGAAAGCTCCTGCACCCGAAGCTGATCTTATCGGTGGTGATGATATCCCCCCGGCACGTTCGAGTACAGCTGGCCCTTCTGCCGTGAATAGGGTACCTCCCAAGGCTGAACCGGCACCCCCTAAAGCTACAAGCAATGCCTCGCTGCTGGGCTTGGATTTCTTTGGAGAACCGGCAGCTCCTCCTCGCCCAGCCAGCACCACTGGTGTCAGCTCCCCTGCTGGCCAGTCTCGACCTGATTTGAAGCAATCTATCCTGTCCCTGTACGCCTCGGCACCAAAGCCTCAGCCTCAGGCGCCCCAGCAACCGCAGCACCAGCATCAGGGATCCTTTGGCGGTTTGGGCTCAATGCCTCCCCAACAGCAGCAGCAGCAACAGTCATTTGGTTCCGCGGGCGGATTCAACGATGCGTTCAGTACCCTCAGCATTGGAGGCGCCGCTCCGGCCAAGCCCGCCCCAGCCGATCCCTTTGCCAGCTTCGGCAGCGGAAGTGCGAGTCGAGCACCTCCCAAGCCTGCGAGTAACAACAATGCCTTTGGTGGACTGAGTGGAGGTGGTTTCTTTGATCCCAAGCCAGTCCAACCTTCTGCCCCCCAGCACAAGAGCAAGCCTTCGGACGGTGGGTTTGGAGATTTTGGTGGATTTGCCTCTTCTCCTGCCCCTGCCCCAGCCAAACCCGTGCAAACCACTTCATCGAGCATGGGCGATCTTTTTGACCTCTCTGCCCCTGCCCCTCAGACGACATCTCCCCCCCCGCCAGTCGCATCAGCTACAACAGCAAGCAACTCCGTCTTCAACCTCTCTGCGCCTCAAGCAGCCCCCGCGCCAGCACCAAAGCCGGCAGCTGCAGCTACAGCTGGGTTCGCAGCACCGTCACTTTCAGGTGTTGATGCATGGGGAGGAAATGCCTGGGGAAGTCCCGACCCAGCCGCAGCCGCAGCCGCACCCAAGCCAGCAGCTGCCGTGGCCGCTGCACCCGCCATGTCCGATGCCTTCGGCGGATGGGGATCGGGCGGCGGCTCCTTTGCCAACGTCCCCATTGTCCCAGGTTCTGGCGGCGGTTTCAACCCGGCCCCTCAAGTGTCTGCGGATGAGGAGTTTGGTGGATGGGCGAGCAGCGCTGCGCCTGCAAGCAACACCACAGGCAAGCCTGCTGGAGCGGGTGCCGACGAGGATCTGTTCTCCAATGTCTGGCAATAAAATCACGTTCTTTGGGTAGATTTAATAGCAAGCTTCAACACCCCTGTGCGTTGTTGTAGCTGATAGTAGGCGGGGAAAGGATCGTTTGAACAGAGATGATTTATGATCGTAGGCTCGGAGTGGCAGGCATATCAAGGGGCGTTTGTTTTGGCATGTCTGGAGTCTTTTCTTCTCAATTTTCCCCTTTTCCAAATCTTATTTCAATTATATAGATTGTCACCAAAATCGACAAGTTACAGATAAAGCGAATGAAAGCAATTCATGCGTGCAAAGATAACTAAATGCTTCATGGGCTGTATAGGCTCTAATTCCAGACCCCCGGTTTCCCAACGCCAGATATTAATTCCCCATCAAGAAACAAAATCGCCATGTCGTGGGTTCCCACCCTCCCCGCCATCATGCGGAGTGGTGTAAGACTGCCAGCTGAGCGGACCAACGTTTCCATGTTCCAGGTTTCGGCCCATCGCCAACTGATAGCCCAGCGACTGGCATTTTCGACGTATTTCATGCACCCCTTCTTTTACCAGCGAAATATGATTTTTGTGCCGTAATACAGCACTAGGAATGCCGCGATGACGATCCCGGAGAGTTTGAGGATAGCGACCTTGTTGCCAGAGGCGGCCATGCGAGTCAGGCGGCCAGCAGATCCCTTCATCGACGAGGACATGGAGGAAAATGTGTTGGACTGGATGGAGAACGGGCTATGGTTAGCAGAGCGGTTTCGCGACGGGAACTGGGAGCGGGAGAACGAACCGTATCGTCGATCATTTCTTGGCTGCGAGCATTGTCGTAGATGTCGACGGTGACGCCGCGCAGGGCCGTCACCTTGCTTGATAGCTCCTCTAGGCGAGCATTGTTCTGCCGCTCGCGTTCGTAGGCCTCGGACATGGTTGAGGAGCTGTGGTGGTTTTCTGGTCTCGCGACAGTCGGTGTGCCTCTGTGTTGGTCGCTCAGATGCGGTCGGGACTGGGTGGCCGGGGTCAAGGGATTATCGGCTGTTCTGGGTCCCACTGAGTATAGCGGAGGGGGAAGGCGGTAGGGGAACGACGGCGGTTCTGATGCGTGGGAGAGTGGCTTTCGAGGATCGGGATGGCGTTGTTGGCAGTCAGAAAGGGGTGGTGGTCATGACGCAGGTCCAGCATGCTCCGTATGTACGGCAGACAAGGCCAGGATCCATCCGCCTGGGAAGTGTTTCCAAATCCCTGCTGCGCCCCACCATAAAGTCCGGGCGGCTACCCCAGCCACAGCAGCCACCTGTCGACAAAGAGTCTGGGTGGCGCCAAGGTCCGGCCAAGGTGCAAGACAAATCTAGCGGGCTTGGAGTGCGTTTCTAGTGCCAGATGCGGTCACTGTTGCCCCTCATTGCATATACCCAGTGCAGTTGATTCGACGGCGCGCGGCCGTTGAGCTTCCTCGCCCTGCCCCCCTGTAGCCACCTTACGTATTCGTCAAGGCTATGTAATGTCTGGTGACTGGGAACTTCGTCGTTCATTCCTTAGTACCTACTCTGCTTGTTTCCCAGGCCTTCCGCATAAACACCCGCCGTATCCGACGTCGCCATCGCTGCGCGACTCCTCCCCTCCTCTGGAATAAATTGAATAGAGCTTCGGGGATTGTTGCTTGCTGTACCTACGTTCTGTGGCAGCATCCTGTCATCGTGCAGGCTGGCTAAAATCGGCTACAACCCCATTGCGCGCAACCTCATTCACCCCACCTCCACCTTGAGCTATCTCGCGCCGACAACTTCTCGCTCGCTAGAGATCTAGAACAAGAGCTTGACAAGTTTCCCTAGCTCACCAGAGCATTGTTTTTTATATATAAATTATCTTCAAGCCACACAAACCAAAAAAAATGGGACTCCACAATCCTCTCCCGTCGTCTATGGCGTGTAAGTGATTCCGCGACATTCAGAGACAGCAGTCGCTGCCCATACCCAAGCTTGTCTCTCTCGTCCCAGGCGCTGACAATTACCTTCTCTCATGCAGCGGAGTGCAAAAAGTGCGGAAGTATCCTCTCGTCCTTTATCAATCCCCGCCAAGCTTTCGGCCCCGACAAAGTAATCCCCCCATCAATCCTCGCCAACGCAAAAGGTCTTGCCGTCATCACCGTCCTCAAAGCTGGGTTCCTAGGATCAGGCCGTTTCGGTAGCGGCCTCGTCGTCGCCCGACTCCCCGATGGGACCTGGAGCGCACCGAGCGCCATTGCCACCGTTGGCGGCGGTTTCGGTGGCCAGATCGGCTTCGAACTTACCGACTTCGTCTTCATCCTCAACGACAGCTCTGCCGTAAGAACGTTTGCCCAGGCTGGCTCTATCACGCTCGGCGGCAACGTGTCTCTGGCTGCCGGGCCGGTCGGAAGAAACGCCGAGGCAGCGGGCGCCGCATCGTTGAAGGGCGTTGCGGGTATTTTCAGTTACTCCAAGACAAAGGGCCTGTTCGCCGGTGTCTCGCTCGAAGGATCCGGAATCATCGAGCGCCGTGACGCCAACGAGAAGCTCTACGGTACTCGTTACACTGCTCAACAGCTCCTGACCGGTTCGGTGTCTCCTCCACCGCAAGCCCAGCCTCTCATGGCTGTGCTCAACTCTCGCGTCTTCAGCGGCGGCGGCGCAACCGGCAGGACCAGCAGCACAGGCGGCGACGCAATGTACAACGATATCCCTGTCTATGACAATGCGCATGATGATGTTGTTTGGGAGGGCCGCCGGGGCAGTGCTTTTGGCGAGGGTGTGAGCCGGTCCAACACTTCAGCCTCCCGTGGCAGCGACCGCTTTGGAGCTCCTCAACGCTCGAGCACATGGCAGGACGACGTCTATGACAGACCGGGCGTGACCTCGCCGTCCCGTTCAAACACCTTCAATGCCCACAACGACAGCGACTACGAGTATCGGGATCGCGTCAGCTCGACTAAGAAGCCCGCCCCCGGACGACCGACTGCGCCCAAACCCCAGTTCGGCGCCAACAAGACAGCGAGCCTGAACAAGAACGAAGCCGTTGCTTTGTTCAACTTTGACGCGGATCAGCCTGGCGATCTTGGGTTCAAGAAGGGCGAGGTGATCACTGTGCTGAAAAAGACAGAGAGCGACAACGACTGGTGGTGAGTTCTGACACTCAAGTAATGATCTTACGATCTGAGAATCTGGCTAACTTTTGCGTGCACAGGACTGGTATGATCGGCTCGCGGCATGGAATTTTCCCGAGCAATTATGTTAAGATGAAGGAATGAGTTATTGATATAGAATTACTGGTTTCCGTGTCCTATCCTTTGTAACCGCATTGTATCCGGTTGATTGATGATTAGTTATACCGGTTGGCTTACGACCAGTCTCCTTGCTTGCGACGGCGCGGAGAAAAGTGTGACAGAGGTGCTGCTTTACGACTATACACGATTTTGGGGGTCTAAGAACTGGCCAATGGTCTGGAGCGGAGAAAAGGGGTTGATGCCTTGGAACGACTCGTCAGGACTACTTTACTTTATTGCTGTTTCTATGATACTCCCGAGTTGCGCGTTCGTTTCATTCCAGCCATCCACCCATGGGCCGACACAAGGGATGTTTCTCAGTACAACTTGATTCCGAACCATGATGCTTAGCAAGTGAGAGAAGCCTTCGATAAGTAGAAAGGGAGTAAAAGTCTTTGAATAAATGATCTAGTGAGGGGCGACCCTTTGGATTTGCTTTGTTTCGGTGCCAAGATTCAGCAAGCCTGGAATTCGCCGTGTGATAGTTTGGCGATTTCAGAGTGCCAAAAGCCTTTGCGGATTTCCACTATCTGACCTAGGTAATACTCTGCGAGGGCGGCGTCATTCTTTCCTCCTTTGAGGTCTGCTTCAAACTGATCAAACAGTTCGGATGTCATCTCGTTAACTTGCCGAAGCATTTCGTCTGTTACTAGAATAGTAAGTTCATTATTTGCAACCGAACAATTGGATTGGGCTGTAGGCTGCAATTCGGGTGGTGCCGGTTCTTGCTCTTGTAGCACAGTTTCAGAGGACAGATGCGTCTCTGGAACAGGAAGTTCAGGGCGGACTTCTTGTTCAGCCTCCGAGGCCGTACATTCTGGTGGAGAGTCCTTTGCGGAACTGTTTTTCAGAGAGCGGGCCTTCTTGGCCAACCTTGATGACTTTCGCTGTGGCTGTGAGTCTACAATATCTGGTCTATCACTACTGGAAGAGAGGGAACGCGCTTTTAATGGTGCATTGTCGTCGCCTTTCTCCTTCAGACTAGTTGCTTGTGTATTTGAAGGAAATTCGGGGTTTGCATCCGTTGGGCTTGTCACCTCGCTCGGTAAGCTGTCACCGGGAGTGTTGGGTAGTTGACCCTTGATGCTCGCTCTGCTACGTGGTTTTGCCTTATTTTCTGGTTTCCGTTTAGATTTGCTAGTAGAGTTTATGTGGGTAGCATCCTTTTTGGACTCTGCGGAGATCTTGTTGTTGATCTTAGCGCTTGGTGATAGAGGGTGAGCTTTTTGCATCTTTGCCTTTGAGGAATGGCCTTGGTGACTTGATATAGATGCTATCGCCGCGGGACTGGCCTTGATAGTGGTATGATCTTGAGAAGAACCCGTCGCGGTAATTCTCGGAAGGTTCCTCCCCTTTGCTGGTTTCTTTGGCGACCCCGAGGATGTGTGCTTCATCGGCTCAGCAGCTTTGGGTTTGCGCTTACGTTTACCCTGCACCTTGGGAGAGTTGGAATTTGATGGCTGTTCTCTGGTAACCGGATCTTGGTCATCTGTAAATCTTCTTGGTCCATCCTTTTGCGAATGGTCAAATGGAAGGCTTCGAGTTGGCGGCATGAGTTCTCGAAAATGGTGCAGGTTGGGCGACGAAAGCTCCGTGCTACTATCAGACATCTGCCTGTAGACAGAGATGGGAGATGACGGGAACCTGCGGGGTAGGACTGGAGACTGAGATGAGATGGCAAGCCTGTCATTAGAGCATAAATCAGGTTGTGGTGAAAGATCTCCAACTTCAAAAGGGGCTATAGGAGTGGGACTTGGAGGCAGGTTAACGGGATTTTGAGACGAACGCGGTGGAATAACTTGTAGTGGTTCATTATGAGACAAGGTCTTGCGAAGTGGGGAGCTGACTTTGGGCCTGTAGTCGCTGAATGCCTGCTTGCCTAGGAAGACATTGTAAGGGTTAAGTTGACTCATGTATGAAGTCTGGTGCAAGTGAGGTGTGTTGGAAAAGCTGGATGGACATGAGTTTTGCCGAGTCTGAAGTAGTTGATTCGGAATTGATAAATGGCCATTTGAAAGAACCTCCGGATGGGTATCAGGGATCATAGATCCCACATGGGTTTCCCAAGGCAACTCTGGTTGAGCGGCCAGACTTGCGCCGCTCATCATCCCTGGGAATGTTGTGAAAGAGGAGAGTCGAGGTCCGAAATCAGCTGGACTCTCGAAGGCAAGGGTGGAGGTTTGAGAACAATCGTCGCCAACCTCCGTTGTTTCCAGAGCAGCCTCTTTGATAGAGAAGCCGTATTCCTGAAGCATATAAACCGCAAGATTGAACTCGCGTCTGTGCTCAAATGTAGTGACAACGGCATGTTCTTGTTCTTGGACGTCTACACGAAGCTGTTGAGTATCTACCTTGGTGCTTATAGCCTGCGAGAATGGAGGCTTGGTAGGCAGTAAATCACTGAGACGAATAGATAGCTGAGAGAAAATGGTGAATCTATTTGCCCGATTAAATTTTGCGGTCTGAGGCGACCTACTATGCATCGCGAACCAGAATTAACCAGTAGACAAAGAACTGGCTTTTCCCTGGGAGAAGTATGTTGGCCCTCAAGGGTTAGTGTTAATGCGTTGGCCAGCTGGGTCGAATTGTAGACCCTGGACGAGTGCCCGCCAATGATTTCAAGCTCTTTGAGAGCGCAAGCAGTGACGGGGCTCAGAGGACTAGGCATGGTGGGCAGCTTGCCAAACAGTCTATGACAGGAAAATAGCTGTCAATATTGGGTCCTCAGTGACGATGCAGTTCTGGGTGATGAATACCTGGTGGATGAAGCTCGACGAGATGGGCGGTGGGTCCTTCCTTCTACCAGTGGAAGGAAACCGATTGGCTGAGTCATCCACGCCTGCCTCGCCCTGAGTTAAGCACTAAAGTCTGGAACTCACGTGTTAGGAAGGAAGGTTAGCTGCAGGGTTGCTGGAAGGTTTTCGACGCGTGCGCCTACACGTCTGGTCCATTTGTACTATATCCCCAGCTTCAATTCCACCACTTTCCCGTGTCGAATTGATCCCAAAATCCTGGCGGAGCCATAGCGCCTTCCCTCTGATCTCCTTTCGCCGCCTCAATCGCCGATCTGGTCGCCGCTCTACATGACGAAGAGTGCGTCGCGCCGCCATTGACATTTCTAGCTGAAGAGGCCGCGGTGTCCGCACTATACGGCCTTCATTTGTCGCAAAAGGGTCACGACAACGACCGGTTGTCGCACTTTAAAAAGAAAAGATGGAGCCGGCAGACCAAGAAGTTCCCTTGCATACTATCGACCGAACGCCCGAGTATGAAGAGTTTATGAACCGATTGCGAGAATACCATGCGAAGCGCGGCACGACTTTTGACCCCGAGCCCAAGGTAGGGACGATGCACCTAGACTTGCTAAAAGTCTTCAATCACATCGTCGCTAGTGGAGGATACGACAAGGTTTCGGAAGAGAAGCTGGCCTGGAGGCGCATGGCGTCTGAACTCGGCATTGTTTCGACAAATGAGGCTTCGACGGCCTTCGCACTCAAGGAGAAGTTCTATAAAAACTTGGCTGCATACGAGATAAGCACTATTCATAACAAGGAGCCGCCGCCAAAGGATATTCTAGAAGACGTTACAGCCAAAGGCGCCAGTCTCCTAACCCGTACGAGGGAGAATTTCCGAGGCAAGCGGGAAAGCAACGTTGGGGCGGGCGACTCAAACGCATCGGGAGACGACGGTACACCGGTACGTGAGCGCCCTCCCGTGGATCCTGCTGCCAGTGCGCGAGCCTCGCGAGGGTTGCGCGAAGCCCCGCCACAGCGAGTCATCTTTCAGCCTGACACGGGCCCTTCGCGCACAAGAGCTGCTTCAGCCCAACATAACATGAACAACAGCAATCCAGCCACCCCTCAACACGGTGCATCACAAAACCACCAGCACTCCGGCATGGGACCTGTTTCACAGCACCCCCACGGGGGTCGGGGACCATCGCTAATGCACCATCCTCCCAATACTGAAAATACATCCCACATGGTGTTGTCGTACCAACCCAGACACGTTAAACCGCTGCAATTACGCGGCGTTGCGACGCCTAGTAATGCTCCGAATGAATTTCAGAAGCCTCGCCCTAGCCACCGTCAAGTTCCTGACCCAAGGCAGGCAATGCTTCCCGGCACTGGCTTTGATGGTCCAAATATTTACACTCGGTGCCTGAATGCTCTACGATCGGATATTCACGCTGAACAGTCTTTCGCCTTAAATCATCTGGTCAAGATATCTTTCGAGCGTGGTGACAAGTACAAGTTCGACTCGTTTCCTGGACTCGCTGAAGGCTTGATCGAGAAGGCTTTGGAGGTCGGTTCCTTCTTTTACTACGTGAACTGGACCATTTCCTGGGACTCTCATATCGACTCTACCGAGCCGGGAGTTTTGGATGGAAATAATGGCACACAGGATATTCTCGAGAGAATCGACAATCTCATCGAAAAGGATGTCCCCGATGTTCTACAGACAGAGAAGTTTTCCGACGACCTGGTTTTGATTAATGAGGCTGTTCTGACGATCCGGAACATGGTCAATCTCCCCGAAAATGCTTATCATATGAGCGACTTCTACCCTTTGCACGACTTGATCTGCATTCTTATGCGTCTACCTCAGCACGACTCACTCACAGAGATGAAGCATCTGGCGCTTGACATTGCTGAGCAACTGACACCTTTCATGACCGTCAGTTCAGAGGACCCTCTATATAAGATCCTTTTGGCACAGATGACTTCTGATGACCGTGGTGTGATTCTTACGGCACTTCGAGCACTTGGCCGAATCTCGATGAACCTGGAGGCTACGAACAAGCTTCAGAATGTACCGCAAGATGTTTTGCAACGCATTGCACACTGGCTATTACTAAATGACGACGAGCTGATGGACGCATGTCTTGATTTTCTGTACCAGTACACCGCAGTGGTTCCTAATGTGGACAACCTCATTCGATCAATGCCCCTTCAAAACCTGGTGGAGCATCTGGTCCGTCTTTTATCTCACGGAGCCCGCAAAGTTCAGAAAGAAGTTGTGCTTATACCTGAGCAAAGATTACCTTCCCGCGATGACATTGCGCCAATTCCTGAGGACTTGTTGCAGGAGATGTTGAAGCTGGAAGAGCCAGACCGGGTGCATCGATGGGTTCAATGCTTCTTCGAAGAAGACGGAGGCTCGTTTGTGACACAACTGGCTGCCTGGCAAGCGTATCAAACCGCGTTTGTTGGGCCTCTGAAAGCCGTTGGGCAACCGTTGATTACCCCTGCGGATTTTATTCGAAACAGTACCTCTGTGTATAAGGATTCTAATGCTCAGATCCTTCGTGAGCCCGGCGACCCTCAACAGAAATTTATTATTCATGGTCTGCGAGCTCGGCCCCGCCCCCTCAGCCTCGATGGCCTTGAATATGCTCGATGCTTGTGGTCGACGAATCCCGACAGGAAGAATGAGAAATGTGGTCGGTTCTACTTGAAAGCAGAGCAAATGTGGAACCATGTCATTTCTTCACATTTGAAGGAGGAGAGAAATGAAGCTGGCCATTTTGACAATGTCGAACGAGAGTTCAAATGCACATGGGGCGAGTGCACCCAGTACGACCAGCCTACCAAGATGCACCTGCATGACTTTGCCCGACACGTACATACACACATTTCTACCCAACTTCCCCACTCGGACACTCAGATCCGATCACCCTCTCAGCGGAAACAATGGGTTGTTCCGGCAACAACGATGGCACTGACCTTTGAGGAGACGCTTACCGTTCGTGATGAGAGAAATCCGAGCGCACCTCCTCAGGCAGCAGGGATTCCACTCAGTGCGGTCTTGATCTTGCGCAACATAGCCCGCAATGTTGTCAAGACGGACGCTGAAGAAGAGCTAAAAAAGATCCAAAAAGCTCATGGTGATGAGCAAGGTGGATACAATGAGACTCTCTTCCGCCCTGTCCTCCCCCGCTTGTTCGAAATCCTAGCTGAGAATAAAGCCATGGTACGTATTATGCTCTTCTTATTTCGACATTTATCTACTACAAACCACTAACTCATTCACAGAGCCCATATATTGCGTCATTGCTCGAGCTGATACAGGTCGAGCTCAATGATGACTTGAGCGACTGAATGTCAGCCGTGGAGACGATCCGATCAGATGGCGAACTTTGTACTTGGCAGGGACTGAGTGAGGTAAGGTCTTCCGATCCGAACCCACCAGCTCCATAAAGACGTCAAGATCGTGACTAAGTGGGGAGCGGTTTTGACGGAGCACCTAGCGCCTTCTGCCAAAACCCTTCGCTCGAGATCACCACTACTAGCTCATGGGGGGATCCGAGGATCTGTACGGGGATGTTCTTCAAATGACGAAGATCTATTGCGCAGAGCAATTCATGTCGGTACTTTACATTTCTCACCAAAGAAACACACGGGCACTTGGAGACATTATTCTTGCGCTTCAATTATGAAATTATAATACCCAAAAAAGGCAGCAGGGCATGGCCGAGATAGCTGGAAAGGACATAGCTTGCTGATTGAGATGGGCGTTGGAAGGGACTGCAGCTCATTATTTTCGTATTTCTGTTTTGCGTACACCATAGGACGATAGGACATGGGGTCTTTTCAGGGTGGCCAACCAACGTAGATCTTTCTCTTTTTCGACAGATAGCATCGAAATATCAATGCAGAGAGTCAAAGTTCTGACTGAGAATATGTATGTACATGCGTGACCCATGCGGAGAAATACCTCCGTCACGATACTGGGCAGCCAACCAAGCCAGATCTACAAAGGGGAACGATAACGTTATCAGATAAACTGAGATATCACCTGCATCTCAAGCTGTCAAAGCCCGTAAAGGTTGGCCAGAGACATTCACTTCTACAACGTTGTCCCAAAAGGGGCTTCCGAGGGAAGAGGGTCCGGATGCATTCTTCTGATGCTTCTGGAAAACGGTGGGGGGAGCAACACGAACACACCCCTCCCCCCTGATGAGAAACATCCCTGCACCCCTCCCTCCCTCGGAGCGACTGTAACCCATTGCCCGCGCTCGCTGCCATCGGCGCTGACAATTATTATCTTGGGTTGATATCTCGAGGGACACCAGTGCGCGGGGGCCAACCGCCGATCCCAGAGAAGGCTGAGCCCTTATAGGTTGAGACATGAGTCGAGATCAGGCTATCAGCTGAAGTTGGTGGGCACGGCCACGACCGAGAACGTTGAGATTCTTGGATCGTCCGGTGCCGGGGTAGCATGAAGGGCAGTTTCGAGAGATACCTGGGCGAGGGGCTGATCTCGCCTCATACTTAGACTGTGGACCCTTCTGTTGCACATATCAGGAGAGTTGGCTGTGGAAAATATCAAAATGCGTCTGCCTAGAGAGAGCGAATCCAGTCCGACCCGCAAATAAGGATATTTCGTGCGCCATCGAACTGTCGGTCTGAAGGCTGCATGAGAATATTCATGCCTGCGTGGTTGACATGTATGCTTAATTGGCTGCGTGTGTGATGCTATTCCCAGATCGCAAGATGATGACAATGCGTATATGCAGCGCCAGCCAGCGGCAATTGACATTAATAATTGCAAGTGGGAGCGCTTGGGAGGTTCCTGTTATTTGCCTAGACCGCTATTGCACCCAGGCACCGGGAATAACATCCATACTTGCCTAAGAGAGTCTATAGCTGGTCCTGCACATCTCTCATGCGTCGGGTTAGGAAGAACCCGGGCCGTGGCGAGAATGCAACCGATGCTAGGTGGTATAGCACAGTTCGCGTTGATCTAGCCCCGTTCTGCGTCCTGCAGATCTTATTTTCGGAGATAGGACAAGAATTGATCGTATGATCTTAGGACGGCGTGATACGTGTAACTACATACCTATGCACTCTGGAAGAGGGGCTGTGTGGTTGTTGCGTCGGTGCATCCAGACTTTGGGTAGATCAGCCCTGTGGCATCGCGTCAGATAGTACTTCAGTCCCATGTATTGATTGGCCTTGGGTCGCACGAAGTCGAGGTGAACTTGAGGATACCCAGACATCATGTCTGCTGATAATTCGGAACATGTACGATAAGTGACAGCAACGAGGCACATGTCCTGTTAGTGGTGGCCTCCAAGCTGGTGTTTCGCCTCCATAATGATATTAGTTTTGGTGCAACTCATAGCTTCTGCTTTGCATGGGAAAGGGCTTGGCGACCGGTGCGGGGGATCCATTCTCCATCTAAATTTGTTGCTGCTGGGGGTCGAGGATAAGCGGGACCGGTATTTGGTGATAGCCAAGTCCGTCCTGGAGTTGAAAGAAGTCGGCATAGTTGCCGTGGCCAACAACGCGTGGGGGAGCCTCGCTTATGGGAAGCGGCATGGTTGCAGCTCTAGGCCAATTGGTCGTTTGGATATTGACGAAGCTGAAAGCAGGATTGGACAGACCCAATGTTGTCTCGGTGGGTGAAGCGCGCGTTGGCAAGCTAACCGGCAAGCTGCCATCCACAGCCAGATTCCAGGCAGCCAAATTAAGAGCAGGCTGTTCCCACCGGGGAGGTTTGCTCCCAGCCTCTTACCTAATTGACTCGCTGCCGCAACCGGGCCACGTTTTCTCAAGTGATTGAAACTTGTAATGTTGAAACAAGCAAGATTGTGGCCGGCCGGCAGCCAACGAGATTGCGTCGTGGGGGGAACAAAGCTTAAGACAGGGAGAGGCGGTGGATCTAGATCCCTGCTGCGACGTGAAATTGGGAGCTGCGGGTCCGGTACAGACCGTAGGTACGAGCACACGGCACCCCCAAGCTGTAGCCATGTTGGAAACTTGTTAGGGTCATGTGAGCATCTGAATTTTCCTGCCCCCTTGCACCACCCGAGCCGCCAGGTGTGAGGTGAGGTGATGGTCGGTGCAGCGCTGGAGGGCTAAACACCACCGTACCGTATTCAACAGTGAGTATCTGGTCAGCAAAACGGTAGGTGACGAGGTAGGTGAAGCGCACTCGGGAATGTGAAGGCAAAATTTTCAGGTCTTGTGACCAGTTCTGCTCGATGTAGAGGTAGGTACGTATCTCTCATAGTGTGCCGCCGTTCCTGCCGTGCAAACACCCCCAAAGCCCGTTGTCAATTGCTCTTTCCTCGTGTGATGCTACGAAAACCCAATTGAAGCTCAGATGGATTCCACCTTGGCGGGTGTCATTTAGCCTGGCGCTAGCACGGTTGAGCGCCGAGGCGGCTGTTGCCTTAAGTTGGGGAACTCACGATCTGGCCCGTCATACTTTTGGCCCTCGGACCTAAGTTTAGCTTTAAGGTCAGCGACGAGACCTTCAAGGTGGATTCTGGGGATCCGCCACCGGCCCCTGACGACAGGGTGACATTTTTGGGTAACCCGGCTTTGTAATGAATGTTTGAAGATTTCCACGATTTGCAGCATCTGGGACCATTGCATTTTCCCAAACCGACCTCAGTGTTACTTCACCGGGTGATGGTGACCATTGCGCAATCCCCAAAGAAAATGCGTCGTAATCGATGGGGCAAATTTAAGACTTGGCTACAGTCGCAAATGGCTGGTGGTATACTTTGAGATTGGTGGTCTCGCCCCGTAGCATCGTGGAAGCATGAACACCTCGGGGATTTTACTATGGCTAATTCGATGCTGGGAATCCTAGCTGCTACAGTATGTAAGACCACGGGGTACGCTGACACTGCTGGCAGCCTCCCAGGCTTCTCCTGAGCTCTGGAAAACCCATACCCAGAGTGAGCTACGGGGAGGCAGTGTAGGATTATGCGGTACGTATCTGACATATCACAAACGCGGCTCAGCTGAGACACTATTCGCTGCTGCTTCTCTGAACACGTCTTGAAGAGCGAGGGTTCCTGCTTCCAGACGTGTCGACACTGCATGCATGCGCGACGTTAGGTGCATGCCTTAGCATACCATCCATCCAATGGATGAGACATTAGCCAGCTAGCTGCTTTCCCCCATCGCAAGAAGGAGTAAATGTTCCAGACCACGGTATGCAGAGCCATCTTGCTGCTCTGCATCCATAGGCTTCTGCCCTTATGATTCACAGACGAGCGTGGATAGCCTCTGAAGCTCTCTCAGAAGTGGGTACCTAGTCCCGACAGCAGGCTCACAAGCGAGCAGATTCTCAAACCAAAATTAGCCTGCTTCATTAGCTTATCACCCAGCTGGTACGAGTAAAGATAGGCGGTTGAGGCGTCGGCGACCGCCGTTTGCTCGGCCAAGCATTTTCCACGCCATCTCTGCATGTGCTCCCCATTGCGACCTGCTCTATATCTACATGCTGCAAGCTGGTCTCCAGCGCCTAGTAGCAGTAGAAGAGCTAGTCTGGTCCGTAATCAGCGACGAAACCGACTCCGACTCTACCACAGGCATGGCATGGCATGTACATCATCACAGCAAAGATAGTTGGGTCACATCCCTGGTGTGCTGCATCCGCACAGACCATTTCCCACCCTGTGAAATGTACATGGCGCCGATGACAGGGACCCTGATCGACTGGGGGCAGCAAGCGGACGGGCAGCTATTGGCTCCATCTGCAGGGCTCTGGAGGGCGGTCTGCCCGCCACTAGCCCACTGCTAGCCCCCGGTAATGGTGCCCTCCATCAGGGCATCACACCTCGCCGCGGGATCGGGACCCAGATTTCGCTGCACCCGCTCCACCGCCCCCCACCTCCACAGACTAATACGGTACCTGGCAGTTTTGGACGGTCCCTTAACCCGTCTTCAGATAGCTCGCTCAACAACAACTCCCTTCTCTTCGCCTCAGATCGCTCAAGACAATAAGACTTTTCGCAAGCAAAATTCACCGACCCACTTCTCCGGCAGCTATATCAGCTCGCCTCTCTCCAGTTCCATCTCCCATTGTCCTTGACTCATTCACTCTTCCTTCCCAAGAACATCCTCAATAGCACCAAGCTCCTCCCCTTCCTCGCCTTCGCTCTCGAACTGGTTCTTGAGCCCTTGTTTTCTCTGCCTTGCCCACTCCCACCCTCCCTTTGTGGTCTTAAACTCCTAAACCAAGACCTCAAACACATACCGCATAATCTCCAAAATGTCTTTCGCCACACGAAACGCCCTTCGCCTGACCCGGGCTCCAATTGCCCGCATCGTCACCCCCAAGACTGCCGCACGTGCATTTTCTGTCTCCAGGGTCAACTTCGTGTCTGACACCCAGAGCAAGAAGAACGTCGTCCGCGAGAAGGAAGTCCCCGTCACCATCTATGGCTCCGGCCAGGGTGAACACTCTACCGTCCAAGTCGCCGAGGGTGCTGGCAAAGTTCCCTTCGACAGCCCCGTCCCCCCCACCGATTCCGATGCTGTGCAGCCCCTTTCCCGAAAGGCCTTTGAGTCTCTCCCCCAAACCGTCAGAGACATGACTGTCTACGGAAAGGCCATCATCCTGACCGGTGGTGCCCGTGGTCTGGGCAACAGCATGGCTCGCGCCTGCGCTGAAGCCGGTGCCAAGGCCATCATCATCTTCGATGCCAACCAAGAGCTTGGCGACCAAGCTGCCGCAGAGCTTCACGAGAAGTCCGGCCTCCCCGTTTCCTTCTTCAAAGTCGACGTCCGTGATGGTGCCGCCATCAACACTGCCGTCGATGCCGTCGTCGAGAACTTTGGCTGCCCCGATGCCCTCATCAACGCTGCTGGTATCGCCGACTCCAACATCAAGGCCGAGACCTATGACCCCGCCATGTTCCGCCGCCTGATTGACATCAACCTCACGGGTACCTTCCTCATGACCCAGGCCGTTGGCCGCGCCATGATGGCTGCTGGCAAGCCCGGCAGCCTCGTCCTCGTTGCTTCCATGTCCGGCAGCATCGTCAACTACCCCCAGGAGCAGAGCTGTTACAACGCCTCCAAGGCCGGTGTCATCCAGTTCGCCAAGTCTATCGCCGCCGAGTGGGCCAAGCATGACATCCGCGTCAACTGCATCTCCCCAGGTTACATGGACACCGCCCTCAACCGCGTCCCCGCCCTCGAGGCCCAGAAGAAGATCTGGAAGAGCCTGACCCCCCAGAACCGTCTCGGTGGGGTTGACGAGCTCAACGGCCTCTGCGTCTACCTCGCCTCCGACGCCTCTCGGTTCATGACCGGCTCCAACATCCTCATCGATGGTGGTTACTCCTGCTACTAAGCCGGGGCAAGTCCTCCAATGACACCAGATCACACTTCACCTAGACGGTCGAAGTCTTTGGGTCATTAGATATGCCACATTTCCGAGGAGAGGGAGAGCCCATTTCAATTGTCAAAGTTGTTTATAATTGCGTGGAGTTCAGGAATCGCCGCACCGAGAGCGTGCAACATGAATTGTTGATTTTCATCATAGAGAGCCGATAGAGTGACATATTTCGGAGGATAAAACAGAAAAATAGGGTACGAGGAACTCTAACCAATAATATGAAAGCTCGAAGCAGAGCATTATCTTCTTTACGCAATGATTTCCTGAATGTGAAAGTTGAGTGACACTTTGTATATGATGCATAAAAGAATACTGGGATAGGAGTTCCAAACGATAATGTCCCCTGAAATCCCCACGGTCGAGCGGAGGCGCAACATATTTCGATCAGAGAAAACTACATATAGGCTCTGTCACAAAAACTGACCAGGATATTTTTTATTATACGGAGACGGGAAGTTCACTAGAAGATGTCATTCTAGAAAAAAAAGAAGGAGTTTGAGAGGCTTGACTTTCGACGAACTCTTCCCAGTCAAGCTGGACGGAAACTGAATTTGGATGAACAACCTCTTTTGGGAATCACTGCGAACAATCGGTTGATCCATCTACCAGATAAATTCTAAATGATCCTCCACCTTGTAGTAGGTACTCTCTTTTAACCTCCTCCTTCCTCCATTCCTTTCCCAGTTCCACGATGAAAGGTGGACGAGTTGAGACCCGCGCCAACCCAAACTGAAGACGTCACGAAAGAATCACGGATGTGAGGGCTTATGTTTGTGCGGAAATTAGGGCAAAACGAAAATAGGAATGAACCTCCATTTCCACTCATACAATTCCACCGGCGTCTATATCACTTCTGCTTAGCTCGTGGCCAAAACCCTCTCAACGATATGTTCGCTGTAGCCCAAGAGCACAAGTTCTTAATCCGGGCAGGGAAGAAATGCGCAAAACGATCCTCTAAGAAATAGCGGACTAAATCCAAACTCGTTATCAGATGGATAAGAATAAAAGATAACGCTTGCTCTTCACGTAAAACCGATTCCATTTCCAATATCCTCCGTAGATCTAGCCGGCGCTGGGCTGAGAAGCGTCTACTGATCTTAAAATAAATAATAACCCAAATGACGTATGTGAATTCCGAAAGGTAAAGATCCCAATATAGTTGAAAATTGTGGCGGGGACAGAGCAGCGAGGGGTGACATTTCATATGAAGAGGGTATATCCATCATGACTATTACATCTTTTTCTCGTCTCATATTGTTCTCCCATTTGGGAGTAAAGCACCCGCCCTAGTCGTAATCGCTGATTCAGCCTCAAGGCTGTTGATCAGCATAGATATTGATAACTGAGAGGTGGATATAAGGTATGCTAGTGCGGGGAGGTTTCCAATGACCTCCGTACGTGGCATGCATCGATATATTTTTTTTTGGTCCACTGCAGGAAAGCTGGCTTTCTGGGCAGTGGCATTGGAAAGCGCAAGCCATGAAACATCATGGTTTGGTTTGGTATCTAACCCTTCCGGGCTTTCTCTGCTGCTCGATGTTCACGAGCAGATCGTACTAAAGGTGCTAGTTGGCCTAGGTCAACGCAACACTTCATAAAATCGTGCTATGAAGCCAGGTTAGCGATAAGCTGGTCAGAAAGCTGAAGAAAGATAAAATTACCCTTAGCAAGTCGTGGGCGCTTGCACGCTTCTCTGGGTCCACACGCAATGCGAAATGCAAGAAATCCCTGAAGACAGCTGATAATTCATGCTCGTTCTTGAGCTTTGGTGTGCCATTTGTGGCGATGAGCCACAATGCGCGGAGGGGCGACTCGGTCAAGTATGGTGGTTCGCCCTCGATCATCTCGATAGACATTATACCTAGTGACCAGATATCCACCTTGCGGCCGTACTCCTTCCGCGTGACTACTTCTGGGGCCATCCAATATGGTGTTCCGACCATGGTAGTTCGCTTGTTCTGATTCTCGTTGATGGTTGCGCAGAATCCAAAATCAGCTATAGCAAGTTAGAAATGATTGGAATGAGAAAACTATCTTTGGCGATAAACGTACTCAGCTTGATATTGCCCTCATTGGACAGTAAGATGTTGTCTGATTTGATATCTCGGTGAATGACACCCTTAGAATGAAGGTGCTGCAGACCTTTTAGAGTTTCACGGCAGACAGACGCAATCTGCCCCTCGGTCATCATATTGTAGGTAACGACATCGGTAAGACTGCCGCCTTCCATGAACTCCATGACAACCCAAAGCTCCCCTCCGCATAGATAGCTGTCGAGGAAGTTGACAATGTTTGGATGCGAGCTTTCCTTCATGACGATAATTTCGTTGATGATGAGATCCTTCTTTGGCTGCTTGTCGAGATCCATTTGCTTGATGGCAACCAAACGATTCGAGCCCCGCTCATGTCCGGTGTACACACCACCCGAAGCACCTTGGCCGATCTTGTTAAAGCCTCGGAAGATTTCGCGAGGGTCACCTTCGCTACAGATACGCTTGAGGGCGGCGACAACATCAATACCAGTGCTGGGCCTTTGGCGGTGTCGAGGCCTTGGTTGGGGTGCGGCGGCCTGAGAGGACGGGGGTTGTCTCTGAGAGCCATTCGCATCAGGTCGATTGTAACCCTGCGCCGATGGGTTGGGGGACTGTTGCTGTGGGTGCTGGGGCTGGGGCTGGGGCTGTGGTTGTGGCTGTTGCCTCTTGCTGATAGTTCGGCTAACTTGCGCTGGCATCGCTGCCTGCGCCTGCTGCTGCTGCATCAACTGCTGCTGATATGTATTTCCGTGGTTTAGTGAGGGAGAGTGATGAGGCATCTGGCCATAGGGGGGCGATTGCGGGGTGGCGCGGGAGTTGGATCTTGACACCAGCTTCTCCGACATGGAGCTGGAGCTTTCTGCGATCGAAACGTTGGGCAGAGACTCGTCTGATTGCTGGGACATGCCAATTGCCGAGTCTTTGGTCCCGTAGCCGTTACCTTGGCCATAGGGTCTGGAAACAGCTGGACCAGGCGGCTTCGGTGCAGCACGATGAGGCATCAGGTCCTTTTGCTGCGGCTGGCCTCGACCTGGCACAGGCGGCGCGGCTCTTGGGTTCTCAAAACTTCCTGCACAATTGTTAGTTGGGGCAGTTGGGGCAGGATTGCAGATGGAAAAGTGGCGGCGTACCAGTATAAGCCGGGTACATGGTGGGAGACGTTGGATAGCGAGGGTCTGCATTGTGAAACTTCTCTAGCACTTGATCTTCATGTCCCTTTTCCGTGGTCTCCTTGTAGAATTGTAAGATGTCAACCATGGTCTGTGGGTTCTCTCGTCGCTCCTTCTCCGAGATTCCGCTCTCGTTGATCAATCGCTGCCATTCTTTGGGTAGACCCTAGTTGGATGAATGTCGTTAGATAAAATGGTTCGGGCAAAGATTTGAGAATGCCTGCTTGTTGCTGGGTACTCACGGTAAACTGTCCGGTCGAGCTATCGTAGCCGACATGGGTGACGTGAACGGGGTTTTCTGGTGCTGAGATGACGGGCTTCTTCGGGGAGCCGACCAGGCTGTTCATGAAGCCGGAGAAACCAGACTTCTTGCGTATCATAGACTGTCTGAAATCCTTTGTGCTCACATTCCCCTCAGATCCATTCCCCTGGCGGTCCTTTTCCGTCACCGCATCCATGTTGCTGAAGCTGATGGACGATCTGAGCGATCGCTGCTTTTCGGAACCGGCACTGTTGGGCGACGTGGGAATGTGATTCCGCGGCGGCGCTGAGTCGAGGTGATGCGGATACTGCTGTTGGTGGGCTGGGGGGCTTTGGGAGGAGAAAAAGTCGGGCCCGTCAAGGCGATTCAGGATAGCGGCGCCGTCAAAGGGCGCGCCGATCAGGTCGTCGGTCGGGCTGTTGTGGGCGAAAGAATGGGTGTCTAAATCGAGGAAGCGACCAGGCTGAGGGTTGCCGAACTGGCCGTGGGGTTGAGGCTGCTGGTGATGAAGGTGTCGGGATGAAGCAGTCGCCGCGGCTCTAGAATCCTGCGAGTGCACGACGTGGGCGTGGGGAACGCTGGAGGGGCCCCTCGAGCTGCTGGAGTTGCGTCTGCTGTTGTAGGAGCCGTCGCTGTAGGCGGGCTGGTAGCCGGACCCAGAATTGACAGAGATATGCGATGCTGGCCTCTGTGGCAGTATGCGACGCAGAGAAGTGGTGCCGTCAAGAGATGGCGTGTCCATGATAGTGTGCGGATAATAAAGAATACACCCCGTCTGGTCTCCCTATCTGTCCTGGTTCTGCACCTCACTTACTAAGAAGCGCTGGCGAAAAGCTGCGAGTACCCACGGTGCGGCGCGGCGCAGGGGCGGGGGCAGGTTTGCAGGGAACCAAGGCGTCGAGGACTTTGGTCTTGGGTACTGTCCTGTACGTACATACATACAGACGCATCCATGGGGTGGAGGGCAGTAATTACTTCGGGGAAGAGGGAGAGTCGGATGCAGACCAGTGTTACGAGTGAGCATCAAGATGCAGCCGCTCCTGCAACCAATATCCCTGGAATTTGGCAGCTCTGCACCTTCGTTTGATCCCAGCACGGCCTGACTCGACCTGGGTGAACGCGAGAGCCACACCTACCTGCGCAACCGCCTCCATTGTGAGGGGGGGCCCTGGTTGGGTTGCCGTGCTGGCTCCCAGGACAAACGCAACGCCCACGCTTCGACCTCGCGGAACCTGCCTGCCTATGATTTCGCAGCTGACTGCCTCAGCTCCCACTACCAGAGGCAGAGTCATGCATGGATGGTAGCCAATAGGTACCGCGCCGAATGATGTGGGAGGCGGCAGACGGACTGCCTGGCGTGATGGCCCTTAGCGCTCCCTACAGCTCTGGTCACAGTTCCAGCACGCCGGCCGGCACTGTGATCAGCGATGCGTGGCCCTGCATCTGTACAGTGCATTCACAAAGCGGGATTGGTTTAATTGGGATTTGGCAGTAAGACCGCAGGTACTGCCACTGCCGTGCCTGCCTGCCTTAGGCCTTGGGTACCTATCCGTTGGATGGGTCCCGTGTTGAGGTACCAGGGAGCTACTTGGATGGAGACCGGCAGCCAGCACTAACATGGCTGTACCAAATCTGGTACTGTCAATGGATGACCTCAACCCACTGTTTCCTCCTGGCGCACACATTCACGCATGCACAAACAGACACAGAACGCTGGCTGACGTAGCATGTGCCGCCATTGAAACCTCCCACAACGGGGCGCACACGATCGAGTGGACGGGCGGCTCGGGCACGGCAAGGCACTGTACGCGACCATACCTACCCGTTGTGCCAGCCAAGGGCCATTGGAGCGGCCCGGATGGAATTGCCTGGGGAGCGGCTGGAAAACGGCCGTCTCGAGGCTACGGTTCAAGGGCATTGAAACAGGACTAGGTGCACGCTGCGACGCCTCCATAGGCTATCCAGCGTGCTTCAACGTGCCAACTGAGCGCTAGGCCACTGGGCGGGTGCGCCGATGGAGCAGTGATTGATCACTTCCCTGCATGTGAGGCGCCCATTGGGCTCGAACGAGTTGAATCAGCAGCCACTTGCTCGCTCCAGTACGCCATCCTGGGCTAGAAGTGCCGCATAGTTGCCGGTGGGTTTTGGGCAAAGCAGCCCAGGATTACTGGGCCCCAAAAAAATATTACGGGCAACTTACAAGTGCTTCCTGCGCCATGGATCAGAGTTTATTAGCACTCTATTGATAGCCGCCTTAGTTGAGGGTAATATCAATAGCGTTTGGTTTATTGTATATTTCTATTGTCCCAAACAAACAAACAAACAAACAATTCCAGAGGACGCCGCGCGGAGACGATTCGATTGTGATAGCAACAAAGGAACTGTATTTCGCCCTCTGGATTTTTTTTTTGTACGCAACCTTCAAATACCGCATACCATGGTGAAGAAGAAGGATTGGGGGCCGGAATAGAGCCCAACACTACCTTGTCCCAGCATAGGGGAGGTAAGATACCCCGATGTTCGTACCTGGCATTACGGCACCCTGCTCGCATGCATGTCCATCATGAGAGCCTTGCTCGCCTGCCAGGTATCCACGGTAGTATGGGATCGGCATGAGGTCGTATTCTGGGCCAGGTAACTTTTCAGCAACAGACATCATCACCTCTGACAAGTGGCTTGCTGCGAGCTTATTGGAGGATCGCACACAAATCCACACCGGTCAAGTTAAGCGCGCGGGGCGCGTAGCCTCCGACCACCCATATCGTGGCCAGCCTCAAGGGATGTTGGGGATAAGTTGTAGCTACGCCTCGACGCCTCGAGCATCAGGGCAGGTTGTACGTCTACCTATTCGCAATGCACACCTCTCCGAACCCACGACCCGGCATCCTCGGTACTGACGTGGCCAAGTCCAATGCCTACCTATGTATAAATAACGAGATGCCAGATGGGTAGAAGAGATAATTACTGAGCTAGTTCCCTGCAGCTTCCCCTGGTGTTGCATCACGCTTGGCTGCATCCGTCCGGACCAAGTCTTTGTTTAGACCGTAGTGGTCGCAATGGCACAACCATGACGGACGCATATTTGGATAACATATATCGTGCGCCGCGGAGATGGGGGAAGAGAGAACATGACAATCAGTCCAGTGTCGCACTATGGTGGTCCTCAGCATTAAACGAGCCAACAACTGACAGTTTTCCACCTCACGGCACCACCCAGGACATCCGGGCCACTTCCGAGCCAGAATGAGCTGCATAAGCTTCTCACGCTAATCTGCCACTTATTAAGGAGCCACGGCTTACATATTGACTCCAGCAGGTGGCTACAAATGTATATCCTGTGCCTGTCCAAGGCACGGCTAGGTTGGACTGTCGTACCTCGCACAAGGGGCCTTGTACCTTGCATTCTGTACCACACACGGGCTAGCTGCACGTTTTCCTGACGTTGTGATGCCACCCTTGTGTGGTTGGCGTGGGCAAAACCTGGCCGCCGACATTCCCCAGATAGAGGATTGATTATACTGCAGCCCTTGACATTTCCCGTGCAGCTGTACCGTGCCGTGCCGTGCCATCCTGCCTCGAGTCGACGAACTCCTGGTCCGCTTTTGTCAACCTTGAGCGGAACATGTGGGCTGAGCTCGTCGACGCTCGTACTCCTGATCTCCCGGGGACTGGCGGAGGCGTGGCCGGGGACGGTTCAGAGTGCCGCGGGGAAGCTGTGTGAGAGCACCCAAGCGGGATCCCGTGAGACTCCTGCAATGTAATTAATTGCTCGCAGCTGGCATATGCTTCCTTCTGGGTTTGTGGTGGTGATGCGCCCTCCCTCGTCTACGATCCCTCAGACTCGTTTCCTGATGATATAGGTATCTAGAGAGGCCTTTCCATTGCCCCCGTGCCTCCATGTTTCGAGTCCGAGTCAGTGAACCCTCGAGGTTGGAGTGCCCCCCATTCCCCTTGGAAACCATTGCTTCTGCATATGAGATCTTTCAACCGGGCAGGGTCCTCTCATTTTCTCTCTTTGGGGATGTTCTGCATGAGTATCAATTCGTATTCGCTGCACCGCCGCTATCCTTCATGTTGCGAAACTCAAACTTCCCTCTTTTCCAAGTTTGCAACTTGTTAACTGGCCGATCGTCGATGGGCGAGGGCTGGTGGTACAATCTGTTGGAACTTGGGGGCCGCTACCGGGCATTTTACTCTGCGAGGCATTTGCGTGTGACTTTAAGCCTCTGCGCAAGTGCAGCTTCTGTCGACAGACTTGGACATGCCCCAGTTCTAAATATGGCATCTGCGTCTTCATCCACAACTGACTACCTATTTATACTATCTGACGTGGTGGGCACTATCGTTTCGGGATATATCCGTTCAGTAAACGTGGCCATCAACTATGAGCGGCCAGGGAACGTGAGGATTTAAAGTTCCCACTGGCAGGACACGGCGATATCACTTCCCTCCTCTGGGTCGATAGGTTGGCAGATCGCTGCCTTCCACCAGCAAAGATTTATGCATCTGGGAGGCTATTCGGGCCATTTGTAGTATCACACCAGAGCGACGATCTTTGCTGACAATTCGATGGGGTGATGACTAACATTTATAAAGGCTGTCATTGATAGGCCATAGCTTTTCGCGTGCGGGTTTCTGGGGGTTGACTATCCAAGGCGTGGTGCCAACCTTGACGGCGTTGCCTGGGCTTCACAGCCAATTCATACCTCTACTTGGGGGTGCTGTTTTCCGCAAGCTCTTTGGAGGACAATTGGTGTAAGCGGTATCGATGGTCCTGTTCTATTGCTACTTATTCCTGTGTATGTCGCCGGAAACTCCCTGATGAAACTTTTTTTTTTTTTTTTTTTTTTNAGGGAGTGAAAGATTTTAAGCCCCAAAGTTACAAGGAAACTTTCGCCCCCAGTAAGAGTTTCGGATCAATTGAATTTGTTAGTTCGGGAGTACTGGAACAAGAAGGACTTTGGTAAGTATCTATGATGTGCTTGCTTGCCTGAATTGGGCCACCTTGTGGTGATTGAGTAGGAGATGATGGGGTGCTGCATTCGATGCTCAATTCGATCAGAATCGAGGGCGGTCGAGTCCATCAGACAGTCTCCTCTCACATCTACTCCGCCTTTACCATCATTTTCTTCATCATCATTTTCAGAAACGACTGCAGAGCTTAGCAATCGCACCATGAGGTTTATCAGGTTTACCAAGCAGGACCCTGGCCGCGAACCAATAAGGCGGACTGGGAAAACTCCGCGTAAACCAGCTCCAAGCTTCTAGTGGTGCTGGTTACCTGTAGCATTCTCTCGGTCTGCCTTTTGCCCCTTGTGTTCACAGGCTAGCGCAATGGGATGATAGTGGCAGCGGAACCCCTCGACCCCTGTCGACTAGCAACCGAACCTACTAGGCAAGGGCAACGGCTTTCGAGACCAAACTTCCACCTCACCCTCATCGCCTTTCCCAAGGTTCGCACACCACCAACGTATCCTCCCACGCTTTTCTTTCCCCCGGTGCCATCCTCCCACGGTGGTTTCGGCTCCCTTCTCTCTGGTTGTTCCTTCTGGTTACCGGTTTATTGCTGTCTGCAGGCCTCTTGGACCATGTTCTAGAACCGCAGACTAGACCTCCCTGACTGCTGTTCTGAAGCTCCTATACCGCATCTCTCTAGTGATATTTTGTCTGGAGTCGCACCACGCTCCAGGTCCCCGGCCTCGTGAGTGAACTCCCATTGCCATGATGCCGCCCGCATCCTCAACACATCACAACTATACTCCAATGGCTCCTTTTCCCCCTCTGCTATAGGTTGTAGCTAACCCATCATACTAGCTAATTGTCATTCCTGCCTCGAACCCAAAATCGCCTGATCCGAACAACACCAGCTGCCATGGCTTCCCCTGCCGATGTTGCCACTGGAGAGTCTTCTGCTGCCCAGAAGCTTCTCCAGAAGCACGCCCAGGACCCCCACAGCGTTACTGTCGAAGATGCTGAGGATGAGGACCTCCCCGTCCACAAGCACAGTGCTCCCCCAACCACCAAGCAGCCCGAACCCCAACGCCCCAAGGAGCGTTTAGACACCCAGAGCCACGAGCTCTTCCCAGAACTCGGTGCTTCCAAGGGCAAGAGCGCCAATGTCCCGCCAGTTTGGGGCGCAAAGACCAACGCCAATGGAAAGACCAACGGATCCGGTCCCAGCGCTGTCTCTCAGGGGCCTGCTCCCGCCATGTTCATCCCTGGTCGCAATGTTGAGTCTATCACACTTGAACCTCAGGACATTATGCCTCGGGGCCAGCTAAGGAGACCTATTGCCGATATCATCAAGGACATTAACCGCAAGTCTCGCGCCAATATTTCCATGGGCGGTGCCTCCAACGGCCGCCTCAAGTTCGATGCCACTGGACCTCAAGACGTTGCTCAACAGGCACTCAAGGATCTGGTTTCTCAGATTGGAACTAGGGTACGTTGGTCCTACCCCCAGAATTTACAGGTGCCGATACTAATTGGTGTAGACTTCCATCAAGGTACCGATTCCTTTGTCATCCCGAGCCCATATCATCGGACGAGGAGGCTCCATGATCAAGAGTCTCCAGGAAAAGACCGGTGCCAAAATCCAACTTCCGAAGATGGAGGAAACCCGAGCTCTGGACGACGATGATGACGAAGCTACCATTGATGTCATTGTTGAAGGCAACACGCTCTCGGCTGCTTCTGCTCGTAACGAGATCTTGAAGATTGCCGGCGAGAGGTCTGCCAATGTCCAGACCAAGGTTCGAGGCATTCCAGCTGCTCTGTTCCCCTTCATTGCTGGCCCTCAGAACTCCCGCGCCCAGGCCCTTGAGGAGAGCAATGGCGTCCAGATCCGCGTGCCACCACACCAGGTCTTCAGTCCTGCTCCCACCATTGGAGCTTCTCAACGGCCTCAATTTGCCCCTTCGGAGGAAAGCTACATCCAGCTTGCAGGTGATCGGGAGGCAGTTCTGAAGGCTCGTGCTGAGATTGAGCGCCAGGCGGCAGAGCTCCAACAGCAGTTGCAGATGGAGCAGCTTTCTATCCAGCGAGGCCGCCACCAGTTCATCATCGGCGACCGCGGTGTTCCCGCTGCCGATTTCTTCGAAGATACTGGCTGCGCCATCTTGCTTCCTTCGGACGAAGAAGATGATCTGGTCACCATCATTGGTCTGGCAAATCAGGTCCAGGATGGTCTTGACAAGGCCATGGACCTCGCCATGGGTATGCAAATGTCCAACATCGACATTGGAAGGGTTCATCGCAATGCTCCCAGTGGTGCAGCTGCGCATGCTGGCTGGGTCACCCGCTACCTCCGTGAGAGAAAGGAAATCGAGCGTCTCGAGAAGCTTCACAACACACACATCAACACCCCGTTCTCCGAACAAAATGCTCTTCCATGGGAACTCTACTCTCGTGAGGGTAAGAATGCTATTCGCGCACAGTCAGAGATCACTGGAATCATCAACGGCCACCCTCCTTCCCGAGTGCAGCCAGTTACCATCGATCCCTTCTTCCACCAGCATTTGCGTAACAATGTGAGTCCGAAGGTGAAGAAGGATTTCGGTGTATTCGTCGTTGTGCCTCGGGATGGCGAGACTGATGCTCCTGTCGTTTTGGTTTACGAGGGCCCTGACCCCGCTGAGGGTCCCTATGCCCTTCCACGAACTAAGCCCACTGATGCTGAAGCTCGCACATTCAGACAGGGCCTTGAAGAAGCCCAGAAGCACATTCTGGACCTAATCAACAAGCAGGAGAAGGTCATCAGTGTTGCCCTTGAAGTTCCTGCCAAATTCCACGAGAGACTCAGGCGTTTCATCAAGAAGGAGCAGGAAAGCCGGGCGGCAGATCAGATTCCCATCCGCGTTACCAAGGTCGGCACCACTATCACGCTCCGCGGTCCCGAGTCTGCCGTCAAGTCTCTTGCCACAAAGGCTGAGGCCTTTGTTGAGCAGGAGAAGCAGGATGACAAGGAACGTGGGTTCACCCTGACTTTCGATTTCCCTCAGAAGTACGCCAACCACCTCATTGGTAAGGGTGGAAGCAACATCAAGGAATTGCGTGACCGCTTCGACGTTGAAATCCAGGTGCAGGATGGCAAGGTTGAGCTCAAGGGCCCCAAGGCCAAGGCAGAGTCCGCACGATCCCACATCCTGGCTCTTGGTCGCACCTTGGATGACGAGACTACCCACACCCTCAAGATCGATCCCAAGTTCCACCGTGAACTCATTGGAGCGCAGGGTGCTCAAATCAACCGCCTGCAGACTCGATACAAAGTGCTCATCTTTTTCCCACGCTCCGCCAAGAACCAGACAGAGGACGCCGATGCTTCAAGCGAGGCTGAAAAGCCGCGCCGCCAGCAGGCTGCTGACGAAGTCGTCATTCGTGGCCCCAAGAAGGGAGCCGATGAAGCTCGTGATGAGATTTTCTCGCTCTTCAAGTACCTAGAGGACCATTCTCACACTGCCACTGTGTCTGTTCAGCAGAAGCAGGTTGGCTCACTCATCGGCCAAGGCGGCGCTGCGCTTGACGAGTTGCGCCAGGCCACTGGCGCTAAGATCGACGTTCCAGCTGATCGTGATACCGACATCGTGGACATCGTCGTCAAGGGCACAGCCTCTCAGGTGGCAAACGCGAAGAAGGTCCTGGAAGCCAAGCGAGCTGTTTTCGATGACACCATCGTGCAAACGATTGATGTTGATAAGAAGCATCATAAGGCGCTGATTGGAGCCAGCGGTATGTATACCCCTTCCTTTCTTGTCATGTTGGGTGATAGTAACTAACGGATCGGTTGTTTTCAGGTTCCAACTTACGTGATATCGTGGTCAAGGCTGGTGGTTCAGATGATCGACGCGAGCTTGCTCGCACGATCCAGTTCCCCAAGCAGGATGCTGACGGCAACTCGATCAAGATTGAAGGCCGAACTGAGGTTGTGGCCAACATCCTCAAGCGTATCCAGGAGATTGTGGCTGAACGTGAGAGCCAAGTGACAGAGGTTATTGACGTTCCCGTCGAGCAGCACCGCTCATTGATTGGACGTGGCGGAGACACGAAGCGTCAGTTGGAGGCCAAGTTCGCCGTCTCGATTGATGTGCCCCGTCAGGGAGGTGGCCAGACCGGCGTGAAGGTGACTGGCCGTCCCGAGAACCTTGAGGCTGTCAAAGCCCACATCCTCGAGCTTGTTCAGTCGCAAAAGGGCGAGACCATCCAGGTCCCACGTAACGTGCACCACGCCATCTCGAATGGCGGACAGTTCTTCCGCCAGCTTCGCAACAATCACCAGGTAACTGTCGACCACGCCGGGCAGCCTCTCCCTGCCAAGCCCGACACATCAACCCGTGTGGATGGTGGAGCCCTCCCTCTCATCACCGACGATGATGATGCTACCGCTGATGCCCATTCCTGGAAGGTCCTTAAGACGGCCGCTGGCGAGGACGGTGAGATTCCTTGGGTCCTGCGCGGCACACCTGAGAATGTTGTCAAGGCCAAGGAGGCCATCCAGAAGGCTCTGGAGCAGGCGCAGAAGAACGACGCGACCGGCTACCTCGTGCTTCCTGACCCCAAGACTTACCGATATGTTATTGGACCTAACGGATCCAAGGTCAACTCCATCCGTAAGCAGAGCAACTGCAAGATTCAAGTCCCCCGAGACCAAGCTAAGGATGAGGCCATTGAGATTATTGGTACCTCTGATGGAGTGGAGGTTGCCAAGGACCTGATTCTGGCTGCAGTCCGCGAAGGCCTGACCAAGGCCAGGGAGTAAGCATGCCAGCGTATATGATACTTATGTATACGATATCTGGGCAATAATGTATGAGCATGCAGCGAGATGGGTGGACAGATGAAGCGTGGGATATGAATGTTATGGACATTTATCACTCTCAGCAATCTCATGAGATTATCAGTGCAGTTGCAGCGAAACAATGGCGTGAAATAGCTTTATAATGTATGCGGTATCAGGGCAAGAAGTAACAAAATAGCAAGTGTAACAAAACATGTTGTCACGCAAACTTGATTCCACCGTGTGATTATCTGCTTAGACTGTGATGTCTCGTTCTGGGTTGAATGCAACGGTGCCGATGGCGGGGTACATGTTGGAGGTGACACCATAGAATCAGACGAAGTATTGACATAATAGCATCAGCCAAGCTCTCGCACGAAGTCTGGTATTCGAAAAGAGAGCTCAAAGGTGCCTGTTTGGGAGCAAGGTTTGGGTTGATGCAGATCAATAACTGCCTTCCATATTCAGCACGCATGATGGCGCACCTTAATTATCCGCTCCGTCCCGCCATTCAGACGATCCCCCTCCACCGCCAAACCGTGGCATACCAGACCGACGACGAGTAACCTCTCCCCAGACTGTTCCACCTCCCTCACCCGGCGAATCCCCATACGCTATCGGTTGTTTACTACCTCTCGAACCCCCAATTGGCCAATTACCAGTCGAGAATGGCCTCGAAGACGGACGCAGACCGAGCTCCATGGGATGCCGCCCCGGCACACGAGCAGTTGTTCGTGCTCATCACCGGTGCCAACAGGTTTGTCCACGTGCCAGAGAGTCACTGCGCTGGAACTGACCCTCATTCTTCTGCCTAGCGGCATCGGTCTAGGCATTGGCGAGCGCCTCATCGACGAATTCCTCGCTACCCGGTCGCTCACCTCCCACCTGATCCTCGTCCCCACCACCCGCTCCGTCTCCAAGTCCACCCAGACGATCCAGCACCTGCGTGCCCACGCCAACAAGGCTGCCCGGACCTCGAAAGCGCTGGTGTCGCGCGCTGGCGGCCCCGAGAAGTACAACTGGGAGGACACGGCGTCCAGGGTCCATATCCTGTCGCCCCAGCTCGACCTCTGTGACATCAAGGGCATCTACGCCTTTGCGGAAAGGCTATGCGACGAGCCGCTAAGCAACCCGGCCGGCTTGCAGGGACAGGACGCTGAGCTGCAGAATGTCCGCATCCCAAGGCTGGACAGCGTCATCTGCAATGCCGCGTACGGTTCCTGGGTCGGTGTCAACTACCCCATGGCCATATGGGTCATCATGACGGAGGGGCTCATAAACTCTGTGACCTGGCCGACATTCAAGATCCCCAAGCCCACGGCTCTGCTGAATGGCCGCCCTATTTACAACTACGTGAGTTTCCCCATTATACCACCAGTCACGTTGCTCCCTTCGCACGAGAGAGACTCGAGGCGGTTAGTTTCTAACTTGATACAACACACACAGCCCGCGAAACCCAAGCTCGGCGAAGTCTTCTGCGCATGCGTCTTCGGCCACTACCTCCTCTCGCGCAAGCTCCTCCCCCTCCTCACCCGCCCCAAGACATCAGAGAGCCTGCCCCCCGGCCGCATCATCTGGTCGAGCAGCATCGAGGCGATCCGGGACGTCTTCAACCCGGACGACATCCAGGGCCTGCTCCGGGAGCACCCTTACGAGTCGGCGAAGCGCCTGACCGACTACATCTCGCTGTCGTACAACCTCCCCGCCGTCGAGGACTTCAAGGAGTCGTTCCTCAGCCTCGACGAGGACGAGAACCCGGACGAGAAGATCCAGCCCGAGATGTACCTCACGCACCCGGGCATCGTCGCCAACGACTTCTTCCCGGTGCCCTGGTACCTCATGTGGGCGTACCGGCTGGCCATCGTGGTCAGCCGCTGGCTCGGCTCGCCGTGGCACACCATCGACTCGTACACGGGGGCCAGGTCGGCCGCGTGGCTCGCCCTCCAGGGCCAGGAGGAGCTGGACGACGCCGAGGCGGACCGCGTCAAGTGGGGCAGCGCGTCCGGCGGCAGGCTGCAGGCGCTCATCAAGAAGACCGAGGTGGAGGGCTGGGGGTGGACGGGGAGGGTGGAGGGCCCCGACGCCGACGCCGCCGAGGAGGGCATCGTGGGCATCCTGCGCAGGAGCGTGGGGAGGAGGCGCGACGCCGCGGACCCGACGGCCGAGTCGCTGGCCGAGTTTGAGGAGGTGGGCGCGGACGTCTGGGAGCAGCTCGAGGAGCTGAGGGAGGAGTGGGAGGAGATTCTGGAGATTTCATGATGGAGATGTCATCAAAGCGAGGAAAGAAGCGAAGAGTTCTCCTTGCTGGGTTGGGGAAACCTTTTTCCAAGGAGACAAGGTCGATTCTCCCCCCCCTCAATCTTTTATTTGGTAAGCATGATAGCATGATAAAGCATCATAGGCATTTATAGCGAGGCGAGAAAAACAAACTTGAATTAAGATAAGCCGACTACCTGGTCGAGCATTGTAATTATTTGCAAGAGAGAATATATGCCCGACTTCTCAAAAGAGCGCCCTGAAACCCACCCCTCCCCTGACAGAGAAGGAAAAATATACATGTCCATCGTCATCATTATACGGAAGAGAGGTATAGATATGTACCGTGTTGCAAATTTTTTGCGTAAACCCAACTTGGGAGTTGAAAGAAAAAACAATCATTAGGCGGTGCCGTCGTCGGCCGCCGGCGGTCGTTCGTCGGACGCCACTCGCCGGAGGCTGACCTGGTCCTCGCGCCCGAACAGCCCCAGGCAGAGGGGCAGGGCGGCCACGGCGAGGGCGACGACGGCCTCGAAGATGAGGGCGTTCTTCATGTTGCTGGGCGGGGAGGCGTCCTGGCCGGCGACGAGGGCGTCGCTGATGATGACGAAGACGGCGCCGAACAGCTGGCCGCCGGCCCAGGCGATGGTGGAGGTGACCTCCGGGCTGAGGGGGTGGCTGAGCTCGATGAGGTACTCGAGGGCGATGGGCACGATGGAGAAGGAGGCGGCGCCGAGGATGGCGAGGACGACGTAGGGCCCCGGGATGGTGCGCGTCTCGGGCATCCAGACGAAGGCGAGGTAGGAGAGGGCGATCACAGGGACGAGGATGCGGAGGCCGAGCAGGAACTTCTTGGTGCGGTCGAGGATGGGCGAGCTGATGGCCGCGGAGACGAGGCCGACGACAATAAGGATGGCGCCGCCGATGCCCGCCTCGTCGTTGGTGAAGCCGTACGGGGTCATCATCTGGTTGAGCAGGGTGGAGATGGAGTTGAAGAAGCCGACGTAGACGAAGTAGGGGATTAGAATGAGCCACAGCTCGAGGGACTTGAGCGCGGGGATGGAGTCACGCAGGCTGAGTTTCGGGGTTTCTGAAGCTGGGCCTACAGGAGTTGGAGGCTTGGCGGGGAGGAATACTGCTGGCACACAGCAAGCGGTGGACTTAACTTCAAGTTAGGTCCTGTTCTATCTCGAACACCAAAGAAGAAAAGGGGGGGAGGGTGAAGAAGAAACGAGTAACTACCAACTTACAATAATCGAAACGTACAAAACCATCGGAGAGACGTCACCAGAAGTTGACACCCAGAAAGGGTTGATCAACTGGCCAAGGGCCGCTCCCAAGGGATTTGCCAGGCTCATCAGCGCGGTAGCAGTGACTCGGCCACGATTAGTGAACCACAGATCTGAGTACCGTGTAGGGGCAGCAAGAATAAACGGTTGGCTGAGCCCAAGGAGAATCTCGCCAACCATGGCGCAAGCGAAGATGCCGCCGTTGCGCGAGGTGGATCCGGCATAGCGAACCCAGTTTCCAATGATGATGAGGACGGCAGAAATGACGAGCGAGAGCTTGAGGCTGCGGTGCAGGACGGCAATGTTCAGAGGTGAGATGACCACGAAGGAGAGAAAGAAGGCGGTGCTCAACCAGTTGATGGCCGACTCTGAGACTCCGTAATAGGCAGAAGCATGGCTCGCAACCGGTGCGTAGGTGAGCCACTGGTATCAGGCAGGTTAGTCAATGTTGTGCTCTCCGTATATACATGTATGCGAACGTGATGTTATGAGGATGGGGGAGAGTGGTCATCTGGTATAACGGGCTTGATGCAATGAGATATATGTACTTACACCCCAGGAGACAATGATGTTCATCAGGGTCAGTTGCACTAGTCCAAACCACCGGCGTTTGTACACGCGATACTCTGTCGATTCAGCATCGGCCACACTGCCGCCACCCTCTTCCTCGTCACCGGAGACTGGCCTCAGTGTAAAGTCCTGGGAGGGCAGTCGCTTCTTTCCAGCATTGCGACGCCAGAAACGTAGGTCCGACAGGTAGGCTTTGGTAACTGCTGGCGATTCATTATCTGGCTGGGGAGAGACATCCTTGGAGTCCCCCGTCGATGCGGTGACAGAGGTGGTCATGGCCATGGCTGGTGGTTGGTCCTGGTCCTCCTCGGCCGTTCCCCTCCCGAAGCGATGACGTCGGCAATGCTGGCACGAGCCGCGATAGGAAGCTGCTGGAAATCAACGTCGTCTCTGGAGAAGGGAAAGGGGAGCGAGGAGAAAGCGCAGGAGGTTAGGCGGGGGATGCGAATGCGGGAGGGGAGAAGATGGAGGCGGGAATGGCGAAGAGATAAATGAGAGGCAGCCTCGGCAGATTAACAAGAACAGAGGACAAAACAGAGTGAAGAATGACACAGATAGACGGAGCAAGCGAGAGTGTGAATCACGGACAGGGGAGACAATGGGGGGTGGGTAGGATTGATTGATCTGGATGCTGGATTTGATGCGAGAGGGTGGCGCCGAGGACGGACGGTGCGTCTTCGCTTCCCCAGAACGGTTACCTTGGACCAGTCAGGCGGATTGGACTTCTGTTTTTGACGGAGGATATGCAGTCGCACACGCCTATCATGGCCATGGCACGCAGCGGGAGAACAGCGAATGCAACGCAGTGGGTGGTTCGGCCTATCTGTGTGTCTGTTCCGTGGTTCTATCTACGACGGAGCGGACCAGGAGCGATGTGCTGGCGGCCGCACCCGCTATTCGCTCTTTTCTCAGCGACCCCGGACTCAATCTTAAATCTGGGTAGGTTATTCGTTTGCAGGCCTCTGCATGCTCCGGGGCCATGGTTATTACGGTTATTACTACGTATTGACATGGGATGTTCGCTCAAACTCGCCAGATTTCCCTCCAGACGGGACCACTCGCGTGACCCAACCGTCCGCACCCTGCAGCATGTTGTATCTCCTATGTCATGTATGCAGCCTTACCCAGCACCGTCGCTGCCACCAGCGACGCGACACCATCGCCGCAGTCAGCCTGCCACTGAAAGAATTTGGGTCTTTGGGTCTGCAAGGCACCAAGGACCTAAGATCCACGCCGGCGCCGCGCTGCATTGGCACCACAATCGCATGGGCTCATTCGCACGCTGTGCTGATAACCATGCCCGCCGCCATGGGTTCAATGGCCACGCCACGCCACGGCCGCGCAGCACGTGTCGTAGGATTCGTATAGCTCCGAGCAACCTCGCTCCTGTCCCCTCTGTCTACTCGGACTCGCGCATAAATCATCTACATGGTCTGCGGACTCCGTGGCCTTTTAGCAGACACGGCACTGGTCAATGGCTCGCTTACCTGTTCTGCTGTACCTAATTACCCTCTAACCTACCCAATGCCTCCCCTTAAGCCACTTTTGGGGATGGTGTTTCAAATGTCATTTTAGCAGGTAATGTCCTCGCAGCCTCGCAAACTAGAGGTGATTCTAGGCCTAGTGGGTCGGGCTGAAGTTCTCAGCCACTGGCAAATTCTTTTCGAAAGTACATGGACATGGCTGGCAGAGTCTTTGCGAGTGTAAATGGACCCGGCCGGAGCTTTCAGCTCGGGTGTCTCGTTCAGACTTCGGATAGACCAATGAGGACGGACCCAACCCGTGCATGTGGTGAATGTGAGAGAGAAAGAGCAAGACACCGAACCACGTCTCAGAGACAATGGATTCTAAGCAGAGCTACGCTACGTGACATATATCCGCAAGCTATGTCAGGTGACAACTCAAGATACTACTTTAGCTCATGAGGGTGAGGAAACCCAGCCCAGAGGCAATCATCTAGCCAGCGTGTATGAGTCTTCTATACGGCATTGGGTAGCATCAGATACTCGATCCCTCATCGACTCGATTAAGCTTGATCGGGTGATCCGGCCCGTGCCATCATACCAGGTTTACTTCCCGCCGGTAGATTCTTTATTGAGGCCCATGGGAGCATGGATCCATAAGAGCCTTTATCACCACCGTATATTCTCCGAAGAGCTATCCAGCTTCGAAGTTGTGGTCGCAAACAGCCTCGGCCAGCTGGTGTATGACAAGGCTTGTTTGGCTAACCCTCGCACGAACCTTATACCAAAAGGGGTGAGGGCAGCCCTTGAGGCTCGAGAATGACAGCAAAGGACAAGCATGGAGAAAGCCGAGACCCAGGTCTTTGGAAGCGGAAACAAAAACGGTATTATAGGCACAGAAGTTTCTATTTTGTAGGGCGTCGCAACATAGTATACAGACAAGAACCACCACACACCACCGAGGAGAGCGAGGTCTCTAAATGACCAGGCGAATATTGTACCAAGGGACGGGGTATCCCTCCCTAGTCGTGAACGCAGAGCAGCCAGGTAGTCCGCCACTGGAGCGTACATATCTCATGCGCGTCATTCATTATCGATCTAGCAGTAGGTCAAGCGTTTTACTTGAGGCGAGCCCACACCTTGGGGGCAGCGCAGTCAGTAGCGCAGTGGGCAAGGTGGAAGACTATAATCGATCAATGGTCAGCTGTCTTGAACACCCTGAGCTTGTCCTGGAGGGGGAGAAAGCGAATAGGTCAAGGGAGAGATATGTGGCACGTACACTCCTCGACGCAGTCCTCCTTGGCTCCACCATCCTCCTCCTGTTGCTGGACTCGCTCGACGCAGTGGTCGAAGTGGTGCTTAGCGGAAGCACACTGGGGGGCGTTCTTGCACTCTGTAATTGATCTCGTGTGTTAGTCCTCATTCTCATTGACTTGGACGTCTTCGGCCCCGTTCGGTCCAGCGGGATCTTCTCTCCCGCTCAGACTTCCATTGGAGTGGCATGTCCCTCTCGCAAGCTGCGACAACAAGAGAGTGAGAAATGTACGGACCTTCCTCGATTTGCTCCTTGGGGTCGACGGTCTCCTCTTCTTCTTCCTCCTCCTCTTCCTCCTCTTCCTCTTCCTCTTCCTCGTCGTCCTTGGAGTCGGAGTCGGCCTCGGGAGCCTCCTAAATCAGATATATTAGTTCCAATTCGCATCAATTTCAATCACAGGCAGCCCGCGATGAAGCCTTTCTCTGGGGGGTCGCAATGGCTTGAATGAGCACAAAAAAAAAATTCCGAGGGAGATATCCGTACCTCCTGTTCCTGGGCAGGAGCCTCAGCCTCGACGGTGCTCCATGGAGTCACGGACTCGACAATTTCGGAGAATGCGTCCCACAAACCCATTGTGACGGATGAAGGATCTGAAACTTGGACGTGCTGGTGAATTGTTCGCGTTGGAAGAGAAGATTCTCGTGGTATCGTCACAGGTCGGAAGCTCTCGGCCCAGCGCTGGCAACGAAAACTGATCCGGAATTGAGGCATTTTGATTGGTCCCACCTTGAGAGCCGATGCACGTGATATGTCACGTGATAGCCTTGTAGTACCTGGGTGACGGAATAAACGAGACATTAAATTAAAGGGCGACCTCGCTCTACAATACATAGAAGACTCGAGCGGTATAAAACGATGTGTATTGACAGTTTTCAGTGCATTTCCTGTTGCATATACGCTATTATCCCCAATAATGCAAAAATACTAATCGTAGACTCGAAAATAGGTAACCAGTATGGCAAAATACTCACCCATTGGGGTAGTTTGGCCACCGGCCAACTCGTCAACAGTATTCGCTATTTCACCTCTTACCGACCGTTCAAGGCCAGTACGACGGAGTCTTAAAAGGTAATGTGTAATTAGATAGGTAGCTTCGATCTATTTAACGTGATCGATATTTTAACCTGTCCCTACTAACTACTTGGGGAGATAAAATGGAAGAATTGGGGGAAAGCGTCCAGAGCCAAAGCAGAAAATACATCCTCTAATCATCGAAAAGCCGATTACTTAACAATGACCGGGGATGCACACATTTATTGCGTGAAGGGAACTTGTTGCACCGATCCCGGAAAATCCACATCAACAATACCCTTACTCATGCTCCATGCTGCGGTTCATAGTCCAATCTACTAGACGCTGATGGTAAATCGCACTATCTTTGAACATAACATAGTATTTCAAGGGTAAACCCAACGCCAAATATAATAAACATCGTGACTCGTCGTGGTGTGGCATATTCCAAGTGAATAACCGGGAAATGTACAACTGGTGAGATTGCCGTGAGGTGGGGGAGGCAAATGGAGGTTGCTGATTTCTAGGTCATAGAGAGGCGTCGCATTTCATCTGAGAAGCCCGTTGCGCCCGACAGGTAGTAGTTTCGGGCGCGGAGATGTCAAGCCGAACGTCCCCTCAATCGTCTCTGGTTCCGCGATCTGCCTCCCCTCGGATATGATCCTCGAGGCGGTTGCTGAGCTGCTGCGCCTGTGCCTCGTCATAGTTTGGCGGGGGCTCGTCTGGTGCTCTGCGACTGGCAGTGCTCTCTGACCGTCCATGTCCTGCTGCTGCTGCCGTGGCGGTAGAGCTTCCGGGAACTGATAGTTGACCATCATCAGCCTCGTATGCCGGTAGAGGCTCATCTGGCATTTCAGCGCCGGCGCCCATCTCATTCCGCATTTCCTGAAACTGGAAAAGGCGCTCGCGTAGCCTGATGTAGGTCTCATTAAAGTCCATCATTCCGCCATCGGAAAATGTGAACTTGACTTCTACCCGCGGGATATCTGGGGGGATACCCCCTCCTGATACGGGGACGCAATCTGACTTCCACACCCACCCCCACCACATTGATGACGATGTGGTCGAGTCTTGGAATTTCAGGATTGGTGCGCTAAAAGACTCAAATTTGGGTACTTGCGACGGCTTTGCGGGGAGATAGACGATCTACAGCACGTGAGTCAGTCGGATTGGGTCCATGTAGGAGTCGCTCATTTTTCCCTGGTGAGATTTTGACAAACCCTTTTGTTGGTGAGAAAGAGCGTTCCTTTGTCGCTCTTTCTATGAAAAGCCGTGCATCGCGAGCGAAGTTCCGAGGGGACGGACAGGTCGCATGAAATGCGCGAATCAAGCTTGTGTAATACACGTTCGTTGCCAAGCTTGACGAACCCGCCTTGGTTGAGCATTACCCAACTGGTAACATTGTCAGGATTGGTAACCTCAGGAGGGGGAGGAGTCGTGATGAGGTAGTCGTGTGGGTTGTTCATAATGCAGCAAGCTCCATGGCCTTGGACTCCATGGGCTAGAGCAGATGAACGGAGGTGGGTGAGGGGCGGTGGTCGAGCTGGAAATGAGGCGGAGGTCCAAGAGAGGAGGAGAATTGGTAATGGAAGCAGAGAGTAGGAGGGATGGCGACGAGTGTAAAGGACGTGGAGAGAGGTAGGAACTAGCAAGACAGAACGGGAAAGGGAGAGAATGTGGTAGCGGGGTCTGGCCGCGGATAGGCGAGACGAGGAAGAGAGGGAAGAGGGAGAGAAGAAAACGGCAAAACAATATGGATCGGATCGCGAGACTAACGAGGAGGCTTGAGAGGCTTACTTTATGGACATTGTAAATTGCGAAGCATAGACAGGGTTTTATGAAAGACCCTGGCTAGTGTGAGTATGATCTGTCTGGAGTGAATTCAGGTACTTCCCCGATGCGTCTCTGACCCAAGGCGGCAGGGTTGGCAAAGCAAGGCAAGGCTGAGCAAGGTTAGGTGCTGTAGAACTCGTTAGGTAGGTAGGGACGGTAGCGCAAACGGCATGCAGATTGGGCTGGAGATCTTGGGCCTGGGATTTTGGTGGGCTCTGGGTCGTGCTCTAGGTTGGGGGTTTAGGTTTGGAGGGGGAAGAGAGCAGAGAGAGGGGTCTGGGCAAAGCCAGCAACGAGTGAAGAGCAAGTTCGGGTAGTTGAGGACAGCTAGGAGGAACAGCTAGCTCTGTGTGTAAGTGGGAGTGTCTGTGTGCGTGCGTGGTGTGCGTGCCTGGGTGCGGGTGTATCTGGTCCCTGATGCGTGGTGTTCTCAAAGAAGGTGCTAGCAGGTGGTAGAGGACGAGGTGTGTGCTTGTGTGTGCGCATCAGATGCCATGTGTGTGTACCTACCTACCTAGTCCTGAGTATGTGGTGGGGTGGGTTCGCGCGTTGCGTTTATGGATAATAGTATGGGCTTGCTAGGTGATGCTGGGACAAGTGTCTCTCGTCCAAGCCAGTGAGCAAGACAGGAGGCAGGCTGTCACAGGAGGGAGTGGCTGGGCTGATGGGAACGATGCGCCGGTGAGGTGGGGATCTATTGCGATTGGCGTGGGACGGCCGCCGAATCAACGTTCGTGGACCTGTTGGGTGGTGATGCCGGACGATGATGGGCCGGGCGATGGGGATAGACAGCGGCTAGGCGAGCGAGGGCTCAGAGATGGTCGAGGACCCGTGGCGAGAGAGAGTCGCGTCTCGGTGGAGGTCGAGGGAAAGATGATGTGACTGGATGGGGGTCGGTTTGAGGCTTCGATCTTGGGATTGGGACCTCTCCAAGTCCGCTCTAGGTTCCGGGCTGCAGGTCAAGGAGTTGGAACCTTGGTTGGGTGTTGTTGGTCGCGCAAGTAGGTGCAAGGTAGCCTGCTGCAGAGGCTGTAGGGCCGTTTAGCATGCAGCCATCAGTAGCGGTACCTCCCAGGTACGTGGGCAGCATGCTCCATTATCCATCCATAGCCTCACCTGGTGAGAGGGTCCATGGGACTATCAAAGGCATTTTCTGGCTCTGGCGGAACCCTACATGACATCCAGCGCCGCTACTCAGGTAGGGCCCATGCACTCTTCGCATGACATGGCCAGGGAAACCCAGGTTCATCGATTCATGTAGGCTCCTCCGGTTGCTGTTATTCGCCGGACACCAGCGGGTGGACAGCTTTTGGCGGGGTATTTTTCTACTTGGTGCATCACACTCCACCGCACCTGCCGCACCTCCCAATCAATGGGCGACTGTGTCGATGCTTCCACACTCGTACGTGCTGCACTTGCTGCTTTTGTGCTTGATCAGGATCCTGCCTCTCCTCAAGCCTTCAGCGGGATATTTTTATCTTGCTTTTATTTATATACCTGTATACATGCACGTCTATAAATCCCATCACATCGCCTCCCACATGGCCGTTGTCACAGGCCATTCCCTCTGCTCGGCAACGCGCGCGAACAGGGACACCGTTGACCCCCCTCAGAGAACAAAACCCGCCCACTGTTTGGCTAAGGCAACGGTGCAGATGTCGTGCCTGAGGTGGCCACTACTTCATGCGTGCGTGCACACTCTTGCTGCAAGAAGCCAAGCACCCTGACGTTGAGACAAGTGCGTATTCGTACAGCGCAGTGGTCCATAAGCAGTCAATATCCTGCACTCGATATCCCGGAGCTGAACCAAGTATATCTGCGAGTGGCCACCTGCCCATACTATACACGTTCAGCGAGCCGGCCTCTGATTTCTGTACATTTTCGTCAAGAATCGCCCAGGTTCTCCCCCTTCATTTCCATCTCGTTCAGTCTTTCTGTTTCGGCTCACCACTCCACCGTGATTTATGCATCAGGCTGTATCAGGGTTGCCTACCTAGCGCTGCATCCCACATAGGGTTCCAACCCAGACTCATTCGCCTCCAGCAACCTCCATACAGGCTGAGTGAGCCATTTACCAATAGAGTGCCACCGAATTTCCTTCGAGACAAGCAGCAGGTACTGTCACCGTTGGGTAGATGGCCGGGGATGCTGTAAATGCGTATCCACCTCGGTCTGCATGTATAATTTTACCTTCCTGCTCCAACGCGGCGAGGATGACGATCAAGCATGTTTCCGACTTTCCGTTTCCCTCGACGAAACCCAGGACAGGGCCTGTGGGTATGAGATCACGAAGAAAGGAAATTAATACTTGACTGGGTGTGGACAAGACAAAACTCGGCCCCAGCTATTCTGATCGCTTTCCAGCCAACAATCAGTCACCTTGCTACTCCCGTTCCTCCTCGGCGAAACCTTTTGCTCGTTGTATCTCTAAGTCCTCTACTTTCACCGATTCGAGCCTGGCGGACCCGCTCCAGCCGGGCTTATTAGTATTGAACGGGGAAGACCCAATTGCTATCCTTCCAAGGGAAGGGGGCCTTACGCCTTTTCTGCAGCTCCCTGCTTTCTCGAACGAACCATCCCCACATTGTGCCGTGGTTGGATAGGTTAGGAGCCGCCCCCGTGCCGCAGAAGCCAGCTGCTGTAGCGTTGTTTACCCATCACGTTGGGCGTGCCTGTTTGGCAGTATGATGTAGGTGGTGGTAAAGTATCTCCTCTTTTCCCACTCACACGAAAAGAAGGCGTACATTCACGGCTTCCCCCTTTTCCAGGAAGAGCTTAGCAGGCCCTGCTCTACCATCAGTCTCCGGGGTTTGTGGGCAAACCTGCGTCCCCATGACGGTTCTACAGGTAGGCACACTAACAAATAGTAATAAATATTGTCTCAGCGGGAGCCGGGCTTGGGCATTGGCGCACGCGCCAGCTTTTAAGACCCGGCTGGCCGACAATCCCGTCCGAGGGTGGTCAAACAGCCCACGCAGGGCTCGTAGCCAACTCCAAGGCACACGCTTGTGATGCGGTTCGATGATTCTGGCAGAGGCTAAACACACTACCAGATGATGATTGGAAGGCTAATCAGCTCTGTGGCAGGCCTAACCGGCTAGCTGGTTAGCATGGCAGCGTTCTGGTTGGAACGTGTTTACGTACGTACATGCGCATCAGATCCCAGGATCCAGGTTAGAGGCCATGGGAGGAAAGGAAGCGAGGGGTGGTGGCCGGTCTGCCAGAGCGAGAACCAGAAGCTAGAGCAAGGGTCTTCCGTAGCTCCGCTCAACGTGCCGGGGTAGCAGCACCTAAAATCTGTATGGCACGTATCCAGATCCCTGTTGGAGCTCACACATCTTCATGCCCAACCAACACAGCCATACGCACGTCCATCGTCACTCATCATCCACGCAGCCAGCGTCTACAATAGGCCCTTCCGTCTATCCTCGGTCACCCCAACCAGCTCACCGACTTGTCCTCGTCATTCGTCCCATCCCGCATACATACTACGTTTCAGCCGAGTATCTGATTAGTACCTAGTTTGCCGTCCGGCCGGTACCGTTCAAGTGGCTCCTCTGTACCGTCCATCTGGGCCTCGGGAACCACTAGATTTTGTCCCATCCCACGTCGTTATAACCCTTGACATCATCTGCATTAGTCTTCTAACCACTACCCTACATATCTTGAAGTGGTAATTAAAGAACACAAAAAGAAAGGCCGAGAGAATCCATACCAGGCACCCCCGAATCATGACCACCAACGACGACATCACCATCAACGCCCTGCGGCACTACACGGCATGCGACGTTTCCGATGCTCTTCTCAAGCTCAAGGTCGCCAATGCCGGCTTCATCCCGGACCTCTCTCTCTACACCACTCCTGACCCCTCCTCGTCACCCCCCGTAGTCACTATCGCCCCCGTGTCGACAGTCCTGTTCGCTCCAAAGAGCGCCACTCCCGCTGCCCGCCCCTCCAACCTCCCGGATCCTAACATCCCCAAGGATGTCCACTGGGCAGATCTCACTCAGCCTGACACCCTGGTCGTCCTTCAGCAGCCTCCATCCCAGGCCAACGCCATCTGCGGTGGTATCATGGCCCTCAGGATCAAGGTCCTCCGGGCCAAGGGCATAGTCGTCGCCGGGAGGATTCGCGACCTCACCGAGCTGCAGAGCACAGGCTTACCCGTTTGGGCGCGCGGAACGTCCACTGTTGGTGCCGGTGGAGGAAGCACACCCTGGGCTACTCAAGTCCCGCTCGACATTGACGGCACTGCTGTGGCGCTAGGGGACCTGGCTGTGTGTGATTCCGTCAACGGCGTCGTTGTCATCCCCCGAGATAGGGTGCAGCAGGTCCTCGAGCTGCTCCCCAAGCTCACTTCGGCTGACGATAAGGCCAAGGAGGACGTTGCCAAGGGTGTGCCTGTCTATGAGGCCTTCAAGCGACACAGAGGCAATTTGTAAAACAAACAAGGGACGGGTGGTGGATGGGCAGAGCATCCTACCCTACCCCTGGCCCGTCATCAGATACTGCGTGCATGATGAGTGAGTTTGGGCCTTGTTTTTTGTTATTGTCATTAATTCATTAACGTGCCTTCATGAAAGCAGAGAACCCCTAACATCCATAGTTTTCCAACAGTAAGAAACCCAATTTATCCTGGAATAAAAAAAGACATGACAAGAAAGACCTTGAGACTCAGGAGAGAGGGAAAAGAGGAAGTGACAAAAGAGAGAGAGAAAGAAAACCCAAAGATATGACACAAGCAGGGATGGGGCTGAGTACGAGAGGTGCCTGCATTACAACCCCCATCCTCCTCGAGTCAGTCACCTAGGTAATCAAAGGTTGCAACGATTGACCATGCAGGTTGGCTTCGATAGCTAGATCCACCCATCATCATCAGCGCCAGCCTTTGCTGCAGCCGCTGTTGCCGCAGGTGGAAGGCCAAAGTCCAACTTTGGCATCTCGATCTTCGGTGCCAACTCCACCCTCGGCTTCTGGCCACCACCAACCTTCTTGGGCGGGCTCTTGACCTCCGGCGGCGGGCCGTACCTCACATCCTTGACATCCCAGCCGTCCTCCGCGGCTGCAGCGACCCAGGTCCTCAGCCCGTCGTGGACGCTGCCATAGAACTTTTCCTTGCATAGACGTAGGCTACCACCCATGCATCGGTCCCAGCCCGAAATTCGCATCTCGCCCCTGAGCGCGTTGCGGGCCCCAGCCGTGGGCGTACATGCAAGAATGGCGTTCAGCAGATCAAGGTGCGAGGCGAGGTAGTTGGTAGCGTCCCATTCTACACCGCCGACGTAAGGGGCTGCGGGTACCGGTGGGCGCTCCTGGGGGAAGTGACGCATCATATAGGAGTAGTGATCGTTGCTGGGAGCAGATATGCACGAGTCTGAATCGTACAGCGAAGATCCCTTCTTGTCCGTCGAGGGGAGGGCAATGACGTTCAGGTTGTGCAGAAAGATCCAGAACACCTCCTTGGTCACGCTAACGACCTCCCTGTTCCACACCCGGTATGGCCTATCTTGTCTCATCTCAAGGACAAACGCCAGCGGGCGTTCTTCCTCCTTTGGCTGCGGGTCCCGCAGGAGACCCAGCACGCTCTTGGCTCTGATCAAACGCTCTGTGGGACTAGCGGAGTCGATATACGTGAAGAGGATCGACGTGATGATGTTTCGAGTTGTGAACTCGCTCGGGCCCTTCTTCTCGGGATCGAATAGCAAGTGGAGAAGTTTTGGAAATAGTTCCTTGTGAATGGAATCGAGGTACTGCATTGCCTTGGCAGTTGTAGACAAGGCCTTGATACAAAGCAGGTTCTCATGCAGAAGAGCGTCTTCGTGTTCCTCCCTAGAAAGAAAAAAGTCCTTGTTAGCAAACCAAATCTCTCAGTGGTTCGGGGAAGCTATTCCCTCGCTTACCTCCACTCGACGTCCATGATCCGGTTGAGGAGATCAACAATTTCCTTCATGCCTCCCTGCTCGAGGAACTCCTCGATCCAGGCGACAGTCTCATTGCGCAGCAGCAATCGAAGCTTGTGAATTTTCCCAACCTCGACCTGCTCAGGCTGCTGCACCTTCCTCAGGTATGAAACATAGTCGGCCGGCCCATGCTGGAACTTGATTTTGGACAAAATGGTGGAGGTTGATGATGAGGATACCGAGGTAGGTCTGTCCTTTTCGCTGACGACGCTGTCTGTTGATTTGCTTCGGAAGTGACGTCCGAGAGTTCCCTCTCCCTTGTTCTTCTTCGGCGAAGTGTTGTTGGCCTCCTTCTTGCCCCGAGAAAAGGTGAAGCTCCTGCCTCTTGTCCGCTTCTGTTTCTCAGCCTCGCAGTCTGAGCCGGCTGCGACGGCGCTGGTGCCCTCCACACTGTTGCTGCTGTCGGTCGTGCCAGGCCGATCAGGCTTTGCGGCCTGCATCTCCGCCCAATCCTGTCGGATAAACTCCATCTTGATCGTGTCGTTCAGGTTTCGCATCTTGTACCTCTGGTTCTCGGGGATGTTCCGCCTATCCAGCATGGCTTCGAGATGCTTGTTGATATCCCTGGGGTCAATCATGAGCTCCGGGCCCGGTTCCGCAGTGACTGGGCTGGCCACAGTCGATTTGGATCGGCTGTGGCCCATCCCGGTGAGGGCCCTGAGAGCCCTGTTTCTCTGTGATTTGATGCTGCTGTCTGGGTTCGAGCCCGATGCCTTCCTAGACCCATTTGAGTATGTAGATCCCGTCGCCGACGACACGGAGGGAGGTTGGTAGTTTCTGGGTGCCACCTGGAAGGACTTGGGGCGTTCCTTCACAGCCGGTCTATTGTTTTGTTGTGGTTCTGGGACGACAGAGTACCTGCTGTTATTGTTCATCTCCATGCTCTGCCGTTCCTGAAACTGGTTGCGGACAGAGGCATCGCTTGTGAACTGAGCGAAGATTGGAGGAGGCGGAGCCAGCTCCAACGGATCCTCATCGGGCGTCTGGTTCTCCTTGTCTTTCATAAGCTGGGCACTTCCCTGCTCAGAGGAGAGCTTGTACAGGCTCTTGAGGGACTTGGGTCTAGAAAGTAATCCAACAAAGTTGGTACCCGTCTTGCTCTTTGGCTTCGATGGCGATGTCTCGCGAGACTTGGCGCCTCTGGAGAAGGGATTGCTTCCCAGGACGCCCTTGGTCGGGGAGTGTGATCGTCCTCGTACATGGTCGCTTCGTAGTTCGTCTCGGGTCTGTCGGTAGAGGCGGGGGGCTGCCTCCTGCTGATTCTTCTGGAGCTCCCCCAGGGCGCCCGGGTTATTCTTTGTGAACACGCCGACACCCATGATGTCCGTTCTCTCGGGGCTCTGTTCAATCCTGGCCTGCAGTGGCTCCGGGACTATGGCCTCTCCTTTAGAGGGTTGGCGGCGGTGGACGAAGCTTCTGAGGACGGAGGACCTGGTTCTCTGGTGGCCTTGTTGTTTTGTATCTTGGACGGCGGCCATGTCCTCGGATCGATCGGTGGTAGGTACGTGAGAAGCTGCTGAGACAAACTAGGCTCAGACATGCAGCAGGACGCCAGCCGAGTTCCCTACGGACCAATGCCGGGAGAAACTCAGTGAAACAGCCCCAACCACTCGTGGGTAAATAGAAAATGAAGAAGAAGAAAACGAGGCTGTTTCTCCTGCAACTGAGAAATGAAGGAGAAAAGTGCAATGCAAGAGAATAGTTGGCAGGCTAAGTTTTCAAGCCATTGTCGAGGTTCGAGCACCGGTAGAGGATAACGGTTTTCTCGAGGATCGGCCAACGGGTCAGGAAAGCAGTCAAGAGGCTAGAATAGCTCGTGGAGGCGGCCTGCCGGTTGTTTATGGGTCGCGCGTTGCCGTGGCGACGCCTCACACGACAACCGCATATCTTATCGCCAGAAATGCGGGGGCGCGCAGCAGCCATTTGACACGGCCAACGTCGTGTCGTGCGCCCAGGCTGCATTGCATGCAAGGAATGGCCGGGCTTTGCTTTTGTTCCCGGCTCGAGCGAATACGTGTTTCAACTAAAATCCCTCCATGGCTACACCGCCCGCCTCATGACTCGCTTGTGCATCCGATCCATCCATCAATCCAAGCTTCGGGTGAGGTTGCGTGCTGCGTTTCGCCCCGTGTGTACATGAACATGTTGGTACGGCTTGAACGATATCAAGTTCTAGCTCGGTATAATAGCACACTTTTTTTACGCACGTATGTATCCAGGGTTACCTCTTGATCGTTGGAAGAATCTCACCTTTGCTTCACTCCATCTACTTCCTCGTACGTCGTATTCCATAATTCCGGCCTCCCAGTCAAGTCAACAATTGTTTCCGCATCAGTGCCCCACTATCAGCCTAACATCAGCTTTCAAGGAAGCATGTCAATTGACAGTATTATGTACTTGGTATGTGAACATAACACGGCTTGCACTTGATCTTAATCTTGATGGGAAACACGCACCAATGCCTAGGTAGCTCCAGACCACTCCGGCTCGTCACATTCTCTTCACAACCTTGGCAGTATTGTGATGGCGAATGGTGCAACAACCGAATTCCAACACCCCATGGATCCCTTGTCGGCGAAAAGTGGGATTATTGGATGACCCCCCCAGAGAAGAGAAAAAAACATTATATGTAGTTCCTGATGCCCAAGCAACCGCAACTCTTTCACCCGAACACCAATCAAATGCACACAGCTCTGTTGCTTTTCCATCTGTGGAAGGTACAAGAAAATAACAAAACACATACGTAAATAGACTGGGCGGAAAATGGTGGTTCCTTAAAACAAGGTTCAGTTTCTAGAACATATCATCTTTGGGATATTCTTCTTCACCGGACAATACAATACTAATGATTTTAAACTCCTCGTGCATTTTGACCGTCGCTCCCCATCGCCTCTACCTCTCCTCCTCCCCAGGTACTATGAATCATGAGCTCCGTTCGTCTTCGACCCTTGGCCATCCTCATCATGTGCCTGTTTACTTAGTAGCGGCGTTCTCTCATCACTAGCAGCGCCTTTCGCCTTATCATCAAGGGATATGGGGTCTTCCCTGCCACTGGGGCTGGCATGAGTCGAGTGGAGGCCCTGCTTAATCTTGAACACATTCTTCTTCGCGGTGAGGGGATTAGCCGCACGATTCGCGGGACCGAGCCGAAGCTGCTGCTTCATTTCTTCGAGAGATGCCTCAACGGGTACAGGGTGGTCTTCCAAACGGCCATCGGGGCCGACTGAACTGCGGCGTTTCAGGAAAATGGCCGTTCTCGGTCGTTTGCTGTCCTGGCCTCCACTGTCGCTCATTGCGCCCAGAGAGCCGACCTGCAGGGTGTTACCCTCGGTATCCTCGGCAATATCGACGAGAACGGGGTGTTCTGTTGTCTTCTTTACTGCCGCAACGGCGGCGGCAGCCTCAATTCGGCGGGCACGGGGTGCGGGAGTTAGGCGTCGGATCGCCTTATGAACGTCCACGTAAACGTCAGACTCGTCCACAATTTCCCTAGACGCTCAAAGTTAGACCATGCCTACCAGTTAACTCTGTGAAGCTTTGACTTACTCTCCAATCAGTTCCTCAATAACATCCTCCAGAGTAACAACACCGAGAGCTCCGTGGTCTCCACCAGGAAATTCCGAGACCAGAACCAAATGCGACTTTCCTTCTTGGAAGAAGTTGATGATGTCCAGACAGCTTGTTTCGGGGCGAGTTTCAACAACGGCACCCAGAGGTACGTCACGAACGGGAATGGCATCTTCGGGATCATAGGTAATCAAGGTCTTGACGAGGAGGATGCCGACAAAGTCGGATTTGTGGCCGGTTCGATAAACGGGGATACGTGAGTAACCGGAAGAGAGAATCTTGTCCATGGTCTTCTCATCCAAAACATGGTCCTCGGAGAGCGTGAAGACATCCTTCATCGGGGTCATGACCTCAGCAACGGGCTTGTCCTTCAAATCCAAAACAGCAGTGATAATCGTGACTTCATCCTGGTTCAGACGCTCAGAAAGCTCTCCCAACGACTTATGCAGAGTAACCAAGGTCTTCAACCCGCTCTTCTTGTATGTAGTACCGTGGTCCTCGCCTAGGATCCAGTCCAATAGTCGGGCGGTGGGATACGCGAGGGGGCTCATAAGATACATGAGGAAGAGGACAGGCTTGGACATGTAGCCGCCGATGGGGAGGCCGTACCTGACACAGACGGCCTGGGGAATGATTTCGCCAAAAATAACTGGAAGCCAGCGCATTAGCACTACCTAGCCGGGTGATACATGAGGCTGTCGAAACTCACCGATGAGGACCGTGCTACCAACAACAGCCGCGACTCCTCCTCCCAAAGTGCGGTCAAGCACCACCGGCAGCGATTCGTTGACAATGACGTTGGACAGAAGTAAGGTGACGAGTACCCAGTGCTTGCCTTTGCCCAAGAGATCAAGAACACGCTTAGCATTCTTGTGTTGAGGTTCGGTCGGATCGCCAGAGAGAACCTGCAAATAGATGCTGTCCTGGCCCATCAATCTGTATCGGTGCCAGTTAGCATCATCCCCAAGTGCAAATACCGCGAGAAATACCTACGCGATTGTAAGACCCGCAAAGACACCCCCGACCAATGTAAGAGCTATCGAAGCGACAGCCAGGACCCAGATGGGTGTCGGGTCCTCATCGTGATGCTCGGCCTCGAAAGAGGTCAGGGGAGCAGCGGCAACGGCTGAGATGCTCACGCTCGCGAGTCGTGCCATGGAAAGGACTGCAGGGCGAAAAGCCGCCGCGCCCGTTGCGGGTGCGCCCCTTCGCACCATGTCGATTGTCCCAGCGATGTGAAATTGACGTAAGAAAAAATTCCTAATATCGATGATGGGACGAGAAATGTATAGATCAACGCCGGAAGTGTCTGGTGCGTGCGATTGTCCGATGCCAATTGATAGCCGAAGGTTGGCGATGCGACGAGCAGAAAACAGTGGTGCTTGCTCTCGGGTCGATTTGGCGAGGGCGACGATGACGTTGTGCTCGCGGTCGTTCGCGCAGCGCTACTGGGGTCCAGCGAGTGAAGCACCAGAGATGTTCCTATTGGCTAGAGAGAGGGCTGGAGGCTCGCACACTGGATGGAAACACCTGCACTACCGCAGCGAGCGTCTGGTGGTTAGCGGGAGGAGACGCAGGAAGCGATGAGCAAATGTCGAAGAGCAATCGAGAAGAATGCTGCAGCCCTGGAGGGAATGGAAGGAAGGTTACAGCTTACGACAGCTAAGGCTGGGCATAGTTGCAAGAAGGCTGGCACAACCCTGCAGCGCAAGTCCCCCTCCAGTGGGGCGCCCTGGAACCATGCCGAGCAGTTCGACCCAGCGCCATCGGGTACCTATTTAATTGGCTGCTAATAGCCGGCTGTCCCCTGCAATGCATCGGGTCTAAGATAATGTAGGCACACGCGAGAGAACACATGGATTCATCAATATTCAAATACAGCGGTCAGCCGCGAAGGTACGCAGTGGCCACGCTCTTTTCGCTCTCGCGATTTAGTAGATTGCTTAGAAGGCGGTGGTCTCTGCTGCGGTCTTTGATATACCAGGTGAGAACCCGTACGTAGGACCGGTTTATCTTGCTGCTGTCAAAAAGTACACTTTGCCACACTTTTACAATCTACATGTGCGAGGATTTTCAGCCATTTCGTCGCCATATCCTCCATTCCTTTCCAATATATATATACCTATATATATTGATGTCAAGTCGTAAATTTTTTAATCTGATTTTGCTCATATTTACTTACCTACGTCCATGCCCCATTGGCCAATTCGCCGATGCAGGCTGCTGAAGGATGTGTAATACACCAATTCCCAGTTACTCAATTGGCAGAGCATGAATCTTTAAACCCAAGGTTCAAGGTTCCCGATCGAGAGCTTTTTGCTTTTGTTTTAAAAAAAAGTTATATTCATTTGCTTCTTGGTACCTATCTGACCTACAGTGGTTCCCTTGCAGGCGCCGAATCACAGCCCAGGAGGCCTACAGCGTCATTACGAAATTCTAGCTGCTCATCATTACCACTGGTACAAAGCAGCCCACTGGATAATGGTCCGGCTGGTAAACAGGCTCTCGCGTTAGGCTTGAAGCAAACCCTCAGGCACACCCTCACTTGCACAACAGGGCGGGAACAGGGCTGGCTGATAGGCTATTGTTTGCTTGGCATTCCCACGCAGCTCGGATGATCTCGTGTACAACGTTGCAAAGGGGTATCTTGTTGAAAGAAGTGTCTACATATCATCCTTCAATCCCAACTATTGATCTGAGAAATCTACCACCTACAGCCTCACGAGACTGACATCCAACACACCCTCCGAGCGCCTCAGGTCCTCCACCACCTGCCCGTTGACGGGCCCCTCCACGCCCAAAATCATGAGGGCCTCGTTATCTGCCGTGGCACCTCGCTTCCTCGCTTCCCTGGACTCTGTCCGGCCAGGATCCAAGCTGGCCACCTGCATCGAGTTGATGTTGATGCCGTGCTCCCCGAGAACCATTCCGACACCCCCGATCTTTCCGGGCTGGTCATAGTTGTGCAGAATGATCAGGGTTCCATCGGGCTCGAAAGTGCCGTTGAAGCGGTCGAGCTTGGTGATGAAACCTCGTTGATCAGACGTGTATCCCTCAATGACCTGTTCCGTGACCGGCTCCCCGTCATCTCCGTTAGAGTGGGCCCGGAGCGTGACCATGTTGGCAAACAAGAGGTTCTTGGTGTCACTCGCGTAGGTCTCGCTGACGATGATGCCCTTCTCCTTGGCGATGAGGGCCGCGTTGACGATGTTCACGTGGGAGGTGCTGAACGAGGCCAGGAGACCCTTGACCAGGGCCGCGAACAGGGGCTTGGTGTTGGGCATGGTGGCGAGGTCGCCGTGGTATATCAGCTCGAACTTCCGGCCCCCCATCATGCCTCCCTTGCCGCCCACGTAGTGCTGCGCGTACAGCTTGGCCATCTTCTCGACCAGCTCCACTGAGGGCTGGAGCTTGCGGTACTCCTCGGCCAGGATGATGGGTGCGTTGACGGCACTCGTCGGGTGGCCGCCGCGGAGAATCTCGAGGACCTGAGTGCAGACGTCCATGGAGACATTCTCCTGCGCCTCCACGGTAGATGCTCCAAGATGAGGTGTCGCAACCACCTTTGGGTGTTTCGTCAGCTGGGCAGCGACTGAGTCCGCCGTCGGGGGCTCAGATGTGAACACGTCGAGGCCAGCTCCTGCAATCCAGCCTTCGTCCAATGCCTTGAGAAGGGCAGCCTCATTGTAGACCCCGCCTCTCGCGACGTTGAGAACTCGTGCCGTCTTCTTCATCTTCTTGAACTCCTCCTCACTAAGTAGATCCAGCGTGGTGGCCAGCAGAGGAGTGTGGATAGTCAAGAAGTCAACCTCGGGTAGTATATGGTCGAGACTGGGTCTCAACTCAACACCTTCCTGAGAGGCAATGTCGGCGCTCGCATAAGGGTCGACAGCTATCACTTTCATTCCCAGACCCTTCGCCATCCTGGCAACCTTGAGGCCAACCTTGCCTAGGCCGATGATGCCAAGGGTCTTCCTACCGACCTCAATGCCCACAAGCTTACTCCGCTCCCATTTACCTTCCTTGATGGTGCCATCAGCTCTACCTATATTCCTAGCAGTAGCCAGAAGCAGCGCGATGGTGTGCTCGGCAGCGGCAACAATGTTCCCTGCCGGCGAGTTGACGATGATGACGCCCTGCGAGGTAGCAGCACCGACATCGATGTTGTCGACGCCGACTCCGGCCCTGGCTACGACTTTGAGCTTACGGCCGGCCTGGAGGACAGCGGCCGTCACTTTGGTCTCAGAACGAACAATCAAGCCATCGTAGAGTGGGATCTTTCGAATGAGCTCCTCAGGGGAAAGGCCAACAGCGTTGTCGACGTCAAAGTGGGGAGTGAGCATAGCCAGGCCATCAGGGGACACCTTCTCAGGCACGAGGATCCGAGGGCGAGCAAAGCCCTGGGAGTGAGGATGTGAGCCTTCAGTGGCGACTGGTACCATATTGGGGGGCAATTACACGACGAGGTGTGTAGATAAGTAAGGTGGAATAGCAAGGTTTGGGCGCGAAAGAGGAAAGGTCTGAGGGGGAACAGATATACATATTGTTAGGCAAGCTGGGAAGTGGTGACGACGTCGCCCGGAGGATTTGTGGCCTCACCTCTGCGCGTGTCACCCACAATTACACTTACACTGCCGGAGTTATCTGAGCAACCACACCCCAACCTGACGCATCACAGGGAGCGGCGGGCGACTGCTTTGGGGCATATCGAGGCATATCCCGCTCAGCTAATGGCATTACCTATTCAAGACGCTTCATCAGTCTACCCCCCACGTTAACATCGAGCTCGGCTCCATCGGGAAAGGAGGGCTGGCAAGGGTGCGACAATGCGAAGTAGCACGAGGCGGTTAGAGTTTGGGCAGTATGCCAATAAAACGTACAAGCCGCATTCAAAGAAGCCCGACCTTCCCCACGTTTTGGGCTCACCGCATCCTGCAACCGGCATGAGCCACCCCCGCGCGAGACTCAGCAGAGGACCTATCATGTCTCGGGAGAGGAGAGAAGAGAGAAGACGCTTAAGTTTCCCCCGCTCGGCACCATGTGGCGATTCGTTTCTAGTCGAAAGGTGCATGCACACGAGCCCCCCGCCATTGGCCTCTCTAATGGGAGCAAAACGTCTAGAGCACGGCTCTCGCTTTGAGGATCCGGGCCTAGGAGCCGAGAAAATGCAGGAAAGGCGCCATTTGGTCCCTCAAAACCGATAGCCGCTCCGCTGTCCTGCAGTGTGCCATTCGCAAGTGCAACTCTCATGCATATGCAGGAGGTGCCCTGGACATCCCTTTCTATCGTCACATTACATGCAAACGGCCAGATGAGAGGATCTGAAACGTGTTCTCTGCGTGTTGAGTTCATTAGCGCCTTGCATACACAAGCTAGCTACCCAGTTGTCCCACGGCTCTTGAGCTACAAACCCCTTTATGCAATGTACGACCCTCAGAAGTTATCCTGGCCAGTGAATCGCTCATTCTGGACAACTTCTACCCAGTAGTTGTCTGGGTCGAGGAGGAATGCCACATTCTTCATGCGACCATCCGTCAACCTCTTCTTGTAATTAGTCTGCAAATCATCGAAGCGCTTGCATGCAGCTTCAATGTTGTCCACCGTCACACCTTGGTCAATGAGGTCAGTGATTCGTCCGAGGAAAAAAGCAAGCAGTTCTCTATGGGACACAATAAGACCTACAGATATGGCCGAAGCCCTGGGGTTGGTCATTTCCATTGTGATAGGCGAAGTTTTCGTCGTTCTCAGTGCCGTAGTTCCAGGTGAGCTCGAGGAGCCCCTCACGGCGGTTAGTGATGCCATCTGCCTCGATACCCTGCTCTCCTGGGTAGCCGAGGAAGTACAGATTGAACTTGGCCTCTGGGTTCTCGATTGTGCGCAGGAGAGACATGCCCAAAGTATTCTTGTAGAAGTCTAGCGACTTCTTGATGTCTTTGACGCGGATCATGGTGTGGTTCTAGGGGAAAGTTAGCCCGCCCGGGGTGGACAGGTCTTACTCGAGTTGAAACTTCGGAACGTACCATTCGGTAGGTAGAAACATCAGTCGTCTTGACCTCAGCCATCTCCTCAAGAGTCTTCTTGCCATCGGCAATGATCTCGACCCAGTAGTTATCGGGATCGAGGACAAAGGCGATGTACTTCATGCGGCCCTCGTCCAACCTCTTCTGGAACTTATAGCCAGCATCCTCGAGACGCTTGCAAGCAGCCTGGATGTAGTCTACGCTGATACAGGTGTGACCGAAGCCACGGTGAGGCTCCTTGTTACCATTGTTGATCTGGTAATCAGGATCGTTTTCAGTCCCATAGTTGTGTGTCAGCTCAATGAGTCCCTCGCGGTCAAAGACGGACCTGCCGTGGGAGAGGGCGTTTGGGCTGTCGTATCCCAGGAAGTAGAGATCGAATTTGGCCTCGGGGAACTCAAGCTTCTTAATAAGACTCATGCCCAGGAACTCGTAGAACTTGACTATTTGAACGAGACCAAGGGCCCTATGATTAGCCAATAGAAACGACGCGGTGGACATCAAGGTGCTGTTTGCTAGCCTTACCCGATTCCTTGGGATCCTTGACTCGGATCCTGTCAATTGGTTAATAAGCACGACCGTCATTGCACGTCCCGCCAGCTCTTACATGGTGTGGTTGAACTTGTAGTTCTCTGTCTTGGTAGCCGCCATGGTTGCTAAACGGCGAGTGTGATTCGCTGCTGGGGAGAGAATGAGAGGTCAGCCCCAGCACAGCGACACGAGCGAAATGCACGCGGGGAACCTTGATTTGAGCGCGGGTGCTTACTGGTTGGGTTGGGGACAGAGGTTGCAGCGGCGGTGCTTGGGCGGATCAAGAAGCTCTGGATGGCTCGCAGACGTCTCAATGCTTGAAAAGCACTCATCTGGAATTGGAGCTGGCAGATTCTACGAGCAAGATTGCGGAGACCAAGCAGGCTGGAGCATTCTGTTCGGCCTCTATCCCTAAAACCCGAGATCGTAATAGACCTTGCCCAACAAGCGCCAGCAGCCCACCCGCTATTTGCATGTGCAACTCTACGTCAACCAAACAGCAACTGGGCTGGACCCCACCTATCTCGATTGCTTGACCCATGAGCCTCGACCCTTGATCCATGGACGATGGGTCTTCCATCCATCACTGGCTGTAGCAGGCATGCCATTCCGTCACTCGCTAATTAAGAAGCCACTGGCGTAAACAACCAAAACTGCCCCACCACTATCGATAACAGCACCAAGGGCCACCTGCTTGTTCCTGCTGGTAACCGCTGGCCTCTGTAAAGTACTCCAACTATCCATGCCAGTGTCAATGGCGCGTCCAATTCCCCATATCACCTCCCACCGCCCTCTGGCTCTCTCATTCCCTCCACCACCGCCAACCATATCTTTCTAAATAATGAATTGCGGAAGCAGGCTTTCCCAGGCAATTCCGATCTCTTGTTCCCCGAGCCTGGTCTAATCCATCCAAATCTACGCCCACTTGATCTCAGCAAACTCTCTACCTACGCAACCGTGCCAGCTTCTCCAAAACGACGTGGGAATCCTCCGCAGCTACACCTGGCTACCACGAACCGATGATCCCAAGTCACCGCGACGTCATTTTGACGCTGCATGCAGGCAAATACAGATAGAAAATACCTCCAATCTCCAACGCTTGCTCGGTTCTTGCCGAGATCTCGACATGGAAGTTCCCAAACAAGATAATAGCTTACCGGCTCTTGGCCCATCGCCAATCGCAAAGTCCAAGAGTCGCCGATCGCTCTCTGACGGCGGAAGCACACCGATTAAAATCCCCTCCCTACCTAACTTCGGCGATCTATCCCGACGAACCTCGAAAGATGACAGCGGCCTCCGGGATATCACAACACCGGTGACGCCCCGGCGTCCAGAGTTCCCCCCTAGTGGTCTGTCGCTCCAGATGCCCACGAGAGAGTTCACTCCGCCGCCCGCTACCTCAAGCGCTTACATCAAGACCGCCCCTCTGTCTCCCCAGGTCGACAACTCCCACATCTATGCATCTCCTACCAATATTGTCCCTCGACGGTCGCGCGGCCTGGATTTCTCCCGGGCTGCGACAAGTCTTCATCACTCGACTCTGGCTGGGCAGTCGTCGCCGGATGCATCGCCGACAATGGCCGGCAAGGCCATGAACATCCCGGCTCGTCGGGGCGACTTTGGAGGTCCGGAGCAAGTATCATCGTCACTCTGGTCAATGATGGGAAATCGGGAGCGGATGAATCTCAGCCACTCGCTGGGTAGTGCGCATGCGGTTGGCTCCGACTCGTCCAGTTCCTCGGATGAAGACGACCCAATGGACGAAGATATGGAGGATAACTTTGTCATGACACCTCAAGTACATAGGACGATTTCAAGTGTGGGCCAACCTCCATTCGGGTCACCTGCGGCGGGGAGCTTGATGAGCTTCCAACAGCGCCAAAGACACCGCAAACATATCAAGAAGAAGACACGCGTCCCCATGGGGATAGGGTTCAACAGTGGGGGCTCGAGTATCTCCAACTCACCTCCGAACAACGCTGCCACCAATGCCAGACGAGAAAGCATTAGTTGGCAGGCAAACCAATTGCACATAGCAGATGCCGCCGATGAAGCCAACAAAGGGAACGAAGGTGATGGGACGAGTAGCGATGGTTCAAGGAATGTGATTCGTCGCGCAGTGACACGGAGGGGAAATATGTTGGTGAGTTGCAGGGAAACAATTATATACCAGGAAGGCATGATTGCTAACTAGTTGCACAGCCCAAGACGAAGACTTTTGCCCGAATCAGAGCAGTCCTTGCAGAGGAGGGTGCACCGGCCGAAGCCGAGTTCAAACGCGAAGCGGAGGTGGTCAAACAAGTTCGCGAAAGCGATGTGCTTGAGCCTCGTAGGGCACCGCCCGTCCCTTCAACAGAAACTCCAACGTCCACCATCGCCCCGGGTCTTTCCTCACCCAATCAAGAGAACCTAGACGACATTCCCGAGGATGACATGATGGGAGATCTGGCTCTCGGTCTGTCCAGCAGCTTCAAACAACAAGCGATGAAAAATTCCAAGGGCAAGAACTTCTGGGACACCTTTTCCGATAGCGGGAGCGTCAACGGGAGCAGGACGAGCCCGCCACCCCTGGCTCTTCAAATAGTGCCGCGGGGTTCCGCATCCGCATCAAATATCTACGATGATATATCAATGGACTCACCTTCACTGGCTGTAGCCCCTGGCTTCGCTCAAATCCGACAAGAGATGCAGTTCCCGCAAAACCAACCACCGAGCGCTGCGGAGATCACACGTCGGATCAACAACAAACGCCGCCGTGACAGTGACTTCGACCCTGTCAGCTTCAAACGTCGTGCCGTCAGTCCCGGCATGAGCGTGCACAACTCCCCACTCGTGCAAAGCCCAATGCAACGAGACGCGGGCCACCTGCACTCCAGGCCAAGCAGCAACAGTGGGGAGAAGAACGGCAGCAGCGCCGCGAGCGAGTCGGGGAGCAACGGTGGTGCGTCCGCGAACCCTACCTCTGGCGCCAGAGTGAATGGCAAAGGGAGAGTTGGCTTCCAAGGCATGGTAGATACCAACGAGGGCATCATGCGCATGAGTATTGAATAACCATCCCCCGCCCTTAAAAGAGACGATATTTCAGCTAAGGGAGAAGGCTCGTGGTGAATCATGGTGAGGTGTGTTGGGTTTTGCATCAAAACGGCGTTGGTATTGGAGTATTATGAGCGCAAGTTATCGACATATTTTTTTTCACCATTTCCTCGTGTAACTAGTTATTTCAGCACTTCTACAGCTTAACATCATTGTAGAACAACAACAAAAAGATACCAAGTATGTAATTAGATTCAAGCATTCAGCTTTCGAAAAGGTTCCAAGTCTATTGTATTCGTCATAAACGCTACCATGCGAGAAAAAAAAGAAGAAGAAGAATTGCCCGATCATTAATATGCGTCCCAAAGTCAACAAGCCATGCAAGTTGATATATCTCTCCCCTGAAACGCCCATGCCACGTTGAAAACATCAGTGTCAAAGAAAGAAAAAGAAAAAGACCTCCCACGTCCTTGGCTCGTCAGGTTCCTCAGTCCGCGCCGACGCCCTCCTCGGGTACGGCCAGCGTCCCGAGCTTGTCGTCGAGCCACCTGGCCAGGTCGGAGGCCTGCCTCCTCATCGCCACAACCATGGCGGCGCCGACGCTGTCGTGGCTCGAGGTGGACTGCCCGCCCACGCTGATCTGGCTGGCCACCTCGCTGGGGCTCGTGGACACGGCGAGGGCGGCGGCGGCGGTGACGAGCTCGCCGCTGTCGAGGTGCTGCACCGGGTGGAGGTGGTGGTGGTCCCCGTGGTCGGCCGAGGGCGGGCCGACGCACACGAAGAGCAGGCCGCACTTGAGGCGGCGGATGAGCACGGTGCCTCCGCTGAGCTGGACGGTGATGGTGGCTGGCTTCAACGGGTCCGGCGCCACGGGCGGGGGTCTCGGCCTGCCGCGGTTGTCCTCTTCCTCTTCCTCTTCCTGTTCGCCGTACGTGTCTGCGTCGTTATCGTCGTCGTAGTCGTCCCCGCGTAGGGGAGAGCTGGGGATTCCCTCGGGCGTGTGCGCTCCGCCGGGCAGGGCGGCGGACAGGGCGGGGGCTGAGGAGGTGTGGATTGCGAACAGCGACGCTGCCACGGTTGCGTGTGTGCGGAGGAGGGAGACGGGGTTCGGGCTCGCGTGGGCGAGGAGCTTGCCCGTCTGGGTGGCGACGAGTAGGGTCGGCAGTTGGGAGGTCTGGTTGGCGTGCAGGAAGCTCGTGAGGCGCTTTGTGAGGAGGAGCGGCGGATGCTGGGACGGAAGGGACATCTTGGGCTGCTCTCTTGGCTGTCGTGCGAGCTCGAGGCGGCGGTCGATGGTTGCAAGGTTAAGCGAAATCGGCTTGTGCTTCACTTGATATGGCGAAAGAGATGCAGGCAGAATGTCGCAGGTAGGGTAAGGAACGTAGCAAGATCCAGAGCATCGAGGTGAGCTCCAATGGGATATCCAAGGCCTTCTGGCGGGAGGGGCAGTTGGAGGCTGTGATATCAGTTCACGCACGGCGTTGCATGTGAACGGCGGGAATGAATGAGTTGATTGATGATAGAGCAGCTTGGACCTCCAGCAACACCAGCCAATAGCTATGCCCCCCCGCTCCTGTAGTGGGAGCACTTGACGTGGGGCATAAGGCGAAGCTCACACCACCCGCTACAGCAATCACACGCATAGCATCATTCTACAGCGGCTGTAAGGTGAGCCCATAGTCTACCTCCATTCCCAATTCGCACCAATCTACCCTGCAGCGAGGTCTAACAAGCATGGGATTCGCAGATGCCTCGTTTCTCTCCTAGCCACGGAAAACATGGATCGAATAATACTCGCGCAAGGTCAGAGTCACATGCTTCAAACAGGTTCCGCTGTGTAAAGAAACCAGACGACTCAAGAGTTCTTTGCAATTGTGCCGGACATACCTTGCCGAAATTCCGCTACCAAGAGTTTAAAATGAATGCCATCCTCAAAGGGATCGCGAATATTAGCACTTATCCATCTATCTGATTAAATACACGGCTCGAAATCCCATGTACCTCCTACCGGATAAGCCACAATCGACCGCACTCGGCGATACCCTTAACAGTCAGCGAGGGTCGTAATATCCGATCGGAATCACATGCATTAACGCCAATAGTTCGAGGGACCCCTCATGCATACATGTCACCTTCGCTTTGCGGTAAATTAGTTTACCCCGTCTTTGGTATGATTCGTCACTCGTCGAGAACCAACATCGAGTCCGAGCGAGGTGAGCAGCTACCCTCCCGACGCGTTTGATTTGATTGCCAATGTGTGACAACTACACTGGGGAAGCGCATCGTGAAATAGATATGGTCCGCGACACTGCAGAGCATAGTATTGCATCTTCTACTTAGGTCAAGCAAAGCCCAACCGCATGTCTTTGGAAGCAATTGCTGGCATCTCTATTCGTAGATGGCGCCCCGCTTGTGACCGACAAGAGAACGACAGGAACAGGTATCCTCACCAGATATAGACACCATCATCCGTATACATCTCACTAAGTGCACATTAGATAAAACTAACACACAAACCGAGTCTCTCTTTGCTCAGAGGCACCAAATTAACGATCACGCAGAGCAAACCACAAGTATTGGGCACAAACACGTTTCTCTGATAGTTTGAACTTTTTTTTTGCGAAAGTCTCAGTCAGAACCAGAATACAGGGAAGAGAAAAGAGACCGAGGGTTAAGCAACCATCAGCGACAAATTGGAAAGAGAGCAAGGCAAGAAATAAGTCAAAAGAGACAAAACACCTCTCCCGTGGTATAGTATCCTCCACACCGTCACTCGTATTTCGTTCAAAGAGCATCCTTCTCGCAACAAACCCCGCCCTCCTTCGTACGTCCACAGATATCCGGGAAGCCTGCAGTTTCCCGGCCCTCCTCTTTCCTCCCCATTTTCACCCACAGCACTATTAAGACCACATTGTAAATTATCCACAGACGAACAGGGACAAGGGCCATTGAGAAGTTAGGGGATCATCGTAGTGTATTATCTTGAGGCACCTCCTCATTGCCAATGCTGTCGCCACACACCCACCACCCACTTCCTGAGTTCTGGGCGACAGCCTGTTTTGTTCCGACAACAACCACTGTAATAAGTTTTTTTCTTTTGTTCCAGGCTTTCCGGTGGGACAGAATGAAACAAAACAGATAGTTCCAAGAGCCACCGCCACGAAGGGATGACCGGACTAATTGGAGACGCAAGGAAATAGTAAAAAGAACAACAGAAATAAACCGTCATGTAATACAAGCGCCTAGCACCATAGGCAAAGCCGCACCTCAAGCGTTGCGACGGAGAGAACAAGTCAAGGGAAAAAAATAATGAGGAGGTATTGTGTAGGCCGACCTCCATATGAAGACTGATCGCGGTAGTGGTGGAGTACTATTGCGGCTTCGTGGCTAGGATGGGATTCGTTCGTCGATCAAAGGGAAAAGAAAAGCGGTATGTGATGAAAGGTACGGATTTCGTCAAGTCGTCATGCGTGTCAATAGTCGCATGGCTGGATAAGCGTCATCGATATGCTCGCTCTGGATAATTAGGAGATCGTAGCTGATCGGTGGCAGATAGTCGGACAAATGTGGTCGCAGCACGGATTGGTTTCATAGATTTAGACAGGATTTCCATCAATCGATTAAAGGCGCGACTTAGTACGCCCAGATTTTCAGCTGCACAACGCGCGTTAGTTGGATTCTTCGTCTCAATCTGACGTCGAAAGCTTACCAGTGAATCCCAGGAACCTGTGCACAGGCTGATGCCGTCGTTGCTGACCCCCAAGCAGCTCACGCGGTTGTCGTGTCCAACGAGAGAGCCAACCTTCTCACCACGAGTCACGTCCCAAACCTAAGTTAACCCATGTTAGTACACCATACAAAGCCACTGGTAATTCGTCTCCACGCCGAGAAAAAAAAAAACGCACCTTGCACTCAAAATCGTCGTAACCGGCGAACAATAGACGGCCTGATACGGAGGTAGCGACGGATGTGATGCCGCATAGAATAGACTCAGACTGGAGGAAATGTTAGTGTTTTTGATGACACGGGAACGCGCGACGTTCAACTTACGCCATAGAGGTTAAGCTCGCGATCAGCACGGATATCGAACAGACGGCATGTGGCGTCGTCGGATCCTGTGACGAAAGAGTGTCCATCAGGGAAGAATTGGATGGCATTGATATCCGATTCGTGACCGGCAAATGTCTGAACGGCCTTTCCAGCACGGATATCCCACATCTTGGCGAAAGCGTCACAGGCGCCGGAGATGAATGTGTTTTGGTTCGTGGGGTTCAGGCTGATGCTCATGACGTCTCCCAGGTGGTCGGCGAACTCGGTCACCTTCTGGCCCGTCTCGATATCCCACCGCATGCAGGTCATATCACCGGAGGAGGTGAGGATGCTGCGGTCATTAATGAAGCGGCAGCAAGAGAGGTATCCTGCGTGCCCCGAAAGTTCCCTAGCGACACGCGTGGGACCATCGCGCTGCTGGTTCAGGTTGTAAATTGAGCAAATATTGTCGAGACCACCGCAAGCAACGAAATTGCCGCTGGGAGCGTAGGCGCAGGTCATGACCCAGGATGACCGGAGAGGGATGGCGTGGACTTTGTTGGTGGTGTAGGCGTCCCAGATGATGAGCTTGCCGTCCTGAGATGCAGAGACGAGGTGTCTTCGGTCTGTTGACCAATGCATGGCGTAAATCTTGGCCAAGTGACCCTTGAGCGTCCGCTTGGCCTTCATCAGCTGGTTCTTAGGGATTGGCTCATGAGCCTGTTGAGCGACGGCGCGTACTGAATTGATCATGGAGCGTTAGTAGATGGAACACGAAGCAAGGGGGTGGTTGGCTCGTTGGTAAGCCCAATTGCAGAGACACGTACAGGTGGTGTCGGCGAGCTCATCCTTCTTTCTCTTGATCCTGTCCTTGAGAGTCTCTGCTTCGCGACGCGCCTGCTGAATGCGCGCCTGCATTGTCTCCGGCGACACCTCACTGGGGCCTTGTGAGTTCATGTTGGAAGCTGAAGGCGACGGGCACGGAGGAGAAAGGGGGAGGAGGAGGTTGGTCTGGCAGGCGAAAAGCCAGCGAGGGATCGAGAGGCGGACGCGGGCGAAGCGTTACGGAAGCAAATTGTCGATTCGCTGCTGATGGCTTCGAGAGATGATGAGAATTGGGTGAAGCCCTCGCAGGTCGATGGGATTGACGAGTTTGGGTGGTGTGGTGTGGAGTGGTGGAAGAAAGAAGGAGACCTGAATGAGCTTGCACAGAACTGGGCTGTGCTCACTGACTGGCGGATGAACTGGGACGGCGAGGGTGCCCAGGCAATGGAGGCAGGTTCCAGGTTCGGCTCGTTTGTCTAGTCCCAATTAGGGGGGCGCCTTGGTGTAGAAGTGGAGGTACAGTACCTAGGAAGGGAACAGATGCAAGCTCCAGGGGGTTAACAGCCGCGAGTTGTGCATGCATAGCGGCGTCTCAGAAGTACCGCTACGCACTGCCAAGGTGACCAGGTACAAGGCCGAGGTCCAGCTCCCTCCCAGATGTACACTACATACCGCCTGTCTGTGTGGGCATTCGACTTTCGCTTATGGAGAATGGTTAATCTTACAGCGACCAGCAGCGCCGTAGCGTCGCACTGCTGGGAGCGTCCGAAGCTCAGGCACATAACTACGAGTATGACATGGATGGAAGTCGCGGAGGCCAGTTGAGGGAAATAACAGCACAAAAACGAGCATTGGGGAGTCAACCTCGCGCATTGAAGTCTGTCTGTCCAGAGCATACGTGTGAATACGGCCTCCTTACTTGTCTGTCGTTGGCCCTGCTTATGCTGGCCGACTGCCCCAAGTCATGCATTCGGCTCCCCCCTTCCCCCCCGAGTGCGCTGGTGGGTTTATTATGTGCAGGTGCCAAGAGATACTCCACAAGTGGCCGTCTGGGACTGGGGACTGGGAGGTAGGCAGCAAGTAGGGCAAGGCTGGTAGGAAATGATCTCTCCCCCAAGCCGAATGGGAGGTGAAGGGGGCCCAACGGGGATAGAAGGGAAATTTCGGTGGATTCCTCTGCTATTTATCAAATAACACCAAGTAGGGTACTATTGTGCAGGTAGTGTAGAGCTCTGGCTAGGATCCATTCCACTAACAGCAGGGTATCAATACAAGTACATGCCTAGCCACACATGCATCCATCTCAGAGCTTGGCCGAATGGGTGCGCAACACCTCGCAGCTCTGATACACATTGCTTTGCCGTGCTGATTATCTCTCAATTGCTTATGGTCTGCGTGACGGCGCCTGCCAGTGTCGCGCATCGACGCAGGCACGGATTCTGGGCAGCTGCATGACAGAAGCACAGCAGCAATGGAACTCCGCACCGGACAATATGCAATGTCCTTGGTGAGAGAGTGGCATGCACATCTCCCTTGGCCAAATGACTAGCTAGCAAGCCTCTACTGTCTGCCTATTGTCTGCCATCTGACAAATACTATGTACAGAGGCCTGATGTTTTCACTCACTCTGTCCGGGACGATATCCGCCCCGGTAGCCCCCTTTCGTACCCGGGCTCCTCCCATCGATGGGCGCGTTGGTCAGTAGATAGGCCGAGTGAGAATCCGGGCAAGCGACGCACCTTAATCTCCGTCGCCCTCTCTGGGCCACAGCAGATGGATGCCTCACGACGAGTGCCACGGCAGGAAGGGAGCCGCCGGTCCTTTGCCCAACTCCTGCTATCGTCTGGCCCATGCCCTTAGCATGCACAATGTCCCACTCCCCACCATTTAGGATGCGAGTGACGGGCAATTTAGTGGACTCGGGGCCAGATGGATCTGCCTGAGTAGGTTTGGTTGCACTACTCCTGCTGGAGAACACCACCATCTAGCGCCGGGCGATGACCTTCATGTTGTCGGGCTTGAGCCATCAGTGCTCGCCAGCCAGCTACCAGTTTGGGAGGATTCGTTGACTGCTTATGACCTGACGTACCCATGGTCTTTCCGGATGCGAAACCCACTTTGGCCGAAACAATCGCAAGGCCGCGGATCCACGAGGCAAATTGGTTGCAAGGCAACGCCTGCTGAGATGCCGACAGGCGAAGAGGATTTCCCCAGCAGTCGGCGCGCGGTGAAGGAAGCCCGTAGCGAGTTACATGGCGGGTAGACAGACGTAGACGACGGTGCCGGGCGCGTCGAAATAACGCGTCCTGGATCCCCGTAGGCAGCATACCCAGGTAGGTAGGTTGGACGATGCTACTTTCCAGGTAGTACTTGGCTCTCTCCACCCTCTGGTGCTCTCATCCCCGGAACGGTCAAAGAAAAGGCGTCTAAAAATACATTTGTCATACTGAGGAAAGCGTGAGCTATCATGTACGTGGCTAATGAGACCGGCGCCCAGGTATTGATCAGCAATCATAATGGGGCACGGATCCTGGAGTAGTCAGAGGTTTGGTGATCCAGAAGGCCACCACTAGCTGTGTTACCTTCCACTTCCACCGGATTTCATTCCATGGCGCATCCAAGCTCTTACCTCATGGACTTGGGATTGTCTGTGGGCCGCTGCCGGGGTGGTGAATGGATATGGGGAGGACGGATGAGGTGCTAAGACGTACTAACGAGGGAGTGATGTGGGTTCGCGCAGATGTACGGTACATGTCGAATGTCCGCCATATGCGCCTATGGTCCGGATACCTTGTCTGGAGAGGTGCAAGTACCTACGGATGAATTGTGATTTGGATGGACGTCTCAGGCGGGCGGGAGGGCTGGAGACCTCCTGAAGAACTCCTTTCTCTCCACAAGGTTCTTGGAGCTCGGTGCCGCAAGGGTAATTTCGCCAGAATGACCCGCAGCAGCATCCTCAAGCCATTAGCGGCCGTTAAACCCTTGTCTGGTCTTGGATCCGGCTCTGCCCTTGCAGCTCTCACCAATCCAGGGTCCACCGTCCCAAGCCAAACCGAGCGTCTGCTCTCCTACACGGGCGACCTCATCCCATAGCATCGACGAGGCATCGCGCGCACTATCGCCCGTGCTAGGCCTGGCGGCGGATCACGACAAACCTACAGTGCTGATCTGGCGCTGCTGGAGAACTTCAACGGCGCAGGGGCAGGAGTAGCTACTGACTCAAAGACCTGCAGACGTGGCAAACACATCCCGGGCTTCCAGGTGCCAAGCTCGGCCTCGCTCGTCGTACAGTACCAGCACTGGCTTTGAGGCCTTCTCTGTCCGCTGCGCCGTAGAATTCTTCCATGGGCTCATTGTACGTACCCACAGGGCCGATCCGGAGATTTGGAGGGGGCTACCGTCTGGCCGCCTCTCCCAAGCAACCAAGCCAACAAGGGGGAAGCTGTAGTCGCGATTCGCTTCTTTCTGCGTCTCGGTTCAGCTGAAGATCATAGCTTTTAGCACGGATGCCGTATCCTTGGCTCGTTCTGGCCGTTCTGCTGGGTTGCTTTGATTTCTCCCCATTCTTTTATATCCTCGCAGGATCGATCTCGTGCTTTCTTATTGCCGGCATTACATCACCGCAACGCATCATTTCCGGCTCGTGAGACGAACGACAACGGTGTGATATTTCATGGTTCACAGACCGGTTCATCAGTGGCGCCAAGTTGTCGATAGTCTCTTGGCGTAGGTGCTTCTGTAAGCCCGATCTTCAACAATGCCAATCTTGATTTCTATGATAATTCCAGGAGGCAATGAAAGATAGGGGAAACCTCTCCTACTGCCTCCCATCTGCATTGACAGAGCATGCAGAAGAAATCACACATCTGCTCGCAGCAAGTTAACACAGCACTAGCCACTACCTTCGAACGTACTACGTAGGTCCCCAACCTTAAGAATCGCTTTTCGCTCTAGAGTCATATCATGCATATCTTTCTATGTTTTCTATGGTTTATGCCCCAAAACTCCATTTGATCAGCCCTGGTGGCGGCTGAGTAAGCTGCTCATCCATCTCACTGTGTATACAAGACTATCTGCGTGTCTTTACGATCCTTTGTTTTCCTGTAAACCGGTCCATTCACCCAAGTACAATTGTTTTCAGAGAAGGTTGAGCAAAGATCCATGCCGTCTTCCAGATATTGCCCAGCCCCAACCTCTCGAATATGTTTGAGTTCGGGGTTTTCAGGAGTAACATTACCCTATAGCACGAGTATTCTTCAGCATCTTGGAATTGAATGCCAAGGTGAAGTGGCTGTGACTCTGCGATGACGACTAGAATTGTCTCTTGACCTCCGGTTGGAGGCTCTGCATCCAGAACGATGTGGCCAACTCTTTGATGCTCAGAATCTTTGATATCAGCGGAGAGAGGCCCTCGAGTGTCTCTAGACTCCAGGACGTGGGCAGTCAATTCATTCACTCCCGGGTAGAATTCATCAATGGTCTTGCCCAGCTGTAAACTGCAGTTGGCACAACTCGTCCTGAATACCAAGTCGTGCCTATTGAGGTTTACTCCGCTCAATTCACCCACAATCTCTGTTTCAAGTTCGAGCCGAGTGGATTGGTGAAAGCCGCAAGGCCTCCCCTCCCATTCTTGAGGTATCTCCGGCAACGTTCCCAGAATGGTATCCAGACGGCGGAGGCCACGTTTGGATGCGTCCAGGGCATACCAATCTCAAGGGCCGGATACCTTCTTCTCCTAGCTCAACATTTTTGGCACTAATCGCTCTTCCATCGGTATCTCTATTGACAGAGAGACAGCTTTCGTATCCTATAGTGCCCTCCCACCCTGCCCATGACCAACTTGGGAACGGTTTCGAGGTACATCGACGTTTCAGGATTCCCCTGGGCGCCCATAGCACTGAAACACCGATAGGTTCTCCGGAAGCCCATACCGGAACTCTGTCAGCAGGGCTCCGGAGAGGATGTTCAGTAGCCCCTGCAAGGCGAAAATGACATCTCCTTTGTCAGTTAATTGGCGACTCGAGTATTCCTCCACTACTCTCGCATACTCACCCATCGCGCTGGATCGCACAAGATGGGTCTTCGCATTCTTGTCTCGAACAGTGCTCCCATCCATCCAAAACGGATCTGGCCCCTGGAAGAGTTGGAAGTGCTGAGGGTTCAGCCGGAGCCATTCTAAAGGCATGCTTCGATTCTTAGCATCATCATTCACCATGTCCTCCCGGGAGATCATTTCCCTGCAGTGCCACGTTACTTCTTCACCGCAGAATATCAGCAGCCGGCGCGAGAGAGCCTTCTCTTGGAAGGTCCAGCCCCGAGATGACCAAGCTAATTTCGGTATGTCCTAAGTGCTCTCGAAAGGCGCAATGATATGAGCTTCATCTTGATATACCTTGACGGATGGCTGGTTTAGATCTCGCGGATGACTCGACTTTGTGTCAGAGGTGTCCGGATCGGTTGTATTGACACCTCGAAGCCCTGCGTTGGAGTTATCTCCAGATGCAGCGACGATGGTTAGAAGGGCCATGCCATAGATACGACCCATCGCAGCGATTTGACGGTCCTTCTCGTCGCCCCCATCTTGTTGTATGCACTAGAGATGTCAGAATTGTCAAAATGGTGACGATAGAGATGTAGGGGCCATTGAGAGACGACATACCAGTGAATCAACCTACAAATATCGTTCGCCTAGGCGTTTGACGACCTCGGTCGAATCCCCTATGGTAAGAGGCAAAGTATTGGCTATCGTAGACAGCCCCTCAGGTTGAGACCATGCTTGGAGATGGCTCTCCTCCAATTTACATTTTTGATCACCTCCCCACATGTAGGATAGAGCAATGAACCGGCAGGTCCCTGGGTCTTCAATCCCAACCAAGCACATTCTCTCAACGTCTATCACCCGGAGGAAGTCCAGCTTCTGCATAGCCGCACTCCAACCTGGACGACTGCACTTCCCACAATGCTTTTCCAGGCACTCCCGGATCCAACGTTTTCCTATTGCTATATCAATCCAATCTTTATCCATGACATTTCCATACCATAGGTCATTCGTGGCCCCAGGCAGGCTCTGTAAGTCTGGGTGTGCGATTCGCAGGCGAAAGCAGCTCAACTTCTCGACTGCTCCCCCGGGACGGTTTCCAGACCCAAGAAGAGTTGCAAATATCATTCCGGCGCTGTTCTGGTCCTGGCTCGTGATGATATTCAGGACTAGATCGCAAGCTTTCGGATGGCGCGTCAACGATTTCCTGCCTTCCTCAATAAGTGATCAGTCACTCCGTGGCTACGGCTTTGGATTGGTTGATCTTGGTGATGCTAGTTGAGCTACCAGCTGGCGAGCCATGCGAGGAGCCAGGACGGTGAATTGCTCGTTTGCATGGCCAAGCCGGTACGTAGCACCTTCAGCGCGGAGTTCGCCCCTGCCAAAGGGCCAGTTGGCATCTGTATACTTCCAACCCTGCTCTGACCATTCCGACATGGGCATGCCTCGCAGATCTTCTTGAAGATGGGGAGCGACCTCGGGATGCTTGAGCGGATCGTTGTTCGGACGACAGAGCAGGTCGAGAAGAAAACGGCACATTTGGCACCAGTCGGAGTGGTAGAGGATTCTTGAAAGAGGCGTGGTCCAGGTAAGGCACCGTGCGGTCGTAGATCTGAGTCTCCCGGACGGGAACGACTCGCACCTGGTGCACAAACCCGGCTGGCCATGCAGCTTGCGAGACGTATCCAGCACGCCGTTCTTCGTTTGATTGGCGACCTCGCCGGGACTGAATTTGATATCCTCGATCGTCCCCCGACCTCTCGTTTGGCGGATGCAGCCAGGTTTGCAGCAGACGTCCACACAGAGGCGCAAAAGCTCGAGACTTGGGAGACATAGGCTGGTTCTGCCACAGCCGATAATTCTTCAGATGCCATTGTATGGGCTGAACCGGCAACACCAAGAATGTATTAATTGATCATTGAATACGTTGCTATCATTATATGGATGGAATGGCAAGATCTCTTCATGCAAACTTCCGTATTTAATCAATATCCTGATAGGAAATAACAATGTGCAAGGAGGTGCATATGGGGCGGGGGGATAGGAGCTCGTGATGCAGCCAAGTCACATCTGCAGTTCTCAGCTGCAATGTCAGTTGGTGAACTGACATCACCAATGATGACTGCATGAATCAGACGCCTTCGCTCACTTGTGGCCGATGCCTTGATTGGTTGAAGGAATAAAGTGTCCGTTTGATCAACAGATTGGATGAGGCCGCCTGAATAACGACTCAGCCCCTGGGTGCAGGGTGTCGATCAGTCTTTGTTCATATGTGACCTTTCGGTACATGTAAATATGGCTTACGGCTTGGAGGTAGGGTGGCATGATTTTCAATTCAATTGCGCAGTTGTTTGACGAACTGGGCCTTTGACATCAATAGGTCCTACCGAGCACCCAGTTGAACAAGGCTGCCAAGGCTTCAGCTATTACTCAAGAAGAAGCCTGCATACAATCTATAAAAAGGTAAATGTACGCTACTAAGATACGAGAACTACCGTAGAACAATATTCTGCGCTTCAGCCTTCAGTGTCAGTGCACATCTGTAGGAGAAAGTTTCATTGTAATAACAACACCAAGACAACGCCAAAACCTTCACAATAGGGTTCATGATGTGGCCATGTCAGCAGCCAGGAAAGCCAGTCCCGACACACATCGACCACAGCACTTTGCCAATGTCTACTTAATCGTATTCGCTTTCCCTCATAGCTTGTCCTGCTAAGAACTCTAACATACCGCGCCTCATCACACACATCCTTACATTTTCCCCTTCTTCTTCCCCCAACAAGTTGCCCGACCACGAAGTTCCCGATTTCCAATATGATACCCTCAGACCAAAGAAGATCTCCACCAAGGCCCAGAAAGACATATCATGAGAGCAACTACGGGCTATCCTGGTTAACAGCTAGGCAGCTTGGGCAGAGGGATCGTGAGAGCCCGTTTTAGCTGTCGTGGTTAAAGTCAAGACACCCAAGAGTCATACTAAATATACCTTAATATATAGAGTTTCCCCCCTCCTTTTTACGTCTATAAGCCACAAGAACTTTATCTGCCATTATCTCTTTACACAAAAGCCGACGTGCCGCAGCTCTGAAAACTATAAAGTGAGCCCGGGCTCCTGAGATTTTACACTAAATCGGGTGTTGTTTGAAATCGTAACAAAGGATCATCATGAAAGTCAGGAACATTTTTTTCCTCATAAACACCCACCTTATTGTTATTGCCAATGATGGCAGATAAGCTGAGGGGGTGACGTTCGAGATTTGTACACTAAAATTTGCCAATGATGACAGAGCGTATGCGCTTGAGCATTTGAACTGCTGGCATGACCGTTAAACTGAGGCAAACGAGATACTTTGATTAATTGTTGGGGGTCAGCCGAAGCCGAGTGGGTGTCGTTCAAGGTTGCAATGGGGTTTTGCCAATGATGACAGACAGCGTCATACGCTTGAGCAGTTGAACTGCTGGCATGACCATTAAACTGAGGCAAACGAGATACTTTGATTAATTGTTGGGGGTCAGCCGAAGCTGAGTGGGTGTTGTTCGAGATCGTAACATTCAAAATTTGCCAATGATGACAGACAGCGTCATGCGTTTGGGCATTTGAACTGCTAACAATGACGTTAAACTGAGGCAAACGAGGTCCTTTGATTCTTCAAAGTGTATAATGACTTGCAATTAAGAGCTCATAAGACTAAGTTATAACTTCCAAACAATCGTTCAACCAGCCAATCCTCAGTACACAGCTACCACATTATCAAATGTTTTACGCTGTGTTTTGATGACACACAATCCTCCCCGTCTCGACCCGCCGCTCCCTACTTTGGGACTTCCACAAGAATGCTAGCGACAAATGGTTGACAATGTCTACAAGAGTAAATGAACTTACCTAGATGGTTTGGGTTGCCTGTTGGAGGGTGTGGCCGCGGTCGACGAGGCTCTCTTGAAGAGGGTCATGGACAAAGCTCGTTTATAAATTGTTCTCTTTGACTACATATGGCTGGCAGGAGGCCGTAGTTGGCTATCACGTCCCCAGACCTGAAACGATTGCCGACTATCTACTGATGCCGTAGCCCGGCACGGTCTCTTATTCCGATTCCCTTCGCATCAACATTGCCATGAAATTCCGCGTTGCACCCGTGAATACACACCAGGTGTGGACTGATGAAAGAAAGATCCGTTGTATGGCCTGCTAAATATCCGTCGCTAAACTCCCAATACCAAAATAAACAACCCGGCTTGTTCGTCTGATGAAGCCAATGAGGTGTTGCCTAATTGGGGAACTTGTCCCACGAACTGTAGAGAGAAGCCTTTATGCCCCAGGGGTTGCCATACCCAATACCGATGTAGGTAAATGCATCTTGTACCACGTTAGCATCTCTTGCGATTCCTCTGATTGGTGTGGAATAGAACGTACCGGGCTTGTAGTATACAGCTCGCCCCTTGGCCTCGACAAGCTTGAGCTCACGTAGCTTCTTCAACACCCGGCCGACATCGGCCTTGTCTTTGAAGTCCGACGTGTACACGCAGATGAGACGATCCTTTCGGATTATCTCCTCCACTGGTTTCGGGGCTACCTTTGCAGCGATACCCAGTTGATTAGCGGCAGTCGCTCTGGCCACGATTTCCCACACCTCATCTACCTCTTGGGTCGTGCAGAATATCATCCACTAGAGAACAATCGTGTCAGTTGAAGCTTACGAGTTCACCGTTAGGGAATAACTTGGGGTGGGGGTTTCGTTTTCATACCTTGCCTGCCCGGACCTTGGCGGCATGGGCTAGGTCCAAGATGTCTGAGACAGCATGCTGCCGCGCCTTGGTAGCCTCCCTCTCGACAACCGCCTTGCTCTTATTCATACTTGATAACTCCTCCAAAAACGACCTGGCCAGCTGAAGCCGTTCCATGCCAGCCTCAACCACAAGCCGGATGTCGCTCTCCCTCTGGATCGGTCCCTCATCCCCGTTGCCCTCGCCCGTGTGCTGAGCTCCGTCGCTCTCTGCCTTCGGAACGCCGGGAAGATACGGGTTGCAGATGTAGATCCAGGGCACGTCGGCCTGTGACGTCGTCGCAGGAGGTAGGCGGGCAAGGAAGTCATCCAAGGTCTCAGTAAGCTGCCATGCGTAGGGAACGCCTGCGTACGGGTTGTGCAGATGGGAACTGCCGTCCGCGACGCGGGTTGCGGATTTGCGCGGACGGGCTGGGTTCAGGCGGTAGCCTTCGGCCCATTCGTCGACGTCGAATCGAGCAATACGCTCTTCGAGCTCAGGAACGATGCCATCATCTTCCCCTGGAGAAAGCTGTTAGCAACTTTTATGATGTACCCTAGAGGCGAGATATGCGTACCGTAGAAGTCGGACTCGTCACTATCCATCCTTCTCCACTGTTGGCAAGTTCTCTTGGATATAGGATACTACTTCGATGCCAGGATCGGGGTGAAGATTCCTCTTGGGAGTCACTATTCACGAATCGTCTCGGATAGGTGAGCTCGGTTCAACTACGTCATCCGCAAACAGTGCGAAGATGAGATTGTGCTTGAGCCTGTTGATGCCCGTCGTTCGCCTGGAAGCTGTTCCGCCTGCTGAAAACCGCTGCGAAGTGGAGCGCTGCGGATGATTGCCTTGGACCCCGCGGTTCCAGCCTGATGGATGATCATGACAGCGGCTAGATGAAGGCGGAGTGAGGCGAACAGCTTGTTGGGGCTAAGGGGTTGACAGGCCAGGGGAGAAAAAGCAATTATGATATCTCGTCCAGGTTACACAAACATGTCACTCGTGCGTTTTGTCAGCCAGGCAGCCAATGTTGGAGCCATCTACACCACTGAAGATGGATTGAAACTCTCGGTGATAGATCTCGGTGAGAGCTGGAGGTTGGAAGCTATGAATAGCTTCCCACATTAATTACCTTGGATCTATCTATCAATGAGCTCCGTTCATCACTGCAGGCAATTTATTGGAAGCGCCCACGAACGAAGCAGGCTCCACCTTCAATACCCACAAAAAACCAGGCTAATAAGGAGACAAGAGGGAAGAGAGAGTGCTTGATAAACCAGCGACGCATCAACAAGCTCATAGAGATGGGTTTAAGTTGGGGTTGTCGCACGCAGTATTACGTTCTAGATGCTCCTAAGAAGTGAAAATTCCGGATCCTTTCCTCTCTTGGTCCAAACATAGACCGAGGGGCAAGAGATTAGCCTTGGGGTATGACAGGTCAGGTGGGATGCCAATCGTGCCATGGCACACCATTCCTTCAACATGAATAGAACTCTCAGCTTGTTTCACAATACTGACGGCTCCCACGCTTGCACATCGCACTATTCAAAACGAACAGGCTGTCACTGCATATTCCAAAAAAGAAAGCAACACCAAATATCGGGGTATTAATAGTATCCTGTCTTACTTGTCTGCATTGTGAGCTTATTGCATATGCAGTTACAGCCCCCCATCACAGCGTCGACGATGAGTGGAAGTGGCTGGGGCGAAGTTGAGAGCAGCGTCCCATCGCAGTAAGGCAAGTCGAGAACTTCCGTGTAGCGGCATTTAGGTGACGCCGACTTGCCTGCCTGCCGTTTCAGGATAGGTGACGAGGAACGCGGCCCAAAAAGCTTGAGACGAAATGTTTCAGCTAATTTGCTGGACGGCAAGACGGCTTCTGGGGAGGGTTCGGCTGAATTAGCGCGTCGCTCTGCGGCAATATCTGGGAGGCATGGCGTGTATCATGGCGGCTCGCTCTGCCTGCCCTCCCCAATCTCAAACGCAATGAGGTAAAGCAACACAGCATTGAGCGTCGATCGGTCGTGGACTGCCCGTCTGGTGCCCCGCCGCAAGCCAGTTGGTGGTGGTACGTGCGCGATGATGAGGGCAGCAGATGCACGCTGCTGGCGGGAAGGGGTTTCGAAACGCGCCACAATCCCACCAAAGGGACCAGCCCCTTGGCTGAGGCAGCCTGCCCAGCCTATCAGGGGCCCGGACGATGGCCTTGGATTGGACCTGGATTGCTCCTCAAACGGCCCTGCTGAAGCGCTAAGCTGCATGTGGTGAGGATGGGGAGCGCCAAGGAGGGATCGAAAGTGCAAATACTGACGGGTGGCTGTCGGGAGGGAGGAGGGCACCCCAAAGAGCCCGGAGACGCCCCGAAACAGAGCTAATCAGCCACTGAAGGCCTCGAGCGCAGAGGCAACATGCTCCTGTCCACCTTCCTCATCGCCTGTGTCTGCCAGAGGGCCGCCCTCGCCAAGCCGCCACCATCCACACATGCTAATCAGGAGTGGAGGTTCGGTGCCGTTGGTTTGATTTGATTTGATCCATCCGCTTTGATTTGCATGGAGCCTGTCTAGAGGCTCCTCTGCGGGCGCCAACCTGCCCTGCAGCGGCGACGAACCAATGCATTGACTGATGTGCCTTGAGCGACAGGGGCTGCCACCCATTGTGATCTGGTGCCCCTGGTCGTGCCTTCATTGATTCCAGTGTCCTGGCCCCGACCATCCATCCATTTCCCCTCGTCGTGATTGTCCCAGACACCACTTGTGTTCTTTGCTATTGTTTCTCTTGCATCTGTTGTGCAGCCGCCCACTTGTCAATAGCTATTGGCCATTCATTCCTTACTGCCGCATAACCCAGCCACTCACTCTCCGTCCATTCGTTGCTTTTTATACTTGGCGACCACTAACAGCCACACCCGCATGACACGCCTGTCTCTCCATCCGACAATCTGATACACCCGACCCTCCTACCGCTTGTCCAAGCGTTCGCTCGCTCGATTGTCTTCTTCAACGAGCCGCCGTCTTCGTCGCTTTCGCTCTCTCGTTTATTTTTCATCTGCCTCGTTACCAAGCGCAGCGCGGCCTGTCACTGGCAAGGAAGATCCAAGACGGGACAAGAAGCGGATCGCTATCATCGCCAGAGAGCATGGCATCTTTCCTCTAACCCAGTTCCCGCTCTATTGATCCTCACGTGTTCCTGTGTCCATTTCGTGTGGCAGGCCAGCAGTAGAACCGGTAGACGATTTGTTTCTTCGGACTTGATCAATCCACCTACAGTGTTGTCGCAGCTTCGCCGGCGAGGACGACTTTCTTTTCGTGCGCTTTTACGACAACGGTTGAGCGAGCTCAATCTTCTCTTCCAAAGATACCCTATTTTTCATTTCCTTCCACGATTCAAACCATACGCGCACTCTTTCTGGATACCCTCGAAGCGGCCGGCCGTACTCTCTTTTTATTCCGCCTTATCATCCAATCGCTATACACAGACGCCAATTGTATATTTATGCCAACATGGGTTACCTCGACCATCGCAGAAAGCAGCTTGATCAGAGTGCCGACCAGAAATGGGATTACATTAATCTGAACGACTTCAAGGCTAGGGGATGTGGTCCTGGTTTCGCATACTTCTGGCTTTGGCTGTTGCTTTTCATCTCGGTTGCTGTCTATGCGCTCGACTCCTTTACAGCCGTCAACCTGCTCATCTTGAATAAGTGGTCGTCCAAGATTCGACCCGGTATCCCATTCCAATATTCCAAGTGGATCTTCTCGGGATGTATTCTTCTATCGTTTATCAACTTCGCCTATGAGGCATGGCGCGCCGTTCGTGTCATAAAGAGGAACAATGTTGCCGAAAGTTATCTCGACCCTCTGGCGGTCAGATGGGAATCCATCCGCATGGGCTCTGGTCAGGGGTGGAAACGATTCCTCGTCTTCGCCGAACTGACCAAGGGCCAGAAGGGTGCCGAATACGCGGCTCTCTTCACATACTTTAGTTTGCAGTGTAAGTGTATTTCGCCCGTGGACTTGCTCCAAGGATCTCCGTCATGGTTCACTGACAGTGTTGTGTGCAGCCTGGATCCGGGTCCTCATCTGCTCAGGCCCTCGCCAGGTGATCAATGCCTTTACCTTCCGGGACGTGTACGTCAGTAAGCTGGACGTGAGCGACCAAAACGCGGGGAATGGATTCCTCAAGTTTTGGGAGAAGATTGGTGCCCTGGCAAATGAAGATTACCAGCAGGCACTTATGTTGGGAGCCATGGCCTTCACCTTCGTTGTTTGGGTCTTCACTCTCATCTTCTTCCTCACTGCAGTTATCATTTATTTCACTTTCCTCTGCCACTGGATTCCAAGAGCAGACGGCGGCCTTGTCGGATACTGTGAACGCAAAGTCAACTCACGCTTGAAGAAGGTTGTCACTGCCAAGGTCAACCGAGCTCTTGCCAAGGGTCAGCAGCAGTTGATGAAGGAGGAATATGTAACCGTTCAGAAGGGTGACAAGCCTGTGCTTCAAAGGGTTGCGACCCTTCCAACCTTGCCCAATGTTGGACCCATCTCCCCTGATGCTCTTCCCACGATGCCATCGCTCCAGCGCTCCGATACGGTGACCTATTCGGAAAGTTCAGAGGGGATTGAAATGACGAATAGCATCGGACACAATCGCCCGGTGCCCTCGCGATCAGGCACTGGTCAGTCTAGAGCCCCCCTCCTTGATGCAGCTGCTGAGATGGGTCAAGGTCCACCACTTTCATCCTTCCAACCACCTACTCGCCGTCCCACGGTTCAGTCAAACTATAGCGGATATAGTGGATATGACAAGGGATTTGCACCACCACCACAGCGAGGATACAACACATCATCCCCAGCGCCGCCCTACCAGGCTTACCAGGCCTATAACCCTTCCTCAAACTCCAGCTCAGCCCCATCCGCATATGGAGCTGAATCAGACTTCCACGCCTACAGCAACGATGGCCGAAACAGCCCAGCGCCCTCGAGCAGGTACAGCGGCTCTGTGGCACCCCAGTACGAACCCGTACAGCCTCATCCCGCCGCCGTAAGAAGCGCCACTGGGCCGTATCCTCAGAGGGGCCCCCCTCGTTATGCTCCTCAGAGGAACAACACTGCGCCGGTGCCTAGTCGGATAGCAGAATCGGACTACGAGTCATCGTACTCCGCTCCGCCATCTCAAAGTTATAACTATAACCAACGCGGCCCGGGGCCCCGGGGTTACGGGTACGATGCTGAGTCGCAAAATGACAGGTACTACTAATGCGTGTAATTGGGAATTGGTACCTGACGAGATGACGACGGACGGCTTGGAGACGGGTAGAGCAATGTGTTTCTTCTTTACATATATATATACCTTACGTTCATGATGACAGGAGGAAGAGGGTGATGATACTGGGAAAGACATGAGATTCTGGAAATGGTGTTGATATCCCGAACTCTCGTCCTGTTTATATAGCTGCCCTGGGTGCTGGAACGACACCAGACCACCAGGGAATTTGAATACTTGAAATACATTAAGCCTTTGAACCCTACACCTTTCATCTCCCTCAGTCCTTGGCTCCGTGATAGAGGGCCAGTTTTCGCTCTACACTAGCTCAGTCTGGTTGGTGAACGTGGGGAGCGGGGGCTTCGGCCCATGGGGAACCATTTGGCGGGCAAACGGGAGGTCCCAGGGACATGGAAGGAGCGTATCGACCCCGTCCCCAGGATTTACGATGTTTGGGGCTGACGATGCTGCCAAAAGTTCCCCTAGATTCGCGTGACCAGAGGCTGGTTTGGTTGTACGCGCTTGGGACAGAGGGACGGGCCTGGGTTCGCACGAACAGGCGGGGTTGGCCCGGTATGAGAATGCCCGCGTATCCAGCTCGCACAAGTATGAGGTCACTTTGGTTTACAGATAGATAGACTGAGTGCGTGCTTGTTTGAGATGAGGAACTACAGTGCCATTGGGGAAGATTTAATGCAAGCTACCTAGGTAGGGGCTGATTGGCTCAAGGATTATTAGATTTGGAATTCGATCCCGGCCAGGCGGAAGGAAGCTCTGAATCGCCAATGATAGGTATGTAAGCACTACGATGAAAACGAGCAGTGACTACCAGCCATCTCTCAGGACGTAAGGACATGGAGGTTGGTCGAGTAAACCCCTAACGGACTGTGCTGGTCACATGATGAGCTTGTCCTGACGGAATTCCGCAGCCCGTGTTTTCCGTGAGACTTGGAATTTGGGGGGTGATCAATATGATTTCGTCATCGGAGATAGATAGAGAGACTAGGTAGATCCCCGCAAATGTGGTGGCGCTAACCAAGAGTCTATTGAGGCCGCTTGAGACGGACTCAAAGCGGCCAAGAACGAGTATTGATTCGTTCACGAGCGGATGGGTGGGCAAGTCTAAGCCCCCGCCTCCTCGCACGCGCAGCCAGAGAGGCCGTTAGATTGCGACTCTCTCTCTGGGAGTGACAGATCTGGTACCGGTCGGCATCAAGCCAGATGAGGCATTTTGGCCGTACTGGCGAGGTATCCCACATGTACCGTGGTTTGCGGCTTCGACAGCAATTCCCCAGTTTAACCAGCGGCGATGGGCGAATCCGATCTCTTGTCCGGGGTAACGGCATCCGCAGAGGGGACGAGATTAGGACACAAGGAGACAAGGGGCACGCGCTACAAGTGGTTTATGGCCTTGGTCGGTGATGACTAGTGGCAGGAGTTTGTGCGTCCGTTGGATTTCTTGGCTCCTGTTGAAATTGCGTTGTGGCTGTTTGTAGTGGTGGTTGCGCGTCTGTTCAACGGGGCCACCCTGTTTCGAGGCTGGAAGTTGTGCACTTTGCACCGGACTCAGAGAGGCGCCACTTGAAGGCAGACAACTCACAGGGTTGCAGAGGGGGTGGATTGGCCGGAACACATTGAGGGGACGTGGTGAGGGGGCAGGGAAACTGAAGGGTCCTCTGTTCTCCGTAATGTATGTTGGTCTGGCATGTTGCTGTGGTCTGTCTATCCGTATGCAGAGTAACAGTAATGTAATCGCCTGGGCAGACAGTCAATTCCGAGAGAAGAGAGAAAAGCAACAAGATCGGCGAAAATGGCGACTTCTCCCTAGGAGCCTGGTTAAAGCAAGGATTAAGGTAAGTAATAATAGTACGTAAATAGTAGTAGTGAGCTAACAAGCGTCGAGACAAGCCCTTTCGCCTCGAGACTGAAGAGGTTTTTTCTCAATCCCCACTCCACTTTTGCGCAACTGCGTGATAAAGACGGGAGACTTGGCTGTTGCGGGCTGTTTGTCATTCACTGTCATTGGCAACTAACTTATTAATGGACTTGCCCATTTCCAATCCCACACAAAGCCCGGCAAACCCCCAGAGGCCGAAAGCAAACTCTCTCTCTACACAAACACCACCTCGTCGCCAACAGCCAGATCCGGAACTGGTCCTCTGCGCCTTCTTGCGAGACAAACAGACTTGAGTTGCCCGTCGCCTCTCCAACCCAGCGACTAGTCTCCTCCGACAACGACTCCATCCATGCAGGCCTCGCGCGCACTGGGCTGTTAAGTCAACTTTACCCCTCCTTGCGTGCGCAGGCATCCGCGGCCAACTCCGTCCACTTCCGCTGACGCCAGCTGCAAACCGGCGGCCGGCCGAAGCTCCGACGCTCTCCCGGGGCTCTCTGTCTCTCTCTCCAATATATCATTCACGCCTCGTCATCCACCTGCCCCCATTCCCACTCTTCTTCTCAATCAATCCCCTTCCGCTTCCTTTTTTGTCGCACATCTCCTTCCACCATGGCGTCCTCATTCGACTACGATTTCGTCAAGGATGCGACGCCGGCGGGTTACGAGTTCCCCTCCCACCGTCTAAAACGCACCTGTAACCCAAACCGGCAACCACTGATCTTGGTCGCATGCGGCTCCTGTAAGGACAACAACAACAACTCTACGCACTCGCTGCAAATGATTCTGGCCATGGTTCGCTAACTGCTGTATCCAGTCTCTCCCATCACTTTCCTGCACTTGCGCATGTTCCCCATGGGCCGCGATCATGCCTGGAACGAAGGTACTTACTTCACCCTCTGGGCCCTGCGCACACCCCAGCAGCGACCCCCACTTCCCAACTTCCAACCATACTAACTGACGTCGCCACAGGCTTCGAAGTCGTCGGCGGCTACCTGTCGTGCTCGTCCTACCGTAAGAAGGGTCTCGCGCCAGCCTACCACCGCATCCAGATGTGCGAGATCGCCGCCAAGAATGCGTCCTCGTGGCTCATGTTCGATCCCTGGGAGGCCCAGCGGCCCGTCTTCACGCCCACGGCGCGCGTCCTCGACCACTTCGACTACGAGATCAACCACGTCATGGGCGGCATCGAGTGCACCGACGGCACCCGCAAGCGCGCCAAGATCGTCCTCCTCGCGGGCGCCGACCTGATCCAGACCCTCAGCACCCCCGGGGTATGGGACGCCCGCGACGTCGACCACATCCTCAGCCACTACGGGACGTTTGTGCTCGAGCGCAACGGCACCGAGCTGGACTCGGCCATTGCCAACCTGAAGCAGTGGGAGCACAACATCCATGTGGTCCGCCAGGTCGTGAGCAATGACGTGAGCAGCACAAAGGTGCGCCTGCTCATTAAGCGTGACATGAGCATCGATTACTTGTAAGGATGGCCACAATTTCGTTGATCTACCTCAATTGAGCACACACGTACTAATCGCCAAACATTCTGCAGAATACCCGACGCCGTCATCGATTACATCTACGAGAATAACCTGTACAAGGTGGACTTTGATCTACCACCCCTGCCAGAGCCCAAGGGCAAGGAAAAGGCCACTGCGAATGGTGCCACCTCCGGCCCCAGCGACGGCTGAGCGAACCCCGACATTAAATCGAACTTTTTGCAAATCCAGAAGCGAATCTCCTTGTTACGAGCAACGAATGTAATGACTCAAGGGCCCACTGTACATACCTACGACCCGACCCCCCGATCAGATGACATGTGAACGGGACGGTAGTTCAAGCCCGGGGAATTTGTGCAAAATACCTTTCTCTTCCCTCTGCGGCTGGATATCCATTTCTTTTTGTTTCCTTGGCCGGAGCAGGCGAAACCGCCTTGCTCCCAGCTGTTCGGCTACACATGGTAGCACTAGGATTGTCTGCTCAGGCATTGTCTTGTTATCTTTGTTTATGATTGGCCCGTGTTGGATTCCTTTTTGCTGCTTTCGGGGTTTCCTACATCTGGTTCATTCCCTTGTGTTGTCCTGAATTTTTACCCCTCTGGGCTGTCTTTTCCTAGTTTCAGCCGATAGAGCTGCTTGATGTTTTTCTTGGACACATGCTACTGAAGGGTCGTGGGGATAGATTTACAGCTGTTAGAGGACACCCATATCACTTGAGCCATCGGGAAGTTGTCGTTTCGACATTCCTTCGGCTTTGGCTCATTGGCGCCCGCCCGCCCGCCGCTCCTGGCTTGAAGAATGAAGACATAGAAACCAGGACCACCATGTATCGATTTGGTAGAAAGGCTGAATTGGCTTGAGCTGCGGAACGGGATTTGGCTCGCATCTGCATCCCGAGGGGGGTTGGTTGCGCGCGGCGGGAGCCGGGATTGATCATGAACTGCCGAGCTCTGGAGACGACCACCGGGGCTGGAGAGGAAGAAGCAGTACCTTTTTGAATAAGTCGGATAGACAGGACGGGGTCTAGTTTCCTCACTTCACTGGCCAGATACTACCCTCTTTTTATCTTCTTCAAATGGTGTGTGGGGAGATCGTCGGATGGCTGCACGGATCTTGGATGTTACTCCGGCCCCAATGCACGGTTGGCCGGTAGAATCAATGGCCAGATAGATAGCAAGCAAATCCACCACTTCGCGAACCGCTAGCAAGCAAGCATAATACACCTACACGAAGCTCCTCAATTGACTTCCCCAGAAGCGAATTAATGCAGTGACATCGTGCTTGTGAGTAGGCAGGATTTAAGGTACAAACGGCCGGAGCGACTCCCAACTGTAATTGATGGGGACGGAGGAAGTAGCGCCCACGTGGGCAGTTACTCTGCGGTTTGTGGAATGTCCTCCGCCTGGAATCTTGCCATTTCTCTAGGTATGTAAAAAGTGACAAAGGAGATGGAGCTGTCCGTGCTAGAAATCTAGGCGCTCACACGTGCCGCATCTCACCCGTGCAGCATTTTGGCCTCGACGAAGCGTGTGCGCTGTGATTATTTGCCCCGTTCCTTGCAGTAGCCCAGACCATTACAAGCTTCTTCTTTACCTTATCTTTGGTGCGGGGCCGCCCGCTCCAAGGGGGCGAACTCCAACCTGCTATCTATCAGGACCGGCGATTCCCGTGCTCTCCACGGCCTCGGGAGGACGCAATGAAATTGGTGGATTGATGGCAGATAGCAGGGCATTTGTATCCGTGGGTAAGGGCGAAGAATGAGATAGCGACCGCGCTGCACAGAGGCAGAGCTGAACCTGCTCTCCAGCGTGCTGAGCCGTGTGAAGCTGTGTCTCAGTCTCTCAGACCAATGAGGGAGCGCAATGGTCAGCGTGCTCATTTTCGCCTGCAGAAAGCGGCATGGCGCTTCCTGGGCATGGATGTGGCTTCTGGAAGCTGAGTGGGCGCGTCTGGCCACCATGGATCAACAACCCCAACAAGGAAGCTCGCTGAGCAGGCCTCCTTGGCTCTGGGAGCAATCAGATCCGGCCGTCTTACCTTTCTGTCGAGGCCAACGCAAGCTGCGATGTGGGAGATTACCTACCTTTAGTAGGTGCGGGTACGGATCGAGTAGAGGTTCTTTTGTCGTCTGGATACAAATATGTCTGGATGGCTTCTGTCCTGGCTTCTTCTTCCCCTTCTCTCTTGACAGTCCATTGGTGAGCCGTCGTCTCGTCTGGTGCCAGTCTTTCCTTAATACTTAATTTGTCCATTCATTCCTTACCGCCTGAAGTATTCAATTGGATTCCCAGGCTCGTCATGAAGACCACCGCTGCTGCCCTCTTAGCGGCTGCTGGCTCCGCTGCCGCTGTTACCATCTCCGAGATCAACGGTAATAAGTTTATCTCGCCATACAATGGCACCAAGGTCACCGGTGTCGAGGGTCTCGTGACTGCTATTGAGAAGAGCGGCATCTTCCTCCGGTCTACGGAGCCGGATCAGGACGACCGCACCTCCGAGGGCATCTACGTTTTCAACAAGGCCATCCGTGACAAGGTTACTGTTGGAGATGTCATTACCCTCGACGGCAAGGTTGATGAGTACAGGTAGGTTGTAACCTAAACTTTACTGCCAATGAGAATGAGGAATAAGGACTAATATGCATACAGGAGCTCTGCTCTGTACTCTTACCTCACCGAGATCACTTCACCTACCAATGTGGTGGTCAAGTCATCCAACCATACTGTGAAGCCTCTAGTCCTTGGCGTTGACACCCTTTCTCCCCCAACTTCTGACTTCTCCTCTCTTGACGTGGGCGGCATCTTTGGTGTACCCAACGACGTGAACCGCATCTCTGTCGTCAACCCTGAGCTTGAGCCCACCAAGTACGGCCTTGATTTCTGGGAGAGTCTTGTCGGGCAGCTTGTCACTCTCAAGGATGTCGTCCAGGTCAGCCGTCCCAACCAGTATGGCGATGTCTGGGTCCGCGGTGGCTGGAAGGTTACTGGAATTAATGAGCACGGTGGTGTGACCATGCTTGACGGAGGTAGGTCATAGTATTCGACCATATTGGCCAAGATCTCAAAAACTGACCTGTAATTTGCAGATTCCAACCCCGAGACTCTTGTCATTGGCAGCCCTCTCGATGGCTCCTCTAACCCTGATGACACCAAGATGGGTGATACCATCGGTGATGTTACTGGCATTGTCTACAATGCATTCGGCTTCTACAGAATCCTTCCTCTGACTGCCATCTCCCCAATCAAGACTGCCAGCGCCGATGCTCCCGGTGCCTCATTTAAGTCCGAGGGCAACTGCCGTGGCATCACATTCGCCAACTACAACGCCCGTAACCTCGGACCCGAGTCCAAGACCATCCCCGGCATCACCTCGCAGATCGTCGATAAGATGCTGTCCCCTGATCTCATCTTCCTCCAGGAGGTTCTCGACGGCTCCGGTGAGACTGATGATGGTGTTGTCTCCGGCGAGAAGACCCTCCAGGCTCTCGCTGCTTCCATCGAGTCGGCTAGTGGAGTTGTCTACAACTACACCGAGGTTGTCCCCATTGACAAGCAGGATGGTGGTGTTCCCGGTGGAAACATCCGACAGGCCTACCTCTACCGACCTGACATTGTTGAGCTGTACCAGCCCAACCAGGGCACTGCCGGGGACGTTAACGAGGTCGTGGACGGCCCTGGTCTGAAATACAACCCTGGCCGTATCGACCCTGCTAATGCTGCGTGGACCAACAGCCGCAAGCCTCTGGCTGCCGCTTGGAAGGCCGTCAAGGGTAGTGGGAAGCCATTCTTCACTATCAATGTCCACCAAGCCAGCAAAAGCGGCGGCTCATCCTCCGTTCACGGCGATGCCCGCCCTCCCATCAACTCTGCCGTTGACGCGCGCATTGAGCAAGCCAAGATCACTGCCGTAAGTTACCTCGCGACCAAATCCCATCCCGTTTAAACCAGTATGCTGACTGAGCTGCTCTAGGCCTTCATTGCCCAGATCCTCGAGAAGGATGCCAACGCGGGCGTCATCATCGCCGGCGACTTCAACGAGTTCACCCAGGTCGAGCCCATCCAGGTCTTCCTCGAGAAGTCCGGGATGCTGGACATTGAGGACATCGTCGGCATCCCCGCAGAGGAGCGCTACACCTACCTCTTCGATATGAACAGTCAGGCCCTGGACCATGTCTTCATCAGCCCCGGGCTCAAGAAGGATGCCCAGTACGAGCACCTCCACCTCAACACGTGGCAGAACTACGACGACCAGGTCAGCGATCACGACCCCAGCGTTGCCAAGCTCAACGTCTGCGGCTGCGGCTCCAAGAAGAAGCGGAGCCTCGCCCTGAACTAGAATTTCAGGAGCTGGTTGAGGATAGTTCTTTAATAGATGTCTGGTATCATGAGAATGAAAGATGAATGTTTAAGCCTTTTCTTCCCCGTCGTAAGCCAGGGAAGTCTGGGTATCAGATTTCACACGTAATTAACCACAACCAGAATTGCTTAAATCCATATAGTAGTCCATACCTGAACCTAGAAAATACACATAAGAGGTCGCCGGAATCCAATGCTATCATACATGTAAATCATGCGCTCTACCTCTACTCCCCCTCCTCCTCCTCGTCTTCGCTTTCTTCGGGATTCGGATCCGGCATGACAACATCGTTGAGGAAGGATACCTGGTCTCTTCATTAGTCTCTAGGGTTTGGCTTTTCGCACGATCGCAATTTTGGGGGGAAACCAACAAATGGCTCGAGGCCACGGAAGCACTCGGCAACTTTCTCCTGCGCGGTATCCGATGCCAGGCTCGACTCGTCAATCTTGGTGCCCAGTGTGAAGTTCCTCAGGCGGAGGAGCTTGATGTCCCGATGGTCTGCGTCAAAACCCTAAAAGTGATTTTACAGCCCAGTTAGATCTGTTTGAACAAAAAAAAAAACAAGTAATTAGAGTGGAAATGGGATGTTTAGTAACATACCATCGGCTTCTTCTTCAGCGCGTTGGACTGGTTCTTGTCGAAGAAGGCCTCGATGGCCTTCTCGTCATCGGCGCTGGGCTTGACGCCCGGCAGGTAGATCCGTTTCAGCGCCGGGGTGTTGAGGACCTCCCGCCACCGCTCCGGATGTCTGTCGATGCTTCTGCGGAGCTTCGCCAGCTGATCCTTGTCCGGGCACCAGAGGCCGCCCCCGATGAATGATGACTTGGGTTCGCAGTGGATGTAGTAGCACGCGTACGGGCCCTTGCGCCCTGTGCGTGAGAAGGCGGCTGAGAAGTGAGGCTATATGAACAGGTTAGGTTAGCAGAGGTCCCTGGGAAATAGAGTGAACCCATATTAAGTACGGGCAGGTCGGTTGAAGCTTAGAATTGGAACAGACCTTGTAAGGGGTCGGGTCTTTGCTGAAGCGAATATCCCTGTGTATGCGGAAGATGACATCCTTGACTGGAAGCTCAGGGATAGTCTCGTCGACGTCGATGGCAGTGAGCATGGCCGAGTCGACAAACGACTCCCAGTCCTTGAGGGCTCGCCGGTACTCGCCATCGTGTGCTGTAGCAGTTGTCAGACACCAATCGCTCAGATCGCACTCCTAATCAAGGCCGACGCTGGGGTGACTTACATTTGAGCCATGATCTCTTGTTGTTGACTTTGAGATCCTTGAGAAAGAGGAGTGTATTCTTGTGGATCTTGTTGTCCTCATACTCAACCCCTCCAGTATCCCTCATCTTCTCCAACGGTACGATCCTAACCTTGGGAGGCGCATCTTCATCGTCCTCGTCCTCGTCTTCGTCATCATCCCCGTCCTCTTCCTCTCCCGGCTTCTCATCGTTATATTCGTCCCCGTCATCTTGGTCTTCTTCTGACTTCTCATCCTCGTTGTACTCATCCTCATCGTCCGACTCCTTCTCAATGCGCTTCTTCTTCTTCCCCGCTGAAGCTGCAGCTTTGGATGGCCTGCCTCGCTTCCTGGGAGGCGGAGCGTCATCTTCCCTGTCCTCGCTTTCCGATTCCTGGAAGTACTTGCTTTTCTGAGGCGTGCTGGAGATCCGGCCAGAGCGGCGCCGTCCTTGTCCAGGGTCCACCTCTGCCGCCGAACGCTTGCGAGCTGCCATGATGAGGATGGGTGGAAAATGGTTACTTTGTGGCGAACTAGAGGTCAAGAGGAAGCAATTCCGCCCCTAGAAATGTGACCGTCGAGATTATCAGGGATGTAAAGGCCCGGGATATACCTTTTCTGATCAAGGCCGTCTTTCTTCTGGTCAATATAGTCTATTCTTCAAGTCATGACGACATTTCAGCACGCGTATCATCAGCGCGTTCCGAAGGGGCCGCTTAAAACGCGACATCACGTGCAACTCGCCAGTCTCAGACCCCTGTATAATTTCTAGGTACTGAATGATAAATCATAAATTCATAGTCCGATTGCTGTGTGTTTGGTATGATGCCTCGAAACTCCATATAAGGTATAATTTTCACCCATAATGCCACTTTTGCAGTCCCATTGAAAAAAAATCCCATCCTTGCGCCACTTCTTGAATGCTCCAATATGCATACCCTCAATTTGCGTCCATATTTATCCCGTCCCAAATTGAAACTTCACCCCCAAGTCTAGATACTATGCTTCGTATCGAGTGGCCTTCTTGAGCCAGGGAATGAAATGGGTCATATCCTCCACCCACTTGTTGGTCAGGCCTTGTTTGGCGTCGTCGGGCTCGAGGGAGGTTGCTTCGGCAAGAATGACACAGATGTTGACCGCAGCAGGTAGTCTTTCCCAATCTCCGTCTACAGCGACCTCGAGCTCTTCGGGCAGGAATACGATCCTTCTGATTTTGCTTAGAAGATCGGGGAAACCCAGAGTGGCAATCTTCGATGAAGAATAAAACTTTGTAAGCTTGGCTTCGTACTCTTCCCAGTTCGCGGGTGGGAGTTGAGCGATGTCGCTCTTGAGTTGAGGTAAAGCAGCTTGCATGCGCTGCAGTGGGGTTTCTGGTGTTGGTGATTCTTCAGAGCGAAGACTACGCTCCTCTTGCCCAGTCTCATCTTCTCCAACCTTCAGTTTGATCGAAATAGGCTGTCGATTGGCATACAGGTCATCAAGTTTCTCTTCGTTTGCCTCTTCGGTGAGTTCTTGACTCGTCGCTCTTTCGGCTTCTGCTGAGAAGATGTTGTGCGTGTCCCTTGGAATGTCTTCTGATTCGGGTGTCATCAAGGATGTCTGGGCCCCTTCGCCCTTGGATGGTTCACCCAAAAGAGATCCGGAGTCGCATTCTTGGATTGTTGACTCTTCCCCCCGATTTGTCTTTGATTCTGAGGTTGCCGCATCGCTTTCCTCGGCATGGTCGACGCTCGGAGACGGGGAGCTGAGGACTGTCCTCTGCTGCCTAGACCTTCGGGCTCTCTTTCGACGGTTCCAATCTCCCTTCCAATCGCCGAGCCGTTTTTTCGCATCCTTTTGTGTGGTGAGTGCGCGGCGGAGATATCCCACGAATTCCCTGTACGAATCCGTGGCTTTCAGGCGCTCCAAGTTCTCGCCTTCAACGCGCAGTTTATTAGGCGGCCTTGCTACAATGGTAGCAGGGATCCGGCTGTCTGGAAACAGGATGGTTTTGTAGGCAGGCCTTGTTGATTTGTTTGATAGGATGTGCTGGATGATCCTGCCGTTGAGACACTTTATATCTTCAATGGATGTGAAGCCCTTGAGTTTTGCCTCGTCGAAGAGCGCCCCGACGGACGCGATAAAGTCGTTCGCTGCGGCTGTTCGTTTTTGGGAAGCCATGACGGGTGAAGCAGCGTCGGCAAGCAAGTGTTGCAGCCAAGGAAGCCAGAGGGCGGGCACTTGGGGGAAGCGACGAAGCGCCTGCTGGTTTATTCATGCATGCGTTGTACTCAAGTTCACAAAGAAGTTTTGGAGAAGGAGAGTAAATGGGAGCTGACGGCCTTGGAGCCTGGTTGTGCTTCGGATTGGTGGCAGGTGGTGGCAGGTGCAGGAGCCGCGGCAGTGTTGCGTTAGTTTGGGCAAGCACTGCTTCTCCTGCCTGCGAAACTGAGGAGAGTTCAGTGAGCATCCGACCATACCAGGTAAGGTAGGTATCATTTAAACTTTCTTCGAGTGCCTGGACAAAGTTCCTTGGTTTCTTATATAGGTGTTGGTGTAAACTGTCGCCTGCAGGGTTCTCAGCTTTGTCCACAACGAGAGCGTCCACAGAGCTGTGACACTCGGCATGAAATCCTTTGTTGCTACTAGGTAGACTAGTTGTACATAGGCCAGGCTTTCGTTTTCTAGCTTGTCGTAATGTACGTCTTCTCGTTCTTTCTTATCGCCTTACGACACAGACAAAAAATACCCTACCAAACAACAAACCTAATACCGCCCATCGAATCAACAAACAAATGGTTACACCAGTCTTGCAAAATAGATTGACAACTACTCATATCAAATCAAAAGACGAACACCAAGGAAGTCAAGGATGCAGTAGGATATGAATGTTTCTTTCAGGTATCAAATTCAATTTCATGTAAATTAACCCATCTAAATAATCTTTATGGATGGATCTGCACCAAAATAGTGCTCAGTCATCGCGCCGTAGCCCGCCAGAAAACACCGGCAATTGGAGAAGCGGTCCTCTTTTCTTTAAAACAACATACACACACACACACATCAACAGAGTCTATGCAAGCTTACAGCTCATCGTGGAAAGAGCCGCCCTCGCCCTCACCAGAGCCACCGGCGCCCTGGTACATCTTGGAGGTGATGGGGTAAGCAACGTTAGAAAGCTTCTCCTTCTGCTCCTCGAAGTCCTCAGCGTTGGCGTTGGCACTGTTCTCCTCAAGCCACTCGTTGGCCTCCTTGACAGCATCGAGGATCTATTGATATGGTTAGCCATCTGTATATCCGGTGGAAGTTTGTCAGAGTAAACTTACAGTCTCCTTCTCCTCGTCAGTGATCTTGCCACCGAGACCGTCAGCGTCGTTGACCTGGTTCTTCAAGCTGAAAGCGTAGTTCTCAAGACCGTTGCGAGCCTCAATGCGCTCACGGGTGGCCTTGTCCTCCTCGGCGTACTTCTCAGCCTCGGCAACCATGCGCTCAATCTCCTCAGGAGTAAGACGACCCTTATCGTTGGTGATGGTGATGGACTCCTCCTTGCCAGTTCCCTTGTCGTGGGCGGAAACCTTGAGGATACCGTTGGCGTCAAGGCCGAAGGTGACCTCGATCTGGGGAACACCACGAGGGGCAGGGGGGATACCAGTAAGCTCGAACTTGCCGAGGATGTTGTTGTCCTTGGTCAGAGATCGCTCACCCTCGAAGACCTGGATCAGGACCACGGGCTGGTTGTCAGCGGCGGTAGAGAAGATCTGGCTCTTGCGGGTAGGGATCTGGGTGTTACGGCCGATAAGCTTGGTCATGACTCCACCGGTGGTCTCGATACCGAGAGTAAGAGGGTTGACATCCATGAGGAGGACCTCCTCAGTACCCTCCTCACCGGCAAGAACACCAGCCTGGACGGCAGCACCGAAAGCGACAGCCTCATCGGGGTTGATGCCCTTGGAAGCCTTCTTGCCGTTGAAGAAGCTCTCAATGAGGCTCTGGACCTTGGGGATACGGGTGGAACCACCGACGAGGACGATGTCGTCAACCTCGGACTTCTTGACATCGGCGTCCTTGAGAACCTGCTCGACAGGCTTCAGGGTCTTCTTGAAGAGGTCGATGTTGAGCTCCTCGAACTTGGCGCGGGTGAGAGTCTCAGAGAAGTCATTGCCCTCCCAGAAAGCCTCAATCTCAATGCGGGTGCTCATCTGAGAAGAGAGAGTGCGCTTGGCCTTCTCAGCCTCGCGCTTGAGCTTACCCATGGCCTTGGCGTCCTTGGTGACGTCAACGCTGTTCTTCTTGTTGTAGGCCTTGGCCAGGTGGTTGATGATGCGCTGGTCGAAATCTTCACCACCGAGATGGGTGTCACCGGCGGTAGAGAGAACCTCAAAGATACCCTTGTCAATGGACAGAAGAGAGACATCGAAGGTACCACCACCAAGATCGTAGACAATAATCTGGCGCTCACCGTCGGTCTTATCCAAACCATAGGCGATAGCGGCGGCGGTGGGCTCGTTGACGATACGGAGGACGTTGAGACCGGCAATGATACCGGCGTCCTTGGTGGCCTGTCGCTGGTTGTCCTGTAAAACAGTTAGTTTGATTCACGTAAAACCTTGGGCAGATAGAATACGTACGTTGAAGTAGGCGGGGACGGTGACGACGGCGTTGGTGATCTTCTTTCCGACGTAAGCCTCGGCGACATCCTTCATCTTGCCAAGAATCATGGCAGAGATTTCCTCGGGGGTGAACTGCTTGGCCTTGCCCTCAACGGTGACCTCAACAACGGGCTTGGTGTCCTTGTTGATAACCTTGTAGGGGAAGTGCTTGATATCGGCCTGAACATCCTTGTCGCTGTACTTGCGACCAATCAGACGCCTATTTAAATGGTTAGAACGAACACTCCAAAGAGCGGGTTTATAAGTATAATCGCGTCGCTTACTTGACATCGAAAACGGTGTTGAAGGGGTTAGAGGCGGCCTGGTTCTTGGCGGCGTCACCGACAAGGCGTTCCTCATCGGTGAAGGCGACGTAAGAGGGAGTGATACGGTTTCCTTGATCGTTGACCAGAATTTCAACCTTGCCCTTCTGCATCACACCGACACAGCTGTAGGTAGTACCCAGATCCTGCTCAGGTTAGTTTACACGAATTCGCAATTAATCATGCTGCGATGCACTTACAATACCAATGACAGTTCCGAGGTTCTCGGTCTCCTCAGAGGCAGCCATGGCGGTTCCAACCATGGCGAGAGGGGAAAATAGGAGGGCGATCCAACAAAGGAGGCCCAGGCCCAAGGCCATTGAGCTCCTCGATGAGCGAGCCATCGTGGTTGTGTTTGGCGGTAGCAAGCTTACCGACCTGAATCTAGAAAAGAAGGGTATTGAAAAGAGTTGAAAGAAAAGAAAAGATAGCAGGATAGTCGGAGCGAGAATCAATCAATTCTCGAGCCTGCGACTTCACCGGATGGGGTATCTAGTGGTGATGGGAGAGGACAAGTCTGGGAAGGCTTAGGGCGACGGCGGGGGATTTTATGAAGATGTCTTCAAAACTTTAGGTGTCCAAAAAGGCCAGATTTCACCTTGCAGTGACCGCCAACCTTCGGCCCCTGGCGCCCTGGAACTTACTGGAAATGCCCCACGTGACAGGGGTATTTAGGCCAGAGTTACCGCCAGTCGCCTGGGTTGTGGCACTGTAGTCCGCACTGTGCGATCTTCCGCCTGTGCGTAGATTAGGGCTTGCAGCATGGCACCACATATACTTTACCCCAGAAGCCACTACAGTGCGAAGTCTGCGGCCGCGTGCTCAACAGGACAAGTTGCACACACACTTTCCAGCCTGGAACTCAGCTGCTCTCGTCGCAGGTGGTACTTTGCGTCAGGCAAGGAGCCTTAAGCGCTCTAAAAAGGGAAAGAGTGGGAACTATGTCCCTTGACTTATGCTTGAATTGATCTAGCTGGCCTCTTGAGACCTGGTTTTAGTTGCAATGTGGCTTTAACAAGCGGCTACTTTTGCCCGCGCCCTGTTGCGATCCACGGCAATTGTCAGAAGCTTCCCGAAATAGCAGTGGACCGTTTCTTTTTCTCCATCCAGTCTGAACCTTGGTGGATTCCCTCGATGAGGATTTTACTTAAAAAAGCATCACTATTACTGTCCGCGTGCATGAATCGAAGGAGTCAGCCCTTCCGTTCCCTCTAAATCTAGTCCAAGGGCATATGTGTCCACCTGTGGTTCCATTCGCTTCCCATCGGCGGCATTGAGATTCAAGACATGACCCTGCAAAGGGCTGGGCTACGTTGCAGGGCGACGGTACTTCTGCAACATTGACATGCATAGGCAGTTACAGTCACGAACAAGGTGTTTGGCGTGTGACTCTTTTAACCTAGTGTCATGTGTGCTATGCTATGTATAAGGTCTAACTTTATTGGCCACGTTTGCAAATAATTTTCTACTCCAACAGCCCAGCTGCAATTGTCTCGCCACCACTGCGAATAACCACTCGCTGGCCAGCTTCGAGCGGAACCTTAGATTCGAGTTTGATAGTTATCCTTGCCACGCTGCCTGGCTGGACAACCTTGGGCTTCTTCTTTACCACATCTCCCGTAGCCTTGTCCAGCGTGGCAACTATGCTCTGTATACGTCCTGGCGCATGCAGACGACCTCGGTGAAGGTCCACCGGGGAAGGTAGTAGATGGTCGAACGCCATCGCCTTCATAGTGAATGAGTCATCGCAAGAGATTGAGTCAGTGGGGTGGCAAAGAATATCACCGACCCTGATGTGAATAGGGTCGATATCTGTCAACGCCAAGTTGACATTCTGGCCCGCCACTGCCCAGTCTTGCGTGTCCTTGTCCACCACAATAGACTTGATGTAGGCCGTCTCGCCACTTGGTTGAACGACTAACACGTCGCCAACTTGCATTGTTCCTGAGTCTATTCGGCCCGACAAGGTTGTTGTTCCTTGCTGAGAGCGAAAGACTTCAGATATCGCCATGCGAAGCGGCTTAGTCAATGCCCTCGCACTTGAGGCTTCTGAGCTTTCCAAAGCTTCAAGCAGCGTAGAACCTGTGTACCATGAGGCGGCCTTGTCTTCAATCGGCTTGACTATGTTGTCGCCGTTCAACCCAGAGATGGGAACGAAGCTCACGTGCTTCTCCTGGAATCCCAATCCAGTGAGGAAACCAGACACCTCTTGGATAATCTCATCAAATCTGTCCTTCGACCATCCTACCATGTCCAACTTGTTGACCGCCACCACGATCCGCTGAACACCAATGCTGCGTAGAAGCAACACATGCTCTCTTGTCTGTCCTTTCAGACCCTTTTCGTATGCACCAGTGTTTGCATCAATGACTAGGATGGCAAAATCGGCCTGACTTGCTCCAGCAATCATATTGGGCACAAAATCTCGATGGCCTGGTGCATCCAGAATGGTGAATTTGGTTTGCTCCGTCTCGAAGAAATTTGTGGCGATGTCGATCGTAACACCGCGATCTCGCTCCTCCGCTCTTTGGTCCATCACCCAGGCAAGGGCAAAGGACTGCTTCCCAGTCTTCTCAGCCTGTCTTCGGTACTTATCCACTGTTCTTTGCTCGACATGCTTCAGTTCCAGCAGGAGGCGTCCCATGAGTGTGCTCTTGCCCGCATCAACATGTCCTAGAAATCATGAGCACGTTATGCTCAGACAGTACCATAAGAGGATGTGACACTCACCAACCACCACGAAACTAATACTCCTTTTACTTGAGCTCTTCTCAAACTCCTTCACAACATCTAACCCCTTGTTCTTAGGCGGAGGGGCCTCGCTGATTTTCAGACTTGAGACGCTGTCCGACAAATCCTCTTTGCGACCGTTTTCTCCCTCTTTGGTGTCTTTCTTAGAGGTCTTTGAAGGGCCCGGGGCCTTCTTTCCCGCTGGAATAGAATTAGAATTAGCCCATTACTGTGCCTTAGCAAAACGCGAACCTTTGGCTTGAGCTGCAAACACAATATCATCGGGGCTAGGTTCTGAAAACGTTTTGGAGGAGTATGACGACGATGATGTGTATGGCATGGGGAACACATCCCGCGACGGACGCTTCCCAGGAGCAGAGCCAAACAGCGTTCGAGCAAAGGCCGAAGGGGCGGCCTTATCCACAACAACAGCAGCATCAACAGTACCAGTGAGTACATCTTCCTGGTCTTCCGGTTCTGTGGCTTTCCCAGCAAGTTCATCCGTTCCATCAGTCTTGACAGTCTGTATGGAGGCTGTGGTACCAGGCTCTTCTTCGGACGGAGGCACAAGTTTCTGGCGTTTGGCTAAAGGAGGGACCGACATTTGATCCTCCAGTGGCTTATCGGACAATGACAGTTTCTCAATATCTTTCTCTGTCTGTTTCGTCCGTTCTTTCTCCTTTTTCTCCTCATTTTTCTTCTTTCTGGCTGCAGCTAGTTTCTGGAGTTTGCTCATGCCAGCGGCCCCTTCGGAACCTCCCAGAAGCCCACCTTGCGGTCGCCAAGGTTGGATGAAGATGGCTTGGCGGTCTTGCGGCGTATTTAACCACGGCATATCATTGAAGTACGCGCCCGGGTTCAACCCAATCTTTCTAGAAATCGGAAAAGACTCTGCCAAGACTGGATCAAGTCCAATATCTCCCACTCCGTTCCCAGCTCCTGCCAAACGCTGATGCTCTGCCCCACAGACACCCCCGAACAGACAATGCGCAGCAGAAAAGGAGAAGTCTTCGCACATACCTTCAGGAGTTTTCTTCTTCGGCGCTGCTGCTGGAGTAGGCTTTGGTGCGGTGGGAAGATAAGTTTTGTTTAAGAATGCAACAGACTTGTCAACATCGTAGTAGTAATTCCATAGTGCATCTTGTATTTGCTTGAGTGTGATTTTTGACGCATTTTTTCCCAGGGCTGCGCGCACTTCAGCAGTGCCATGTTCCATGGCAGCCTGGTCCTCGGGGCTCAGCTCCTCGTCTTCGCCATAATCCTCGCCATAGTCAGAGCCGACGTCGTCGTCATCGTAGTCATATTTATTTGGCGGCATGTCGGCGATTAGTTTTTTGGAACGATCGGGAGAGCGACAAGAGGATTTCGCAGGATTGAGTGCCTGGAGATTGTTGGTGTGGTTAGGACGGCGATAGGCCCAGATATAAGGAGTTTCAGTGACGTACTATATCGGCAAGGTTGAGTCACTCGGTAATCAGCCGTTGACCCCTTCTGAATGAAAACAGACCAGCGCCAGATCTGCGCTCTCTCAAGTGCGATAATGATATGTAAGACGCCGGCGCCCGATGTCTTGTCGCAGCCTAAAAAATTTGGTGTGGGAGAAGCTGCTACTTTTATTTGCGTCGTTATGCCGCCTGGCCTCTAACTGAGGGGCACGGTGGCATCAAACAGCTCTCTGATACGTGAGATAATGCACCAAACAATGGCGGGGCAGAAGAGCTCATGGCGGGGCACAGATTGGTACCACCCTTGTCCATCAACTGTTCCTTTTAGTGCCACCGCTGCTTAGAAGTTCGGTGCGATCCCACTAAAGTACTACCGCCCACGGACTTTTTCTTTCACCGCGTGCCGCATTCAAGGAGGTTCCAGTCGGTGATATTCCAAAAAATTCCAGGCCACCAGCGACGACCTCCCCCCGAAGTTTGAGCTCCTCCACACAGCGATTTGGAGTTTTTGGTCTCCCATTGCAGGATCCCATATTCTTCTTCTTAATTTTCAGAGGTAGAACATCTTGTTCTACCAGCAGCCACGATGGCTCTCAGTGAGTTTGGCCCTCCTTATTATTTTTGTTTGGCGGGGCAGTCGACAGGGTAGCTAACCTGGGAGTAGATCTGGATGTTTCCAACGGTACGAGATACGCATTCATGAGAGCTGAGAAGGGAACAAATCTAACCTCTACTTGCAGCGACGATGTTGAAGGACGAGCAGGGTCGCCCCTTCATCGTTGTCAGAGAGTACGTCTGCCCGCCCTCACGATCGACTCCTATCTCGCTGACCAACTCACAGCCAAGGGAAGAAGAGACGTCAGTTCGGCAATGAAGCTGTCAAGTCCCATATCCTCGCCGCACGCACGGTTGCGAACATTGTCAAGACTTCCCTCGGCCCGCGAGGTCTCGACAAGATCCTGATATCCCCCGACGGCGACATTACCATTACGAACGACGGAGCTACGATTCTTCAACAGATGGAGATCAGCAACCATGTCGCTAAGCTTCTCGTTGAGCTCTCCAAGTCACAAGATGACGAGATCGGTGATGGTACCACTGGTGTTGTCGTATTGGCCGGTGCCCTCCTCGAGCAGGCTGCCGATCTCATCGACAAGGGCATTCACCCCATTCGAATTGCCGACGGCTACGACCAGGCTTGCGATATCGCCGTCGCCGAGCTTGACCGAATCTCCGACGTCATTAATTTTTCAAAGGAGGAAACAGAGAACCTCGTCAAGGTGGCAAGAACGAGTTTAGGCAGCAAGATTGTATCGAAAGCCCACGATCAGTTTGCCAATATTGCTGTCGATGCAGTCCTCTCTGTTGCCGACCTCGAGCGCAAGGATGTCGACTTTGAGCTTATCAAGGTAGATGGCAAGGTCGGTGGTGCTCTGGAAGATACCCTCCTCGTCAAGGGCGTCATTGTCGACAAGGACTTCTCCCACCCCCAGATGCCTTCCGAGGTTACTGATGCCAAGATTGCGATCTTAACGTGCGCATTCGAGCCCCCCAAGCCCAAGACGAAGCATAAGCTCGAGATTTCCAGCGTGGAGGAGTTCAAGAAGCTACAAAACTACGAGAGGGAGAAGTTTATCGAGATGATTCAGCAGATTAAGGATACTGGTGCAAACTTGGCCATCTGCCAATGGGGTTTCGATGATGAAGCAAACCACCTTCTTCTTCAGAACAACCTCCCCGCCGTCCGATGGGTTGGTGGCCCCGAGATCGAGCTCATTGCCATTGCGACCAACGGTAGAATAGTACCTCGCTTCGAGGATTTGTCTGCGGAGAAGCTTGGCCGTGCTGGTAAGGTACGGGAAATGACCTTCGGCACAACGAGGGAAAAGATGTTGGTTATCGAGGAGTGTGCCAACACCCGTGCCGTGACCGTTTTCGTTCGTGGCAGCAACAAGATGGTAAGTTGGGCTATAAATCGAAACTGGGTGAACGTATAACTAACACTACTGCTAGATCATCGACGAGGCCAAGCGATCCCTGCACGATGCTCTGTGTGTTGTGCGTAACCTGGTCCGTGACAACCGTGTTGTGTACGGTGGTGGTGCTGCAGAGATCGCCTGTGCTCTGGCAGTTGAAGATGCTGCTGCGAAGACCCCAGGTCTTGAGCAGTACGCCATGAGGGCTTTCTCGGACGCTCTCGATTGCGTTCCCATGGCCCTTGCCGAGAACAGTGGTCTCAACCCCATCTCGACGCTGGCCGAGGTGAAGAGCCAGCAGGTCAAGGCCGGCCCAGATGGGCGCGGACAGTTGGGTGTTGACTGCATGGGACGTGGAAGTAACGACATGAAGGATGCCTTTGTCATTGACCCTCTCATCAGCAAGAAGCAGCAGCTCCAACTCGCTACCCAGTTGTGCCGCATGGTATTGAAGGTGAATAATGTCATTGTCTCTGGCGCAGATGAAAACGATTTTTAGACATCTAATGTATAGATTGGGTGGAACAAAAAGAGAAACTACCTTCCCTGTCAGATATATATTGCGCTATTAGTGTTAATATGTTACGTGAACATGCATATAACCACCTTCTCCTTGTCGTGTTGATTGAATATGCAAGAACCAGTGAGAACCGCACCCCTGACTGTACTAAATAAAACTTCAATCGTACTTAGAAAATACACACAGCCTCTGTGAAATCGCAACCGTAACTAGGTAGGGAATCACATGCAGACTTGCAATTTGTCTAGATCTAAAGCTAGCGATGCGAGAAGATAGGATCTAGGGTAGGGCGGATGGATCCCGTTGCCTGGCTGAACAGGGCCCCACCCACCTTTCTGTTAACGTAGACAGTATAATTGACATGCATATACGATGTCAGCCTTCTCTTGACCAATGCTGCCTGCATGGATTTGATGAGTCTGAGAAAAAATCCCCAAGACTTAAACAGAACACACACATGGGAGTTCAATTACGACCTTAAGGTCACAAATGGACCATGGAGCCCTCGCAGGGCACATCTCCGGCTGATTCGGACCCGCACATAACCATAGTGAGGCGTCGTCCAATACCTCGAAAGGGCCATCGAAAGTCCAGGGCTGGATGCATCGTCTGTAAGAAACGTAAGGTCAAGTGCGACGAGAGCTTGCCGCAATGCGGGCAATGCTCAAGGCTTGGCCTTAGTTGTCAATATACGACTGCTCCTGTGAACGTATCACAGGTTGTCGGTGAGCCGAGGGAAGTTGTCCAACGGCAAATACACACGAACGCGCCCACGTTCGGGATTGATGACTTGAAGTTCTTCCAAAATTTCCTCTTCCACGCGTACCCCCCGCTTCCTATTGAAGGGTGGCACGTTTGGCAACATGTCGGTCAGATGTCACACGGTGTGAGTGAGCAGAGTATAGTCGCCCGATTACAACAGAATATCCAACACTGACCTGACTGTTAGTACACCTTTCTCGCACATTCTATGCTGGGGCTTGGAGCGTCACATCTTGCTGTTCTCTCCGGGGCTGATTACGAACAGGCGGCGCTTCGCCATCGAGTCACGGCCATGACTGCTTTAAATGAACATATGAGAAAGCCTAAATACACAATGGCTGATGCAGACGCCGCATTTGCTGCCATGTTGAATCTAACCTTTCAGGCAGCGTACATGGCCGATGGGTTGACGGATTTCTTGACATTAGTCCGTGGCTGTGAGTCGTTGATCATTTCTATTATTCCCGGGACTAAGGCTCACAGAGTAGGGAAGGCTTTGTCGTCGGAAACACTTTGCTTCCCAGTTTTGAAGACTCGGCTTTTAAAACCTTTGCCAGAGCGACCTACGTCGAGAAACTGCGCAAGCTCATCGGGAGTAGTGGAGAGGCCGAATCACTGGATACAACCGTTGCAGAGGAATTCTGTGACAGCTTGAAACGTCTGGCCCCAATCTGCCGTAGCGTCCCGGAGCTACAGTATCTGGCAATGATGCAGAGAATAGCTAATTTCGCCGTCACCAACCCGGCCGAGAGTGAGATCTACTTGCTGTCCTGTCCCACACACCACCGATGACTGACTTACTTACACTAGGCTATCATGAACACACCTTTCTTTATGAAAGGCTCGGCGAGCTGAGCATGGAAGACTTTTCATCATTTTTAGATCCGCAGAATTATGCTTCTCGGCTCATTATCATGCATATGCTCACCCTGGACTTTGTCATGAGCCGCAAAGATGTGCAGGATGGAAGCCGGCTTGGTTCGAGTGAAGCTTACCAAAAGGGATACGACTGCCGGAAAAACATGTCTGTGGCATGGATCGGCCAGATGCTGAGTGAACTTCCAGAGGAGTATCGAGTCTATGCAGAATGGATACAGAGGTTTTCTCAAGGCCTCACCTTCTCCTTTGATTCAGACGACGAGATTTGGAAACCGTTTCTTCTCCATCATGGGAAAGCTAATCTCCCAAGCAGCCAATATCATGGATCTGTGCAGGAAGTCGAGAGTTGATGGTTTCGTTTTGACTAATTCTATCCACCTGAAAATGATAATCGCAAACATAGAAATACTGCAGCTCTAGTATTTACCCTCAGCCCAACCATTTACGGCACTCTGTTTCCTGGTTCGACCCCATCCAGCGCAACCCTCCGAACTCCTCCGACCTTCCTTCACCACACATTTCACAGGCGGAATTCTTTGAACTTCGATGGGGCGGCCTTAGAATGTTTCAGCCGATCCCTCCGTCTTGTGGACGCGTCGAAGCCTCCAGGCGCCAAACCGGCCCAGATATTTGCTTGGGTAGTAGAAGCAGAAGATGCCAATAGCTGGAGCCATGGGGAGGGCCTCGAAGACCCAGAAAAGCCACTCATGGCGGAAAGCGTACCCATTCATACCTTCTGCGAATTCGGCAACGCGGAAAATGCATCGGATCTTCCGCGAGGTCAGTGAATATTCCAAACTGACTGGATATTGGCTGAAAAAGGAGCAGAGGAGGATGCCTTACCATGATCAAGACGGATGAGATATAGACAGCCACTACAAGCTTTGCCCAGCCTTTGGGTGCATCTCTCACCTCATGCCTGTTGGCCAGGACGTGGAAGCGGCCGAGGACGCACAGAAATAGCGAGAAAGCTACAAGCTGGAAAGCAAGACCGCCAATGAGAACGTATCGACCAATACGCTCTGTATTCCCCTGCCAATTATTGGAACTCGCAATACCGGAACCACTGCCCTGGACGAGGAAAGCGATGATATCGCATACAACGAAAATAGGGGTGAGCCGGCGTCCAGGGATCTTAAGAACACGTTGCTTCGAAGGGGGTAGCACGGCGAGGATGAGTCGACTGATGAGCATGTAGTTGCCTGCAGCGATGAAGACGGGCGCGAGGACGGTAAATGTCAAAGTAATGACAAAAGGGGCCTGCCACCATTGTCAAGTCAGTTTCATAAAGACCATGGAGAGAGACATTGAGAAACTTACAATCATGGTGGAGTTCTTGATCGAGTACACTCGCATGATATAAGCGACAACCTCGATGGCCGCGCCGATTACAACAGGGAGGAAGTACCACGCTCGATATTTCATTGTTGTCAAGTATGTAATCCCAAGGAAGATGATTCCATAGACCACGGCCCCGACGCAAGCCAGGGGCAGAGATGCGTTATACATCCATACTTCATCGGCCATTTTGGAACGATAGTTTCGGAACAGGGGCAAATATATCAACTGGATTTTTTTGTGCGATTGGTGAAAGTTGATCACGGAGAATGTTGTATGTGATTGCTATGGCTTCTTCGCTGTGAGAATTTGAGGCAACTCATCTTTGGCTTTATACACTCTGCTATTGAGGCCATCTACGCAACATGAGCTTCACTGTCGGATTGAAAGCGAGAGCTTCGCAGTCCTGAGGCAGTGCCCTTCACGATCTGCCGGCAACACTACCCGTCGTTTTCCCTTTTTGAACAAACCTAAGCACGATATCTAATTCTAAATTGAACCTTTTCCCTCAATGGATATTGTTCAAGGTACGGCGCCCTGGAACTAGGCCAAATTAGCTCCACGGCTGGCGTTGGCTGGCAACGTAATGCGATCCGACAAATGCGAGCAGCCAATCAGACGATCAAGTGTGTGTTTACGATAATGTTCAGGCCATGTGCCCATATTGCAGGCTTACAGGCTCATCGAACCGATCCCTAGGGTCTTTAGAGCGCTCAAAATAGGGCCATGATTCGACGGCAACGCTTGAGACAAAAATGCGAACAATACGGGGATGAGAAAGAGCATTGTCTTACCATACGTGACATGGCGCTTGCCTTGAGACATGGGGCGTGAGCTGATGTAAAAATTCCCGACGAATAAATGATCCGGGCCCAAATACGTGCCCGCCGCTTAGGCTGCTGACATCGAGAGACAGACGACTTTTTTTAACTTTGCCTGCCCGTCGTTGTCATGACGTCAAGGGCGATGTGTTGGATATCAAATATCAACTCTCGTGACCGAGCGGTCTCCAGTGTATGGCATCGACAGGATCGACAGCGTGGTTTGTTGATGTGTTTTGATGCAGGCCAAATCACGCGCTCGGGAAGCGTCTGCTCTCCCAGGACCCGGCCGCTCGGTTCATGGGAGCCTACGGGCTGCCTCTGAGCTGTTGCTGTGCTGGTCGGCACCGTAGTGTGGGGATCCTCTGGGGAGGGCACGTTGGACCTTGGGCCGCGTGGGAGGCTTCTTAGAGGCACGCTTCTCCTCGTAAAACTTATCTCTTCTCTCGCGACCATCTTGTCTCATTCGCGGCAAGGCTAACGGAAGTGGCATCTGAGCAGGATCTTGGGACCAACACCCCCCTCCTTCACCAGAGCTGCGGGATGAGAGGGCGTGCTGGGCTAGGGACCAAGGACACAGTGACTATGCAAGAGACTCTTAAAATCTCGGGGGTTGATTCGCTCTGGGTGAATCCCAATGCAGTGTTTGAGTGAAAATCATCTCCCCAAGGACCTACATTGGGGGGCCATGCGGACAGTAAGTGGCTGGGGACCTGCGACGCCGAGTGACATCAGAGGATGAATTGGGTCGATGCTCCGATTCGATCGATGGGGTTTTCTGCAGGCATTCTACAGATGCAGACTTGCAAACCCCCCGGCCGGGTGCTGGGCGATGGGGGATTGACGAGTTTCCGGGTGTTTGATTGCCCCTATCTCTTGATTGAGTCCCGGCCACATTCACATTGGGGAACGCAACGGTGTTGCTGACCGCGGCGTCATAGCGTTTCAGTTGCAAAGAAGGAAGACGAGCACCTGACCAAGCTCCAGACCAATGCTTTCTCCAGATTTCGCTGTAAGCAAGGATTTCACGGGCCCCCGGATGATGATATTATTAATAATACCGGCTTTCGCAGAGTCGGAAAACGTACGAGGAGCGCCCTCTTCCACAATCAGGGGGTTCTTGCGACTGCGGCGCAGGTGTAAGTGGGTGATGGGAGTCGAGTGTGTGCTGACGATGATTATGGCGGTGCGCCTCGCCCTGACTCATGGGTGAGCCACCCTATATCGTGATTAGAGATGCCCTGCCGGCACCCTTGATGCCCATCCAGACTGCATTGCAGGTCTGCTTTAGGTAGCCACGGCGGTTTTTGTCACCGTTTTGGGGGTGGATCTCGAGGGAGGCAGAGGCAGCAAAGCGGCACATCTAGAGCTTGCAGGAAACCACATGCAATTGCATCATGGCGCTGCTGGAAGAGGCCGTTTGGTGCCTGGTGTTGACTCTTGATTTTGAGGTAGGTAGACAGACACACTCCGTTTTACATACGGACGGGGGATCTAGGAGTGATAATACTGTCCTGTTCTCTTCACTATCATCTACGGCATTGATGTGTGCACAGACGTAATAAATCCAAGCGAGGAAACCAATATCCCGAACCGAGTGCATGTGAGCTGGAGAAAATACCCCGAGTAAACAAAGCCAAAGTAAAATAAACAATGAAAAGAAATACTTGGGATTGAATCTTGGGGAGTATGGGTGTGTTGCTATTAAACGAATAAATCCATCAAATCAATAAAAGAATAAATAAAATAAATATATTTATTCCTGGCATGCAAATCAACGAACGGCTTCTGATCGCAGATGCTGCCCCTCACCTCCCTGCACAACCTTGCCGCGGACGTGGGTGTCGACAAATGCACGTAAAGCTACTTGGATTATTGGCAAAAAAACACCCTCTGCTTCGTCTCCCAACTCACCTCGACTCACCTCACCGCCTGAGGGCCCTGAGGGGGGTGCAAGCATGTGGGAGGGGGCGCGGCGGCCGGCCTGCAGCAGCATCGCATCGTTTGGCCCATCGTCGCCATCCCCACGGACGGTCATCTGCCAGATAGATGACTGCTGATGAGTTGGCAATTCGAGACGGTTGCTGCTGGTCGCGCCCACACACCTGCCCAACCGACGGTGGCAGCCCTCATTTCTTACCATCCACGAGACAAATCGGCAATATATGCCCTCAGTTCCGGCGCCGCTCCGTTTTCTCCATGCAACCAGAAGCCCTACCTGCTCCTGGGCTGCCGCGCCCATCGCCTCCTCCGTTGGGGCCACCACACACACACACACCCCCATGGAGAGTTTATCAAGATCTGGGCGGCCCTGCCGAATGATGGAGTGCGCCTTATCTACCTGCCACCCACAGCGCGTGAAGCTTTGCAGAGTGCGTGCTGCAGGTAGCTGAGGTCAGTAGGGAGGTTGCAGTTCGCGCAAACCCTCAACTGAGGCAAGATGACTTTTGTTGGGGCACACTCGCTCGGATGGCCAGATTTGAATCAATCCCAGCGACCGGTCAATCGATGGCGGGTTGCGATGCAGGTGGATGAGACGTAGGTACAGCGCTACATCCTACCGACTTTCCATTCCATCCTTGCGTGGCTGAGCTGTCGCCAGGCTAATGTGCCGCGAGAGATGCACTGCTGCAGTAGTGTTCGGTGCGGCTTACCTCGATGGAATGGCCCGCTGCAGCCTGCCTGGGCCTTGCCTGCGACCGTGAGAACCGGCGATTGGGATCCAACCTACCACCACACACGGATGTTGGGTGCCTGGTTTGTGAACATTTGCAGCGGATGCATGTCGCAGCCGTCCTGGGTGATTCGCTGCCTGGTGCAGATGACCTGACCCCCAGGGCACGCCATCCGTCTCGTGTCTCTGGTCGGTGAAGCGGGTGGAATGAATGCCTGGGCGGGCGCCTCGCATTCTTGGTTCCCTTCCTCTGGCGCTGGAGATGACCTCAAGATCAGGGCATCGGGCGCCTGTATGCTGGGCACCTGAATCACGGGGGACGGTGGCCACAGGGAGATGACAGCGCACACCACGGCCAGCACAGCACATGAGGCCAGCTGAGGAGGCCCCCCGGCCGGCCGGTCGACCTCGACCGCCCTCCCTATTGACATATGAACGTGGGGTGAGGCCGTCACTACCAATAGAGGCAGTAACAATGGGTAGCAAGTGACTCTCTCACCCGCTTCATCAGCCGCCTGCAATTGCTATCACCGACCAGCAGCAAAATAGCCTATTTTTTAGGGGGGACCCTGCTTGTGAGTCTTTGTGCCCAGCCGTTCTATCCTCACCCCCTCAGCTCGAGGGAGGGAGGGAGGGAGGGAGGGGATGCCATCGTCTGAACGTGGACAGTAGGTATTTTGCCACATTCGTTGATCAAAGGATCCAGACGTAGGTAGTGCAATGGATGGACTTTGCTGTGGCTTCGCAAGCTCTTGCTCGACATAGTATAGAGGATGTATGTATGTATGTCAGATCCGCATTAAGTCCGATTGCCAATACCGACCCGTCCTACCACATTTAGCCGCCGTTCACAGAGGTAAGGGGAAATATAAGGCGTATGGCGTATGTGTGCATCCGCACATGACTACGGTGTCTAAATTTAACATTGGATGCAAGCTACATTGGATTGTTGTGGTGTATACGAAACTAGCTTGCCGTTCTGTAGATCACTGCGGGATACTGTCCTGATTTGGCTGCCGGCCATAACTGAGGACTATTTCGGAAATCCAGTATATAGGTAGGTAGTTCAATTGAATAAATTCATGTATTGAGAAAGATGAGAGTGGCTGCTGTCCCCGCTGAGGCATCGCCCTCACAATGACGAGGTAAGACTCATACTGACTCGACCTTTAAAAAAGCTAGCGGCACTTCCCCCAGATTTGGTGCGCGGAATGTGGGGACGTCCCTTAGTAATGCACTATCGAGAAATCTAACGATCTATGCTTGATTCTGTTACTGGAATACTTCCATAACTCACCATCGCTCATCGTGGCTGCCATCCACACTGCCAATAGCCTCCAGGTTATTCCGTTGACATCTCCAGCCTTCTCTTATCGCCACAGTGCACTTTCCAAGTATATGAACCGCCGTTGAGGCGCCTCTCAATGAGTAAAATATAGGTCATTCGAATCGCCTTCTTTTACTCTCGTTTTATCTGCAAGAACGGCCTTGTATTAATACCCGTTGGCCATATCAGCCCATATCAACGAGAACCAACCACCAAGCTGGAGCACACCGACCTCACCACATATCTTGACTCTAATATCGCCCGGACCATGATCTCAATAAGTCCGAGCTCCGGGGGCTCTACGCATACCCACCAGCAAGCCGTGGCAGAAACCCCACAATCCCGGGTTGTCTCCAAGCCTGTCCCGCAGTCTCAGTCTCGAGATCCCCGCCAGTATCAGATCGATCAGCTGAGGAAGCGGTTTTCACCCACCGAGTCAACCGCCCCGGACGGCTCAACCTCATTCCAATTCAAGCTGCACCCATCAGATCCGGATTTCCCCTTTGAGCTGGCTTACCTGGATTGTGATCTTCGAGTGCCCAAAAACTATCCGAAACAGAGACCTGTTCTCTTGGTCCGGAACAAGGACATTCCTCGGGGCTTCAGCATTAACATTGAGAGAGGCTGGGAACAACTAGCCAATGAGAGGACGAGCTCAACTCTCTTGGCTCTTACCAACGCATTAGACAAGAACCTGGAACGGTTCCTGTCTGAGGAGAAAGCTGAGACGGTGAAGCTCGTGGCCTTCCAGGGCCAAAAGGACACCAGGCATCTGAGCCAGGGTGGTGGACAAGAGCCTGTATCATCCATACCGGAGCCAGAGATCCCTGTAGCTGCCCCAGAGCCGAAGTTAAAGCCCTATGTGCCGGAGATATCCTACACTAGAGATGAGATCGCCGAGGCCAAGACGCGCAGGGCACAGGAGGTGCGCCAACTCGAGGCCCGTATGGGGAGGATGAATATGTTTCGCCGTTCCGCAGATGGCATCGTCTTTACGTTACCCTTAGAGCCTAAAAGACGTAACGAGCTCACTCCTGGTCTACGATCAGTTAGGAGCTTGCACTTAATTGTGCCTCTGCTTTATCCATTGCAAGATATCCGCATCCAATTGAACGAGGTTGACGATGACGAGGCAGAAAGAGTGGAGGAGTTGTTTATTCAGAGGGCTGCATCGCACAAGGAGATGACCCTGATGAGCCACGTCAACTTTCTCGCTATGAATCTATCCAACCTATCAAAGCAGGCACAGCAAGCCAGGGAGGCCGCAGAAGCCAAGGCGTCACTTGAGCAGGCAGCCCAGCGGGATGCGCAGGCAAAGTCATCTGAAACTCCTGCAGCTGCAGCTGCATCAAATCTCGACAAGAGCCATATCCAGGTCATCCCGCGTCCTCCAGAGTGGAGCCTCATCCGGGGACCCAACGAATCCGACTCGGACGACTTCGACTCTGACGATGCGGATGACGGAGGTGTGGAGATTGGCCAGCAGCCACCCCCCGAGGTCGAGCCAACGGCAGCTTCGGACGATGATGCCGAGCGCGGCACGATGCTGAGCTTCCCTTCCATAGAGCTGTACGGGATTGAGCTTCTGCAGGTGGCGATCCTCGGCATAACGATAAAATGCGAGCGTTGCAAGACGGTCAACGAGGTCACTGGGCTCAAACCCGGCAGTGAGAAGACCCTGGTGTGCAAGAAGTGCACATCCCAATTGGTCGCCAAGTTCAGGCCCCAGCTCGTCCACGAGCAGTCGACGAGGGCCGGCTTCATCGACCTATCCGGGTGCAAGGTGGCGGACATGCTCCCCAGCACCTTCATCCCCACCTGCGCCAAGTGCTCGAGCCCCGGCTTTGGGCTCGTCTCGGTCCGCGGCGAGACGATGAGCAACGTGTGCCGCGAGTGCCACGGCAAGTTCTCGTTTCGCATCCCGGACGTCAGGTTCCTCGTCGTCACGCCGGGCAGCGTCCTGCCCCAGGTCGGACCCCAGCGCAAGCGGGAGAAGCTGGGCCTGCACGCGGGCGAACCGCTCCCGCAGAAGGGAGCGTGCGAGCACTATCGCAAGTCATACCGGTGGTTCCGGTTCTCCTGCTGCAACCGCGTCCACGCCTGCGACAAGTGCCACGACGGGGCGGAAGACCACATCAACGAGTGGGCGAACCGGATGATTTGCGGCTGGTGCAGCCGGGAGCAGAACTACGCCGTCGAGGCCTGTGGCATGTGTGGGCGGAGCGTCATTGGCAAGAAGGGAAGGGGGTTCTGGGAGGGCGGGAGAGGAACTCGAGACCAGCGGCTGATGAGCAGGAAGGACCCCAGGAAATACAAGAGACTGGGGGGAACCTCGTGATGATCTTCGCGCATCTTGTAACTACTAGCATCCACGGCGTTTAGCTTGGCTACGGAGGGGTTAACAAATAGCAGTCGGAGAGTTGAGCATACATCCTAAACACTAATGTGAGACCTTCAGCCTCACACATCATCCAAGCACACCAACCCGTCAAATCGCCGTCTGGCTAAGCAATACGGCCGACGGCCCCATTCCAACTCAGACCCCTTCCCGCCCCCAGTGACGGGCCGAAGGAAGCGCCATGGCACAGTTCACATGATCCCGTCACCACCAGTAAGCGCCGAGAGCGGGTGGTGTCCAGCCCACCAAAGAACCCCCGCGGGCGGCGTTTATTGTTGATTCGCTGCTCCCTCCAGCATACGCCGCTCCCCGCGGGGTCACAGAATGGCATCACATCACAATCACACAACACAACGGGTAAGCCAGCGACGGGCGTCTGTTTCATATTCTCTCCCTGGTGATTTTGCCCTGGGCGGACTGACGCGAGTCTGGTTGGCTCTCTAGGGCGCCTCGGCGGCGTATGAGAGCCTGGCGGGTTTGAATCAGGACTGTGATGGGGGATGAATCACAGAGCTTTTAGACGTCATCACGCCCCTTCTGGCACATTTGTCCCAAACGCCCAAAAAAAAGGACGCATCACCGGGGCATTTTTTAGATAAAATGATTAAATGTAATTAATTGATAAAATCTCCAAGAAGCTAAAATACACGCCCGGTGACATGCATGCGCCTAGCGAACGTAGCAAACGGTGGCCCAGCAATACAAAACAAACATGGAGGCCTACGTAAACCCCATCTGTAAAACGATATCACATCTGCATGTATATCATAAATTCCGCATCTGGTTCCTCTTCCCTCCCCTCTCACCCCCAATAGAATAAGCAGGTCCAATAATAGGCCTGCGTGGGGGGGGGGGAGCCAGCACCAACGTGGCGGGCTGCAACACACATGATAATCAATTTCAATTAATCACGGCTTCTTTTGCTGCAAGGGTGATCTCGCGCCCTTGTTCCCTCCCTCCCCCCCTCCTCTAGTGAGGAGTTGGGACCAAAATACAATGCGAGATGAGGTGGTGGCGTGCAGCCCTTTGCCGCATTGATGCTTCCTTTCTTTTTTCTTTTCTTTTTTCTCCCTCCCCCAGTTCGTCACGAGGGCCTGGTTAGTTTCAATTCCAGATGGTGATAAAGCCTTTAATGATACAGCGCACACCATCATGTATATGTATAATCACCTACATGTGCGTAATGTGTAGATGATGTGTCGAACCCGACCTGCATCCCACCCTGCCAAGGAAACAGAGAGGAACACCCACCCCCTCCCTCACCGTCTTAAAAAAAAATCAAGTTAATTTGTTTTCTTTGTTCGATGGGATCTAGGCACCGTCATAGAGGTGGTGTGGTGAGGCCCAACCCTTCAGCCCCCAACTTCCACCTGCCTCTGCCCCGTCAATCTCCCCTGCAGGTTTGGAATAATCGATATTATTAATAACTGCCACTGGTTTTTCCCAGAGTTCGAGAGAAAAAACCTGGCCAGGGAGGGGGTGGGCTGCAATTATTAATACACGCATCGTACATACATGGAGGTGACAACAACGACCAACGGCCAACGCTCTGTCCCACGCTCTGCAGCCTCTCCGTCTCAATGGCCAAAGATGCATGCGTTGGACTGCAGTATGCCCTCTCACCGGTTTTCCGTCCGTCCTCCAGAGCCCGGCACGTGTCGTTGCCTTTGACTCATCGCAGCTGAGCATTGATGCCTCAGTTACACCGCACCCGGAGGCACATCACACAAGCATGGTTTCAAACCCGGATGGCCAGCATTAATTCAATTAATTGCCATGAAGTTTTCGTAGTGAAAAGGGGCAGCTGCGTGCCTGTATCATTGAAAAAAAAAAGAAAAAAAAAAGCTGAAAATACCACTCTGTTGTATACACGCCCATCCGTATATCTGTGTAATTCAATGTGTGCATCAATATCGGATAGTCGCCTGCCTCTGCACCTCTCTATGCCTCCCCATCAATCAATCGCCCGGGGTGCATATCCACCGTCGAATACATTTTATGACCCGTCAGGCCTGTCATTACGGATAGCATCGTCCAATGCTGTTTGTGTTGCAACGGCAACCCTATCAGTCTGGGCAGCAAGACCACCGCCTTGCCCTTGGGGAGTCTCGGCGGCGGCGGCGCTCTCAACGCCGCCTCCTGGATGAGGCCCCTTTATCTGGTCATCTTTCTTGATCCTGGGGGTCTTGATGCAGAGCGTGAGAAGCATCGCAAAACCTGCAATCGCAGCACCCGTAGTCCAAACCCCCTGGAGCGCCTCCATGACACAGTCGATGATACGTGGGATCTCTTTCAGCAAGTAAGGATAGATTTCATCGCTCTCACGCCCCATCCCTGTTCGTGCGTGCTTCATCAAACCCTGTGCCAACGTAGCCGGATACCCTTGGGCCACCAAGAGCTCCTCAAGGCGTGAGGAGAACACAGCAAGGCCGACGGCGATGCCCAAGCACTGCCCTGCCGGCCTCATCAAAAATGTCATGCAGATGGCGTGGCCGGCATCCTCGCGGTCGACGTTGCCTTGGATTCCCACCGCCATTCCAGGCACGAGGGATCCGAATCCGATTCCCACCACCAAGGTAGTGAGGACCAGGAAAACATAGGAAGAGTTCGCCTTGAGAAGGTGCAGCAGCCCAAAGGTAAGGATGGTAAGCAACCACCCAGCCCACAGGAAGGATTTGTAGTGGCCAGTCTTCCCTACAACGATACCTACGATGATGGACATAGGAGCCACCGTCAGAGTGGCGGGTAACCCCCAGAGCCCAGTCGTGAAAGCGTCATAGTCCTTGACACCAAGATAGTAGATGGACATGTAGTAAAGCAGCATCCACATGAGGAGTCCATGCAAAGCAATGTTCACGCACGAGATGGATGTCGAGACCTCGCGGAAGACGGATGGTTTGAAGATTGGTCTGCTCGCAACTCGTCTCTCGTAGAAGCCCAGCGACACCAAGCCGAGCACGCCGAGTACAAGCGGCAGTATAACTTGGTACGAGCCCCAAGAGAATCGGGACCCAGCCCAAGTGAGCGGTATCAGAAAGGAGGCCCCCGAAGCCACAAACAGGAAGAGGCCTCCCCAGTCTACTGTTGCTATTTGCTTCCAGGGGATCTTCTGTGGTGTATCGTATCCGAGTAGGCATGCGGCAGCCACAAAGCTAAACGTGAGGAAGGGAAGGTTAATCCAAAAGACCCATCTCTAGTGAAAATTCAAAAATCAGCTTCTCAGTCCCCTTTTCCAAAGAATGGTCAGATATTCCACTCACCCAGGTCATCGTATTGCTGTTAGTGAACACTCCGCCGAGGAGGGGTCCGGAGACCGTGCCAATCGCCCAGGAGACATTGATGAACGCGACCCATTTCGCACGTTCTCTCTGCCCATAGATGTCGTAGAAGATGAGCGCCTTGATAGGCTCGGTAGCTCCCGCACCGGCGCCCTGGATCGCGCGGCCTACTAGCAGCATGGTCGGAGTATGGGCGCAGGCGCAGATGACGGCGCCAACCATGAAGGTTAGAATTCCCAGGAGCAGCGCTGGTCTCCGGCCAGCGATGGAGGAGAGTTCGCTCGCAAAGGGCTGGATCAGGGCCATGGCCAGGAGGAAGCAGCTTCCAAAGCTGAGGCTATCGGACAAGGAGGCATCAAGTTCCCTAGCGACCTTCTGCACATATGCCAGGATGGGCGGTCAGTCTCCAAGAAGATATGATATAGAGTAGGTTGGTGGTGCTTACCGGAAGAGTAACGCAGAGGCAAGTTGACTCGAATGCGTGGGTGAGCGTGACCAGGTTCAGGGCAGACCAGATGAAGAAGTTCTTCTTCGGCCCCTGAGAGTAGCATCCTGGGCTTGTGAGGGAGTTGATACGGCCGGGTAGGGCTTTCTCTTGAGTGTCAGACATGGTTGTTTCGCAGTCTCTGTTTCTTTGGAGATGGTTGAATTTATAGAAGAAAAGAACCAGAATAGCAATGGTCGGGTTAGATCGATCTACGCTGCGTCTGGGACACTCTTGCCCCTTTCAAGGGGGGATCGTAGATTGAGTTTCCGCCAATGGCCTTCTCGATTAAAATGACTAACGGAGATAATTTGGTTCCGAAAGGTGAGGTACTTATCACGAGGTAACGAGGTGTTTGAGTTGGGTTAAAAGACCAAGTGTCCCGATGATCTGGATTCCGTCCTATAGTCGCATGTCTGGCCTGATCCCAGATACGAGGCAACTTCTCTCACCAATTCACCAATCTCACCAACACAGCTGCGCTTTCTCCCCCCAACTTCTCCGATTTCCTGAATTGCAAACATCTTCTCTGGATTCAACAGCCATGGAGAATGCAGTTCAGTATCAAATCGTACTCGGAGGCTTTATGGCTGGGACCTGTCTCTACTGGGTTCTCTGGCCAGCAATCGAGTGTCTCATCGAACGCATCCTGCCAGAATGGTATCAAGAAAACAAGGAGGGGCGCCATCGATTCACAATTCTGTTCCCAGTCATCATGATGACCCTTCGGGGTCTGATTGGTGGCCTGGTTATCATGCCGTCGTGCATTATAGCGGCTCGAGAAACGCCCTGGGAAACTGGCCAGCTCATGACAACCGCCGGTAACATCTGTGTCATCTCTCAAGTCATCCCCTGGACCACCGAGTTGCTCCCTCAGTACGAGATCTCAACGGAAATGTTTCTCCACCACCTCATCTGCACGGCCGTCTACTTTAACATCATCATGGCGCCCAGCATTCACATGGTGACTCCCCTATACCTCCACACAGCCACTCAGTTCGGCGACGTCTTTACATCCTTTCACAAAGTCATGAGGTGTCTGGGATACCGGCCAAGCACCAGTAGGATCCTCTATGCCAATAAGCTTCTGCAAATTGTTCTGCTAGTCTGTTTCAAAGTCTCCTTTACTTTGTATCTCATGGGCAGAATCATCCAGACACCAGATCGGATGTGGGACTTGATCCGGGTTACTTGCCTATTCTTCTTTGCCGCTTATACTCTCAAGGCCGTGATTGTGAGCTTTGTCTTCACAAGAATCGTCGATCAGCCCACTGAGGGCCCAATTGGGCTCTTGTTCCAAGGCACAGGCGTGTTTATTTCTCGCTACAACTTTGGCCTGGCAGCATCCGCAGCAGCTGCTATCATCTTTAAAGTATTGTTCTATGCAATCTCTCTTGAGCATCCTATGGGAGCGGGTGAACATGTCCGGGCTTGGACCGAGAGCATTGTGTCTGTCTCAGCATTGTGCCTGCTTATCAAGTTCGGAATGATGGCATGGAGATTCCTCTTGAATGGAAATCAAGTCCTGGCCGAGGGTTGGTATCAATCTATCAAGAGGGGTGAAATGTACCTCCGCTTCGGCTCCATCCTCGTGGCTTTCATGATTCACGGCCCCTATGCCGGAGATTTGATCGCGAAGCATGCAGGGCTTTCCAGTCAGGCCCTATCCACCGCCACTGGCTTTGCATTCTTGGTTGGGGATCTCTTTCTCCGTACTGTTCTATGGATATCTGTCGGTGAAGAGATCAGAGCCCCAGAGGAAGACATGTCAAAAGACGTGAAGGCAGAGAAAGCTCTTCCACAGACAAACCCAAGAGCTGTATCCGATCATGCTGTGGCAGCACGACAATTGCGTATGATCTGGGCAGATGTTGTCATCATTCTCGCCTCCATTTTCCTACCCAATGGCTTCACCAAGTTCACAAAGATGGAAACAAGTTACGCCATGTTCTTTACCCACGCCCTAGTCCAGGTTCTTGACGAGTCCACGTCTCTGTTTAATAAAGGGGGCAGTGTGCCTGCAGTCAACAGTGGTTCTCGTCGTTTCTCTTCCCTCAAGTTCGTCTTGGCTGTTGGCCAAAACCTTCTCGCCTTTTCTGCTGTTTGTGGACAAGTATGCACCGAGTGGAAATGTAGCGACAGAGAACAGGAAATCCTCTGGACAGCTCTCGCCGTCGGCCTGTTCTCGCATCTATCCAGCCGCATGCTCATTCCCATCAAGAAGCATGCAAAGGTCAAGAAGTCCTCGGCCAAGTCTACAACCGGTGCTGCCCCTCCTCCTGTTACAACAAGGAATCGAGTGCTTCGGATGCTCAAAGCTTTCTTCCTCTCTCCAGAAGTCTACACTGGACTCGGTGCTTTGCTCCTACAGTGGCTTGCTTTCAGAGAATGGATGAAGTTCAACGGGGAGCAAGTTCAGTCGACCGTGGGCTTCGGAAACGTCAAAACGGTCCTCGCGAGCCCCTACGGAGTGGTTGGGAACGTTATTACACTGACTCTTACCATCCTGGGCACTATTCTTCCCTGTGAGTAGTAGGATGTATGTGTCTACGCCGGTATCATCATGTTCGAGGACACCTCCCGCATCACCTACAAGAACGTTCTCAGTTGGTAACGTATATATTCCCCGGTTCGATGGACTTCCTATCAACCATGAACGCAGCCAATTGCGAAATCACCAGATGGCCTAGCCCGGGCCTAGAGAGTGTACCCATCATTCTCAACCAAGGCTACTCGGAGGCTCCAGTCTGGCGCCTCTATCTTGTCATTGTTCTCTTCTGTCTGGCTTTCTTTTTGGTCTCGATTTTTTTTCTTCTTTCCAAGTACTTGGAGTTCTATTTTTTAGTTCTTTGGTTTCAGTGTCTAGTTATGATTTAATTCTTTACATGTTTTCTTTGTCTTTCTATAAGTTGGGTCTTCAGTGTTTGGAAAGCACAACTCGCGGCATGTTTGCGCCTCTTTTGGTTCCTGTCTGCCGTCTATTTCCAATACCCCTTCAAGGAGTACGTACTTTGTTAATTGAAATTAATTAATCAATTTGATAAATTCGAATCAAACAAAAAAAGAACAACGTTGCCGTGGCCCCCAACCGTGCCTCAGCCGTGCCCCAAAGGTCGCGCAGAGGATGAAGCTGCTCCCCCTGGCATATGTCAGTCTATGCCGAGGCCTGGCGGGATGTCTTCCGCGCAGCACCTACGCAAATACGTTACACGGGATGGACGACGACCCTGGAACCATCCTCACGGGTCCTGCTGCACTTGGGGCCAGGCTAAACAAGACCACTGAGATCACCGAACCCCCGTCCCCCGTCCCCCATCTTGTCACCCGGTCACCGCCCCCAGGGAAGGGAAGGGGGAGGGTCGCTCATCTTCCAGGCCAGCGGAAAGACGGCCAACATCGCCTCCGTGAGCAAGCTCCCATGCCTCTCGGCGCAATGAGAGCAAGCACAATCTCTTTTTCTGGCCGATTACAGGGCGATGGGAGCAGCGGGAGCAGCGACCGAGACATATCAATTCCCAAAATGACGCCCTCGCCCCCTCAGCAAGAACCTGGTCCGGGTCTCTGGTGACCAGTTTCGAACACGTCAGGACGCCCCCAGACTTGGGCGACGTGGCGATCATGTGGGCCGTGAAATCGCCGGCCGATGTTTCGAGCCGTCTTTGAAAGCATCAAGTAAGGCAACCCAAAATTCCCACAAATGGCTTGCTTGCTTGATTCTCTTCCCCCCTGCTGCGCTGGATGTCATGGGCGCCGGGGAGAGGGGAGAGGGGGCCATTCGACCCGACCATCCCCGTGCCCCTGACCCGGTCGAAATGACTGAATCTGGGGTGCATGCCCCGAATGATAATTCATTTTCGACGCTTTCCCGCCACTATTAGAGCCTGATTCGGCAGAATCCATCTTTCTTTTTTTGACGAATGGCGCTGGCTATCTGTCATAGGCCCGAATGCCCGGGGATTCGGATCGTCGAGTAGGCAAGGCTGCCAAGTCATCGACATGGCGAGGAAGGATTCGCTAACGGAGGAGAGGAAGACGGAGAGGAGGTGGCAGATGGACAATTGTGGCCAGCAATCTCCATGAGATGTCGCCGCTACCTCGGCTCTGTTGACAGCCTGGTTTTCCAGTCTGGAGGGTCTTTTGTAACGGGGGCAGACTTCATGCCAATTTCCCCGGCTACGTCGAGCTCGCCTCGGCTCCTGATACTGCGGCACTCCAAACCGTCGTTTACGATTCTCCCAGAGGAGCTCAGAAGGCTGTTCGAGCCGAACCCACACTTGGGGGCCTTACCATGGATGCCCAGGGTCCTTGTCCCCCGGAGGCTGTTTGGGTCAGTTGGATTGCCTACTCTGGAAATGCTCTCACCGTTGGAGCAATGTTAAACGGTCAACGATTATCCATCGTGTAAGACGGCGCGTGATGGACCAGGAAGGGCTGGGGGATTCACACTCGACGGGTAATGAGCCCATTGCGCGTCATCTACAGGAGAATTGCATTCGGAGATGGTCCTATTATGCCCTGATAACCCCATCTTACGATTGCGCACCGTGTATAATCACCCTTGCCGATGGTGTCACCCGACTAGATCCCATTATTTCGCCTAGATCTGGACGACTATTCAGGCAATAATGCCTAGGGACTTTTTCGGACTTTTTCCGTCGCCAAAGATAATACACACATGGGCGGAGGAAGAACAACGGTATATGTTACAGCTTATCTTACCAATAGTAGCATCTCCCAAGAAGATCATGAAAGAGATTATTGTGGAACAAAGTATATGTACGCCCTACATACATACATGTATGTATGAGCACATGCATATGCCGTGCACCTGCACTGCCAGATGAGCGTCGGCTTTAAGACCATACCATGGCGAGGGTGTTTAGATAGCAAATCAACACATGTATCTCGCTCACCGAACATCCAGCTGCGGGATCGCCTGTATCACCAAGGACATTGGGCAGTATTCGGGTTGTGGCATTCCACACCCTGCTCACTGTGATCCTCCAAGACGGGCTCAGGTAAACGTGGCTGGTAGCACGAGCCGGACTCGATATCTACATGGTCGAGGAGGACTTGTCTCCTGACGCCGGCAAGACGAACATGCCACTTTTCGGGTCCAAACGAATAAATATTTCCCAGTAATAGATTTTCGATCTGATCTCTGTGTAACAATGTGTAAGCCACGTGTTGAGGATGTGCTGTTCCAGGAAGTAGGCGAGCTGGGAAATCTATTCTCGGGTGTACATGACAGTCACGAGTGAGACATTATACAAAGCAGTGGCACTTTGAACGACAGTCCGTCATTCAGCATCTCGAGGCATCGGGGCGAGCACTCAGCCGCCTCGGCGATATGCCCTCTCTCTCCTCCAATCCAGAAATGCTCAGCTCGCAATGGACCTTGCCGCCCAAAGCCACCCGCATTGTCTTGCAGCCCAACTATCGCATGACGCCACGGAATGTGTCTCTCCCTCCCCTCCCTTTTGCCCATAACCTCTTCCAATCACCGCGGCTCCGTGGTGAGGACAACATGCTGGCTCAATCACAGGCAAGGCAGCTATCCATTTGTACGAGCCACGAACTCTCGGCCTCGGGAGAGTGCATGTGGACTTGGGACAGGAACCGGGACGAGCCCGACCGACCCGGTTAGCACAGCATGCAGGCCTCAGCGATCACCTACTTACCACGATGATCACCAGCGTGCCACGACCTCTCGTCACTCGGCAGCTCTTGTCCTACCTGCATCGCATACCCTCTACTCGCCCGCCGTTCGGGGGGACCAATCGATCCCCTAGCCAAGGCGCGGCCGAAAAGCGCACGCTCTCACAAAGATGCAAGCACCCAGCGAAGAGGTATCACGAGTTGGGGCCTGTCATGATCTCCAAAAGGTCCCCTCCGTTGCCACGATCAGGTAGGACACGGGGTTTCCCAATATCAGATACGTTCGACGTTGCAAGCGCCGCCGCCGCCGCGAAGGAAGCCCTCTTACACGGAGGGACGTCACCCCATTTCCCTCCTTTGCAGAGCGGCTACGCCCCCCTCTCAAGCGAACGTGACGCTCATGTCTCTCCCGAGGTGAAAACAAGCTCGGGTGAGTCAACACATCATTGCAAGGGAACTCATTCGCTGCAATGAGACATGTGCCTGTATCAAAAACTCGGGAACTGGCAGATGGCTCGGCGTGCCAGGCATGCGGCAAATCCCGACGACGTAAGCCGTGATGGGAATGTGTTTAGAAAATTGTAGAACAATATAGCGGATATATTAAAATAAAAGTCAATTATACCATTTGCTCTATTGTGGGATTATCATTGGTTGGATTCGTAACAATTACCCGTTGTCGACTTGTTTGCCCGTCGTGTCGGGTATTGAGGTTTACGGGAAAGCAGCTGTGAGGGCAAAATGGCCATCGAAAGCAAGCAAGCGAGCGAGGCGCATGCAGGGCATCCGTATCCCATCTTGATAGGAGAGACCCTTCCGCTGCAGCCACTCTGCTCCATGTCCATGAGTGTGCACTTGACTGGGCTGGACGGCGATGGGATGGGCGCCCTGCCATGGCCCGCCTCCACCGCCGCAGCGGCGGTGTAGTTGGGCAAATGCCTCTTTTTGCTACGTACCTACAGAATCCGTCCGTATGCGTATGAAATATCGGTAACGGCCCTGGAAAACAAGGGCCCGTCCGCATTCCCGTGGGGAGTGTGCATTTGCCCTTTCTGCGCTGGTTTGCTGGCCCACGACGCTGGGAGAACGAACGCGATCAGGTCAATCACACCATCCAGCCCACATGCGCTCACCGATACAGACATCTCGACACCTCGTCCTGGGCGGCGGGACAGAGGAGGAGGGGCGTGTGCAGGCGGATCATCCCCTCTCTCAACCTTCTGGAATGCTGGCGCCATGGTACCTGGGCAGCCAGCCATCCATCCATCTAGGCATCTACCATCTGGGTAGCCTCCCACCCCCAGCTGATAAGGCGAAACTCGGCCATCTGAACTGAAGAGGCAGTTGGGGAGCCATGTGTGAGTTGGCTGGCGATTGCATGGGCTGAAGATGCTACGTAGTAGGGGCCCGCGACCCAGGGCAGAGAGAGCCAGGGCCCTGGGGGTAGGGGTGTGTGTCTCTTTTCTTGCCGTTTTCGAATGCTCATGTTGCAAAAGGGATGGATCTCGTTTGTGACACTGCACAGCGAAGGGAAGGGGGGGAGGCCCCCATGGACAAGGTGCGCCCCCGTGGAAGAGCAAGGCGTGCTCCCCGGGAAACGACCAGAAGGCCACCCATGATGCGTCTGCATGCTGGTGAACCCCCACAGTCCAGCAGTCCGAGTCATCATCATGCGCTGGTGTGCGGGTGAATGTGAAGGGTCGGCCGGTAGGGGTTCCAAGCTGACCAAAAAACGACACTGTTCCTCGCTATCCAAGTCGCTCCTGGAAATGCCATCAGCATGAGTGGTATAGGATGCGAATTGACGGTCCGTCCCTTCATTTGCCCGGCTTCTCGTTTCATCCTCCCCCCCCCGACAACCTGACGATGGTGTTACTCTGCCGTCATGTTAGAAGGGCAGATGATCATTCCCTCTCATATTTGCCGCAAATCCAATATTAGCACCGACGGAGGCACGCGCTGACCCGTGCGACCTCCTCTCTACAGCCAGGACAGCAATTGAGACCAAACAGTCGGGATAAGCAATGGCCAGCAAACCCGACCGCTCATTGACACCCCGTCCCGTCGATACAACTCTCCAGCGTGGCTATCTTAATTCAAGATCTTTGACCGCTCTGCGCCGTTCGAATCAGGCAAGTGGAATGCACGCTCGAGGTGCTTTTGTCTAATCACGCCTCCTCTATCAGGGACCCTTCCCCCGTCAGTTGAAGAAAGTGAGGGACCTCCCCGTTTCAACCCATCCTGGCGGCACGCCGGATCTGTTCCCCAGGCAAAAGGCTTGCCCACGTGGGACCCTCTACAAACTCGCAACCCTTGGTTGAGCCCAGGGGACCTGAAGCAATTACATAGGAAGGGTTGGTTAATTCAAAGGCCAGCCGGGGGGGGGAGGAAGGGGGGCGGTTATTACAATTCATCCATCCTGCTATTAACTCCGTGCCAAAACTATCTAATAATAAGTCCCAGGTAGGTATCACCTGCGGGCTAAACAGGGGCCCAGACACATGATTTGCAACGGCTGCTTCCCCCCGGGCAGGTAGGCTCATCCTTCCCCTGCCCTGCTCCCAGGGCCAACAGTCGACTCCGGCATGGCCAGACTGCTGCTCGGGACCGCTAGCGAAATCGAGATGGCCCAGCGTTTTGGGGACAGCCGCGGATTGCGGCATGACCGTTCGACCTCTGGCCCTGGAATCACGACATTATTGCTGCGGCGGCCAATGCTGCCGGCGAGATTTGGGGGGCTGGGCTTGGGCCCGGCCGTGTCGATTCGCGTCATCAGCTGGACCACGGCCTGGATCGAGCGCTCGATCCTCGTCGGGCTGGAACCAGACTGAGTCCACGGTCGGGGTTGGTGCGGGATTCCTGGGCATGACATGACCTGTCAGCAAAAACCAACCACACGACGCTGGATTCGTGGTGGTTATACGATGGACAGTCATGTACATATGGAAGGGGGTGGCCTGTGGAACAAACAGTGGCGCGCGCGGCCGCCGCAATTGCGACGCTGCCATGGTCCAACAACAAATGGAAGGGTTCATACATACGTAGGTAGCAGTAGAGCAGACAACGCTGCCGTCAGATACGGAATGCGAGCATGGAGCCCGCCGCCAGAAGCGGAAACCAGCGAGAGGCACGATGGGATCTGCAGTCTCTCTATCTCGAGAAATTGGCCACGAATGGCAGCGAAATGACCGAATTGAACCTGTCAGCCATCCAGCGTGGGGGTTGAAGAGCCAAATTCCTCCGGCCTTGCCCTGCACCACAATCCCAGCCCAGATACAATAGAAAAGCAGGCCTTGTAACGGATCAACGTCCAGAATACCCGCGACCATCGGACATTTGGCCCTCCAGGAGTCCCCAGAAGGGGGCTGATCACTTGCTCGGGGAAGGGTCATTCATCATTCGCCCGCGCCTCAAGGAAACATGGGGGCCAAAGTGTGCTGTGCTGTGCTCCCCCTTACGTTGGCGTATGTACAGTATATGCAAGTACGCAATGGCCCCCAGGGCCTTAAAAAAGCCAAGTTATAGCACAGCTGAGGCTTGGCTGTGGTGGTCGAGGGGCGCAGTTGTTACGTGCCTGGGCACTGTCACTGTCCACTGGCCGCTGCAACGGTAAGCTCTGGGTTCTTTTGTCATCATTTCTAAGGGGGCCCTCCCCCGGCTGCCCTCCTTGGGGAAGTAGGAAGCGTGGTTGGGTTGGATTGATGTGGTTGGATCGGAGGAAGATGGGCTTCTCGCTGCAACAGATCATTCAGCGTTCCTGTCCGCCTCGCTGACGGCAGCCCATCCTGGGGTTGGGGACATATGACCAAAGCATGGCAAAATACGCACTGCTACGTCCGACACGCTTGCTCGTCACAGTTGCTCTGCATAGGACGAGACTGGCGGGATGCGGTTTGAGTTGCAATACAGTCAGAGAGTTCATCTCAGCAATACCCCCCCTCAAGCATTGATACTACACTGGTGCATTACGAATTACCCCATGATCCCGCAATGTGGTGTTCTGGGGTAGCCGAATCGACTGATGAGCAATTAGGGATCGTACAAGGCAATAATCGCGTACCTACATATGTGCACCTGCTGACAGAGCTCTGTCGCTCCAAGACTCAGCTCAATCACATTTGGGGTTGCATCCGTGGCCACCTGCAACACCAATAAGAAAAGGTCATCACATCAAATATTGTCCCACGATACAGTATCATATCTTGGCAGTATGGCCGGAAGAGACAATCGATTCTGAGCCGTCTCCTCAGAGTCACCATTTCACATCCCACCTCCCTCTGCCGTCCCTCCCCACAGGTCCTTTTGCTCGCTGTATTTTCTTTTTTCTCAGCTGAAGATAGACTGGTAGGGTGGGAAAGACTTCTCCTCCCGCCTCTCCACCTTTATTCCCTCTCACTCTTCGGTCACGAGGGCCCCCCGAGGCGGGTGTACATGTATTGTCATATGGCAAAACTCCAGGAATAGTACCTACCGTAGCAACGGAGCGTCGCATGCAGAGCGAGCTGAGATCGCCTTGACACAGCGCTGGAACACCGTTGCAATGTCTGAATAAGAGAAATTGGCTGGAGGGTGCGGAAGGGAAAAAAGGAAATAAAACAGAGTGACAGATCACACAGGCTATTGGCCCGGACTCTGTGAGGACGGGAGATGTGCCGTAGAATTACACGGCTCACTAGGCATATGACCCTCCTGTGATCGACGAGCTTTGAGAGTGAGGAGAGGGGCCACTGTGGCTTCTCGCTGCGTCTGGTTGTTTTAGCCCTACCAATTAAGCAGCGAGAGCTCCTCCGGCACTTTGCTGACTGCCGATAACTCATATTTGGCGCTGGGTGAGGGGCGCATTTGCCATCCAAATCCCTTTACAACTGTGGCGCTCTGGGGGAGGGGGCGTGTTGGTTGGTCGCAATCCCTCGTGCATCCTGCATTGCCTTCGGCCGCCTGGCTGAACCATTATTGACGAGTTTTAAATATAATAAATTGAATTTACGTATATTTCGCAAAAAAATAAAGATCCATCACGAAGGCCATTTTGGTTAGGTGGATGTGGTTGCTGGGGCCTCCTTCGACCCGAGACTGTTTACTCCAATACTATTGTACAACACTACTAAGCCTCGATATTGAGACAGGACAACGCAACATACACCGTGTCTTCCCCGGAACCCAATAGAGAAGCATGATATCCATCGCCACTCGTCTTCCCCGGACCCATTGCCAGAGTGATCACGGGGAAGAGGGAATAACGCGCATCTAGACCGTTAGATAGACTTGGAAATCCAGGGTAGCTGTCCCAGAGACGAGGCCATAAGTTGCAGTCTAGACCAGTCAGATCTAAACGGCGGCTCGATAGTGTGCTGCTCTCCTCGAGTGGGCAGCTAGTGCCAACAGTAGCAGAACAAGGTAACGGTCCTCTGGCACCGTTTCCACACATTTCACCAGATGGTCGCTTTCACTGTCCCAACGATCTGGAACCCTTGATTAGCTCAATCCTACTATTCCCCCCCGGTAAAAACAGATGAAAGGCCGAAGATGCTTCGGCAACTTTCCGGACCTGACATTGCCCAAGTGCTCCCCGGCATTGGGTTAGCAATTAGGCAGCTCGACGGCATCCTGACAGGCTACGCAAACGCCCATCGTGAATTGAGGAGGCAATTAATCGGCAATTGATAAAATTCGATTATCCACCTGCATGCCAAAAAATTCGAAAATCTCTTCCGCCCAACTGAACACCCCAGAATGACCCATCCGCAGTGGAATACGGCTCCGCTGGGAACCACCAGCAACCGGACCTAAAGCGGAGAGACTTTGACAGGACCCTGGGAGGCTCCCATGTGATGCTGGGAAAACCCACCAATGGCCCACCCTGGGCATCAATGCTGGCCTTTGACATCTCCGAGCACGGCCCAGGGAGAGGGCGAGGCAGATGAGCGAGAAAGGTTTGCCCTTGTAGATGACTAGAGCGGTCTCCAACAAAGCCACCGGGAACGACCCAGCAGAAAGCCATCATCACGCGGTCAAAACTCTCAGTTGATGTGATGATTGAGGAGCAATTCCCCTTATCAGAGCCAGGCCCAGGCCCAGGCCCTCTGGCTCCCTCGTGGTAGCTCGTGGGGGGAAAACCTTCCACCCCGCATTGCCTTGTCAAGCATCGTGATTGTGATCGTTCCTGGATATTCCATTCCCCTTCCTGCCCCCGAATCTGGCAAATGGTCACCCTGTCATTTCGAATACTTACTCCAAC